GAATATAAGGAGGTTTTTCTACCGGAGTACTAGTACGAGGGCTTTTCTACCTATAAAATATATAGAGCGTACTACTTACTCTATTTAAAAGAGGTAGACTAGCGTATAAGAATTATCTATCTATTATTAGAAGAGCTAAATTAGGAAGATAACTTAATAGTAGGCTATTTTAAATAAAAATATAGAAAAGAAAACTCGAACTAGTAAGCTAGAGAGAAGATAAGATTACTAGGTAATAATAAGTTCTATTAGTAAAGCGATAAGAATAAGTTCTTATACTACTCTACTTACTATTCTTACTACTAGGTTCTATTTCGATTCTCTATTATAGGTTCGATAATAACTACTAATTATATTACGATTCTCTATCTTAGCTATTCTAGTACTAGACTAGTAGTATTAAAATTCTCTATTTAAAGGAATAGTATATCGATATTCTAGCTTAGTTCTAACGAGACTACTAACTTATATTACGATTTCCCGGTAGTCGTCGTAGCTATACTAAAGCTTATAATAGTAGGCCTAAAGTTATTATACTAGAAGGTCTTTCGATACTCTATTAAAGTACTAATAGTACTAACACTTATATTACGATTCGCCGTCTTAACTATAATATAAATCTAGGTAGATATACTAAGATTATCTATATAGAGGAATAGTATCTCGATTAACTATCCTCGTTCTAATAAAACTTCTCTAAATTATCTTACGATTCTCCGCCTTAGCTATAGTAAAGCTCCCTAGCGAGCATACTAAGGTCTTAGTCCTAGGTTATAACTCGATAGTCCATTAAGGTTCTAATAACAGAATTACTGCTTATGCTTTCGATTCTCCGTCTTAGCTAACGGTTAGACTCCTGTCAGCCGTGCCAAGATTCCATTTGTAGCGGAATGTACCTTGACTTACCCTCGATAATCTGCATCTTGAAGTTGCAAAGCTGCTTCGATACTCGATCTCGATTCTAACGGGACTGCTGGGTCATGTTGCGCTTCTTCATGTTAGCTGCAGCAAAGCTCCTGGCGGTCGAACCAAGATCCACATCCTTATGCTGGAACATCATCCCACGCATCGTCTCTGTTCTGAGCACCCTCACGGGTCTACCGGATCATGTTACGATTTCTCCGCCTTGGCTATAGCAAAGCCTCTGGCGGCGGTGCCAAGATTCCTGGGACGTCTTCCTCAGGTCTGACTGGAGTACGAGACTATGTCACGGTACGATTCTCCGCCTTGCGGACGTATCAAGATTCCCCATTTAGAGCTCAAAATCCGTCTTCGCTTCATTCTTGTGGGGTAATCACATAGCTTCGAAAAGAAAAAATATTGTCTGTCAGGGGTTGGAGCGGATACCCTAGGGCTGTAGGTGAAGGCGGATGTACGCGGAAGGTGAAGTGACATCGGGACCGGCTGACCTTTTCTCCGAAGGAGGTTGAAGAGGCACTTCGGCACATTGGGACTCTGGCACTGCCTCAATGGGGCATAGACATGGCGCACTCCAAATACATACCAGCGTATGAGCGGCAGTCGTGCGTCCACGAGGTAGCGGGTGAGTTACTACCAGCGGAGGCGGATAAAGCGGCGTGGTCGGACTGCCAAGCTGTCACTTCGATGGGTTGTATCCAGACTCTGCAACCACGTGGCTGAGCCTCAGGCTTGACGGGTTGTGTTCTTGCGAAGCATCGCCGTGCAGCGAGGATAGGTGTCAGCCTGCCTCTCCGAAGTGAATACCCGCTCCAGGGAGAGCGTGCTGGTATACACTTCGCGAGAGCCTCAGATCTGGCGTATCCGAATTGGATAGCACGTTTCATGCTTGCAAGTCCTGTACAATGTATCTTTCACCTGGTCAGCAAGTACATTCGCCTTTAATGGACGCCAGATAGCACGAAGCCAGACGTTCCTTGTGATGTGTATGCTGTGCATCGGACGCAGTCGGGCGAACAGGCCACTGTTTATTTTCCCGTGAGGTCTTATCTGCCCGACGATTCAAGGTGAACTGATTTTCCATGCGTCGAAGGTCATCAACTTCTCCGCTGAATGTGCATATGGCACCTCGGGAGCAAAAGCCTTGGCGGAGAGCGAAAGCAAAGCGAGATTCTTGCAGAATGTAGCGTTATAAGCAGCTGACGATGGCCAGTAGCCATCATGTTTCATAATTCGGGGAGAGCTCGATCATTGGAGTCGACTTGACCGACGAAGGTCAGGTTAGACTCGTAGCAGCCTTCCCAATCGTGTTGGTGGTATCAAGCACATCGCTGCAATGAGGATGATCGGAGTGAACTGTAGGCGATGAGCTGCAGCGTAGGCTGAACAGTATTGATAAGAGATGTTCACGAAGGCAACTGTGTTGTTGCATGTTGTGGGAGAGAAAGAGAAGGCAAAGTGTGGAGAAGGAAGCAGGCGCCGGGATTGACTCCGCCAAATGAGGCTGATCTGTGCCCGGGATCCTCACGAGCTAAACGAAGGTCATCAGGACCCTTTCTTGAGGCGTCCATCATCACCACCACTCCAACTGAATCACAGTACTTTCCTTCTGCAGGAAATGCCGCTCCGACGACACACGCGGTAGACTCAACACCTCACCGCCGCCGCCACCATGCGCGCTCTCGTCTCGATACTCCCCTTCGCCGCCGCTGTGCTGGCAGGCATCCGCTACCCCTCTGGTCTCGTCGTGCAGATCCTCTCCGGCCCTGAGTCTTGTGATCGTCCGACTCGCTCGAAAGATACCGTCTCCGTCCACTACAGAGGAACACTACAGTCCAACGGCAAGCTCTTTGATGAGAGCTACAAACGTGGCGAGCCATTCGAATTCACCCTAGGAGTTGGTCAGGTCATTGAAGGATGGGACAAGGGCTTGTTGGACATGTGTCCGGGGCAGAAGAGGAGACTGACGATACCGCCTGAGTTGGGCTATGGACAGCGTGGCGCTGGTAATGATATTCCACCTGGGGCGACGTTGGTCTTTGAGACGGAGCTGTTGAAGATTGTCAAAGAAGGCCCGCTCACGGAGCCAACAGACATGCCTGGTGGGGAGTATGTTCCGGACGCTGAGCTGGAAGATGCAAAGCCAGGAACTCCGGGCCAGAATCAGAGCAGTCACGCTGAGCCTCAGACTTCAGACAAGGCACCCACAGACGGGCCAGAGCCGCAAGCGGAGTGCAACTTGCTAGGCAAGTTCGCGCTTTTCGTGCAAGGCGCCCTGGGTCTGTTGGCTGTGCTTACTTTGGTCTACAAACGATGGCGGGAAGAGAGCAAGCGGCCTTGGAAGATCTTCCTCTTCGATGTGAGCAAGCAGTTGTTGGGCTCCATGCTTGTGCACGTCATCAACTTGGCCATGAGCATGTTTGGAAGCGTGGACGTGGCCAACGCAGCAGCTACTGTTGCTACACAGGGTGCAGCTGATGAGAGAAAACCTAATCCGTGCTCCTACTATCTCTTGAACCTGGGCATCGACGTGAGTGCATGGTGATCAGCTCGAATCTGAACAATACTGACTCTGCTACAGACCACCATCGGTGTCCCTGTCCTCTACGTAATCCTCAAGGTCTTGCACGCTGCCTTTCTTCGCACTCCGCTGGCCAATCCTCCTGAATCTATCAAGTCCGGCCACTACGACAGCCCACCAAAGATCACCTGGTACTTCAAACAACTCTTCATCTACTGCATCGGCCTCTCCTTTATGAAACTTTTTGTATTCTTCCTTTTCATGGCGATGCCCTTCCTCCCTTGGATCGGCGACTGGGCTCTCCGCTGGACAGAGGGTAACGAAGCTCTTCAGATCGTCTTCGCCATGTTCTTATTCCCGCTCGCCATGAACGCTGTGCAGTACTGGATCATTGATAACTTCATCATGGACAAGAAGCAGAGTGGCGAGAACGAGCAGAAGTACTCTCGCGTCGGTGACGATGGTAGTGGCGACTATGATGGGGACGAAAGAAGGAGAATGATGGGAGGCGAGGACGACGAGGACGATGATCTCGACGAGCTAGGCCGAGCAAAGACTCCTGAGGTGCAAGTCGTGAATCACGGACCTTTGAAGGAGGTGCAGCCTACGCCTGTGGACGGCAGTAGTGGAGAGGGGAGTCGGCGTAGTTCACCGCCACGGTGATAAGATGGTGTTTCGAGTAGAAGATTCTCATCGGATGGCGCAATTTGGTATGGTGCTCTGAGGCGCAACAGCACTGTTGGAGTTCTCGTATGTGTATACTGTAGATATCTACGACAGTGATATTTGGATCTTCAGGCCCCTGGGCGCTCCTGATCAACACCAAGTACCTGGAACATTCTAGGCATCTTCACTTTCCGGGTTGAGCAGACCATTGAGCAGGATGTAGTCGTGGCTTCGCACCTGGCTTCCGCGCTCACACTCGCGTCGTGTGGACCCGGTCTACAAGCGCTGCTTGTTTGTTTGCCCTTCACGGCACTTGGATTTCGGAGCCGCCTGACGCGTCCCCGGGTAACGACTTGAGATTCTGATTCTCATTGGCACCATCACAAAGCACTTCGCACGTTCTTGCAATCCATCGGAGCACACAAGATGGCGGCAGACACAGAAGCTGCATTCAAGCAGGCTGTGATCAAGGCCGCCGTCAAGACTGTTCTCGAAAACATCAAGGGTGGCGACATTCAACTCACCGAATCTGAACTCCTGCGCGCGACTGAGGATAATCTCAATGCTGCCCGAGAAACCCCGCCGCAGTTCATCCCCGCATATACTTCGAGTATGCGCAAGAAGAAGCCATGCATACCCAGAGCACGTAAACAGAGTAATGTGAAGTACTACCCTGCGGCAACGGCGGCCGCTCCTGGTGCTACTAACAAACCGATGGTGCCGAAGACCAAGAAGGCGAGTGCGAAGGAGGCGAAGCCCAAGAAGGCGGGGCTAGCTGCTGATCGTGCTGAGAATGGAAAGCTGGCCGTCGAGAATGAAATGAATACCTGGCTTGAAGAAGATGATTCAGGTCTCGACTCGGACGCGTCATACTCTGACACAATGGGCGCAGATGCCGAGGAAGAAGACGGTTCGGATCTTGACTGGAGTGGATCGCACATCACAACAGACGACGCAGATATCAAGCTCGAAGAAGAAGATTTGGACCTGGACCTGGATGCCTCTAACCTCGCCACAACGGACACAGATTCGAAGGTAGCTGAGGGACGTCGTACAAGGCGCACTCGAGGCGACTCCGAGCTACGTGCCCCAGCACTGTATAAGGCCGAAGTTACACGGACCGCCGACAACGACGTGATATTTATGGCGTCTACGGAAGACACTGCTGGAAGCACTCAACAACTCATCCAGAAATGCTTCAGACTGGGTCTCCACATCAATACGCCTGATACTGAGGCACGATCGACGCTGCTCACCGCATCCCGTCTGATGAAGAAATACAACGTGGCTCAGGCAGAAGTCCTGGCTCATACAAACCCAAAGGAACAGCTGCAGCTTGGTGGCCAGAGCGTTGTCTCCATCCGACGTGACGACGGCGACCTCACGATCGACGTGATGCGATACGAATACATCGACCAGTTGCAAATTGCCATTAACAAGTTGTTCGACCTCAGATCTTTCATCAACAGTGAACCACGTACAAAGGGGATTGATATTACGTTTTGCGGGATAGCAAGCAACACTATTGCTGCTGCAACGGCCTTTGAAATGTCACACAACCTCATAGTCGAATGGGCTCGGAGGTGGAACAACACTAACGAACGTGTCGGCTACTGCAATCGTATTTGTAGCACCATTCGTGAAGCGGCCCAGCAAGAGAGGTTGGATGAGATGGAGCGCGCCGAGAAAGCTGAGACCATGGCGTTGGCGTTCAAAGGCAATCAGGAAAAGGCAAAGCGGTACGGAGCGCCCGATCACTTGAATGGTCCTGTGCTTGCCGGGCTTCTTAATCCAACGATTGACGACATGGCCCAAAACGAAACAGATGAGACATATCTGGCACGCATTTCGGTTTCTTCGGCATCCTGGGCTCGAGACCATGCGGTGCGCAAAGGCACCGAGAACAAATCGAAGAACGTTGCAACGTACTCTCTCCTATCTAGCAAAGCGGACAACGGCGATCACAATATGAATGAAGTTGACCGGCGGCCGACCGGCACGAACTCCGACCGCAACTCCTCTCTTGGCAAGGGACACAAGAAGCAGGCTGCAACTAGATTGCAACATCGCCACTCTTTCCATGACGAAGACGACGAGGAAATCGTTTTGAAACAAGAAGCCGATGGAATTGAGAATGGTAGAGGCCATGGCACAGATGCCAGCTTCATCAGTCCATCTCAACTGATCTCGTGGCGTGAGATGGCGGTCAAGATCGCAGTCAACGAGTTGCGAAAGACGACCGTGAAGCCTTACGCAGACCAACCGCGCAAGCGTAAGAGAGCCAGCCAAGGAACTCGAGATGGTAGCAAGACCGACAGCAAGAAGGCTCATACTCGGGTGAAGACACCGAAGCCCACAAAAGTCAAATGTCGATACAACGGAAAATGAAGAAGACAAAGTCATGTCTGACTGAGTCGTCTGCAGTGTGCCTACTAGGCTTGGCGCTTCAGAGAAATATGGGTTTGGGGTCTTGATTGTCTGTTGCGAAGAGTTTTGTTGTGGAAAATGCACTTGTTGGCTACTTATGGTCATTGGAAATTGTCGGCATACTGCACTGAGCAATATCTTTGTTCATTGTGGCATAGTCAGGCTGTACAAAAGGCGTTCGCTGAGAAACTGGTGTTTCAAATTGGTGGCTCAGCTCTCCATGTTAGCGTCTACCCTTGGGCATAGTCGTAAGTTCGTAGAAAAAACTGCTGCAAGTTCTCACAGAGCCAGACCTGCTATCATGCGCAGCTTTTGTCGATGGCAAGAGCATGTTCGCCTCGACTTTCACTTCGTATCTGTGTGAATTCTGTGCACTGAGACTATACCATTTCAGGCAATTCCTATCTGCTTTGGATGCGATCCTTCAGAGCCAAAGAAGTCTAGCTTTGTCAGCTGAAGGAAGGCGGCAACCTTAGTCACGTCGAGTGTACATCACTTCAGCTAGTTCCTGCCTGCTTCGAGTGTGATCCTTTGAGACCGGCAAGTCGAGCTTTGTCAGCCAGAGGGAGGCAGCAACTTCACCTCTCTGATATACAAAGTAGCTTCTCGATCGCAACTTCCCTCTTCGGCAGCTTTGTTCAAAACCCAAAATTCTCACAACCAACTCTTGAAAATGTCCAAACTCCTCGCTGTCTTTGGCGCCACAGGCAACCAAGGCAGTTCCATCATCAACTTCGTCTCCAACGATCCTGAACTCTCAAAGCAATACCGCATCCGTGCCATAACCCGCGATGTCTCCTCTCCAAAGGCCAAAGCCCTGCCATCAAGCATCGAAATCGTGGCAGCAGACACCTCGGACCCAGCATCCATCACCTCAGCTCTCAAAGACGTCCACACAGTCTTCTTAATGAGCACCCCAGCCTTCGGCCCCAACGCCCTCTCCTCAGAATTCCAAACCATCAAAACAACAATCGACATCGCCCTCACTGCAGGCGTGCAATACGTAATCTTCAGCACCCTCCCTCCTGTCTCCCAAATTTCCTCCGGAAAATACACCCTTGTCACACCCTTCGACGCAAAAGCCAAAGCCGAAGAATACATTCGCTCTCTTCCACCGGACAAAATCTCCAGCGCATTCTACTGTCCCGGCTCGTTTATGGAGAATTTCCTGCAGCCCGCCGCTGTCGGAATTCGAAAATTGGAGAACGAAGAGAAATGGGTCATGGAACGTCACGTCTCACCTAAAACTCAACTTCCTCTGATTGCCGCGGTAGAAGATACCGGAAAATTCGTTGGCACGATCCTTGCAGAGCCGGAGAAATTCAAAGGTAAAACTTTGAGGGCGATGGAGAAGTGGTATAGTCTCGAGGAGATTGTGGAGAAGATATCGGAGGTTACGGGAAAGAAATTGGAGTATAGACAGGTTGAGTTAAGAGGGAAGGTAGAGCAGATGGGTTTCTGGGAGGGAATGTTTGTGGAGTACTTCGGGTATTTGGAGTACTTCGGGTATTTCGGTCCTGGGCAGGACGAGGAGTTGGAGTGGAGTCGAGGGATGGCGAGGGGTGAGTTGATGGATTTTGAGGAGTGGTTGAAAGGAAAGGAAATTGTACTTAGTTGAAGTATGGCGGTTGCGACTGGAATTAAAGATTGAGTGCGAGAGCCCCATGCGGGGTTTTATGCTATGGCCTCGAGAGAACGAGATGGTGTTTAGTTGAAAGTTTTCGGTTCGTGACTTGTCGTCGTATGTTCAAACAGAGAAATTCCTTTCGCTTTGTCTTACAAGAATCCCGTCGACCGATCCGTGTTTCGACAAGCGGAGATAGCAATATTCATGTTGTTGAAGCTCCTCATCGACACTGTTGAATCTGGCCTGTACCATGTAGACATGGACGAAGATTGTCGCACGCTCTCGCTGCGGCTTTGGTTGCGAAGATTTCCTTCATCGAACAGCCCAGCAGTCGTTGCTTCTGGCGACAGATCGTACGCAGAGCCTCTGAAAGCGGCCGTGAGACCTGTTATGATGCTCCAACTCACGTTGAGTAAGATTGACTCGCAGCAAAGGGGACATGCTCGTTGCTTTGATGGAATCTCATGCAAATGTCGTCCATGCTCTCCACGACTGAAGTATGAGTGGTCGGCCAAGGGCTTTCTTGTAGCGGGCATATTCGGTGCCGTTCGTGCGGGACACGGTTTCATTATCACGACCTGATCATCATCATGTTACCAGACAGCCTCGCGAGAAGTTTATGGGATGAACATACCTGCTTTCCTTAGAGGCGTGCTTTGCGATCGCTGGCTGCACATGGCTACTGTGCCGTGAGTCGGCTCGTTGTTCGTGATCTCGACAGCAGCGCTTGCGATTCTCGATTGAGTGGGACCCGTTAAAGCTTCATTTGCTTCATGTAGCGACGGAGTCGGGAGGATTGGCTGCGCGATAGGGCGAGTTTGTTCCATGTTGGGACCTCGAGGCAAGACGGCTTGTGCGGGTGCAGAAGACGTTCCTCTCGTAGGGCGCAACCATGCGCGTATTGTGAAGCGCAAAGGCAATAGCGCCGGTAGAGAGCAGCAGATGATTCCTGCATGAAGCTCAATGGCCGCGTACAGCGTGGGCTACGTTGGTGCTCAGTAAAAAGTCTTCATAAAGGCAACGAATACCGTACCACATTGTTTGCCCAATCGAAATCATGCGCCCCTGCCGTTGCTGGCACGTGGACCAGTGTGCACTGCCGCTGTGTGCATGCCAAGCGTAGCGCACTCACAACGCATGAGCTAGAAAGGTGTTCAGCGTGATGTGCGACGATTTTCGAAATGGGGCCTACTGTACGATGAACTCAATCCAAGCAGGATGATTACACCGAGCCGTCGTTTCACGGACAGGTGCAATTTCCACAGGGGCTGCATCACAATTACAAGCATGGCGAAGCAGGTAACTATCTCGTACCCAGACTGTAATTCCCAAAAGCTGTGTGTGTGAGCATGCACTTTCCGTAAGTTGTATAATGTCACTTACAGCTTTTGATTGATGCACCTGGCCTTGTTCTGTAGCTCAGCGTGCCATATGACTCTCATCGGCTGACAGCTCGTGAATGTCACTACCAGAGTAGTGATACCGCCGAGTATGACAATGACCATGAGGCCCCAAATGATCCTCGTTGCTACAGAGCATTTAAGGAAGCGAAAGTACTGGAACAAGATTGAGACCTTGGTAGTCGTTACGCCAACCGCCCACTGAATTGACGCAATGAAGCACCACTGCGCAAGTTGTAAGATACGTCGCGAAGCGGAGGAATCACATGCACTTACTTTGGCAACGTCATTCTTGTTTTCGATAGGCAGTAACGTAGGGTGCAGACCATCGCTCAGGATCACCTCTAGAAAGGTGTTAGTGGCTTGTCGGCAGACAACTGCATACGCGCTCACCATAGTATTGAGCCGCCAGCATTCCAGTGCTGATTACCTAGACACGATGGTCAGTGTAAAGCCAGTGCGCCAATAGAGGTACCAGTTTCCTACCAAACCTGCCACTATGAGCCAGTCATCCGTGCCCACAAGACGTGTGATTGTTGCACGAACATACATTCGCGCCATCACAAAGGTGGCCGAGAGTCCATAGAAGGTGAATAGGAGTCCAAGAAGGAGCGGTGCTTTTGTGACACCACTCTCTTGCCTTAACTCCTCTGCCGAAATGCTGGCTCGCTCTGGTATTAGTGATCTCGTCAGCTTTGACATTGACTCGACAGATCCATCGAGAGACTCTCGAAGATAACGGTTGGTGAACATGTCTCATCGCGAAAGATACTCGCTAGACATGAGCTTTAGTTGACACGGCAGAATGTCACCACGTCAAGTCCTTCCTATCAACATGATGTTATATGGTATTACGCCATTCGGAACTGATGCGATGTAGTAGGTGGGGCCCGAAAAAGCAGGGCTCGTAGGTTCGAGAAACCCCTGCACTGGTACATTGGCAACGCCTTTATCGAGCATCATTGCGCGAAATGGTTCGTGTGGTTTCCAAGTCCAGCCCAGCAAGTCTCGCGTGATTGGCCAGTGTTGCATACAAAAGATGTAAGGCTCGGAGCAGAGTTTTGAAAAGGGTATTTTTATAGATATTCTCGCTGAGAGCACGGCGAAGAACGTGAAGCATGTATGGGCAACATGCGGAGTTTGTTCCGATTGTGGTCGACAGAGGGCAAGTTGTTCTTGCGGAGCTATTTATGAGACAAGGGACGCGAAAGCATGTCGGATATCAGCGATTCCCACAAGTACGGGTTTGACTTACGCACGTAAGGATTTCAACAAGACGGATTCTTCATCGCGAATGCCATTGCGTGTGAACGCAATGGAAGACCACGTACACCTCAACGCTTCAGATCCTCTTGAGCCCACGAAGTCGGCTGACTTGCACACTTTACGCTTTGTCGACCCAGCAGGCGCGGGTTCTCGTTTACGGCGTGCATTGGCGAAGCGCGTCTCGATTGAGTTGCTGTACAGCCTGGGGCGGTATTTGAAGGCCACTGATCGCTGTCCCGTTCTCGATATTCTCAGACTTGTGCACTGCGAATGAGCTAGCATGGCTCCATGTCGTTCACATTTGCTGCCTGAGTGTTCTTGGAGCTAAGAGAAGGCATAGTGTTCTGTATGAAACTGTCCATCTGCTGAATGAGGCTTGGCTATGCTCAGGCAATCAGGGATGGGGCGATTGAATACCCAACCTCTCGAGTCGATCGCAGATTCCAGATGCACAGCGTACGCAGCATATGCACGTCGGGGGAGGTGTTGTAAGTTGCAGTGACGACCCGCCGAGCATCGTCTTGTCCTCACAGCGCAATGCTGGTCCTCCGGACAGCCGGAAATCAGTAAGCGCTAGAATTTCGGCGCACTCTCGCTCCAGTGGAGTCAGAGCTCTGTATCAAGGCGACTAATTCGCACAGTATGCTCTCGGGGCCTAAGCGGTGATCGAGACTTCGGACGAGTGCGCGTTGTTCTGGTCTCGCTGGCGGTCGCGGTATAATCGACTCTGGCTCTTTTCGCGATGTGTCAATGAAGTCAAAGAGGAATCTTGCTAGGATCCCCTGACATGTAGTCCGACCCATCGAGACAGGGTCGACGGGGAAGAGGGAGAGAGTTTGACATGCTGCACGTGTGAGTGGTTGTGTGTCCGTGCCTGAAAGATGGCTGGTGGAAAGTGGAGGAAGGCATTGGCCACTTCCACGCGGCAAGCTCCGTCTGCTTCCCTTGACTTCATCTCCCCTTCCTCCGAGCTCGTTGTACAGTACTGTACCACATCACTTCACCAGCATCCAGACTTGACTGGGCTGTGGCGAAGCCATCGACGACGCAAGTATACCTGCAATCACATGCTGTTGAGCTTAGCAGCCAGCGAGCTTACTGCAAAAGTTTGGCAGGTCAGCAAGCTTGCGCAGGCGTACGAGCTCCAAGACAATCTTGGCCATGTCCGCTACCACCTGGATTCAATCGGAACGCGACCGCTTCAGCACAATGATCGCGCATGAACAGTTCGGGTCGGAGCAGTCCTGCTTCCTGCATGCTCAGGACCGGCAGAGGCGGTCATGGAGAACCTCCATCCGTGCATGAACAGGCATTCTCCGCACTTTCCCTTCTCCCACTGTCTTCTGACTTTATCTCTTTCTCTTAGCAAAAGGAAACTCTCCCACAGTTTGCCAATAAGAGTCTCGAGATCCTCGCAATTGTGGCAGGCTGAGCAATGACACGCGTGGTCAACCTTGCCAGTGCGCAGGGGGGTCGTGACAGCTCCCATGAAGCTCTCGACATGGCCTGACCATTGAACGATGATCTCCGCAGCTTCAATAATATTGTCGCAGGTCCCATTGAGAGCGTGTTGTCCACTGCCAGCTCATTGCTCAGTAGTCAGGTCCTTCTCATTCAGACTCTTCGCCAGCAATCGTGAAATTGCGTCACATCCATCATGGAGAATCAGCATCAACCCGGAGACAGCATTGCTCGTGACTTCACTGACGATGTCAATGGAAAGCAATACTCGGGCGATGACCTCGAGGACACGCTCGCGAGGATCAAGACCAGTGGCACTGGCAGTGTAACCATTTCGTCCGACCTATTTGAGAAGCTGTATCTTCAGCCGAAGATCGATAAGCTCCCTCTCAAGCATCCTTTGCAGAGGATCTTTGGTAACCCGACGCCAATTGCAATCGTTGGGTTCGAGATGAGTTTGATGCCAATCACCATGCAGCTGATGGGCTGGCATGGCGCTGGAGGCTCACGCTCAGCGAACAAGTAAGTCTTCTTCTGCGCGACAATTGAACATACTGACTCGTGTTCAATAGCGCGACTGTGGTCCTCTATGGCGGAATTTTGATGTGGATCGGTGGCTTGCTCGAGTTCGTGCTCGGTAACACCTTCCCATTCGTGGTGTTCGCTACCTTCGGTATGTCGTAACGTTGGTAGAAAGCGATGAAAGTATTCACGAAGAGCAGGTTCGTTCTGGGCTGCGTATGGCGCTACTTTGATGCCAGCCTTCGAGACCTACCAATCATTCGCAACAGACCCGGATGTCGCAGCCACTGGACTTGCTGCCCCAGAGTTCAATGCCAATTATGGTAAGCGAGAGGCGGAGACATACCAAGATCCAGAGCTGACACATTTCATCAGCCTTCTACTGGGTAGCGTTCACCATACTGTCGCTATTCTTCTTCATCTGCAGTCTTCGAACGAACGTGGTATTCGCCATCATATTTGGCACTATCCTTCCAGCAGTCGCATGCTTGGCAGGAGTGTTCTTCTACGTTTCGGATGGCGACGCAGAAAAGGCCCACGACCTCCAGATCGTAAGTGTCGTCAATTTGCTGAAGTCCATTGGATACAGTACTAACGACGCCCAGGCCGCTGCTGGACTGCTCTTCGCAACATGCCTCGCTGGTTGGTATCTGTTCGCGGCTCTCATCTTCCCGACCGTTGATTTCCCGATTCCCGTCCCGCTTGGAGATCTTCAGGGTATCGTGCCTTCACTCACTGAGATCCAAGGTGGTCACAAGTCCGGCTGGTCTATTCTTCGGAGGAATAAGCGTGTTCAGGCGGATGATTCCGTTTGATGGTGATCGTTGCTGGGATTTGGTGGTGGGAAATTCTACGGAGAAGTGCAAGAAGGAGGGATCGAAAAGTATGGTTGTTGAATGAGTGATGATGAGATGGTCACGTTGCAAATACCCCTTCAACTGAGAGCGCTGACTGACTGCATGTATACTACAATGCTGTTTAATGATCAATACGGCACAGCGAACAACCGCTCTGCCGCCAAGCTACGATGTCTTACGGGTTCACTAATCAAAGTTGGAAGTCAAATTTTGATGACTGCTAAACGGCGCTTCCGAGCTCCGGTGCGCGCGAGGAAGGAACTGCTTGCAACGCGTCCTGTCTGTAACCTCACTCTCGCGGACCTTGTTGTTATGAACGTCAACAAGACTTCTGCTGACATTGCGCGCGCGCACTGTCCGTGTGAGGGTTCGCGACGTCGCGTCTCGACCCCGCTCATGCTGATATTGGCCTCCGGCAGTCCACGGAGCAGCGAGAGAACTCCACACGGCCACTCCAAGATGGAGAGCTCCCAATCACGACCTTCACCGCTTACCTGACAGTGGTCACGGAAGCTGTTCCACGCGCCTGAATGCTACCCCAGCGAAGGTATCGTCGGTCTATCGCCGCCGCTGGTCAGCGCAACAAAGCTTGGGTGGCTCCAGGACAATGGAGGAGTAGAAGAGCTTGATCGGTGAACAGGCTGACGGAGAACCATGAGGATGAGATCTTCGTTCCCTTGGCGCTGCGCGACTGGTGGTCTCCAGCATGACATTGGTCAATCTGTGGCCTTGGAGCAGATCGGACTGTCGCACAGACCGGTTCCGGCGTGATCTCTATTGGACTCACCTCCCACCAGTGGTGGGTACTGCAAAGGCCAGGCAAAGATGACATTCAAAGCAGCGCTCAAGCAAGCAGAGTCCTCAGAGAACCTTCAAAATGATGTCTTCCGTCCTGGCTCGAACGGAAGATCGCCGTCCAAGCTTAGCGAAAAGATGCATAACATGAGAGTTTCAGGACGATCTTCCGTACGCTTTGATGGCAATGAGAAGCAAAGGGACTCAGAAATCCCAGCGTTCGCCCAGCCGCCGCCAGATCATGTGCCTCGCACAGGTCAGTCAAATTTGCAAAACGATCGTGGGATGCATTGCTCTTCGCCTCTCGAAGAGGATCATGCTCAACTGATAAGTGCCAGAGTCGCGATGAAAATGGCTTGTTGGCGCTCATGCCGAACACCTCGATGTCTTTTATTTTGTCTGTCAAGATCATCTGAATCAGCAACAAATTCAGGCGACTCCTCGTGACAGTCTGCGACCTTAAGTCGTAAGTATTTCTCGCGAGGGTTACGAGTACTTACCAGTCACTCGTCACACATTGGCCTGTGAAAGCACCGCTTGATACTATCCAGAGCTAGATGCTCGCAGTCTGCTCTCCAGGAGACTGGAAAGAGCAATCTCGCTCCAAGGCCAAGGCATTGGGAAGAAATCCGATCGAGAGGCAATCATTAAGCTTGCAGGACTCGTCGTTCACGTGGCCGTGCTGATACACTATGCTTTTGCACAGCATCATTGTTGCTCTGTGCTCATCTTGCCCCGCTATGGCAGCAACGCCCCTACTCTTCTAAGAAGAAGCACTGTCCTGGATTTGTGGAGCGATGAAGAACTTCCCGTCTTGTGGGATGTTTTTCGTAACAGCTAAAATGCCTCCCTATCGCCCGCTAGACTGGGCGCTGATCGGCTAAGTCGCGCTTACAGGGATTTGTGCTGTGCCATTGCGCTTCAGCTTGCGACCATCCTAGCCGCGGAAGCCCATTCCGAAGGCGGCGCAGAGTCAGCTATTTGACAGCATTGCACAATTGTGCTTTTTGTCGTATTATGCAGGCTGATCACGCTACAGACCTGCCCTCGGATCCTCATTCCACAAGCTGTCACTCGAAACCAGACCATTGATGGCCTCAATAAATCCGAGTTTGTGCTCCCAGTGCTCATCTGCCCCCGCAAGGCCCACATCTACGAACCTGGCACATACCAAATGCCGTGATGTCGCCGGCTGTATAAGCTTTGACTTAGACGCCATTGCTCATTCGCAACGCTAAGGACGGAGATATCACTAAGAAGGATGTAGTCTCGTTGGGGTGCATAACAGGAGCTTCGAAAGAAGTTCGAAAGGTTACTCAGTTGTCCTTCATGTGGTTTCACGCAGCTTAGGAAAACAGTATGCTGTTCTTCTGGAGCCTGTTGTCTCTAGCCATTGGGCTGGCTGCGTCGCAGCAGACACCTCAGACTGGATCGAATCTTGCGGAGCTCCTACAATCGATGCCATCTTGTGGACTGCAATACTTGTCAACTGCTATTGCTGCTTCGCCTTGCCTGGCCACGGACACGGAATGCAGCTGCTCCAATGCTACGATTACTGCTGAAGTGAATCAATGCGTTACGACAAGCTGCACGATCCGAGAACAGCTCAGTACGTGACTGTCACCAGTGCGCAGACGCCGTGACTGACAAGATCCAGGGACAAAGAACACCACCGAGACGATATGCGGTCATCCCGTACGCGATGAGACACGTATAGTATCTTACGCAGGCGTGATCGGCTGTGTCATTGCTTTCGTCGCATTCGTACTTCGCATGCTGTCGAAGATATCCTTCCCGTGCGAGGGCGCATTGAAAGTGGTCAACAATCTTTGGTGGGACGACGCGATTGCGAGCTTTGCTATGGCGGAGATTATTGCAATAAGTGTACTATCAGTCGAACTGGCCAACCTGGGACTGGGCAAAGACATCTGGACGCTACCTCCATACAACATCACACAGATCTTGAAGGTCTGCATGGCTCTATGACCCTTCATAAATATACAGAAACTGATCCAAGGCAGATCTACTACTTCGACGAAGACCTTTACCTTACGGCATTACCATTGATCAAGATCTCGATCCTGCTCACGTACCTCAGGGTCTTTACGTCGAAGAATTTCAAGATCAGTGTATACATCGTAATCGGACTTAATCTTGCATACGGCATAGCGTTCCTACTGGTCTCAATTTTCCAGTGTCTACCAATCCACTGTGCATGGACAAGATGGGACGGATCGGATCCGACATGTGAGGCCACGATTGGAAGCTTGCGATCCAGGTGAAAATGCTGACTTCTATGCAGGCAAGTGCAACGACATTAATGCTCAAGGCTGGACATCCGCAGCATTTAACGTGATTCTGGATGTCTTGACGCTAAGTCTTCCTTTGCCGATGCTTTGGAAGATGTCCCTCAACAAGCGCAAGAAGTTCCTCGTGATGATGATGTTCTCGGTGGGCTTCTTTGTCACCATCGTCTCAATCATTCGATTACAGGTCCTGGTTCAATTCGGTCACTCACAAAATACCACCTGGGATTATCGAAGTGTCGGCTACTGGAGCACAATCGAATTGCATGCGAGCGTCCTTTGCGCCTGTATGCCGGCAATCAGGAATCTGATTCGCAAATTCCAACCCCGACTGATGGGATCGAGCGTGGAAGAGTCTTTCGGTACCAAGGGCATCTCCGCAGGTCGATCTCGAAACAGCGAACTCGAGATCGGACCCAAGACACCGCAGGTACAGGTCTTTCCGAGGAAGCGAGATCCAGATGAACAGGACTTTATTCCTTTGAACGACGTACACGGAGTTGCAGAGACAACGAGCACAGGACAGACATATGGACACCGGTCCAACATGTCCGATTTCCAATTCTTCGAAGAGGGGAAACCTGATCCGACGCTCGAAAGGCCGGTCTCGCCTCTCGACTACAGGAGATAAATCGAATGGGACGATCGCGACGGAATTCGAAGGCGTTCGGACAAAATGTAATGAGTAGCGGCGTTCTATGGAGTTTCACGAGCAGAACAGGATACATGGCAAGCCAGAAATCGCAACCAGTGCCAGACAACAGATACCCAGAGGCATATATTGCGAATTTTGGCAACTTTGAAGCTCTTGATCCATTTTTCGCCAGTTTTGTCGAGAGTACAGCTTCGCAGAGCAGCGGACCGGTACATCACAGCATGTGGGTTCATCTAGCGACCACGCGGCCATGACGATTATTCACTCAAAGCTGGGAACTGCGCACGAGCAAAAAACCACAAAAAGATCTGCAAGCCTCATTTTGGCCTTGGCTAAGACCCACCGCTATAGCGTCTTTCTAGCCTGGGGAGAGAACTTCGGCGATAACTCCTAACGCATTGAAGACCTTGTTTGTGCCTGCAGAAGCGCGTGTAAGCGAGCTATAGTCGCTTGCATCCTATTGCCCTAGTTTAGGATGACGAGTGTTGATAACGATCAGCAATCCTGGAGTTCGGCAAGAGAGTGAGCACAGCATAATTTACGGCCCGTGAGACTGATCCTGGCTGGCGATGGACCCCGGTAGATGGCTTTACGCGAAGGGTCACCACGTTGTTTGCTCCGAGAAAGTGCGATAAAGCCCAATTTATCTCCGTTGTGTGGATGGATCTGCTGGAGCGAGAATGACATGTACTGACAGTCTGATGGAGAGGACGTGATATTTTGCACAGACTCCGGGCCAGGTAAAATATCGCGCCGCCAATTGGCATCGATATGGTTGCTGTGATTGATGCATGCCGAGATCGGCATTAACATGTGCATGTGCGAGGCTCGAGCATATGTTACCAAGTTTACATGCCCCTAACATCTGCGAATTTCAGTAATAATCATCAGAACGCATTGGATTGAAATTGCCAGATGCTCCAATAAGTTGGGTCCTCTGTCTGGCATACAGCTTCTTGAACGGAACATTTTCTCTAGCCAGATACTCTCAATGGGCTGCTCTCGACGAAGACCTCAATGGCATCCAGGCATACAGTATGCGGAGAGGTCCCAACACAAGTCGTATGATGATCAAGCGGCGAGCTTCTCCGCAAGCTTCATGCAACATGCTCGAAGAGGAAACATGGAGCGCCGTACCAGTGGTTTATGGCTTAATCATTTAAGCTGTAGACTCCTGGTCAACGTTTGCATTCCGAGACATGTTCATCCACGGACTTGCTCACTGAATTGTTCACATTCGAGTAAAGGACAAACCTTATGTATGCGAAGAGTCGCTAGAGAATTCAAGTCGTTCTCGTTTCCCACTCACGATACTCCGTCAGCCGGGTGCAAGAGTTGGCACACTCGACTGCCACCAGTAACGATACGATGCGCCTCTCGATCTATACAGTGCTACCACTGCTAGGACTCTCCCTTGCCCAGCTACAGCCAAATTACACTTCAGACTCAGGTGTCAACATCTACAACCCGGAGAACTTCTTCAACACCACAGGTCCATGGAGTCTGATGTCACAGGCAGGAGATTATCTCTATGCTTCTGGTCAGTCATTCATGCTTGACAGTGCCATGTGCACCAAAGCTCCACTTCTTGAAAGCGGTGACAAGCGCTGAAAACTCGCATTTTCCAGGTATGCGTGGCATCCATCCAGAAAATAGCACTCTTGCGCCTACTGGTCTTCCACGAATCAGACAAGCCTATCAGAACATGGCCTCGCTCGTTGAGATGATGGGCGCCGACCTATACTCTTGCGTTCGGCTTGTGGTCTACACGACGGATATGTTTCGCTACCGGCCGATCGCGAATCAGGTCCAGGTTGAGCTTTGGGGCGATGACCCTTCGAAGTATCCGCCGCGGACTATCGTCGAAGTTGGCCGCTTGAATGATGATGATATTATCGAGGTGGAGGGGACATTCTACCTGCCTCAAGGGAAGGGTCAGTGAGCCTGCGAACGCATTGAGTAGTAGACAGTAGCATAGCGAATTAAAGAGGCGCATGACTTCCAAAACCATCTCCAGAGCGTATGAAGCAGCACATGATGGAGCGCGTGCTTCTTGAACATACTGGCAGTGTTGCAATGGAGTCGGTGATGAATCAGTGTCGTTCCCAGCAGGCCTTCGACATGTGAAAAGCCCAAAATGCCTCAGGCATTCAAGCGACGAGGATCCTAACTTGCAATAAGGTAATCTGCCGTGCAATCTTCTAGAAACCATTCGACTCCAAGAACAAATGGCATGTTTTATTGACATGGTTCCCAATTGCCCGTCACACATCTGGCGCTCGCTTCGCGATTCATATTGTTTGCACTAGTACATTCATCCATACAGAAGATTCCTTTGAGAGTCAAAATCACAAACATCAATATTTGCTTGCTCCTGGCTATAACCTCAACTAGACCACTCTCCACTTCTGCATCTGGATAAACCGTATCTAATTGTGGGCGCAACCCATTGAAAAGTACCATCGCTCCAGGATAATGCCCTACACCCTGATCTGGTACGTTGATGGAGGATGTCGCGGAAATGGAGATTACGACGCGATAGGCGCAGCCGCTGCTGTCCGAGAAACAAAATATCGAAAATGGATCTACAAGAAGAAGCTCCCCTACGATGGAACCAGGCATACCAATCAACGAGCAGAACTTCTGGCAATCATAATCGCACTCAAGAAATCTCTGAAACTGTATCGCCAACTCGATGGAACGCCATACCTCGAGCTCACAATTCACTCCGACTCACGCTATGCCGTTGACTGCATGACGAAATGGACTCCACGCGCAAGGAACGATACAGCAGACACTGCTTGTAACGAAATTTTGGATGAAATGGAGGACGAGCGATATATGTATTTCTGAAGAACCACTTGCTCTGAGTGGCATGGCAGGGTTTCCGCGCAAATCATCATAGCGCTTTTGAGTCCTCTGAGCGTGGGCTTTGAAGAGTGGTCACGGTCTCCAATACAGACAGGCGATCGGTTGCATGACTTTCAGAGCTGACAACGAGCGCTGAGTCGCATTGCCCCCAGAGCGGGCTGTTGTTGGCAAGAGTTGAAAGAATGAAGTGACGGGAAGGCGTTCTATCGAATGCACAATGTCTTCTGAGAAGGATATGCAATACTAGGCTGGTGGCCGCATCGTGTCTCACGACCCACGTCGTCTTTAACAGAACCCTAAAACGCAATTCGAAGTATCACAACCGCACCACCCCTGATCTGAGAACTCCGGTGCCTTCTTGCAAACAGGTTTCCCGTACTGGTTGCAGACCTTCGAACATTCGGAGTCTTGCGAGCACGGAGCATCCTTCGGACGCCAGAGATCCGAATCATTGGGAGGATTTTTCGCGAAAGTGTCACGTTTGATGGTCCATTTGACGCAGTCGCGAGTGAGAGTGCCACCCTGCTTCCAGAAGTTGAGCCCTTTGGGATTATTCGTGTCGCCTGAAAATTTGTCAGTTTCAAGAAGTTCGGAGGGAACGAGCATTCCTTACAGCTGTGTATCAGAGCGCCGAAGCGTTCTGTGCATGTCTTCATGAAATCAATCGCCCCGAAATCGGTAACCGGACACGATGCATTATCGAGCCAGTCGACTGAGAGATATACTGGATCGTGGAGATTTTGATTGTAGTGAAGTTCTTTGCGTCCCTGATCTTGTAGCACCTTGGCGGGTTCGAAGCGTGTCTTCCGGTCGATCTGTTGTTGACAAAAGAAACGGGCAGCTCTATCCATAGTTCTTGGTGCGACGAAGTGATTTGCATTGCCCATATCGCTCTCTTTCCCGCACTCTAGATTGGTTTCGCTCCCGGATTTTGGCGGTTGATTTTGCCCAGATGCGCCATCTTTGGTCTTACCATTGCCGAAATCGAAAGACGCTGTCCCACATGAGAGCTCCTGTGAGCCTGACTTCGCCATGGTATGGCTGTCGTAGCTACACACCGAAGAAGTATTGAACGCTCCGAATATCGCTGCGCAGTCGGAAGAACAGACTCCAGACTTTGGTTTCCACGAGAAAGAAAACTTATAATTCGTGTATGGGCCTCTTGTACCAGCGTCTTTGGGGCTGATGCCCACATCTGGTGCGTCTTTGGACATGTCAATGTTCTTGCAGAATGCACCTGAGAGTCTGCAGGCATCAGTCTGGATCCTGAGTCATGGTAATACAGGTCTTACCGTAAATAATCAGCGTACTCCAAGCTTACGCGCTCGTCCTTGTTACAGTCGAACTTTGCAGGCTCATCTTCGTCGTCAAGTGCTTCGGTGAGGAACTTCTGTCCTGCGTCCAAGTCGTCTCGAGACAGGGGGTTGACGTAGACCTCGACTGTCTTCAAACAGAGACAGCTTTTGTAAGTGCCCTGAGTGAATGTCAGTGTAGCTCTTGCAAGATTACCAGCTACGTACTTGTTGGCAGCGATCATCTGCTCCCGCACAATCTTGGCTGTCACATGCTGGCCGGTCCTTGACGTCCTTTGGGCACTTCTTGTCCTCGTTGTCGTCACCTTCGCGAGAGGGATCGTCGAGAAACATCGAATCGTCCAATACTATTTCTGCCAATTGATCGATGCTCCCGAGACACATGTCACTAGTGGCTTTCCAGACTAGCAAGGAAACTGCTTTGAACTGATCTGCGCTCACATTGGCGAATTCCGTGAGGCGCCCAGCGTTGGTCTGAACATAGTCCAGGGACGATCGTGCGGCGTCATCTATCGAAGTCAGCAGTCACATCCTATTCGAAGGCCATTGTGAACATTACCTCGTAGTTGCAGTAAGAGCTGCGGCACTTGCTGTACCTGCAAGCCCAGTGAAGCGAGCAGCTGGCCAGGAGCTGCCATGGGCAGAGCCCACAGTGCGGCATTATTGATCAGATTGTAGTTGCTTGCAGTAGGACCAGCTCCACTGATACGTCGGCGGACGTTATTACATTTGCCTTCGATGCCAGTTTGGCGCAGTAGCTGCTTGAGTAGGTCTGCTTTCTGCTCTGGAATTCGGACGATTAGATCACCCTTGCTGTGACCACCTCCATCGGCAGCAAGAGTCGTAATAGATGCGGGAGATGACTCCAGAGTCGGAGTCGGGCTTGTCTTGATGGTGACAGCTGGTTCGTTTGTGGCAGTCGCGAAAGCTACCTCGCCAGCAGTCAACGAAGCAAGCTGTGACCCAAGGCTGGATGGTATGTGAACATGGCTGACGAGCTTTGGGTGTGCTTCATTTGCCAGCCTGTTGGCCACTATCGCAGCGATGACGAGTCCGAAGATTTGGACTCCGGTGAACAAGACTGTGATTTGCCGAGCCTGTAAAGTCAAGCCGTAGTCTTTGTTGAGGACACCAGAGATCGCATTCGTGCAGTCCTGTGCAATGCCTTGCTTGCATATGTCACTGGCATCTTTGGAGAGGTCGCTCTGCATGTCGGGTCCCAGAAATACATCAAGTCCTTCCTTGGGAATGCCTTGAGCGATATCAGCTGGGGTGATGATCAGATCATTGCCGCTCGGGCTAGCAGTGACAGCCTAGAAATGTCAGTCGGAACTCGATGCTTCGTGACGAAAACATACGGGAGCTTTCTGGTACTCTGATGCTGGTCCAAGTGTGATCGTGGGTCCAGCGGCAGCAACAAGCCCAGACAAGGCGATCAGACTGGTTGGCAATGAAACACGCATGATTTTTCGAAAGATTTCAGACCTTTTGATCGTGCTGGAAACCGCCCCCACTCATAGTGTTATATATCTTCAAGTTAATCGCTACTGCTCTCTTGAGTACAACGATGCCGCTCTATCGCTTTGGCCAAAAATACTCTGCGTCTTCTCGCCGTAGGCCTGCAGCACAGCTGCAAAACGAACTCAGCCATACTGACAGCGCGTAGGCAAGCTTGCGGCGTAATGACAGATGTTATGTTGAGGTACAGTTTGATGGCGCTTAGCAGTAGAAAACGTGTTGTAGAAGTGTTGGTGTTAGAAGTGCAGAGAGTAAGGAGAGGAAGAGGCACAGTGTCACGTGCCAGTCTCTTGTTCTTGGCAAGCGAACAACTTGCCTCGTGGTCGAATGATTAACCGCAGCTTCTTCATCAACCTACTATTTCGAGACTTACTGCAGCAATGCCTCCAACACCTCGAAAACATATGTGCCGCATCTCTTTTTGGATGCTCGAGTGCATTGTGACCAGTGATCTGGCTAGACAACAAATCCCGAGCCATTCATGGCCTTCCTAGAGATGGCATGCCAACAGCATGCAGTCATGAAACATCCAATGCACGCCGCACTTATCACGAAGAGGCGCAGACACTCGTACTACTGCTGCATGTCGAAAACTACCATGTTGAAGATGATTAGAAAGGTCACGATTCTGCTCTTCAGAACGACACATTTCCTACCTCAAAACTTCTCAGCAAGCAAAAATGCACTCCTTCATTCGTGCAGTATCTTTCTTGTGTTTGTTTCTTTTCTCTGGCACGAGAGCCTATGAAATTCATGATTCCTGCGCTCTGCCGACCAAACTCCTCGTAAGGCAGGCTGCGAATCAGGCATTTGACATGGCTCGTCTGGCATTACAAGAACTCCAAGCCTCGCCACGCGATCCGGACGTTAACCGCCTGCTTGGACTCCTCTTCGCAAAGAAAGATGAAGACCCTACCACCATGGACGTGAGACGTCTGCGGGACATATATGACAACATCTTACTAGCAGCAGCTGAGGACGAAGCTCGACCACATCCGACTGATACTTCGCCATTGCAAAATGTGGTAAGCGCCAGCATTGTTGACTAATATTTGTGTTACTTATGCAAAAAGCTCACCATGACCAGATGATTTACTGTAACGAGGTATGATCACCCCTCGATGAGAAGGTGCAGTACTTACTCAGTTCTCAGGATCGATTTCAGAAACGTGCAGATGGGACGGTAAGTCTCTAGATGCATCTAAAATTGAATGGTGACTGATTACATCGCAGTGGGTGGATACTGGTATGAATTCCATATACTTGGCTTGGTATTATGGCTCATGTGTGTCCCACAGTCTCGCAGGTGATCCCAATAGGCGGCAAAGAATGCACGGCCAAGGACTTCACAACTATGGCATACACCATGGTTCCAGGGAGGGCTGTGTTTGAAAATCATCCCTCACAAATTACGATCTGTCCATGGTTGTTTCAGTGGGCGCGCCAAAGGAAGTACAAGGTGTGTTTGCTCTCAAGCGTCTCAAAGATGATAACTTATCGGTGATCAGAAATATGCCGACATGCAAGGAGGTATAGCAAAGGCCTGGACCAAGCGTACATTGCAAGCCACGCTACGGGCTCTTGGACGTGAGGACGGTATCGACAAAATGAGACTACTCGACCAGACAATCTTGCACGAGCTGACGCACACTCTGGTCGGTGGCCGAAGTCTAGATGTGAGGACATTCAACACTACGCTACCGCATGCAGAGGCAATGGCTGACTGCGAATAGGTGAAAGTGGCTGGTCTCTTGGGTTCTGAGAAAAGCTACGGATGGAAGAATTGTCTGGCGCTTGCCAAGAATGGTGGAATGCATCCAGAAGATGACAAACTTCCCAGGACTGCTCTAGACAACGCTGACTCATTAGCCTTATTCGGACTCGGTCAGTAATTGATCAAAACTTGCGTATGTGGAGACTAGACTGACATTGGCAGCTGTCAAACTGCTCCGCGAGCAGACCCCGCTGTACGTGTTGGAGAACGGAGGCTTGACAAATCGGAGACCATGAGGACGGGTGGCTGGGAAGAATCAAATGGCATGATCAAAGACGGCGTTGATGCATATGAGCATCTTTCAACGAGCGCAGATTGAATGATGTACCATGATTCTGTTTACCGAGAAAGCACCAGAAGAGGGATCTATCGGAGTTTTGATAGTTGATTATTTGAGACAAATGTTGCTTTGCTTCCACTGATAACGCTCTCTGCTCAGCGAGATCAGAGTACATTAGCTGTCCCAGGCTGGTAGACTAAAACCAATGCCACGCCTCTCCCGTTGTAACACTTTGAACGGCGCATCTGTGAACTCGCTGCTAATGCCAACTGTGATGCTAGTAGTCAGCACGACCAAGAAATGTACAGCACGAACTTCCATCAACGGCCTGACCAGCGCAATTACCTCTTCGTCGCGAACAGGGCTGCCCTGTCTGCGATCCGGTGGCCAGATAGCGATGGTGACTTCCAGACTAGTTAGATGCTCTAAGGAAGCAAGTATGCGACAGGCTTCCAGCCAGTCAGTTGTAGAGTCGGGCGTCCGGTAGCGGTAGCTAGACAGTGGTGGCCCTGGTATCTGGGAAGAATCAATCCACAGTGGCGATGCAAATGCTGTTCCAATTTTTATGTGTCGGATTTGTTGTAGTCGATGTGGAAGTATGATATGAGGGAGTCGAATAACACTTGCGGATCGACGAAAGTCAAAGGTATTGCAGCTATAAAGTGCGCCGACTGCCTCACAGTAGCTGCGTCTGATTAGGCCATACTCTGCACTTCGAGTTCGCGTTTCCTGTACTCACACGAGCTTACAACTCAGCAACGGGCCGAGTAGACGCCTCGCGCCCCAGAGTTCAGCGGGATTAAAATGCTCATCCGCTTCGCCCTTTCTCTGGTGCCAAGTCCTGCTGCTCCAGCAAATGTGACGAAAACACAGCTTCTCCGGGTCCCGTTCGAAGCACGGACAGTAACGAAGTGTTCCATCCCGTACATCCAGATGCAGAACTGTGGTCGGATCGGCTAGGCTGAGGGCGTATTCCCATATGATGAGCCGTATCTCCACTGGAATACGAGAGATGAATAGAGATTGTTGCTGGCCATCCGCCTCGAGACTAGGACTCGCTGGTCGTGGCGAGGGAAGTGATCGCAATGCTGGTTCGGGCAAATCCAGGGGAATGTGAATCGGTCGCCCATATATGTGTGGTCTCTTTCTGATGCCCAGATGGCTTAAGAGTGAAGATAGGCCATTCTTGTTCTTCATTGTCAGTGAGTTGGCGACAATGTTCATGAGAAGGCAGGCGTCTCAGGATATAGGGCTCGCTGTGCCACTTGCTGTGCCGACCAATAACCTATCATGCCATGATCCTTGACGCCGCCCAGTGTTGGCGCTAAGGCGCATGCACACTGCCACTTCCTCGCTAGGAACAGGACCTGTGCCCGTTCAAATACACTTCGTAGCCTGCCCGCATGGCAAAGACATTGAAGGAATGTATACAGCATCAGAGACTCTTCAGTGGAGCGAAGTTTAAGTTACAGTTGGAAAGAATGGGCGGGGTCGGGAAAACTTTAACCCGGTCCAGCTGTGCCACCGCCAGTTTCTACAGCAGTTACCAGGTATCTCCTTCGAACATACTCTCCGTCGTCCTGTGAGCCACAGGAAATGGAAAGCCTTGAAGTTTCTCCATCGCTCCCTCCTCAAGAGCCTCAACCCATAGAACCGTGAATACCGACGCATGAACATCCCTCAAAGGCTCCAACACAGCGACAACAGACTCCTCGTCGACCATGGGTAGAAAAGTGGAATTGGTGAAGATTGTAATCCGCAGCCTCTGAAGCTGCTTGAGCGAAGCCAGCACATCGCACGCCTCCAGCCAGAATGCTGATTGATTCTCGTCGAAAGACCGATAGGTAGGAACCAGAGAAAACGACTGCTGCTCCGCAGTAAGCCGTCGAAGCCGGATCATACCTCCTTTCATCGATACATGCAAGCTCAAATTTCTCAATTGCTGGAAGCGATGCGGGAGCATGATATGCGGCAGGCGAGCGAGACTTGCTGCTCGCCGAAAGTCGAATCTGTTGGACTGATAGAGGATGCCAATTGCCTCCGCATATCTGCTTTCGGTCAGTATCAAGCCTGCTTCCTTCCTGCTGGTACAATTTGAACAGAACTCACATCGTCTTGCAACTCAACAAAATAGTTAGAAAACCCCGACCGGTCCTCGGCTCCTCCTCCATAAACCCATCGTCCTTTCTCCCCTCGTAGCGGTACCACAGCGCACTACTCCAACAGACATGATACCAAGATTTCGCTTCATCCTTCAACCTTTCCGGCTTTGTCTCCCAACACTGTCGATACCACAAAATCCCATCTCGAATATCCAAATGGAGACAATCATCCTCGAACCTCGGACCCAGAACAATTTCCCATATCAACAGCCGAATCTCGACCGGCAGGCGCGTAAGGAGTAAACACTGCGTTTGCAAATTCGGATTCGAGCTAGGTGTACCAGGGCGTGTTGCTGGGAGCGGACGCAGAGGAGGTTCCGGAACATCTGGATAATCCTTGAGTTTTACCACACAGCTACGACGTCCCAGGTTCGCGAATTCCGAACGGCAACAGCAGCAGATGTAAAGGACCAGACCCGCCAAACTGCAGATAGCCCTGCCGGCTTCGCGCCCAGCGTCGCGAAGTCGTTCGCGCATGACTTCCTTGACTTCCGATTTGCTCTTGAACGCTGTGAACTCGAGCAGGTTGCACAACTGGACTGCTGAATTGCTCTCACGCACTGTGGAGCGGGACAGGTGCTATTTCGTCCTCGAGACCAATTCGTGTTTCCTGCTTGTCTGCTTCTTTCCTTTTCTTCGACTTGCGCTTGCGCTTAAACTTGAGCTTGGGATCCAGACTGTAAGTCTACCTGCAGAGAAAGTTTCAATCGATACAGCGGAAGCAGATAAATGGAAGACAGGTGTGCAGGACAACTTCTTCGAGAATTCCTTCAGCACGTCTGTGCATGCCGGTAGGGAATCGTCGTCTGCTCAGCAACTGTTGTGGTTCACTGAACTCGTTCCTGAGCTCCTGGGACTCAAATATGTGCCGAATCGTCCTGGAATTCGACAGCTACTTCACACCCGCCTTCGTCGCACCCGCCTTCGTACCCGTCTTTGGCTTACGGTTCCGCTCGCGCTTCCACTTAAGCCTAGGATTGAGACTGTAAGCCTGTTTGTCAAGGCCATCGAATTCGACACAGCCGCAGCAGATAAATGGCACACAGGAAATCAAAGCGGCGCACTCCCAAAAGTCGTTGGCACGTTTGCCCATATCCTTGAGGGAAGATAAAAGCCTTCTGTCCAGCTTAGTTCCTGCTCGCTTGACTCTCCGTCTGTGATTTGCGCCAGCGCTTGAGTTTGAGCTTAGGATTAAGACTGTAGAGTGAATCGCCGCTAACGGGCTCGAATTTCACAATGCGGCAACAGATGCAGGAAAGACAGGCGAAAAAACCCGACCTGAACGTATACAAAATCGATGCAACCGCCCATAGCAGTGGGACAGTTGCTGCCTGTTTGAATTCTTGTGGCTTGCTCAGGTGATCTTCATCACAATGGTTTCGATGGGTTGCTGTATTGTCGAAAGTCACATCCGCAATTTGTTCTCTCGTCCGAAGATAATATTTGAGACTATAGCAAGTCAGCAGTATGAGCGAAGCATCATGTGGAAGGTGAAGTGAGGTGAGGTATGTATGCTATGCGCCCAGCTGAAAGAAAGTTTGTCCATCGTTAGCGCTGTCTGTATGCACGCCGCACAGCTACATGCCATGCAATCGCTTGGCCTACAGGATCATGCAAGTTTCGTTCTCGTTTACAACCATCTGCTCTTGCGAAACGCCAACACGTACTTCTCGCTCTACAACCTACACAAACAAGCTGTCCGATGCAATGTTGTACTGCTTGATGATGTCTGCCAACTTCTTCGCTTCCTGAGCATAGTCGATCGTTCGTGCGTATTGGACCTGGTATCGGACTCTGATCGAACGAGTTAGCCACAGACTATGGGAGTGCCAAGGGAAAGAGAACGATACCTCTGCTGATCCTGGAAGGTATCCATCTTGGCCTTGCAACGGAAGATGAAAGACTTGCAGTTTGCGTCTGCAAAGGCGTCGCTAACACGCTTGTCATCTCCTTCTTCCTTCATCGCCATGAGGTCATTAGCTGGCATGCCCAGAACCTGTTGGCCAACTTCATCGAAACAGCTCAACCAGATCTGGCCAGTGTGATCGCTGACATTCACCGACATGATGTATCTGTACTTCGGCGCAGGCCAGCTCTTGTCGCACTTCTCACAGCGCCAATTGCCTTCTTCAACCTCTATGACCTTCTTGTTGCAAGGCTGTGGGTCTGTAGTCTGACAAGCTGGATATGCGAAGCTGTCTTGCTTGATGTAGATGATGGTAGCTTTGATGCTGAACCAGTCAGTATCATCAGTCATACCCAGGTTCTCATCGCGAACTTGTGCGATGGTCTTTGTGTCGTTCTTGGCACCACCAGTGGCACCCACTGTAGACATGGTGTTGGCGTGAGAGGCAAAGGTCTCATTGTGGCCACTGGCGCTGTACCATCCCTTCAACTTGAAGGCTTCGTCGATGTCTGGATTGACATTCATGCTGCCACTGGACAGGAGCGACAGCGATCTGCCTCCAAAGTCGCTCACCTTGACGCCTTTGAATGCGACGACGGACTCTGGTTGTGCTTCGAATGATTCTGCAGTCTTGCCCCAGATGGTGAGTCGAACGTTGTAGCCAGTGTCGTCGACCAGTGTCAGCTCGCGCTTGCTGTAAGGCTTCGATGTGGTCTTAGACACTATCTCGTTGACCTCGCCAACTTCTGACAAGACACCAATCACATCGATTGTGGAGTCTTTCTCAACGCTTTGGAGTGCCTCGATGGTGGTAAAGTTATAACGCACTTGCGGCACTCCGTCGTCTCCCTCGGCCTTCTCAACGAGCGTGTCGCGCTCAAATGCCAGCTCGTAGTCATTGGGGAGATTCGAGAACTGCTTCTTTGCCAGCTGCACTCGGCAAGGGCTAGAGATGTAGTAGACATTGCCTTCTTGCAACACGTCGTGCCATTGGTCCACTGCATCGTTGAACATCGTAGCTCGAATCTCGCCAGACTCATCCAAGAAATTGGCACTGAAAAGCTTGCCTTCTCCATTCTTATTGTGCCACGTCTTGATATCTCCCTTGTGCGTGACACGTGCCTTGATCGTCCACTTGTGCGTGTATGGCGAAATCGCTTCGATGGGTGTGATGTTGCCGTGAGGACCGTTGTTCGAGGCGCCATTGGTTCGTGAAGGCAATGAGCGCTGCTGCTGTTGCTGCTGTGGTTGCTGTTGAGGCTTCTGCTGGCCGTAGAAGTTGTTGCCCGCAATGTTTCCAGGCTGTGGCTTGACGTCCTCTTGCTGCGCCTTGGGCTCAATCGCCACAGGTTGTCCCAGCTTGTCGGGCTCACCATACTCTTCCAATACATCAAGATCAATAATGATCAAGATGTGCTTATCCTTGACAAAGTTCGCCTGGAACTGCTTCAGTCTGCAGACCATTCCCTTCTTGAGTGTGCCTTCGGTGATGAGGTGGTTGGACTGCATAGACATCATGCCCTGGATGAAGTTGATCGTGTCGTTGAACACAACTCTCCATCTGTCCTGCCCACCGGCGCCTTGCGCCATGGGTTTGATCTGAACGCACTGCAGGACAGGGTTCTCGACAATTTCGCCGTCGGTGATGCGTTTGAGCGCGCCATGCGAGATGGCCGTGAAAACGTCGCCCATGTTGTCGATTGCTGTTATGTGAGCGTGCAAGGGAGGTGGTGACAGCGTGCAAGAAAGATGCAGTCGAGATGGCAAACACGGCGGAGTCAGTAAGTCGCGTAAACGCGTGAACGCGTCCGCTGCCTAAAGAGCGCCAAGACATGGCCCCGCCATTTGTGCAACGAGCTTGATCAAATCGGCCATCAATGTTTGACGTCCAGTTGATACTCAGCAGCAAAGCGTGTCGTCCTGTTCAAAGCACACGACGATATGCAGTGTCGTTCCTTTTCCTCGCAGGAAGGACTGTGGACTACAGTAACGATAGGGATGTTAGTGGCAGCTCGGAATATGTAGTATATACAGTATATATACCGTATATACGCTCCATCTCGGAGGTCGCCCTTGTATATATACGATATGTACGCAATTAACGCAGCGGCAGCAAGCTGCTATCGACGAGGACACGACGAAACGAGCTCGAGAGTGCCTTGTCGCGTTATATTTCAAGCTTGTCTCAGGATTTCTACGCTATCTTCTGCCCTTCTACGGTATCTTGCTTTGCGTAGAGCGTAGTTAGACGATAGACGATATGCGGTCTTCTCGGCGCTTACTAAGGGAGGTATATACATTGGTATATAAAATTCAGTATACTGTATATACCGCCCGAATCTTAAATATACGGTTACGGTATACCCACATCCCTAAGTAACGAGCTCAATTGATCACGCTGTTCGTCTCCCTGGCATGTGTCCGAACTGGCAAGCACCAGCCTCTAGACTCAGCAGCTAGCCAGGGAGCCCTGCTCCATCACCCATGAGCTCCCACGACCTCACGACAGTCTTAAATACCATTGTAACAATCTTGGTAAAGGAGTCTCATACAACACACACACTCCGCGCAGATGGAACTTCCGAAGAAAGAAGCAACTGAATGCCATGGTCTCATTCCATTCGTCATTCTATCTTCCCAGTATCTCTAAGCCACAGCTACAACTGGTAGCATTGCCGAGCCTCATACCATCCCTCTGTAGAACTGTTTTCCGGTAATGCATTACGCACTTAAGAAGAAGAGCGCCCTATCACAATCATTAGCAGGTCGTCACACAACCAAAGCACAAGGACAAATACTCACACTGCTGCACCTCCTGCTCACTCAAATGCCTCAACTTATTAACACTCGGCGTCTCCCCCGTAACAGCACCCTTCACAACCTCAATCGTGCTCGTCACAAAATTCTTCGCACTCGTCGCATAAGTCACCGTACTCGTCTTAATCTTAATCAACCCGATTCTCGGATCTTCCGGTCCACCATCATGTTTTCCATCACCGAGGTCTCCGAGCCAAGCCTTGAGGGCGGGGGAGTAGTACTCTCGGACTTTGGCGCGGTCGGTTTCGACGGTTGCGGGGCCGGAGAAGGAGGCCCATTCGCCCGAGTTGTTGAGGAATCCGACGTTGATTTGAGCGTTGGCGTCGAGGTCGTCGGTTTTGCCGGATTCGGTGTTGGTGTGGAAGATGAGGTCGATGCCGTTGCCTTCCTGTTTGTGTGGGTCAGTTTCTGCTGTTCGTGGTGCAGCGAATTGGACGAGAGAAACTGAACGCACCTTAGCAGCGAGAGCCATAGCCCTGCTCACGAGGAGTCCCTCGGTGTTCTTGGTAGTGAGCAAGCAGAACTTGTTCTTATCAATGAACGTCTTCAAATCCTCCACCTTCTCTTGCAGCGAAGGCTCCTGCTGGTTCTTGGAAGTGTATGGATCGGCATCCTGGGAGCCCGTGTTGGTGTTGCTGAACGACATGATGGGAGGTATTTGGTGGAAGTGTTTCTGATGAGTTCTAGGAAGGTGCGTCGTTAGTCCAAAAGACTGTTTCGAGCGAAGAACAACTGAAGGTCGCAGTGGCAGTGAGGAAGTCGTCCGAATGGTTCTGACAACCCGAAGCGACATGTTTCTGCCGAAGTGCACAGAACTCGTAATGCCGATAGCACTGCTCGCCGTCGACGTTTTCTGAAGACGAAAGAAGAGAACGACTTACCAAAGTTCTTCGTCGCAAGTGTTGAAAAGCAGTATCAAGTTGTCATCGAAGTGCGAGATGGATTGTTTATGGTCGATGGCGCATTGGTGATGTCAGTGGGGCACGCAAGCACGAAGCACTGGAAATGCCCCTCTCGTCCGCCTCGCGCTCCAGGAATTGCGTCTTTCTCGGCAAACTGCACGTGACCACGCCGTACCCAGCTCTCTGTCTTCCACATCGCAGCTGATCGTAGCTCTAGCGGCTCCTTTGAGCCGCAATACGTCCATCAGCCGCAATCTGGCGATCGTAGAAAGTATATCTGAGTTTCCTCACGTCACGCCATAAAATGAAATACGTACGCCATGGAGAACACCTCTTTGTGGACTTGTGATACATGTTGATTCTACAGTCATACATCTACAACTGCATTCTGTAGAGGTACTGCTTAATCGATCTTGAGTGACGCGTAGATGCGATGCACAAACACCCAGCATGCAAAGAAGCCGATGGAGCCTGCAGAAAGGTGAAAGTCAGCATAAGCGTCACAGTCAAAGTCGTAAAAACATCCAAGAACTTACCACTCAGCAAAAACCACAGAAAGCTCAGCACAAACGAGTAGCCCAGATACAGCAGACTCCCCGTAAAACTGCTGAAGCTCAACATTCTCGCCCAATACAGCAAGCTGTACGCAAAGACGTATCCCGCGCTAGCTCCACTGCTAGCAAAAGCCCTCCATTGCCAGTGATAGTTTTCCGCACAGAGCAAGAAATATATCATGAGGATTGTGACAGCGGAAGATGTCACAATCAGTAATCCGAAGCTCAGGAAAAGGAATCCGAACATGTAGTAGACCCGATTGCTCCAGAGCGAGTTCATGATGAAGTACAATTCGACGAAGATGGCGCCGAAAGGAAGTACTCCGACCAGGAACATGCTCGGCACCAGTCTCATGTATCCTTTGCTGGGTGGGATTTGTCGCGGGATCTGGTTCGTGCGGACAGGTGCGTCGGCCATAGGTTGACGGAATCCGAACCACGAGCCCACTACCGACAGTGGGACAGAGATCACAAACCAGATGCCGACAATAACGAGCATGGTTGTGAATGGCACCGCTCCAGAGGATTGCCTTGCCCAGACGAAGAGGTTGAGCAGGAAGAAGATGCCGAACACCACGATCGGAACAGCCGAAGGTATGAGCACGAACAGCTGCTTCCACTTGTCGCCGCCAAAGGACTTGTAGACTCTTGCGCCAGCATAGCCTCCCACGCAGCCAAAGATTGTGTAGAGCAGGATCATCATGGTCGCAAGACTACCGCGGTTGCTCGGCGAGAGGAATCCAACGACCGCGAACACGATCGTAAAGCCAGCCATCATGAACAGCTGCGCTCCATTTCCAACCAGAACAGACAACGCAAGCGCGTGCTTCGGCGGGCGAAACACATCTCCATGGACCAATTTCCAGCCACTATCGTCGTGCATATCCCCATCATCCACACCATTATCGTTCAGATCGTCCAGATTGATCTGATCCAGTCTGTTGTACCGCTGAATATCCTTCTTCAACGTCCTGGCGAGAATAGTGCTGACCATGCCAGTCAAAAAGAAGACAATAACCGCACTATTGATCAACGAAAACCAATGGATCTTCGGATCAAAAACATGCAAATACTTGTCCCATCGCGTCGCAAACGAAGTCGTCGAAGCCCTCCAATGCACGCTGTACGTCCAGGTAACCTTCGTCTTCGCGCCTTCCTTATCCGAAAGCACAACCGCTCCTTTACTCGGATCGCAATCTGCTTTCATATCCTCTCCCTTGCCAATCCTCCTCGATCCCTTCCGCGAAGAAGGTTCAACTAGAATCCCCACAACTCTGTATTCGTTCTTTCTTACAGCATGATAATCGATATAGATATCATAATGATTATTCAACTGCGGTTTCCCTTCTACCACATCTCCCAGCACAAAACCCGGCTGATAGAATTCCGAATCCGTATTGGGATCTCGGTATGCTTGCGCAGCCGGTAAGCCGTCGATCAGCCAGTTCACGATATAATCTTGCTGAATTCTGCGATTCACGAATTTGGCATCTTGGTGGTCGAATTCGACTTCGTCGCAGACGGCTTGACACGTCTCTTCTACTTCCATGCGCAGTTTGAAAGGCGAAGTGAGGATCCTGTCGCCAAAGAGGATGCTTCCCAGCGATTCGGAGATATGTTGTGGTCCATCTTTTGGCTGGCAGAAGTGGAAGTTGGGGTGGTAGTAGTCGTAGGAGAAGGCCGATTTGACGGAGTTGTCGCGTTGCGATTGGGAGGGCGAGAGGTGGTTTACGGTGAGTGGGACTTGGTCGCCATGTTTGTAGTTGGTCGGTGTTATGCCTGTAGTTGTGGTTGGTGAGCTCGTGGTTCCCAATACGGCGCAAAGCGACCACGTTTACCTGGTAAATAGAAGGCGTGAGCTATGGGTGCTGACAGCAGGACCAGCAGCGTCGCTGGCAGCTCATCGAGCCGCATTGTGCATTCGTTCTGAAGGCCCCGTCGTCCGCGCTCTCGAATGCCGTGACGATCTGCGGGAGGAGAGCGTTTGTTGGTGCAATGTCCACCGTCTCCGAAGTTGCGGGGCCTGCTGTCGTAATCCTTGGCGCTAGCTCCAGAGAGAAGGGGTCGTGCGGTCGCGTCGTTGCCGCTCTGGTGTGGCACCGCCCTCCTTTGTCCTTCTGTTCAAGACAGGCTGAGGAGGCGACAGATCGAAACAACAGAGCTGGTCAAAAGATGAGGTGTCAAGTTGGAGAGCAACTTCATGCCAGGCACCAAGATCCCAGCCTCCCAAGTGCTCCGCGGGAAAGCTGCACTGCCCAGCTCAGCCTGCAGCAACAGCTGTAGAGAAGGATCGCCGCAAGGAAGCCCTCACTCTTGTCCACACGTCGTACAGACCTACGTGGCCTCGTACGGATACGGCATTAGTTCAACTGTCACCAAAATAATGCTACGCACGATCGAATCCAAACGAGAAGCAAGCGAAAGACACCATTTTATGTGCTGAATCTCGTATCTCATTTCAAGCAAAGCTCATCTCGTAGCTTCGTATCGTATCTGTTTTGATCTATGTACCCGCAATTTCCTCCCAGCGCCATGCCGATGCCAACGATTTTTGATCCAAGCTCTGGTGCACAATTCCCAAGAGCTGCTATGCCAATTCCACCAAACCGCAAACTTTCGTCCCCAAAGAGAAAAGTAGAATAAACAAGAATCAGAGTAGTCCCCTTGGTACTGTTCGTCACTCCATGTCAAAACGAAAAGGGTGTCTTTAGCTATAAGCCTATGCACAGATGATTTCAGCATTCACCGCACTTTAACCAGTGTAGCTCATGTAAGTCTTGCCGTATGTGGAAGGCTCAGTTCCAGTGACGAGCTGACCTGAAGCTGTCATGAAGTAAGCATAGCCAGCGACATCGCTGTTGCTGTCCATCCATGGCATGACCTCCTGAAGGAACTGGCTGATCTCCTCATCGGAGCCAGTAGCACCAAATTCGGAAACATAGATTGGCTTGCCAGGAGCAAGAGCGGCAGCATCTTGAATGTGCTTCTTGAAGTACTCGACGTTGGAAGCGCTGTCATACCAGTGAATGTTGAGGCAGTCGATCTGGCAGTCGGTGCATTGAGACAAGAAGTCCTTGAGCCAGGTGAGACCCATTTGACCACCACCGTTGGTGACAGATGGAGCGCAGAGCTGAGCCTTGCCCTTGAATGGGTTCATGTACTGCTTGTAAGCAGCAGCAGCGGTGCCGCAGGCCATGTTGGCTTGTGCGTCGTGATCAGGCTCGTTGAAGGAGAAAAGGTGGGACGAGCCAGAGTCGATGGCAGCCTGGGCATTCTTGCTCCACTTGCTGGTGAACTCAGTTCCATCGCCCCAGAGAGTTGGAACGAACATGAAGTCGCTGCTCAAGCCGTCCGAAGAAGAGCCCCAGTTGTATGCCCAAGTAATCTCGCGGGAGCCCTCAAAGCACTTGGTGAGGCTGGCATCGTTGTAAGCAAGACCACGCTTGCCGGAGCCGGAGCCGGAGCCAGAGCTGCCGGTGCTTGATGGTGAAGATGCGGACGAAGCGGCGCTGGACTTTGGGGCAACCTGCTTAACATCACCGTAAGCAGAGAGCGCAGGAGCCGCTGATGTGGTCGCTGGCGATGCCTCGCTGGAAGACGATGCTGGGGCAGAGTAAGCTGGAGGAGCAGATGGAGCACTCGACTGCGCTGGCGAGGCCTCGCTGGACGAGGAGGCGACAGGATAGACTGGAGCAGATGGCGCACTCGACTGCGCTGGCGATGCTTCGTTGGTAGAGGGTGCTGGGGCCGAGTAGGCCGGAGGAGCAGATGGAGCGCTCGACTGGGCCGGCGAAGCCTCAGAGCTAGATGATGGAGCAGAATAAGCCGGTGGTGCAGCAGCCGAGCTGGTCTCGGCAGGAGAGGCATTGGTGCTCGACGGGGCGGTCTGGCCCTCGGTCAAGGTCATGGTGACCTTTTCGGTGTGGGTGACTGTCACAGGCTTGCACTGCTCGTCGTCCTCTCCGCCAGCACCGCCAGATGGAGAACCACCGGAGCCAGAGCCAGAGCCGTAGCCAGCTGGAGAGACCTCATTGCCAGATGGAGCTGGAGCGCTCGATGGAGCTTGCTGGTTTTCGACAGTCACGGTCTTGTAGTGAGTCGACCAGAGCGTGCTGTAGTCGGTGTTGGGCTGAGGTTCGGCCGCAGAAGAGGAGCCATATCCAGCTGGGGCGCTTGGCTTGGAGATGCCGGTCGATCCCCAGACGCCCGTGCCGTTAGCAATGGGGTAAGGGTAAGGAGAGCCGGTGCCAGTTGGGTGCGCGGCACCAGCGCCAGTACCGTAAGCAGGAGGAGCATAGGCCGGAGGCTGCTGGCGAGCAGCGTGACGGTGGCCGTGACCGCCTGCGTGGAACGAGGCGACAGTGCTCGAGGCCAAAGCCAAGGTGAAGAACTTGATGGCCGACATGGTGAATCGAGTTCGGGATCTCGTGATCGATGAAGTGACTTGTTATGGACTTTGTCGTGTTTCGTGAAGCTGCTACCAGAGCGCTTTTGCTGAAGCCGTCAAATGATCGTGGTGTTCCGAAGAACTAAAGAGCGTGTGGATGAGCGTCGAGCTCGAAGAGAGAGTGTGACAGCAAAAGGTCGAGCGGCGCCTGTTGTCAGAAGGGACTGTCGATGTGAGAGCGGGGGCGAAAGATCAACTTTCGAAGCAGATGAAGGGAGAAAAAGAGAGTGGGTAGGGAAGATGTGGTCAACAACAATTGAGGACGCAATGGCGAAAGAAAAGTAGTCGTCGTGTGCAAACGCAAGCACATGCAAAACAGGGATGGCCATTCAAGCGAGGCAGATCTCTTCCCGTGTTTGGCCACACGCCGTTGATGGTGCTGCAGGTACGGCGTCTGCGCGGTGGACCTCTGCTCCAAACGCGCTGTTTCATGTGCTGCGGCCGAGTGGTCGTGTCCACGCAAGCAAGCAAAACGAAGCGCTACTGTACCCGAGATCGCAGGGGCGCCGATGTGAAGTCGCTGGCGCACCGGCAAGCCGTCGAACCAAAGAACTGGTCTAGAGCTGCTACAGCACACGACACTCACGAGTTTGTGTGCGGCTGAAGGTGCCGACCTGGTCCACTTACGAGGTGTAGCTTCTGCTTCTTCCTCCTTCTCCTGGCACGCCTATCGGGTCCCATCTGTGCCTGGACGCAAACGATCTGATGCGCAGCGCGGAAAGCCTCCAGCCATTCTCGATGCCGGCGTAGGAATAGCTCGTGTGTATGCGTGCGTGGCTCTGCACGACCGATCTCCCAAGGCCCGGCCCACGAACAAGCCTTTCCCTCCGTCTTCTGATCGCCAGGCGAGGGAGGAGAAGAACGAGAAGGCTGAGACAGCCCGACACGCCGGTGGCACCGCGTCTTCTCTCCTGTCGTGGGCGCGCGGTAGCAAGTGTTCGAAAGGTGGAGTCGTCGACGACAGCAGACACACAGGGCACGCCGTGTCATTGGCTCCCCTGGCACACGTTTGCTACCGCGCAGACCCACCACCATGGTTTCATCCGAGAAAGTCTCGACGCCAGAAGAACTTTCCCTTTCCGGAAATGCTCCTCACGCTTGGTGCCCGAGAAGGAGGACGTCACCTTCTCCCTCGCCTCGCCTCTCCCACCCGGCTGCAGTCCGGCACCTCGTATTGCTCAAAGTCCGCTGACAAGTCGCCCACCTGCCTGAAAGGCTATTAGACCATACATTACATGATTCACCCGTGAGCGCGACAGAAGAACCGGCGGTTACAGCCACCACTGTCTTCCAGAACAACCTCATCCCTTTCCTCAGCCGCGAAACAGGGACGCAACCCCCAAAATGCTCTATCGTTTCAAATCCTGCAAGATACATCACACAACGTCGCGGTAACATCGAGAAACGACGAAAATCGAATCGGATGCTGCGCCTTGCTACCCACTTTTTCTCCTTCCTTTTCTTTTCTTTTCCACGTGCGAACCAAGACTTTGAACAATGCTTGTGTCCTCATTCCTCCACCTAAGGCTGCCGCACGTTGGTCCATGCAGTCGCATGATTGACAAACCGTATGCGGAGGATCGCCGGCCGGGAGCAATCGCTACATATCAGCACTGCACGATCAGATCGTCATTGATGCTTGAGAGAAGCACGATAGAGTGCTTTTCATGCAGATATCAGTATCGCGAGCGCGATATATTGCATGCATAATAACTTTGCGTATACGAGCGACACATGTCAGTCAGTATTTTGAGACTATGACGCACTCTCGATTCGATTGACAGCTTGACAGGGTAACACTTCGTGAGAATGGAGTCCTGTACGCAGTGGGTATCTAGCTATCCGCTCAAAGTGCAAACAGCGTGCGCTGTCCATTTCTCATCTCATATCCTTTTCAGCTCACCCATGCAGCTCCATCACGGCCACTACTACCGTGTCGTAGAAGGTAGCCTCAAATACATGCAGGAAAAACGCTCCCATGCGCCGCGCTGTGGTAGTGCTGTTGTGCCTTGCCTTCACGTCTCCCATACGCTTCATCCAGTTTTACGCCGACCCAGATGCGAACGCTTCTCCAAATGCCGTGATCATGCCGTGCCTCAGTTTTCCCCGCTGCGCAACCAAAACGCCATAAGCTATGCCATGCCATGCATGCAACGAAGTAGAACAAATGCCACGCTCAAGCCATGTACTTGTACGATGGTACAGGTGCATCTTCAAGGCGCTCCAGGTAGTCGCGCTCGATCAGGCTCTCGATGCGTTTCTTAATCATGTTGACGTCCGGCTTGAACTGTGCCGAGCAGACAGTCAAGACTTCTGTGAGGAGATTCGAGTGGGCCAGTTCCTTCCGCTGCTTCATGATACGAACCACAGCAGCTTCAATGACATAGCCGCGGCTGTCGTTGTTCTTCTTCTCGGTCTCCTTACGCTCCTTGTCGCCTTCGACCTTGTTTCCAGCAGATACCACGCCAACCTTGATCTTGATGGCCGTGGGCTTGTACTGCTCGTTGAAGCTGAATCTGTCGCCAGCGTTGACCTCTCTGCCCATGGGCTCCTTAGTCAGCATGCGAGTCTTGGGTGCCACGGCCAGCGACTGCAGGTTGCGCTTGAGTGCGTTCATGGGAATGTTGGTCTTGCTCTGAATCTCCTCCAGAGTGAGCGAGGCGTCACCCATGTCGTTGAACAAGAGCAGGATGAGTGCAGCGTAAGTCGAGCAGTTGACCTCGTGAATCTTGGGCGCTGTGCGTGGAAAGCGTGCGCGAACATCGACGTCGCCCATACTCGTCTGCCAAGTGAGCTTGCGTCCAGAATGCTTCTCCGAATAGAATGCCTCGAAGCCACGTCGTACTCTGTCCAACGCCGGAGGGTAGATGATTTGCATCTTGTTTTCCGGATCGTCCTCTGAAGAGCTCTTGAAAGCTTCCAGTGGCCATGTCATGGCAGTCAGCACATTGACGGTTAGGTCGACACGCTCTCGATCGCTGCCGTAGCTCGCCGCCTTCAAGCGGTAGCTTTCTGTCAGATCCTTGCTGATACGCATGTCCTTGAACATAGCCTCGAGCTTCATAGTGAAGCTGTTGCCCAGTTCCAATTTCATCCGACTGATCATGCTGGTCTCCACATCCGGGTCGTGGCTCTTCTTGAGCAATAATCGCTTGCAAAGGTGCTTCTTGTAGTAGGTCTCGAAGATGTCCTTGTCCTGGAGGTACCGCAGCAACACGATGGCCTTCTCCAGGATGCGATCCACTTCTTCCTCAGACTTGTCCTTGATGCCCTTCTTCATGTTGTCGTCGATGAAGAGTGAGATGTACTCGCTTGCACGAGCGAAAGCATTGATGTTATCACTCATACTACGAGTGAGCGCCGTCGAAATGCTCTGATCGCTGCCGAACGAGACTCTCCAGATCTTGTCGAAGCGGTCCTTGAGGTCCAGAATCTCTTCCACCCACTTCAGTGCTGCAACCGTCTGCTGGTTGATTTGCTTGACGTTGCTGCCTTTTGACTTGTCTCCTTCGCCCTCTTCTGTGGTGGGCACTGGTGCGGGTGCGGCTGAAGCGGCTGCGAGAGCATCTTCGTTGATCTTTGCACCCATCTCTGCAACAATCATTTGCACAGCCTTCGTGAGCTCCGGCTTCTTCGGGTCCACGCGCGCTTCCAAGTCGTATACCAGATGAAGCTCATTAAACTTGTCGTTGTCGACCATGTAGCGTACTCCAGAGTCCATTTCGATCAGCCCCTTCATCTTGTGTCGAATCAGCTCATCCTCGACCACTTTTTGGATCTTCGGCGCTGTGGACTCTGAAAGTGTGGATCTGCAGCGATCGCTCTCTTCGTCAATGCGCCGCTTCGCATGCTTGCAGTATGTTCCGGCATCCGATTCCTTCAACAGACGCTCGCCTTCTTCGCGGTAGAAACGTGCACTCCTGTCTAGGAAGTCTGCCTCAAATGACTGGATGTACAGCTTTCCGTCCTCAGTCTCCTGCTCCGTCTCATACAATCCCTCTAGCATGTAGATGTTGGACTTTATCAAATGCGAGTCTATACGCTCTCCCTCTCGATCCATCGATATCTGGTCGAGGATGAGGTTTGTGAGGTACTGTAGGAGATCGTCGGCGCCAGAACGGATAGGAGTGCGCAGAATCTGGTCTCGGAAAATGGACATTGATTTGGCGTAGATCGAAGGGCGGCGGTGGTCGGTACAGTATACGCGGTCCTTTGTCTTCACATCAGTCAAACCGGCGACTTACTGAACAAGTAGAAATTCGACTCACCATGTACATGAGCACATCCGTCAGCATTCCCATGCAGACCTGGTGATCCTCCCATGATGACTTGAGTGCAGACAAGAAGCGCTCTCCTGCCACTCGACGCTCCGCCGTGGTTGCCAGAGACCGGCCGAGGTCATCTGTGAGCTGGAGGGGAGCTGTAAGCAAGTTGACGATTTTTGGTCGCACCGCATCGCTCAGCCAATTCTCCTCAAACTGCGCGACCTTGTTGTACAGCTCATCTCCCTTCTTCTTAAGCACAATTTTGTAGGCATTTCTGTACAGTTCCTCAAAAGACAAGGCAGAGGCGTTCTTCTCGTGGATTTCGGTGAATGCGCGCTCGAGCGTCTTCCAGGTCGTTTCGAAGTCGACGTCGGTGCCGTGTAGCGTCTGTGAGTGATACGAAGCCATATTAGCAATGACTTCTTCCAGTTGTTCGGAAGCACATATAAATGAAGCGAGGGAAGTTTGGGTGGTGGGGTCGCCGGCGACGACGTCGCAACTGAGGGCGGCGGAGCTGTTGTTTGCTAATGGCGGGACTCACTCTTCGCGGCGGACGTATCTTGGCCCGGCCTCTGCCTGCAAGCGAGGCCATGACGGGCGCTGCACTTCAGCGGCGGTCGGTGTCCAGCAATTCTTTATTCACTCAGCTGCCGGGAGATGGCGGGGGAGCAGTCGGCGGGCCGGACAAGAAGCTCTAGGTCGCGGCAGTGTTAGCAGCAGCGGACGACGGTGCGGCGAGGATGAGGCAGTGGTGAAAGGGTGTAAGGCGGGCGTGGAGGGCAGAAAGGCGGCAATGTGTAAGTTTCATAGCAGAGCGAGCGATTGCATATGTTCACGAGCTGCTGCATTCGGCTGCACATTCCAGTGGCGCACATGCAGGGTTCAGCCGTTAAGCTCGCCGACTTCTGCTTTTGGCCCTGTTTACAGACCTCTACTCACTCGCACAACGTACCAGATAGGTCGATGTCAGGAAACACAGTACATCGAGATGTAGAGCTCCAAGTTCAAATATCGAATGGTCAAGATCTGTCCTTGTTGCGATCGATATACCATGTCTTGGCCTGTTCAGCCCTATGAACGCATGCTTACCTGATTCACCCGCTAGCGCGGTTCTACATTCATCCTGGAGTTGTGCCATCGCGACATCTTGTTCTGCATCAAAATATACTGCAACACAACCATGAATACAACAAGAAGCCTACGTGCCTTCCAGCGCACATTCGAACACGCCTTCCACACTCACCACGCTCCCTTCCGGATACCCCAACGCTCCATCCGGGCCTTCTCCGTCCCAGCCGTGCGCAAACACACCCCAGCATCTCAAGTGCAACGACAACAACAAATCCGGTCACAGTCATCCGACACCACCCCAGAATCAGAAGAAAGCCTCTCGACCCACCCCGCCAAACCCCTCACCGACCGCACCGAAAGCTCCCTCTCCGATAAAGAAACCATCGCAGCCCGCAAAGCCCTCTCCCCGGCCTACCAACTCCACTTCACCTGCAAAAAATGCCTCCACCGCAGCGCCCACACCGTTTCCAAACAAGCCTACCACTTCGGCACCTGCGTAATAAATTGCCCCCAATGTAATGTCCAACATCTCATTTCCGACCATTTGAAGATCTTCTCCGATACGAAGATGACGATGGAGGATATTGCGAAGCAATACGGAGAGAAATTGAAGAAGGGAAAATTGGGTGTGAACGGGGATGTAGAATTTTATGATGAGGTGGCGGAGCAGGCGATTGCGGAGGATGAGGCTGCGAAGAAGGCGAAGGTTGAGAAGACGGAGAGGATTAGGGAGACTTTGGATCAGGCGGACGGGAATTTGAAGAAGGAGGATTGGGAGAAATTGAGGAAGGAGTTGCGGTCGTAAAGATTGGGGGCTGACAAATTACAAAAGGACTCTGCGCTGAACCGCGAGAATGAGGAACGATAGGCAGGCATTCAGTGCATGTAGGCCGGAGAGCCAACTCCTTCTGCAGAGCGCTGCATCATTGTTCTGATGCGGAGCTCTCAAAGCAGCAGCTCGCAGTGAGGGCTAACACCCGTGCCAAGTCGCTTTTATCTGACATCGAGTGCTGGCATTCGAAGAGAATGGTCGTCAAATGGACTGGCGCCGAAATGGTCATGACAAGCGCCATACACGCTGAGAGTCGCCGAACTGCGCGACTGACTTTTGCCAAATGCATCTATCACCACATCACTCTGCATATGTAGCGAACCTGTACAAGAATAGGCTACTCGCCTCAAATAAGAATCCTAGCCAGCAAGGATCCGCGCTGTAGCCTTTTCCTCTCCCTCATACCCATCTACTTGATCCTCATAGCCTCCAGGAAACCCTCTTTCCTCTCCTCTTCCAGGTCCGCGACCACATCTTTCATCGCCTCCACTTCAATCACCCCTCGCCCATGCTTAAATTTCCAGGGCTCATCGCTCTCCATCCTCGGCTGGAAGGCTTGCCAATTCTGCGCTTTCAGCTCATTGACATGCTCCTGCACGTCTTTCGCCGGGCCAGAATAGATCAATACACCAGGGTATCCAGGTTTAGTGATTCCACAGACGGTGTCTGCCGGGTGGAGAGCTAGTTTGCGCTTGTTTGTATTGAGGAGATGGTGGAGCCAGATGATAACTGTCGAGGATGCTGGTGGTGCGTGCCTAGAAGGCTGAGGGGTAGATGCTGCTGAGTTCTGGTCGTCTGCTTCATTGACGTGGCTTGTTTCGCATATCTCGATGAAGTCGTTGATAATGGCGTCCAGCACTTCTTCGCCAATCTCGCTTTCGTTGACGCGTTGCTTGATTTGATCTCGGATGTCTCTTTTTCCAATGCTGGCGGAGACGACTTCTGGACGGGCGTCCTCTAGGTACCCGTCGCTCAGGCGAAGCTTTAAGCTCCCTGTGTCAGAGGTGTATGTGAGCTCGCGACCCTTTTCCGTGTATTTGACCTGCTCTGGATACATAGACTCCAGGAGCTCGAGCTCAGTGGCCAGACGTTCTGCTGAAGACATGCTCCCATCGGCCGAAGCAGATCAGTGTGTGCTGATGCTATTTCACGCCCTCGTCAATCACCGGCTAGAGGCGAGCAATACACCGACGAGGTTTCCAAATTGGAATTCAATGGCTACGTCATCGTTGCGAAGCCTGATCATCTGGGCCGCTGCAGAATAACTTGTCTTCTCTCATCAGCTTCTCGAACAATGTCCGCGCATAACCCAATGCTTGGCGCTAGGTGTGCAACATTCTGGGTCTCTGCCAGTACATCTGCGATCAGAGTATCAAGCTGCTGTTTTGGCGGCAGCATGGCACTCAGATTTCGGGAAAGTGTGGCGCCCATCAACAAGAGGATCTGGCTGGTGATGGAAAGTGCCCCCTGAAAGAGATAGGGTAGGTGCCCCTCGTGATGCACATTGATGCGATCGAGTTGCCGCACACAAGCATCCAAGCATTTCTCGCAAGCTGTTCGAACTCCAGGCTCATGAATCAAGTTCTCGTCGCCAAGCACTGCCTGTATGTAAGGACGGAAGATGATCGTGCGGCATGCGAAGTATCGAAGCCGGAGGACAGTCTGTACATGACCTTGAGCCGGCACTCGTTCGCGTGGAAAACGAATGGGGACTGGCAGTCCTTCGTACCACTGATTGAGCTGAAATTCGAGCTCGGCCACCACCGGCTCAAGAGAAGCGATAGAATTTCGCTTCTGGCTGTAGATCACATGCGACACACGGTTCAAAAGGCGGCGCAATGCGATCTCTGCCAGGAAATACCAGATGTCATCCTCCCCTGGGCTTTCGTCGCGAGCTGCGGCTGCTGCATCGAAGGGGAAGCTGCGAGGCAATCGCATACTCTCTTCAAGCTGCACGATTCCCGTGTGCGGTAGATCTAGCTCTGCGAGCAGATCCGATTCGATCATAAGAATGTTCCAGTAGATGCGCTCACTAAGCTCTTTGTCCTGCGCTGGTATCGCGCTTGGGTTTTGAAGCAGTAGCTGTAATTTTGCAGAAGCGGCGCAGAGTATATTCCAGGCTTCTAGAGGGCGAACGAGATACATGAGATATGCGGCAGCCAAAAGGTGGCATTGCGCGCTCGCCACGTCGTTCCGAATCATGACTGCAGGCATGAGAAGCCATGCTGCATTGAAGTAGGCCATTCCGGGCGGCGATTGATCTTGCGGCACACGGGAAATGCTATGGCCAGAATGCGCAGCCTGACCAAGAGCAAGGACAAGTAGAACGATGCAAGTCTCGACTCCAGAACGGAAGCCGACGGCAGATGCTTGGCGACAGATTCCAGCAAATGTATAGGGATTGACCACCGCATACCAAACATTGACTTTGTCGAAGAACGAGCGAACATATGCAGATGGCTTCCCTGCCAGGTCCAGATCGAGGCTATAAGGTGGCTGTAGGTCCAACGCAGGTCGCACCACTTCCAGTTGCAGCAAGACCTGTTGGTCACAACTTCTTGACACGAGATCACGAATCATCGGCCATTGCAGCAGGTGTAGCGCTGGCGTCGTATGAGCTTTGGGCATTGTAGATATGTTCGTAGCGAGCGATATGCCACCGCCGCCGAGCGGTGCTAGGCCAACGCCCGCTGCAAAAGTGTGTGCACGCTTTGAATGCAAATCTTCAGATGCAGTGTTGCTCGTCGCAGGCGATATAGGACCGACATGCGCTCCTGGCGAGCTCACAGAGCCGAGCAAGTTTGAATGCAGCAGGCCTTCAATATGCGCAAGTCGCTCAAGAATGAGCTTGTCGCCGGCGTCCAGCTTGATTCCTGGCTCGCGATAGACACACTCTGCGTTCAACTCGGTGCATAGTTTACACTTCGGACGATTTCCGTCGCATTTCGACTTTCGCGATCGACAAATTTCGCATGCTATCGTCGCTCTCCGTCGTGGGTAATCAGGCACGTCAGACATAAGCGCTTGGAGAGCAGATTGGGAGTTTTCCATTGATGTTCCAAGTGGCGATGATTGCAGGTTGGCGCTCGTAAAGGATGATCTTGCTCGCTTCGGTGGAGGTCTGTCATCGTGGTCATCTTCGTGTGAGTTGTCCACCACTCGTCCGCCAAGGGCCGGGTCTAGAATGTTGCTGTTGTTCATTGCGGCTCAGTCTTGGAAATGCTCTCCCTCCCGCCATCGAAGACGTGTACTGTGATCAGAAATCCTAGGCGAGGGGAGTTCTACTTTGCCATCATTATAGCGACCCTGAGAAAGCTGCAATTTTTCCGGAATGGCTAAAGAACGACCTCGTAGCGTGTGGACAGCTGATCTAGACAGCCACAACAGCTAACCGAAGCAGGTCGTAAAGTGATCCTTCGAGAGGAGTTTGTCATTCTGGGTGTGCCTAGACGAACGTGAAGTACCTGAGCTCGGATGCGCTTGCCTCGGGAGCGAATCTATCCGTGCCAAGACTTGCCTGCAGGGAAAGTTTGGGGAAAAAAGTCGCCCGAATCTGGTGCTCGCTTGTCGTAGTACTGCACGCTCTTAATCGCAACGCCGCAAGAATGTCGAAACGCACGAGAGAAGAGGCCGACGCCGATGCCGGTGAGATTACGAGCAAGAAACTGAAGAAGGACAAGAAAGAGAAGAAGGAGAAAAAGTCCAAGTCGACAGAGCCAATCGAGGTCGCAAGTGGCAATGGGTTGGACTCTGGCGCTGAGAAGAATGGTCTCTCCAAGGAGGAGCGCAAAGCATTGAAGCGTGCGAAGAAGGAGGCTGCGAAAGCTGCTGAAGCGCAAGAAGCTGCAAACAACGTGGCAGAGGCGAAAGGCGACGATGAGGCTGCTGCAAAGGCCGAAAGGAAAGCGCGAAAGAGGGCTGAGAAGGCTGCGAAGCTGGAGGGCAAGATCTTGGAAACAAATGGCCACAGTCATGCATCCGCAGACGGAAAGATTACAGGTGTGAGCAAAAGCGAGGCTGAGAAGTACTACAAGGAGAAGCAGATTGCCATTGAGGATGCGAAGAAAGACGACATTGGGCCCATACTGTCCTTCGATAGCTTACCTTTCGATGCCGAATCGAAGAAAGCTTTCTTTGGCGATTTTAAGGAGCCTTCTCCCATCCAAGCAGCGACCTGGCCATACCTGTTCAATGGTCGCGATGTTATTGGTGTTGCAGAGACAGGTTCAGGCAAGACGTATGGCTTTGGCGTGCCCTGTGTCAACCGCTTGACGAAAGAGAAGAAAGTTCAGGTGTGCATCGTGAGCCCGACGAGAGAACTGGCGTTGCAGATACAGGAACAAATGGTGAAGCTCACAAAGCCTCGCGGACTCAAGGCGACCTGTGTTTATGGTGGAACAAACAAAGATGAGCAGAGAGCGCAGCTGAAGGGATCCCAAGTCATCGTTGCAACACCAGGCCGACTCAACGACTTCATTGGAGACGGCACGATCGATCTGTCTGAGGCCACCTATCTGGTTCTGGATGAGGCAGACCGCATGCTCGACAAGGGTTTCGAACAGGATATCAGGAATATTATCAGCTCCGCCGCACCCAGCGAAAAGAGACAAACGGTCATGTTCACAGCCACCTGGCCTGATTCAGTACGCAAGCTTGCTTCCGAATTTCTGCGCGAACCTGTACGAATCATGATTGGAGAGAACGCTTCCGGAGAGCTTCGTGCCAACACTCGTATTGTGCAGGAAGTTGAGGTCATCGGAGAGCGCGAAAAGCAGGATCGCATGCTTGCTATTCTCAAACAATACCAGTCTGGCAAAAGCAAGAACGACAGAATCTTGGTGTTCTGCTTGTACAAAAAAGAAGCAACACGCGTCGAGGAGACCATTCGCCGTCGGGGGTTCAGGGTTGCAGGTATCCATGGAGATTTGAACCAGGCCAAGCGCGAAGAGAGTTTGGCAGCTTTCAAGAAGGGCGAAGTTCCTATTTTGGTCGCCACCGATGTTGCTGCCCGTGGTCTTGACATTCCCGCTGTAAAGCTTGTGCTCAACGTCACCTTTCCCTTGACAGTGGAAGATTACGTGCACAGGATCGGAAGGTGAGTGAATTTTTGATCCGACCCGAGGTAGTGGTACTGACCGGTATACAGAACAGGCCGAGCCGGCCAGGATGGCAGAGCCATCACCTTTTTCACGGATGGCCTCGAGAAGCCGTTGTCTGGAGCTTTGATCAACGTCCTGAAAGGTGCCAACCAACCAGTGCCAGAAGATTTGATGAAGTTCGGAACGACAGTGAAGAAGAAGGCGCACGATGCATATGGAGCTTTCTACAAGGACCCAGCGGACATGAAAAAGGCGACCAAGATTACTTTTGACTGATAGAGACTAGAGATAGAATGGTACAGCATTGACGTGCGATACAGATCGGATGATATGAAGTCTGTCCAAGAGATATTTCAATTGGGAGTAGAAGCTGTTCTATGGAAATTTTTCATGGAAACTGCCTCCCCGACACGACCACGTTTTGCTCTGACGCGCTCAACTTCGGATTACTTGCTGCCCCGGCCACGCCCCATGGATAAAGTTCCAGCTATCTCACCCACTCCTAGCCCGCTCAATATTCTATCTAGTACTTGCGGTCCTTGCAAGCCTGGTCGAGCTTCACAATGTCTGCATTCATGGTTAGTTTCCACCTCTCAACTCGGCCGACAGCCGCGTCATCGCTTACCTCCACCTGGGTTGTACCAGCCAGCGCAGTCAACACATGTCTGAATTTCCTGGACGCCAATCTGGTTGCAAGCACAGCTAATCCAGTCTGGCTGGGAGAAGACATCACCTGTGAGGATCGAGTTAGCCATTGAACGATGAACCACGGCATCGATGAAGAATAACATACCCCACTGGGCGGTGCCACCGCAAGAAGCAGCCTTCTGTGTCACGCTCTGGCACTCTTGCACCCATGTGCACTCCTGAGGGATATCGTCTGGGTTGACTTCGCTGGCAGACACGAGGAGGGCGCTGCAGAGAACGGAGAAAGCGATGCTGGTGAACTGCATGTTGGCGATTGCTGATAAAGATGGAGTGAAGGGCTTTTGGGGTTGTTCTGTTGCTGTGATGGAACTGTTGCTTCTGTCTTATTCTGACACGATCGATGTCGATGAACTCACTGTTTATATACTCTCTGATCTTTCTCGCTCTTTCATTAATTCCTCCACCTCTACCAGCATCATGCTTCCGTATTGGGTTTGACGACTGTCTCAAAAGCTTGAATACTAATTTTACAGCAGTGCTCGTCAGAGTTCAGCTTGTCAGGACATGGATACAGGATATACCCTTGGCTTCACGGCTTCCCACGAGCACGAACCAAGCTTTTTGCTGCGGCTCAGCGTGAAGCACACTCCAGATGCCTGTTTGACTTTGAACTTGACCTTTTCCATGACAACATGGCGCGTCCGTCATCCCCATTCGGCGACTATCTGAAACCCTCCACTTGGTGATGTCTGTAAAAATCGTGCTGAGAGCTACCTTCCGGAAAGCCGTAACGACTCATGAGCTGTGAAGTCGGCGAGGCCTGCGACGATCGCCGAGGATGAACCCAAGTTCAAAAAGCTCCATCCCCACCACCAGACCTTCCGGGCACTTCCATCGCGACGCGCATTGAACACGACGACACCGATCACCTCCGCAGATCATCACACACGACAGGCAAAAATGTGCAAGCAGGCGGTCTGTGGCTCATGCCGTACGTGTTCCCGCTCCTCGAATGTCTCAGAAGCCCGCTGTCTCACCGCTTGCCTGCTCACTCTGGAAATAGAAAAAACCACGTGGTGGGGCTGCGGTTCTCACGTCCCCATGGTCATGGATACAGTACCAGAAGCCGAGCGGTGCTCGTGTGAGCCCAAAGTCGAGAAAGAAGGCAAAAGCTATCCTCCAATGGGTAAGCAGCCTGGCACTTGAAATAACGCCCGAAGACCCGACAAACCTGGACAGTTCAATGACCGTGACGAAGGACCGGCGTTCGGGATGGTGAAGGCTGCTTTTGGGTTTGGCGGAGCGCCACAGGGCAAGGAGGAGTTGTGATTTAGGGCTTCTACGTGGGTCGTCAGCGAGATGAGGTCGGCAGATGGCCATCACGGTGCTGGCCAGAGAGACACGTGACGAGTTTCCTTGATAAGGTGGTATGTTCACGCGTCGACTGCTTACGTACCCTTACTACTCTACGCTTCGTACCTGGTTACTGGGGCGCAAAAGAGATTCTAGTCCCAAAACCTGCTTCACTGCCTCAAGAACCATGCTCCTTCAGGACTTAAGACAGGATCCACTACCCGCCCAATTCCTCATGGACGCGGCCGCGTGAGATACTCTCGAACGATCGCAGTCTTCACCGAATATGAGCCCAGTAAGCTCTACGAGAGTAAAGTCAGCCCTAAAAGCGACCACGATCGTCTATGGTCTGCGTCTAAAAGTGAGCATTGCCAGGAACAGAAGGCTGTACCCTCGATCGGCTTTCTTATTGGCTATATGCTACTGGGGCATATACTAAGACGGCTAGGGCAAACAATTTACTGTCTACAGCACTCTCGATGCCCGTCCGTTCCGCTCCGCTTGTAGATGGCACGTCCTGTCTTCTACATGTCTACTGTACTTGTGCCAGATCACCTCGTATTCAGCTCTCTGGTGGACCGGCCGCGGGTGATATCACTACTGTACGAGGCCGATGTCCCCAGGTCCGGAGAACACCAATGAGTTCGTCGCCCTATAATGGCAACGCGTTCTAATACTCCTGGTCTGTTGTTCCCATTACTGATACGAATGTTACTCAGCCACGTTCAGAATCGTCGTCACTTCGCTTTGCGGCAGAACCGGCTTTCTCAAGATGGTCAAGCTCATTGAATGAGGTCTGATCGCAGCAGGGCATTCTCTCGGGTTGGCAAAGCGACCTCCGCTTGATTTTCGGACAACAAAGATTTCAGAAGTCCGCTACACGGCGTCAACATAGACTGTGAAGCGAGAACGAAGTTCAGGCTTCCCGACTTTCGGACCAGGGCGACTGACGGCCAAGATGGATTACGAAAAATGTTTCAAGCAGCTCAGAAGTCCGTCATGGTATGTCTCACTGGACCAGCGTTGAAGCATTGCCTTTGAAGGTGCAGCGGTGTTCCTTCGATGTGTCCATATCTGACCGGCGAGCCTGTCCCATAGAGCGTTAGTCGTCACGAGCTGAACGTCCGACCATTGCGGTAAATAAGAATCAAGAAACGTGGAAGAATGTCCTGAAAATGAGCGAAAGCTTTTATTTTCTACAGGCATTCGAGCTCCAGCCATTCGGTGTCTGCTCGTGTGGTCCGCAGTGAGCGCACATTCGATTATGATCTGCGAAGCGACGCTTGCAGAAGATGATAATGCAGTGCGGAATCTCGATCTTCGTCTCTCTATCCTGTTGCCTTGAACAATATGTGGCACTTTATATCACTTCCACGGTTGCGTGCTGACGCTTCAGCTATCGCAGTTCTCAATCGACGCATTATTCCGTCCCCGCACCAAAGTCGTCGTGTGCAGTTGCTCAACTCTCCGACAGTCTTCTCTGGCACAACAGTACCCACAGCTGGATGGTGAGCTGAGCACGGCCATTTTCTTCGTTCAAGCGAAGCTCCCTGACACGAATGCCTCAGTCTTGAGAACTTTCGAGCCAGCGCAACGAACTGCCGTTCTCTGGCTGTTTCATTCTCTTCAAAGTCTCCAGAACTGTAGAAACTCGCTTCCAGCGAAGATCTTGCAACTCACTCACGATGCGGAAAGCCGCATCCAGAGTGCAGCAGAGACCTCCCGGACAGTCCTCCGGACAAGCCAAGCCCGTGACTTCGTCGTCATAGTACCATTTCATCCACTGGAGGAAATTGGGCCAGTACGCGTCATTGGAGCCTTCATTGAGTATCAAAGCCACGCCTGTCCTCTTAAGCCAAACCTCTTCGTGGGACTGCTGCTGACCGAATGCGCGAAGAAGACTCGCATCCAAGCGAGAGATTGTGGTATAGAACTCGTTCCGAGAGTAGTAAATCTGAACAGCCTCTGCACGGATCTGGCGACATGTGCGCAAAAGAGCTGGCTGAGCGAACGTCTCCTTTGTGATCTCTATCTCCTCGGACTTCACCAGAGCGAGCTCATATATCTCGTTCCGCAGTTCTGCGGAGAGCTCGAAGAACAAGCACCTGTTGTCGTGTGGGTTCTCTGCGTCCATTTTCGATGCGTTTTCGCTGCTGACTTTGGCCTTTTTGTTGTGAGCAACGGCCTTCAGTGGGCCAGCTCTCTTTGGCATCGTTTGTTGGCTACTCGAGTCAGTGACGGACTCCGGCGCGATCGAGCAGGTACTCACCTCGAGACCACCGGGACTGCTTGAGCTATGTTGGCTGCTGGTTGTTGATTGAAAATGTAGTCGGGCAGTTTGGCGCTGGAAGTTGTCGTCGAGTGCGATAGTTAAGCTTCGGAACGCGCTAAGCAAGTGAATGATGCGCCACATGCAGCTGTTCACCGCGGGTGCACGTGAGTACGACTTTGTATTCACTTCGCTCAACACGGAGACATGTTGCACATGCCCAGTCAAAGTGAAGAGGTAGACGTGACTCATCACATCGCTTCGGGCGGGCTCTGGAAGCAGCTTTTCATTCACTCCATCAGAGACATTCTCCACGAAAAGTCCACCGTCCTCCAGGCTCTTTCTACAGTCGAAGCCTCCTCTCCAGTCCATTCGAGTCCACCGCCCGTCCTTTCTCTACTTCCAGGTCCATTCGACCTCCTCCTTCGCCGCAACGTGTAGCGTCTTGGCGCCCACGAGCCCCAACAGAAGCCCGATGCTCAAGTGCTTAGTGTCGTAAAGGAACTCCGCTTTGCCATATCTGCGCTTCTTCTGGCTCGATGGAGTGACGAGGTCGCTCCGATGTGGCGACGGAGCGCCCGCAATGCGCTTGGATGAGGAGTGGCGTAGTGCTGGAGCCGCGTGCAGAGAGCGACGAGCGAGCATGGTGAGGACTGGGACTACAGATGAACATTGTCAGTGAGGACTCGAGTGTTGTCAGTGGTAAACATACTATTCTTGACGATAGACATCGTATCGGTGACACTCGTTTGCTTGTTGGGTTTCTGTCGGTCTTGTGTATTGTGATGTTGTTCTGGGTTTATAGATGAGTGCGTGGTGGTTGGAGTGTTGGTGGAGAGGAAAAGGGAGAGAGAGGGTCGTATTTATTCGGTCGGTGCGTGAATGTTTGCTTGAAATCTCTTAGACTCGCATTCACTCTCTTCCGAATGACCTAGCTGCTGTGAGTTATGAAGCCGCGCCATCAAAGTGAAGGCAATGGAAAGTCCGAGCAGAATTTGCATTCGACTTACTACTATCCGCGAGATGGATGTAGACTGCCTGCTTTCAGTCATATCTACTTCTACAGCTAGATGCAGTGCTCACACGTCGTGATCAGCTCGACCGTGGCCAGTCTATGCATCAAGAAAGAATCGTGCGCGAACTTGTATGGCCCTCCGCCCCTTTTCATGCATGGGAACGCCTCGCTAAACCATCATCATGACATCGTACTTGTGACTGTGCCCCTTCAGAGCATCAAATCTTCGTCTTCACCTTCCGCGAGAGGTACTCCCGGTGGTCCGTCCCACGTGAGGTCCATAGCATCCGCAGGATCACCGTCGAGTCCACGGGTGATTCGTTTTTGGTAGTCGACATACTCTTTCGTCAACTGGAGTCGCCGGTCTGCATCCCGGATCTGTGCCACCAAGGCCTGGATGCGGAATGTCTGAGCTTCCAAATCGGACTGAGAGTTCGAAGGCTCAGCATCGTGGAAACGCAGTACCGTGTCAGCACCAGCGCCTGAAAGACTGGCACTGAGGTGGCCATCCTGGATCATAGACTGAAGAAGCTGCAAAGCCTCGCCCGGATCTAGTTCGAGCAGACTGGCCATGCGAGTCACGCCGATTGCCGCGTATGTCTGCTGCAGGTCTATGACCCGGAAGCGCTTCAAAGCATCCACCACCTCTTTCACGAGCCCGAAATTGCCATCATCCTGAATCAATTCGACCCCTGTTTCGGCATCGGCTTGGAATTTCCTCGTGTTGCGCTGCATGAAGTCTGTCGCAAGCTCATCGTACATTTTCGAACAGCTCTTCAGGGCTTTCCAGATTACCTGATCGTGTGTCTTTGGCTCAGAGAATGGTCTCCCGTTCGCTATCAGTCCCACCAGTACCCATTTCTTGTATGCCTCTACCTGCAGTGCGCTGGCGGTGTGCGACTGGGACGGTGAGAGGAGGACGTACTCCAGGAACAATCGGGCACGGCTCCAGTTGTGCATGCCGATGTAGATAGATGCGCCAAGCAGATAGTACTCGAGCACATGTGTAGACTTTAGGTCTTTCGCAAAGCCACTCTTTTCTGTGATCCATGCATTGCTGAGCTCGTGTTCGTCACATGGCAGCTCCTCAGACACACCCTTTGTGCTCTTGGAAGGAAAGGCAGCGACATCGGTGTCTAAGATGGGAAGTGCCAGACTGGGTATGCTTCGCGCTAGGCACAGTCTCAAGATGTACAGGTGTGCCGGTATGAAGGTTGCCGAAGTAGGATCGAGTCGCACTAACGAGTTGACGAGTGGTGTCAAATCGGTCTCGCCGTTCTCTTGCAGGCCTTTGTACACCCAATCCCATAGCAGCATAAAGTCTTCGCCAACATATCGCACCTGTACCGGATCGAATGTGCCAAAGAAAACGACAGCGAGTTCATCGAGATTATCGAGTTGCTTCTTGTCTCGCGTGCCTTGTATCTGCTTGATCAATGTGCGGAGATAGCCGATCGAGTTGACAGCCGGATCAAGGAATGTGAGCACATTCTTCTTCTCAACGAGCTTGGTGAAGGAGGCATCGGGGATATCGTCCAAGCTCTTGATATATTCGCGGGCGGCCTTGTCGTAGACTTTGGGCGATGTGCTGGCCTTCTCTGGCGGAAAGCTCAGCAGGATAGGGACGACGTCGCCCATGTTGGCGCTGGTCTCGACGGTGGTGTTCTAGCGGGTGGTGGTGATCATGCTTTGACGAGAATGGTCCAGAGCGTGCGGTGGGCGGGGCGATGTGGCAGGCGACAGCGGCGGCGTTTGAAGTGAAGCTCGCGCGGTTGACGTCGACCGGGTAATGGAGCTCGCGACTAGCCGGACCGGCTTACTCCATCAGCCGAGTGGACCCTGACCCTGACACCTCTCTCCACCTATCGACCGCCATTGAATTCTGGAGAACCACGAAGCACACATTTGCCCCCAACTACGATTTTCACGCGAAGACGAAGCCAGATTATACCCATGGCCTGATCATTCGAGACACGTCTTGTTCGGACAACCACAGCATGGCCCCCGCAAATCACACCAGTCGCTACCGGGATACGGTCCTGTCGCGGGACGATGTCGAAGCTTTGATCGCCGCAGGACGAAAGGTTGTCATAGTGGATGGAGCGGTATTGAAAGTCGACGCATGGATCCCATACCATCCCGGTGGCGACAAGGCCATGCTGCATATGGTTGGAAGGGATGCTACGAACGAAGTCAAGGCATTCCATTCGCAAGAGTCGCAGGAGGTGATGCAAAGGTACTGCATTGGCAAGGTCGACGGATACTGGGCAGACTTCGTACCTCCGATACAAGGTGGCAAGTTCAGAACGGAGGAAGAACAGCGTGCTGCTTGTTCGAAGGACGAGCATGAGGGGAGAAGTCATGCAGAAGACTCGTCGGCCAGCTCGTCGGAGGGCTCCCCTGTATTTGAACCTTCAGAGCGCAGGAATCCCGCCCTTCGCAGACGGAGAGGTAGCTCTGCAGGAGCCAGCGAGTCTTCAGCAACTTCTCTCGAAACATTGGCCATCGGTGAGCCAGCCTCGCAAAAATCAAAGGCATATCCTGCAGACGAGAGAACACAGCAAGAGATAGACCATGATCTGGATTTGTACCCTGACTTGGATCAAGAGACCCAAACGACGATCATCCGCAAGTACAAAGAGTTGGACGAGAAACTGCGGGCCGAAGGTCTCTACGACTGCAACTACGCCGCTTACGCGGTTGAAGTCACACGCTACACGTTACTGGGCTTCCTCGCGTACTACTTCCTGCAAAAGGAATGGTACATTCTATCGGCCACCTTTTTGGGCATGATGTGGCATCAGTTGGTATTCACTGTCCATGATGCCGGCCACATGGGCATTACTCACCACTTCCATGTGGACAGCACGATTGGCATTCTGATTGCAGATTTTCTGGGAGGGTTATCTTGCTGCTGGTGGAAACGAAATCATAATGTGCATCACATTGTGACCAACTCGGCCGAGCATGATCCGGACATTCAGCACATGCCATTCTTCGCCATCAGCCACAGATTCTTCCAGAGCCTGAAATCGACATACTACGATCGTGTCATGACGTACGATGCTGCGGCGCAGTTTGTGCTGAAGTACCAGCACTATCTCTACTATCCGATCCTCACCTTCGGACGCTTCAACTTGTACGTCCTGAGCTGGCAATATATCTTCCTCGGACAAGGACCACGGAAAGGTCCAGCGTGGTGGCATCGTTATCTGGAAATGGCTGGCCAGGTCTTCTTCTGGTACTGGTTCGGCTACTTGACGGTCTACAAATCGATTGACACGAACTGGCATCGTTTCCTCTACGTGTTGGTCAGCCACGCTGTCACAATGATGGTGCACGTCCAGATCACTCTCTCACATTTCGCCATGAGTACAGCAGATCTGGGCGTCGCGGAGTCATTCCCTCAACGCATGTTGCGCACTACTATGGACGTCGACTGCCCAGAGTGGCTTGACTTCTTCCATGGTGGTCTGCAATTTCAGGCTGTGCATCACCTCTATCCACGAATGCCAAGACACAATTTGCGGAAGGCTCAGAAGCTGGTCATGCAGTATTGTGATGAAGTCAAGATTCCATATACTATTTACGAATTTGCTGAAGGCAACGGGAAAGTCATCGGACGCCTGGGCGAGATCGCACAACAAGCCCGCATCATGAGCGAGTGCCAGAAAGCTGCTTTCAAAGACGTTATAGAGGGGCACTAATCGTGGGGGTTTAACATGCATAGCGAATTATGATAGAAAATCTGCAGCATATTTGTGGCGACTGGGACTCCACCTTTTTCGCAGTTTCAGCATACTCACATATGCATCACTATCGGTCGCGCAAAGACATATCACACAGCAATAGTTTTCAACGGACCAACGACAACTCGAATGAAGGCCTGTTGCAACAGGCCAGATATTAGCGGCTCGGCCTGGTCCTTTCCCTCGGGTAAGCCAAAAGCTGGCATGCCTTGGATACATGCGCGAGCGGCGGAGGTATAGCGCTTGCCCATAAGTCGCTCAACCTGCTTTAGCACTGTACTTCCAGGATGCATGAGAGCTTCATGTGCGTCGAGTATGGCGGGCAACTTGAGTTCTTCATGATATCCTGATTCGCCAAAGCCGAAGATCTGGCGCACTGGTTGCCAGAAAGCAAGCTCAATCAACACTATTCCCAGCGCATACATGTCGTAGGTCTGTCGAAAGCCGCTCGTGATCCCTGGGAGATATTTCGGATGAGTGTACAGTGCTCTTTTGAGGTCACTGTCTCCACCTGTGGTTCCGGATTGGACGAGCCTGGCGTATTCGAAACCACCTATATATGCTTGACTGTAGCCGCCACCTTCGACAGGAAAGAACATGATCGAAGTACTCGATATGCTTTTGTGGAGCCACGTGACCGAGTGCAGATACAGAAGCCACTGACTGAGTTGCTGAGCAAGTTCGACACGTTCGTGGAGTGGCGGGGATGGTTCCAGCAGACGCGAGTGCAGTGTCACTCCCAAAGAGTTGTTTTTCGATTCTGGAGGCTCTTTGAACACGAATCCGAACCTACTTTGCATTGTGTCGTCGAACATGCCTTGGAATGGTGGTAAGCAGAACTCTTGGGGCTTCCGCGGAAAGCTCAAGAGAGCGCTCAGCAGCTCAGCGCTCTCCTTTGCCTTAGCTGGAGCTCTTGTATCGGAGATGGAAAGCTCTCTGTCCCACCAGACCTCGGCATCATATGGCTTCCACTCGATCCAGGCAGGCTCGCCCGCGAATTGTACCATTGTTCGGGAGTCATGCTCAGTGGGCTGGTCTGCGTACTCTACAATCTTGTCTGTGACCGGGTCCAGCGGCTTTCGGGCGAGGCCTACATGGCTCTTGACGTCGATGAAGAAGTTCACTGCTTGAGAATAAAAAATGTTGAACTGGATCTCGGCCTGGACGGACTCTTCAGGCAAGCTCTCTGGGTTGGCTTTGCCGAAGCTTTGATGCTCGACGAGTGTCGAGCCCGATAACGATGCAATCGTGGAATCGTCTACTTTCAAAGCTTGCATTCCTTCCTTTGTCTTCGTGACTGAGAGTAACAGGAGTCGTATTTCTTGGACAACCTGCAAAACTTCCACCATTTGGTCTTGGGTTAAAGTCCTCAGTAAGTTAGCCACAAGAGACTTGACTCTATCAAGCAGTCCCTGAAAGCTCGCCTTATCGACAGTTGCCCATAGGAAACGTTTGGGCTCGGTTACTACTTTCTTAACTCCAATGCTGAAGCCACCGGCCCAGGAACGGATGTGGTTGGTCCCTTTCGCGTGGACTCTGGCTGTCCTCACTTGCTCGCCTGTGTCCAAGACCACCTTGTAGCGCTCCCATTCGGCTTGAGACAAAATTTGAGTATTAGTGTTTGAGTGGACATCATCGGCTTTCTGGGTCTTCTGGACTGTTGGCTCGCTGAGATCTTTCACACCGGTTCTCGCGAGGTCCAATGCTGATTGCAGGCCTTCTGGTACACCATCGCTCTGTTTCTCGCCTAGCCTGTGCCTGAGACATAGCCTCCTCAGGTCGCGTAGCGAAAGCTTGAGCTGGCTGAGAATAGCGATAATGACCATTTTCTGGTGCTCGATTCGAGCATCAAATCTGGGCTCCACGGACTCTTTGAGCAAGCCGCTCTCGTGGCCCCATCGCAGTAGGCTGCTGTACTCAAAATGCAGCTGCACTTTTAAATAGGCACAGTCCTTCTCAGCATTTGCAGCTGAATCGAAGTAATGGAAAGCTGCGAGAGTCAGGACCCGAGATCCCGCGTTAGCAACATGGAGGCAAACGAACCTTTGATAGCACCCTCGAGCAGTTGGAACGAGAGGGAGGCTGCTCCCAGCCCAAGACTGGCAGGATCCATTTCTTGAGTATGCAACTCTGATTGTTGAGTGCCGGAGGCAAATAATTGGCACAATGCAGTCACTTCTCTGACGGACCTCAGCGACGCATTTGTGCCCAGGGCTGCTCTACAAAGCAGGAAGCTGCCAGCTCCTGCGGAGACAGTGAGGCCCTTCGCCGATGACTCTTTGCCATGTCAGCTTTAAGGGCCGCACCTCAAGGACTCAGCTTGCCATCCGCATGCGTGTTGGGAACTCGCTAACGTGTTCAAACGTGACCTCTTCGTGGAATTAGTTGCAGCATGCTGCACCGACATGCATTCCCCACTGCGCAGAAGCGAAGGGTGGCAAACTACGCCGCGACGCTCGCTGACATCCGCAGCCCTTGATCCTACGATAACAAGCACAAGTTACAAGGTTCTTCAACCGCCGCTCTCTTCGGGCTGTAAACCTCGAATCTTTCTACTCAAAGCTTTTCTGTACTTCTGGACTTATCCTCATCCCAGCTATCGCAATCTTGTCGTATTGGTCCACACTTGCAGTCGTCGTGCATGGCATACGCTCAATTGAGATTGCACGAGCAGGCTGCACATTGTCTCGGCTTTCGCTCGACTTCGCGCCGTGGCTGCCGGCAACGGAAGTCTTCTCACTTCACTGTGTATCTGGACGCAACGCTGATGCAGTGTGGACGACTATACTTGCTCAGAAAGTCGTTGCAGCTACGGGAGAAACAGTGTGCGGTGGCCCAGCTCAATCTGTACCGACTATCACTCTGTTCGGAGCGGCCGAAACTCTACTCACTATCTGATATTTGGTGACCACTGTACCAGGGCAGCTGTCAGAGACACGAGGACTCTCTGCTAAAGTGCAAATACCTCGACTGCGACGCCGCCAGACTGGTTAATTGCTGAATGGCTCGTAGTCATGCGCATCTGCCCAGCAATAGAAGGAGGCGCTCCAGTGGGTCACCTAACAGGAACTCAAACCAGACTGGCTTCACAGGCAGCAAGCGAACTGTAGGGAGCTCACTGTCAAGAAGCACCACTATTGCAGACAAGGCCGCATATCCCACATCTTCCAGATCGTTGTTGGAGTTTCGAGCGTGTCCTACGCCATTCTACTATGCTGAACCGAGCGACATTGCCGCAGAGCGGCGACTTGTATGCCACGGACATAAGCCTGTGAATCCAAGACTGCCGGACATGGAGATGACCGATTCGGGGGGACGCTGGAACCTGTTCTGTGCGAGATTCAAGGACAGCTATGGAAGAGACGATTGGCTCGCAGTCAAGCAAGCACCTCTGCGCTGGTTCAATTCCAAAGAAGATGCGTTCTCAGAGTACGAACTGTTGAAAACCCTGGACCACCCACACATCATCGTGACTGTTGGGGCTTACACGAAGGAGACGGTCTATGGTCAAGTGAACGTCGGCGCTCTACTGTATCCCCTGGCCCCGAGTAATCTCGCGACCCGGATCAAACTTTGTTCTCAGCACAACGAGTTGGAGTCAGAACAGGGAGGCAAACACTGGCAAATCGCGGATGACGCACACCGGTTCATACCATTCTTTGCTTGCATATGTGATGCACTGTCGTATCTGCATAGACTGGATCAGCCAGTGAAGCATAAGGATATCAAGACGGAGAATATCCTCATCGACAAATCCGAAACTGTAATACTTGCCGATTTCGACAGGGCTCAAAAATATCCGAGCAGAGAAGCGGCAATCTCCCAAGGTCCCGGGGACAGGACCAACCGGTTTGCGTCCGCAGCTGTCATGAGACAGGAGAATAGAGGTTTCGATCGCGACGTCGCGCCTCTTGGCTTCGTGTTCGTAGAGATGGCGACCGTGGTTCTTGGAGAGACCTCATATCATATGAACGCGCATTGCAAACGGGAAAACTGGTTTGAAAATCTCGGCGATGGTCTGCTCGACAGTTGGATTGAACATTTGAGACAGAAATCCCGTGACTATCCTCAGCGCATCCCCTCTGACTTCACGCGTATACCCGGTCGGCTGTTGATTGACACCTTCCTGGATATAATCAAGGAAATGGCACATGCGGATATCAATGAGCAAGACGTGCTTGAGAAAGCTTTGGATTTCTTCCGGAAATTACCTGATAAAGCATGTAAACACTGCGGTCCTGAAGCGGTCCACGAAAAAGCCTTACGAGACGACGAGGCATCTGTCGTCAACGATTCAGAATCAACCCAATCTCGAAAGCGTGATACTCTAATCGTTCCCGGACCGGCACTTGATCGAAGCAGTCTACGGCCCGTGAATGGAACCTCGGAGACTGCTCCAACGCACGCTTCTGGTAATGAGATGGAGCATAACGCCAATGGACAGCCGAAGATCAAGGTATCAAGGACGAACACGTCCTCAGAGAACGATGCGTTGTACCTGGTCGGCAACCACGCTGTAGAAAGTGACGATCTGACGATCGGAAGCGAAGTCAAATCGACATCGTCCCATGATGCAGCCACTGGCCACGAATCTAGCACACCCCAACTCCATTCAAATCCACCCACAATCGCGACGGAATCCGAAGACCTCAATCCCTTCGAAACCTCATCGTCCGAGGACTCTGTGCCAAGAGTACTTCGAATCGGCTCCGATTTCAGCTCGGTAAGCAACATTGAGGGGATCATAGTGTGCATAAAGGAGAGTCGCACAAAGCCCTCGAAGCTGAAATTGAAGCAAGCGATTGGCCGTGGTAAGTGTATGGCGCACATGCTATCTGCATGACATCCTTGAATACTAACTGAAAATAGACATGAAGGGCAACGAGGTCCGCATTGTACCGCTCTATCGAGATCGGCAGAGACAGCGGTACGTCAAGTTATGGAACTCACATGACTACTTGCTCAAGAAGCAGCTTCCGCGTCATGCACGGATACTCTTCCGAATGGGTCTGTTGCGCACCATGTTATTGGTGGTCCCCGAAGTAGTACAGTGTGTATGATGCACTGCGCGACGAGTTACAGTCATACCATGCATTCATCAGGGTACGGACGTACATACGAAGCTGCCGAAGTGGCCGCTGCGCCGCAAAACGTTGCCGAGGACGTGCGGAGTGCGCTCAAGATGGGGTCAGCTTATATTAATCTGGAAGACCTTGGACGAGCGGGGCTGATAGCCGTGCAAGATTCAGCAATGAGGACCAAACATACAAAAGACTATATGTACCCGCAAAGGCTGAAAACACCATCTATTGATCATTCGCTACTGAGACCGGCACTGCAGAACGCAAGCGAGAGTCGATACCATTTTCTTCTCTGCTTATCGGCAAACTTGATGTCGTTGATGACGACTCCCTTCCGACATGCGGCATCTTCAGACCTGCGTATTCCGCCCACCGTGCAGTACGACTTCTCTGTTGTCGTGTCTTGACTAGAAAACCCGCCCAGCTACGCAACACTTGTTGAGTCTTTTGGTCCGTTCTGACGAATGCACGGGCTTCCTGCTCAATACTGTCGAGCATTCTGTCGATATGTACACTTGGTTTTGTTGTTGTCTCACATAGTAGCCGGTCATATTTGAGTTCTTGGTTCCTTTGACGCACTTCAAGAAAATCGTCAAAACGGCTCTTTTCGTCATGTATCAAATCGCCAATGCGGTCGATTGCGCGTGCGAGAGGTTCTCGTTGTCGACGACTTTCTTGAAGGGCTGGTCGGCCTCCAATACTCAGTAGTGCCCTGATTGGAGGCCTAGGAGATTGATGTCGTATCTGGAGCTCGCGGTATACCTCTTCTGCAGGGTTCGATCTCCAGACACCACCATCAACGAAAGAACCTTCCAGCTCAGGAATCTTGACTTTCCTGTACAGACTCGGCACTGCGGATGTTGCTAGACATGCGTCAACAACGGATACACTGCTTCCATTTGGGCCCGCATCCGGTATGCCAGGTTTAGATCGGCTTCGTGAGTGCAACTGTTCCGTGGGGGAGGGCGAATATGATCGAAAGGCATATGGACGCACCCTTCCGTCACTGGCTTCTTGGATAGCAAACACTATCGTCTGACATCTGCCGTCCAATGTACTTAGAGTTGGTGTAACTGCAGTGCGATGCATATGTCCATTACTGGCGGTGTCAGCCCCCTCACCCATTGAAGTTCTCTCTTCGAAGGTCGATTGCAAAGAGCTCCGCATATCGATAGAGTTTCGCGCCTTGTTAAATAGCTGCAACGAAGGAATCGGAATTGGTACTAAGAATTTCGATGTGGTGTGGATCTTGGTCCGCCATATGTCTCGATTGTGATCGATGGTCTCACCAACCGTACATCGCATGACTCCAAGCATGACAGCTGCCATGCCACCGAAGCTAGACCCGCAGATGTAATCGAAGTAATGGCACAAACGGAAAGCGTCCGGGCCTCGTTTGGCTGATGGGCGATACTTCGCAAGTTCTTCCTGCCTAGGTGTCGATCTTGAAGTCTGGAAAAGCGGCGAGCTGTAGCTGTCGAGAACTTGAGGGTCACGGCTTTCCTCTTTGGCAATCGCATTGCAAAGTTCCTCTAGTAATATCAGAGTTGCGAAGCCCCGGACACCTCCGCCATCGAGAGACAGCACCAATTCACCTCGCCATGGGTCGCTCCGCTGGTGCCGGTCTCCAATGTAGGGATCTTCAGACGAATTGTTGGTGGTGGCTCCGTCGAATAGAGGATCGAGTTTCACCAAGCCACTAAAGTAGACCGCGAATTGCTTGATCTTGTCAAAATTCTCCCTTGGTATGTCGCTCTCACGGCAACGACCACGAGCGATACCTCTGGCAAGCCTTCTGGCTTTGCTGACGGCATCAAGACAGTTAAATAGTGCTTCTCGGAGACTTCCATCCCGGAGTGTTTGAGAGTCACTTCCTTGAGTAGGCTTTTGAAACGATGTATCCAGAAACGATAAGTCCTTCAAAGCGGCCGTAAGGTCCCCTAGGTCATGTACTAATGCACTTTGAGGCCCAAATGCATTGGTACACACCTTGATCGTATCTTGTATAGCCACAAGCAATGTCTCTAGAACGGTCGTTTGCCCTGCCATGGAGTGTTCTGGGCCGCACAACTCGAGTTGAACGGGAGTATGGGATTTCTAGCGCGTCAACGGCCAATATTGGCCGCCCATCAATTCAGCACCCACAAAGCAGATTAGATCAGAGAACCTAGAGAGTCTGTTTGCACTGGACAGTCAATCGATAGCTGGGGCACAACAAAGAGGCGTAAGAGAGGAAGACAGCGCCCTACTTGAGCAGAAGTCGGAGCTCAGGCCTCTCGACAGGAATATGATCCTAGTCAAGGTCTTCGAAGACGGCAGGCTGCATTGTGACCGCAGAGGTCGCATGCTCCGACCATGACAGGCGTGGCGGCCACCTCATTCAAAATCATTGTGCCTTCTGCACTGCCGGAGGTAGTCGCTGTATCTTCCACTGTTGAAGTTGACGGCCTCTTTCCAACATTTGTTGTATAACATCCTGCGGCCTCTGCGAGGGCGACCGGTGAACACTGCCCAAGAGTGTAGCTGAGAGGCACGGCTTAGTCGAGGCGCCTGGAAACTCTGGCACTGAAATGGAGGGTCGGGTAGAGAGAAAAAGTCGTCAGGATGCAGCAGGCCACCTGAAATGACTGGCTGCGCCATGTCAGCAGCTCGTCAACTCGTGTAAGCGAGGCTCGGTTGCTTCGCTCGAGACACGCGGAAGTATGAATTGTTACACGACGTAGGCGAAGAGACCGACAGACCACCATATACGTTCTCGAATCGCACGTGAAGATCAGCTAAAGTGGCTGCATGATGCCGTGCATCTCACCGAAGCATGACGAATGGCACAGGTGAAGTCGGTGTCAGCTCATCCGCCGATGAAAATCTGATTCACGCGGGTCCACCCGTCTCATCAAATTTCTCACCAGATTTAGGTAAAACTTACACACCGCCGAACACTACGTACTCTGCCTGAGGACTACGGATATGCCTTGAATCCTCATGACTCTGACACATACAACGCATCTAAGGCACCGTGTCTCGAAAAGCTGGAAGAGCTCAGAGGTAGGTTCGTAGGAACAGTACAAACTCTCTTCCAGTCTTCTTGTCCGCAGGTCCACACTGTCGACTGATATCAAGCATAGGACGTCGAGGCGCGAGTATGAACATTCCAAGCATGGACATATATCGTACAACCGATTCTCATTCCATCATTACAATACGTTACAGCATTACACCACGGAAATGGCCTCCGATCAGAAGTTCTCGTCACTTGCCTTCCCAAACACTCTCGATCCCAAGCCAATATCTCTCCTGATTAGGGGACCACTTGCCATTTCGACCGATACTTTGCCTCTTAACCTCGGTCTCCTTTCTCACAGCACCGTCATCTCCAGCATCGCTACTGTTCCAAGTGAACATAACATCCTCTCCGGGACAGACATAGCACTTCCTTGTGTCTGGAGCCATCAGTTCCTCATCGTTCAAGTCCTGCCACAACTGTTCCTGAAGCCCGTTGCCATGCCAGAACGACGCCATCCAATCCATAATCCTGACCAAGCTCGCCCATAGCAAGACCAGGAGCAAAAATGGCTGTGTCCAGATCTCATGGAGCCCTGGAAGCATCATACCCGGCTCATCATCGAATACGATAGCTCTGATGCCCAATCTCTCCATTTTCCTAACTTTGAAAGCTCTCAACAACTCGCAGAACCTCGCCACACCAATATTGCCAAAACAATGCACCAGAACCCTTTCATCGCGATGATCTTGTCCTCTCAGGCATATTTCATCCAGCAGAGAAGGCTTCTCTTCTTCCTCGATCAATTCTTCCAAGGTACTTTCCAAGCTGTCCGGGCGATCGTTCAACAGCAATATCGTAGCCGTAGGATAGAGCGTACTGTACCCCCTAGCATAATATCTCACCTGCGCATCTTGTGCACGCGGCCAAAGAGCCAAAATGATATGCTTAGGTGGTCTAGGAGGCGGCTTGGTAAGGTCGGATTTGGTTGGAGAAGGGCTTCGTGAATGTGGCATGCGGCTCGTCAAGTGATAAAGGTCATCATCTTGTTCGGGAATTATCTCGTGATCGGAGCTGTAGCTGCATTGCGATTCGATGTCCTGGAAGTCGGGGTGTGATCTGTATGGCATGTTGTATGCTGAATTCATGATGGCAGAAAGCGACTTCGGAATGCGCAGTATATGGCTCCAGCAGTGAGTTTTGCGTACGCCGGTCTTCTCGCCGGGCCCGAATACTGAAGTTGTCTTAGATGTCTCAGCTGGTTCTTTGTTTGTAGATGTGTTCGGTCCCAAGTGTAGCAATTGGGTCAGGATGCTTTGTCCGCTGCTTGACAAATTCATAGTCGACATTGAGGAGTCGCGTAGTCATGATACTGGCGATGTGTATCCTATGCGACGCGATCGATGCTCGTTGACAGTATTGGCGAAGTTGTCACAGCGAGAGCACTTGGCATTGCCATGGCGATGAACCGAAACGATCTTAGACAATAGCAACGTTATAACGGCGGATCACCCAACGCCTACGCTACCCTAACGTCAAGAAATGCGTGCATGACCTCTACGTCCGCATTCACGTCATGCTAACAGGTCCAGTCGTCTTCTCAGTTTGTGCCTTCACAAATTGTGTCGCTAAACCAAGAATTCCAGGTGCACCTTGCACATCCCCTTCATCAGCATCTGTGTCGCTCTCAAGCGCTGAAACACCTGGGGCATCAGCAAAATCTTGCAGATCACTGTCTTGTGCCATAATTCGGCTCTCGGTCACATCTGCGAGACCAGTTCCAATTGTGCTTCGCCCAACATGTTCGAAACCTTGACGTTTCCCGTGCCGTCGAGCCTCGTTGACCGCCTGTCTAGGTGATCGGATCGCAGAGGCTCCTGAGTTTCGATGTTTCCTTGCGTTCGTAGGAACATATGGTGCAGGCATTTCTGCGGGCTCTTCCGCAATACCAGCTGGGACGCCGCCAGGCCACGCAGGCGGAGGCTGCCAACTCTGGGGCCGCCGCGTTGTCTGACGACCATTGTAGTGGCTGTAGTACTGCATGAAATTGTGTACTGAAGCTGCCATTTTGTCGTCCTTGAGGCCAAAGTGGTCATCACGCAGTCCATCCGGCTCAGGCATGAATGTGGCAGGGTCCTCGATATCAACCCTCTTCTTGAAGTTGAAGTAAGCGAAGTTGCATTGATATCCGATGCCTTCGATATGAATTGTTTGCTCGCGGAAGAAGTCAATGACCCGCTCACAGGTCTTGCCCGAGTTCTGCCACAGGATCAATGGTGTCACAATCAAGCTCAAAAGTTCTTCCGCAAAGACGAAGAGCCTGAGTTTGAACATGCCTGAGAATTCCGCGCGGACCTCATCACTGTGTAGCCTATTTTTCCAGTGGGAAGGCATGTAATGTGTGTACATCAAAACCTCTCTCATATGGAATCCTGGGTCATGCAGGTCGTTGTCGTCTGGCAGAGATCCGTTTGCCACACCAAAGATGCCAACCATGACAGAAAGCCAGAATACTGCCGTTCTTCCTGGGGTCACTTCGAAGCCCAAGAAGAGCTCTGGATCGAATAGAGTTGCAAGTGTGAGAACTGCAGCTATCGCCCCGGAGACAAAAGCCACGAAGCGACAGGCTTGATCAGTCTTGTCTTTAGGGAATTGCTTCAGGTACTCAATCGCGAATGGATGTGCCTGCCGCAGCCGGCGTCGGAACAGGTGTTCCAACTCGTTGAACTCTCGCATTTTCCATTCCGCATACGGGGCGAAAGTGCGCGCGCCAGCTCGCGAAGGATTCTTGGTAAATTCCGTGTAGTTCTTGAAGAAGAACAGGATCACATTGTACCCAATAGTAAATGGCGCGATCAAGATGCTGACCAGGGCAGCAGCTCTAAATCGAACACGCAGCGCATCAACCAGCGCATGTCTTCTCTTAATGTCAAGGCAGAATGGACGAATGCTCCCCGTCTCATCGAAGATGAAGTTTGTGAAGCAGAAATTGATGGACCACTCCAAGCTCCTCGAGTAGAAGTGACGCCGCCCCATGAAAGGTACAGGGAGAGTGAAGTCGAGCAAGTCTTTATTGTACATGGCGACGTAGTAATTGTCCTGGCGCATGAGCCGATTGGCGATGGCTTCAGCGTTCAATCGCTGTCGTGGCTTGTTGAAGTCGAGGTATTTCCTGCCTTGCTCAGATGGTTCAGCAGCGGTAGCAACATTCGCATTCTGCACCTTGACTAGACCGTTTACCACCTCCGCCCATGCCACAGTTTGGATGTCCTGATCTCCAATGTCGAGTACATGCTGGTAGAAGTCCTGCATCTGAAATAGTCTCCGCACGTCCCTGGAGTAGCGGAGTGCCTTGAACAGCCAGTAGATAACGAAGAAGAACAACGCGGCATTCTTGTACCACGGTGCTTTTGCCATGCATTTGGGGATCATGATTTCTGCTGTGGATTTGCTGCTGGGTATCTTCGAGTAGTCAATACAGGTCGTCAGAAACATCGTGAAGCTGAACGCGAAAAGTTCTGTCATCAAAGTCAGAGCCCGTGATAGGAGAATGGACCAGACACCGTGTTGGACGAAGTACTGGTAAACCTCGAGTAGGAAAGCATCAAGGTTGGTCGCGTTTGTATACATCCACGTCGCTTCAGCTTGCGGGTTTGTGCGAAGCGGCGGTCTCGTAGGTGCGGACGTTCGCGAAGGACGAGAAGTAGGTCTTGCAGAGCGCGGACCTCTGGGTGTTGATAACCATTGCTGTTCTTGTGATGCTTTCCATTGTGCTTCAGCCCTTGCTAATTTCATGTCTGCCGCGTTCTTAGGCTGCTGTCTGCTAGGTCCCGCTTTAGCCCTAGGCTCTAGGAGTAAGGACTCAGGCACGTCCTCGTCGTCCATTCCCCTCCTCTTAGACCCAGGACTCTGCCACTTAGGCCGTGCAGCGAACATCTCAGGACTCAGGCCAGGGTCGGTGGGCGTGGGTTGATCTCCAGAGGGATCGTAAAGAAAAGCGTCTGGATCGTCATCGTCGTCGTCCTGGTATCCGTCCGTATATACACGCTGTCTCTGAGCCTCGACATCTCCGCGCCTGACAGCATCGCGTCTCATGCCATCATAGACAGAGACATCGCCCTCAGCCACTGGGAGAAAGCGCGACAAGACGCGTGACGCGAGTAGGTCTCCCATGATGGTGGCACGTCGAGAATTGTTGCACGAGAGAGCTCAGATATAGCTAGCGCTCGTCTGTTGACATCTCACGATGCCGCTATCGGTCGTGGGATCGTGTAATCGGAAGCACGCTCTTTGCCATCATCGAGCAGTTTGCGCTGCGGTAGGGCTACGATGGAAGATTGCTTGGGATCTGGGAGATATTCGCAGGTTGGAATGACTGATCCGCTTGGGGAAGAACAGCTGATCAGGCGACCGTGAGCATGTGAAGGAGAGCACCGTGACAGCTCCGGATTATGACGATAGCGCGGAAGCGCTAGTGTCGGATCTTCCCGTTCTATCTTATCGTGCACGGACGGCTCCTCGCTCTTGCTCTATGCGACGGCTAGCTTGTATTCACCACCACATCTGGACTGCGACTCTACGCAGGCCCGTCGCGGTATTTGCTTTCCTCCCTCTCAAAATTCTCAAACGGTGCTTCTCAGAGATCCTACCGCGCTGAAGGGTTCCTGTGGCGGCCGCCGAAGTGCCTGAGGGTGCTCGAAAGATGCCGGTACACGAGCGACTGGTTGTGCGAGTCTGAGAACGGCTTCCCTCCGACGACTCCATAGACCAGTTGCATTGAGAAAATCAGCGGTCAACTGGGCTTTTCGAAGTGGTCAGTTTCTCACATCCGAGGCATGTTCATTTCGTCGAATCTTTGCACTAGTTGGCTTGGTGGTGTCACACGAATCAGAGAGGCATGCTATACACGACCATCGAGCCACTCTCACTCTGATGAACACCTTACTGTAATCGCAACTGATCATAGGTCTCAAAGCCTGGGCGCCCGTGGCTCATCTGCAATATTGCTTGCACTGTCCGCACATACCAGACATGTGATCACATGCGCAGCATCTCGAAACGTAGCAGCGCTGTTCACGCCATCAACTGTAAGCTGCGGCATAGATCCTGGAGCTCCGTGGTCAAGTGACACGCAGAAGTGCGCGTCTTCACACACCTTGGCACGGTTCTAAGCCATGAAACTGATAGACTGATACTGCCTAGGTGTTTCAGGTCAGTCATCTTGGCAGTTGGACACGATAGACAAGTTGACAAGAAGGTACTCAGCTTGGCTATGCTGTATGGATGTATCGAAGCAGGCCAACATGGGGCGACTAGTGCGCACAAGAATGTGCCTTTTTGCAGTTTCGGCCTCTTTCTGGCGCTGGCTGGAACCTACAGGATCCCAATTGTCCCCATTGAGATCTTGTGAGAGCTCAGAAGTTCCTATTGGAGCCTCAGCATCTGATGGAGACTGTGCAGAGCTGCTATCGACATATGCACCCTTGCAGCTGCGGCTAAGGCGTGCGTTGCAGCCAAGATCCAGTCCATACAACCAGCTGCCTTGGCAGAATCCTGCACACCTACTCCAGGTTGTCCCAAGGCCATGCGCCTTGCGACTTCGTGGCTCCATGTAAGTTGAGCTGTCAAATGCCACACCCGGGTTGCTGTGCTGGATCCAATGAGATGCCACCACCCACCGACACAGTCGGCTTCTGCGCGAGCCTGAACGAAGTCAAAGTCTATCCAGCCGATTCCGGCTCCGCGGAGAGCTGCGTTTGTCATGCTTTGGTATGACCATCTGACATCACCCTACTTCGATCTACCTATCCATCGATCAATAGCCGGTGGACTACACGCCTAGACAAGATGAGACTGGTCGCAATACATTCGTTGGCGTGTATACTTGGCGCGAAACTTTTGCGCGTTGCCGGTGTGCCCGGTCCTGTATGCGCCCTCTGAAGACATGTGCCGGGAACGTGGGCGAGTGGTTGGTTGTTCGACTGCAGACCGATGACAGGTGCATGCTAGCCGCACGCGCTCATAACTTTGACCGAAAATGCGAGAAAGTTGGAACGCGGCTCAGGGAGTAAGCGGTGCTCTGCGTGTAATAAGGGAAGCACTACTCTCGCCTTGAGCGTGCTTTGTATTTCTTGGTCGCAGTTGCATTTGACGCCTCTCGAAGCCTTCAATTCTTAGAGAGTGCCTCCTTCTCCCCCCGGAATACGACCTGGCTTCGGAACGAGTGAGGTAGTCACTGCCGCTTGGCTTGTCCACAGGTACAGCTGTTTCGCAGAGGCGTGTCAGAGATAGCCTTATAGCGCCCTCCAACCATTTCTGCTGCAACATGCTGTCCAGAAACATTATGTTACTGGCCATACTTACCGCCTTACTGCCCTTCATATTGTTCAGGAATCATGTGCGAGATCTCCTTGAAATTGGCCGGACTTACAGCACCTTCCATTCCTACCTCAAACAGCATCAGAACGTACTGTTTCGATACCCAGTCACAAGCCAGAGGAACGATGATATCGCTTTGGCAGAACCGGTGCCGAGGATGATTCACCAAATCTCCCTCTCCGATGGGCGGCCGAATGCGCTCTTGACCAAGTACGAGCCGGCAATAGAGAGCTGCAAGCAGCTTCATCCAGAATGGGAGATGCGCGTATGGACGGATCGAGAATCGGAAAGCTTCATGGCAAAACATTATCCAGAGATACACCCACACTACGTCGGATACCGCCAAAACATTCAACGCGCAAACATTCTCCGCTACGCGCTCCTGCATCATTTCGGCGGAGTCTATCTCGACCTGGATGTTACGTGCCGAGTTGCGCTGGACGCCCCGCTCGGTGAGAACAGCTCAGTACCGACGCTGACGCGTCTTCCATGGCTCACACCTGGCGCGTATCCGGCTGGAGTGAATAATGCGTTTATTCTGGCGCGACCACAGCATCCGTTCCTTACGGAGCTCTTGCAACGAGTACCCAGTCGAGACATGTCGTGGGGTATGCCATACGTGGAGAACATGCTCAGCACTGGCTGCATGTTCTTTTCAAACGTGTGGATGTCGTTCGTGCTTCGCGCGCAAAACGAGGTTGTACGAAAGGAGGATCGGATATACGTTCTGGCAGACGAAGCGGGAGATATGGAGCCGCAGATGTTGCGGGGAAAGGTAGTGACGCCTCTCTTCGAACACGGCGGAGCATCGAGCTGGCACGGTTGGGATGCGGCAGCGATTGTGTTGATCGGCAAGCACTATGGCTATTTCGCCCTGGTGGTGTTAGGGCTGGTTTCACTGCTTGTGTTTGGATCGTGGAGGTTTCTCAGAGGCAGTAGGCGGGGCCATCAGCAGAGGCGGCGCTCAAGTTGGCGCAGTATCACACATGCTATTGGAAGATTCAGCTTGGAGAAACATGATGAAGAAGTAGGATTGATGAAAGATGGATGATACATATGGTCAGGAAAGTAGGCTGGGATCTCTAGCCGATATGGGCCGATTTTGAGCCTCTGATGGAATTGGACCGGCTGGTCTGGTCTGGTGGGAGAATCGTCTTATACCTGATGCCCTATACCCCAGTCTGTACTTTGTTATCATGAATCTAATGACGCCTGGTCTCAGGAGGGAAACATCGTGAGTATCTGTGGCAAGGCCAGGGAAAATCGAGAATAATATATCGTGGGTATCGTGTATTCGTTGTCTATAGCTTCGCGCCCTCCTTCAGTGTTCCGACCTGGAGCTTTGGTCCATACTTCTTGAGTACGCTCTCGTTGTGGTACTGGTATCCATGTTAGCAACTCTCTCTTCCATATAGCCGAATCGTATGCCCGAGGTCTTGTGCCCACCTTCCAAAACTGCTTGCTGGCATCCTTGCCGCCAACTCGCTTCAGGATCTTTGCGCCGCCCGGGTGCTCGTCGACGAATCCATCAAGCTTGTAGACGTTGTTATCGATGATGATGTGCAGTCCCTTGTCTACTGAGCCTTGGTCCTTGACCTCGTTTGCTGTGAATTGCTTCGACATTGTGGCTGCGGTGGAGTCTCTAGGTTGTTGAGGGCTTCTAGGCGTAGGGGAGTTCTTCGGCTCGTGAACTGTGTCGTACAGTACAGTCGTGACAGTGATCGTGTGAGTGTTGACCGAGCAATGGAGGACAAATCAGACGAATATCACTGGTCGCGGCGGTAGTTCACCTCAATGTACCGAGGCTGTCGGCTGCACCATGCAGAGCCGCATTTCCTGCCTCAGGCGTCTCAAAGCTCCTGCTCGCCGGTTGCCGATTCTTCACGAAGAAGTACAAACTTTCCATCCTCCAACCTCCCTATGTACAACACGGCCGTCGGCATCTATATGCATAACCATTGTGCATTCACTCGCCGATCGGCTCCACGGACCGTCTGACACAGAATCCTGAGGAGAACATGTCCACGGATGATACTACGAACGGCAGACCGACCGACACTACTGACACCGCTGTTGCTTGTGTCGAACATTGGCATGACCGGAATACCTGTTCAGGAGTGCGTATGCCAGCGCGCATCGGGCAAGGTGGACATAGAACGAACAGTGCTTCGTAATTCAGTATCACACTGCATCGGCTTCCCCGTCGGCGATTCAAATAGAGCCAAGACGCAAAAGGAACCGCCGACATAACGCCTGACCACTCCAGTTCTTCTCCAGCTCGCCAACTGGTCTCGTTGCGGAGACTGGCCTGGGGAAGATGGGGCCGGTGGAGCCCGCTACTCCCTCCCACCCACACTTTCATGTTCGGTACCTATTGCGCAGACCAATATATCACGAAACCTGCATCTGTAGAGACCACGCTCAATCGCCGACAGTTAACGTCGTTTTCCGGGCGACAAAGACGTTCAAGCTCATCAGCCAACCAATTCTTACGCGAGCAAAGACTTCCCTTGCCTTACTCCCGACGCCTTTGCCAGTGTTTGGCGTCTTGGGCTACATGCTTGTGGCGGAAAGCTAAAATCATGGCGTTCTCGGCTGACGTGGATTATCATTGAGCCTGAACAAAAGCAGCCATTTAGCAGGCATGCTGGGTATCCACAGACCCTGGAGCAGCACGTTACATCTCGCCTCCAGAAGCTCGTGCTTGCCATGTGCTCCATCGTGAATAGCCGATGATGCATAGCACAGCGCCAGTGATCAGGCTATCAAACGATTCCCCCTCTTTACCGGAAGAGCTTGGCGAACGGTGCTACGATGATCTTCTACGTAGTATATTAACCCTGTCACATCTGCGCGCAGACTGCTTTCTTCTGTCGCGCGCGTTGTTACTCTTGACCGCGACCTGAGGCTTATTGCATACTCTCTACTCTGCTGTGCACAGAACCTGCTCGGAGGATCGGAGATTGCACGCTCTGCCGGTTGTGCGCAACGACCACCAATATGGCGGACACTTCGAGCATCGAGAAGAACGATGTTCTTCACAAGGAATCGTTCCAGGACCATGACATCAAGAAGGTCGAGGCCAGCCATCTTGCTGTGCTTACGGAAGAAGAAAAAGCCATCGAGAGGAAGCTGGTCAAGAAGATCGATATACTGATCATGCCCTTGGTGGTTTTGGTCTACTTGATGAACTACATCGATCGCAACAATTATGCGGCCGCTCGATTGCAAGGATTGGAGGAAGATCTTGGTCTGAGTCCTACCCAGTACCAATTGGGATTGAGTATCCTGTTCGTGGGATATGTGAGTGCCGAGTCCTGCGATACTTGAGCGTCGAGGGAAAGCTAATACTGTGCAGGTGCTTATGCAAGTTCCCTCAAACTTGTTGCTCAACTACTGCGGAAGACCGGCCTACTACCTCGCTTTCTTTATTGTTATATGGGGTCTGGTCTCTACGCTTACATCGCAAGTCACCAACCCAGCTGGTATTATCGCATGCCGGTTCATCCTCGGAGTGGTCGAGGCTCCCTTCTTCCCGGGAGTTTTGTTTTATTTGTCAAAATGGTACACGAAGACGGAGCTCAATCTTCGCATGTCCATCTTTTACTCCGGTTCACTGATATCTGGAGCTTTTGGCAACTTGATCGCGGCTGGTATCCTGAACGGCCTCGATGGCACTCGAGGGCTTAGCGCATGGCAGTGGTTGTACAGTATGTGAAGAGCCGGCAGGAAACTTCACTAGCACCGCTAATGATGTTGCAGTTATCGAAGGTGTGATCACAATCGCCATCGGTATTGTGGTAGCCTTTGTGCTGCCTGACTTCCCCGATACATGGCGACTGCTCTCTCCAGAGATGAAGGCTGTTGCAAACCGAAGAATGGCACTTGACGCCGCTGAGGCAGACGTTGATGTTGGCGGAGGAATGTCCCAACTTCAAGGGCTGAAGGCTGCATTCACTGATCCAAAGACGTACATCCTTGCCTTGGCTTACCACGGAATCACTGGAGCGGCCGGTAAGTGAATTCCATAATCTGCTACAGCTTCACCCATCTCTCAGATTCCCAGAGACTCTGAGCTGACTGGGTGGACCTTGGGCCAAAATTTGTTTTAGAAGACAGTCCGAGACATTGCTGCTGTCCGCCGACAACTTTGGGTCAAATTCTGACAAGAGCGCAGGATTCCAAAACTTCTATCCAACATTGACTGCCAGTTTGTATCCGGACCTTACCGGCTTCACGCTTCGTGTTCGCTCGTTGCTGCTGTGCGCACCTCCTTACATCTTCACGGTCTTTTGGTCGCTCGCCCATGGTATTGCTTCCGACAAGGTCGGCAATCGATTCTGGTTCTACTCTTACCCGGTCCCGATCGTTATTGCTGGCGCTCTGGTCTTCATGTTCACCGATTCTTTCGGAGGTCGTTACTTCAGCTTGTTCATGCTGAATGCCATTTTCGTCATGAAGTAAGTCGACAGTCCTGTAATAGCATGTCAAGCGCTAACAGAAGTTCAAGCGGTACCATTTATGCCTGGATTGCAAACGCAATCCCACGTCCTCCTGCCAAGCGAGCTGCCGCCGTAGCATTCATGAACAGTGTGGGTAACGCGGCTTCCATTTGGACGCCTTTCACGTACGGATCGAATGATGGTCCGCACTACATTACCGCCATGGGAATCAATATCGCCCTTGTCGGTATTGCAGGTATCTGTGGTATCGTCATGCGCTTCTACCTGCAGTATCAGAACAGGCAGCTCGAGCGTATGGAAAACAGCGACGCCACGCTTACTGCAAGAGACTTGAAGAAGCTGGAGAAGACTGCTGAGATTGAAGGCATCACTGTCGCAGAAGCGAGAGAATTGCAGAGGGGTTACAGATACATCATCTAGAGATGTAGCAGCAAAGATACATGCAGAGGTGGTGCGTGCGCGCGACCATCCTTTCCATCAGCAACTCACACATCACCTTACCTCTGGACTTTTCCAACTTGTTCGTCTTCGTGTTGTTGAAATTGGGGCACAAATGCTGCAGCCATCGTGCAAGAGATCGCGAGCTGATGATTCTGTTTCTGCTGACGATGCCAAGCCCGGGTAAACATCCCGCTCTGCCCCGAAGCCCAGCCTCGCGTCTATTGACCTCTCCTGCCCTCACACTACTCCAGCAATAGCTTCCTGCAGGCTATACTTTATCACTTCTTCGACCTCATACTCCTTTAGGCCAGATGGCCTTGCAAGCGAGCCCTGACCTGTCGTAGCTCCAGCACAGCTCGAAACCAGATCTCGCGTGCGTTTCGTCAGCATCACAGCCGCAGCGCAGGCAGCATTGTTTCAGCTTGTCATTCGACCACCATGGACTGGCACATCGACTGCTTATCTCTGATCATGCGGCGAGTACGCCTTGAAGAGGGCTGAGATGCCAGATGTCACCAGAAATCAGCTGTCGCCTACGACCTCCGAGCTCGTGTCCGCAGGCACCAGAAGCAAAAAAAAGCGTGGTTGGAGGATGACGCCACTGCTGTGGCACCCGTATCAGAAACCTTGTGACCCATCGGCATAGTACCTGGACGCTGGTATGCATCACCGTTCGTCAGTTCGTCAGTGGCAGACTCGTTCTCAATGTCTTGGGTAGCTAGGAGCTACAGCATGCATACAGTAGCAGCGCTGGGTCTGAGTCCGTCTGACATGCTTCTTATAGTACCATAGGGAGAATCCTGCCACCTTTTCCTTCATTCTTCGTGCAGCCCATGTAAGTCTGCCAGCCTCAATTTTTTCACAAACATACTTTCTATTCTGTTACGCTCGCTGGCATACCCGTTTTACCTACCACTGGATTGCGCAAGATTCCAAGGCTATTACGACCTGGGTTTGACATACGAGCGAAGATCACGATGGGCTACTCACAAGCCGTGTGCTATCGCCTTGTGTCAAATAACCTCACGGAGGTGGATCATCAATGCACACTCTGCCTGTTCCTGACTGGCCAAGCCGACAACTGCCACCACACCACGAAACCTGCAGCAGTCATTCCGCGGGAAGCAACAGCGACACCATTCTCGGAGTGCTCATTCTACACGTGTAGATCTGCGTCAAGTACCCTCTCGACCAGCAGTATAAGCTCGGGCAGTTCCACAAGCACAATCAAGGCCCGCATCTGCCATGCATCTACTTCCACGAGCGATCTCCGACAGCACTCTTTGCGAAGGCGACAATCTCCAACTGAGCTCTCGTTGCGAGAGCTCAATCGCAGACAGGCACAGCAGTCGGATCTCAAAGAAAGAAGATCTGAGGAAAAGCTGCAACGGGTGTACGAGCTGCAGATCTTGCAGTACCTAAACTCTGACGTAAATCTGGATATGGACTCACACGATCTCTGGACGATTAACGAGTAATGAACGAATCTGTGCGCCAAGCAAGCGACGCTTGCCCATCGCCGACGGTACGACAGGTGGCAACGGAGAACAGCGTTCAGCATACTGCGACCGTAGCACCGTGGCAAGCGCAAGTATGCTATTCTGGTCAACGTTCGGAGAGGCGCGATACAACGGCCAAGTTCTAGCAAGAGTTTGTCTCGTGTGAATCTAGTGACCGAGGTGGCGATGACTAGTGGGCCTAGCCGTGCTCGAAAATAGCTGGCTGGGATACGGGTCCGGAACTGCGCTAAGCCCTCGGCGCCCTCGTGTCCATTGCGAGGCGTAACACCAAAAGGGAAGTGAAACCAAAACAGAGATCTGGACTGGGCTTCTTATTATCCATATAAGAGCTGTGCGACTCCATTACCAGCCAGCATTCCACCATCCACAGTTACAAACAACACCTTCGCTCTAGGACATTATCGCATCGATTATTCACATCCTCCGAACTCCAGATCAACGACATCAGCACACAATTCAGCAAAAATGCGTTACTCTACTGCAATCCTCGCTGCCGCTGTTAGCACTGTCTACGCCCAGTCCACCATCACCGGGACCATCGTCCAGCCTTCTGGCTCACCACAAGTCAATGCACCCGCAAATTCCTTGCCTCTAGGCACAAACTGTGGTGCCGACGAGCAATGTCAGGGCGGCGCACAATGCTTTGGCAGCACTGCTGGCACAATCCGACAATGCGGCAACTTCAATGCTGAATGCACAAGCGATAGCCAATGCGCATACAACTCCTGCAACAACGGCCTTTGCAATGGCTTCCTGGCGTCTTCAGCTTCCACCACCGCCGCATCATCTACTGCTTCCATCGTGACTGGAACGATCGTTCAGCCATCTGGAGCGCCTCAGGTCACCGCTCCCGCAGGATCAGTGCCTCTCGGAGGCACCTGCGGCGCAGATGAGCAATGCCAGGGCGAGGCACAGTGCTGGGGCAGCACCGCCGGCACTATCAGGCGATGCGGCAACTTCAATGCTGCCTGCCAGCGTGACAGCCAATGTGCATACAACTCCTGCAACAATGGTCTCTGCAACGGCTTCCTCCCATCTTCGGCCTACCCAGCAAACAGCGCTACTGCTTCTCAGACCACCTTGTCCACCGCTAGCGGAAGCGCACCAACTGCTCCATACGGCAACAACGGAACCACTGTCGCGCCCACTGGAGGTGCCAACAAACCAACTGGTGGCGCTTCCAACCCAACTGGAACTGTCAGGCCATCTGGACCAAGCGTTGTTCCATCTACTGGTGGTGCTGCTACTCTCGGAGCTACTTTCAGCGGCTTCGCGGCTGTTGTTGCTGGTATGGCGGCTTGGGTGATGTAAAGATGGCGGAGCGATGACGGGCTTACAGTACTTGAAAAAAAAATGCATAGCTTTGGGAACAGGATTTACGAAAAGAGTTGAGCTCACGCAATAATGACAGACAAGACGAATTTGACAGACCAAAATGAAATGTAATAGAGATAGCTTAATTAATCAACATGACGATTCTACGAATACAATAGTCTTATCTCCTCACTTCTGCTTCCCGTATATCTCTTTGTCACGATTACTTCAGAATTTTTGATGTCGCATTCTCTCATTGCGATCCAGTTTCGCAGGTCGATGACATCCTCGCGAAGGATCATTAGCATGTTCATGCTAGATCCTTCGCTCTGCGGGTGAAGCACCGCAAGTCTTAGAGAAAATGCCTGTACAGACATCTGATCACCGAGCAAAACGATGTCGCTTGCTACATTACTACAGGCCGCTCTTCATACGATTATGTGTTATTCCACAACAATCGCCAGAAAACACACCTGTAAGAGGGCGCTTACGAGACTCGCCACAGCCCGGCAATGCGTCTCAGATGTTGCCGTGAGGCATTGTCACAAATGCAACGTTGACTAGAGTGAGAGCTCTCTGCTTTTTGATCTGGCCTCGGGACAAAAATTGCAGCAATGCCTCGATACAGCGATTACTTCCTTTCGCCTAGACTTAGTCCTCTCAAGACGAGCATGCCCGTCTTGACTTGGCAAAGGGAAACGAACGATCTTTGAGACGTTAAAAGCCATACGATAGTGTTCAGACGTGTAAAGAGTGACATGTCATGATCTATTTTTCACATTGACTATTTTACACATTTGCTCATTGCTTTTTGTACAAATTTTCCTGCTCTATCTTTTCCGTCGCTATGCTTCTGAGGAATGCTCACAATAAGTCAAATCTTCCATGCTCTGAACGGTCTTTAATTCGCAATAATTTATGCGGACTCGGTGTAGTTGCAAGCAATGCGAGCAGGAGCGTAGTAAGTCTTCAATTGGACCTCAATGCAGCCCTCTTGGTAAGCTGGCTTCTCAGCGTTGCTGAACCAGATGGTGTACTGATCCTTCTCAAGCGCAGGGCAAGCCTTTGCAGGAGTGTTGTCGAAAGTGAGGGCACCTTCCTGAGAGATGTAGAAAGGCTCAATGGAGAAGCGGTTGCCGAGTCTGTCTGGAGAGGAGTATCCAGTGATTCCTTGGCCCATGCCGGAGGCGTCGACCCAGACGTTTTGGACTGGGTTGGAGTTGGTGTACATGTAGAGGCGTTTGTCGGAGTACAGGGCGAAGGTTGCGAAGTCTTGACTTTGGCCACCCTCGCAGGTTGCGGTCTGCTCGCCTCCGATCATGAGGCGGCCGTTGACGGCGCGGATTTGGGCGTATGAGAGCCCTTCGCCCTCGGCTTCGATGCCGAAGGGTTGGCCGAAAGTTGGGATTTGGTCGTCCTGCTGTGGTGCTGGTGCTGCGAGAGCAGATCCGGCGAGGCCGAGGAGTGCGAGCGTTGGGAATTGCATCTTGACTATTTGGGTTGGTTTTGAAGTGTTTGGTCTGGTTCTTGTTGTTCTGTAGTGTAGATGCTGCTGCTGCTGGTGATGAGTGATCAGAAGAAGGGCAGACAGATCCTACTATTTATCTGCCATCGTTATAGCAGACAGTGGATCCTAGCTAGAAAGCTCTATAGTAGAACAGCACACCGGTACCTTGCCGAAATTATTTTTGGGCTCGGGAGTACGAGCAAGCTCGAGGGTGACTTCATCCCAGCACGAGCTTGACTAGTCAATGTGGACAGTCAGCACGCTCACCTTGCTGGCGTGCGAGTCGCGGTGCGCGAAATAGCAGGGTGCCAAGGACAATCGCCCGTAAATGATGCGGTCTCAAGAAAGGCTGAGAAGTCCGGATGAGCTGCCGTGGCAGAGCACTCCTTGCAAGGGCTGCCAATTTCAGCCACGCAGCCACGAGCAACGTCAGCCCAGAAATTCTCGTATTTGCCACATCACACTGACAATCAATGACATCTTGTTTGCAACCCTCTGCTACGACACGGGACAGCTCGTGTGAGTTCCACGAGATGTGCTTTCGGTCTCCGCATTGAAACGGATCGTGGAATCGTGATGGCGCCACGTCCGCATCGCCCACGATGAATGCTACGCTAGCAAGGAAGCAAGACTGAAGATACGGACGCTACGTTCTGCTGCACAATAAGGTCTGCTATGTCAGCGGATCTTTACGCAAGCTAAAACAAAAGTGCTTCGATAATAGCACAAGATCTAGTACACGATCGCTATAGCGAACACCGAGCAAGCGGTGCGGGTCTGTCTCAGAAGAGCTCGTATTCGATAGTAATGCGGCGAATCTCATGACACACCGTCACCGTATTTCCACGGCACTTTGCAGCTGCACAGAATAATGGACTGATGATAGAGAGCAGAGCCCTACATGCACTACCGCTTCAGAGCCAAGACCAAATCGTATGCACTCTGCCCAGGCATTCGAATGCTCTTTCAATACTCGTGTCTCGGCCTTGCGTAGTGTAGCTGCGTCTCTTGAAACCAGGCAGTCGTGGAATTGAGAGGTCGCGGCGAGAGGTCACAAAGTGCGCATATGTCCCAGATCCCGGTTTGCTACTCTCAAGCAGTAGGCGGTGAAGACGACACCACCGTATTTGCTATATCAGATCGTACACAGCCTCATGCATACGGAGAAAGCCTGTCTACGGAGTCTCGGCCTCTGCCTCCTCCGGTAGCCTGAGACTGCAAGAGACTTAGTTAATTCTGTCCGATGAGCCTCCGCAACCACGCGTCAAACTGTACGAAGCAACCAGAAAACCAAGTACAACAAGAAGAAGAGCAATCATGACTTTTGAATGATTATCATAAACGAAGATCCAAAAAATTACAACAAGTATTCTCTATACACACATCTTTTCGTTCTTTCGATGGACTGCCGTTACTGCTTGCTTGCTATGCTGCGCTGCGCTTGCTGAAACATTTTCTACTCTTTCTTCTCTTCTCAAGGCCAGGTTCAGTTCCGACTCCCTATACACAAATTGCCCATTGTCTTGCTTTGCGCCCTTAGCTCTTCCTGTACAAAGTGGACAAAAACTCCCAGAGAAATACGTGCCGGATCAAAACAAGGAAAGGCATGTGAGGAAGGAGCGCTGCGCTAAAAGGAGAAAAATGCCTCGCTTCCTGCTGTTCATATAATAAACAAAAATGCATTCTTCACTTTTACATCCTTCGGCCAAAATCCAGATCTGGCAGACGTGGTTGTCGTTCGACATCGTGGGGCCGGGATATTGAGGAGTCGCGGCTGTGGTCTCGATATGCGGGTTCGTGTCTCCCCATGCTGGCTGCTGAAGACATCAAGTGGTCATCATCGTGGAAGTTGTGACCTGCGGGAGACTCTGTTCGCCGCTGTTGCTCGACAGGGTCGTAGCGGCCTCGAGCAGGAGCTCCAAATGGAGAAGCAGACACGATAGGAGCTGCTTTGTATGAAGTGTCTTGTTCGCTGTAGGCTGGGTGCTTGACATCTGTCATGAGAAGGCTGTTTCGTGCGTCCAGTGGAGTAAGAGCATCGAAGTCGTTCTTCATCTTTTCGCGTTCCTTGCGTGCGCGTCTGTGAGGGTTCTCCTTGACGCAGGCAATAATGGCGTTCACCGCAATGAGGATTGCGAGAATTCCAGTCATTACAGACTGCACGACAATGAGTACGACTCCAGTCACTGTTTGCGTGGTTTGGCTCAGCCCAAGCTCTTGCACGAAGACAAGAACGCAAACCACTGACAGCACTCGGACGACTTGAATCGTGATGTTGATCCATTTTCCGCTTCGGCGCTCGTAGGGTCTTGACCAGAGGAGAAGAACCAGCATGAGCGCTTCCACGATCAGCTGCCCGGCGACCTGAATCATTCCATGTCCGTCTGCGCCTGCGATAATGCAGCCCTTGACGAACATGTACAGAATCGTAGGAATGAAGATCCACCAGTATCCCTTCTTGTAGTTGTCGTAAAAGAGCGAATACTTGATCCAGGTCTCTTTGTTCTCGTACAGCTGTGACGAATCACCCTGCGCTTTCTTGGCCTGTCGCGCTTTGGAGACAATTTTCCATGTGAACCACCCCAGAAGCGCCGTGAACAGCGCAAAGGTGACAGCAGCCAGGACCGTTGCTGCCCAAGAATCTCCGCTGGTGAACTGGTAGACACACCACAATGTCCAGACTCCGTAAAGCATGAGGATCAAGTTCGTAATTGCCTTTGCCATGCGCCACCAGTATCGCTTGCGCCATGACTCGAAGTACGGACTGAGCTTGCCGAATTGGCCCCAGGCTTCCAGAATGGCTTTGAAGAGCAGAATGAGCACGACGATCGATGCTACCACGATGGCCCACACCAGAAGAATGTTCATAAAGGTACTCGATGATGGAATGGACAGTTGCTCGGCGTAGGCCTGAATGCCCTGAACAAAGTGCTGCTCCTTCTCACTTGCGGTTGGCGCATCGTTCGACTCGCTGGAACCGTCGCCTCCAATGTTGACTTCAGTGCCGTTGACAGACGTACTGATCTCATCTCGTGCCCACAATAGCACAGAGTCCAGCGCTCGCTTGGCGACAGAAGAGCCGTTGGATGGCTTTGTGTACACCAGCGTGGCATTATTCTTCAGCCATTCGTAGCTGTTGTGCGTGGTATTTCCTCCAGTGCTCGCTCGGAAGTTATCGATCGCCGTCTGCATTTGGCCCCATGGCACCAAGCCGCATGAGAAGCCAAAGTTCGTTGTAAAGCTCTGGTACACCTTTGGGTATTGAACAGACATCATGCCGTTCATCGCCATTCCTTGGAACCAACCAATGACTTCCGTGAAAGTGGGCGAAGGTGTGGTTGCGCCAGCTCCACCTCCACCAGCAGCCATGGCACCAACAGCGCCCATCGCAAGCGCAGCAGCGGCGACACCAGCAGCCGCGTATCCAATTGACGGAATATTGATCGTCTTGCCATTCCCGACCGAAGACTCCACGCAAGCAATTTCCTGTCCACCATCTGCACTTTTGACCGACAACTTCACCATGCCCTCCAAATCCGGAATGTTGAACGCAATAGCTGGAATTTTACTCGCATATTCCTCCGGTATTGTTTGCGATCCTTTACTCGAGAAGTTGCCTGCAGGTACCGGGCACATTTGTTCAACCCTCTTATCACCACTGCAAGGGTCCCAGTCCGTCTCGTAGACTTGCCTCCCGTACGCCTGGACATCGAGATGTAGCAGTACTTTCTGTTCCTTCGCGCTGCTTCCAGCAACGTTGAATGTGATGAGTCTGGTGTTTCGATCGTATGACGCGTCTAATGCTTCGACTTTGATGTCGTCTGATGTCGAACACAAAGAATAGCCATCGGTTGATAGCACATCTGCCGCGAGCACGCTGGCCGGCAGCGAGCTCGCGAGTAGCGAAAGTAGAATTCGGCGGGCGTTCCGCATATTGGGTAAAGTGGAAAGGCTTTCGCCCCAAGAAAGTGTATACTCGGATACGATACTGGTACGGGATGCTCTTTGGGAAAGTCGTAAGGGTTGTCGTGTTTCTTGCTCAGAAATGCAATACCCTATGATAGTCCCCTGGTCGTGGTCTCGACCGCTGTGACCGGTGTTTCGCCTGTGCGTGATCGCCCCTGTTCACAATCGGGGACCCACAGGTGACAGGGAGCCGAAGTTTGAGGAAACGAAGGAGTAAGATATACTGCGGCCCAGCAAACAACGAGTGTGGGGGAGTAAAAAAGAGCGCCAGTAGTAGAGAAAGTGCTTGATAGTAGATGGAGATGGAAGCCAGCTGCAGAAAGAATACGAGGATGAGTTTTGGGTTGCAGTGGAGAGTTCGATGCCACGCACCCAGTCAACGAGTTTCGCGAGCTTGATTGGACACAAAGGCCTCGCGTCCACTAGTGTAGTGTCCCATGCTATTTCTAGGTTCCACGGCTTTCTTTGTCTCAATCGTCTCCTGCGCACTGGTCAGTCGTTCTGCGGTCTGGACTTGAGCGTCCATGTGCCCGTAGCACACCAGTCACCACGACTTCGACCATTTCTTTGGAGAATATTCTCTGCAGAGAATGTCAGCTGCTGACCGGGGGGAATGTCACCAGATCCGCTCCGTGCAGGCCAGGTGTCGGCTCAAACGCCCGCGCTTAAGCTCGACTGACGACTGCTGGCGCCTTCAACCGAACGCCAGTGGCTGTGCTAGACAGAGACGGCAGTGTCCGATTTAGCACGCCGAAGCTCCGTAAGAATCGCCCCAAGCGTAGGGAGAGCTTGGCATGAGGAGGCACGTGAATAGCTCCTTCGCGCAGCGCATTGCAATGCGCTTTCCAAACGCAGGAAATGGTATGCGAGTATTTCATGAACACATCTCGGCCGGAAGGTCGAAATGAAATGTAGTTTTCGGATCCCGGTCACGTAAGATCGAAAGCTGAATGCCAAGTGATCTCAAATTAGCTTCGGTGAGGCTCCTCGTGGCAAGAAATTCCCCCAAGGCCTCCAGCTGTGAGAGCCGCAGGTAATGACGACTTTCTGATCGGATCGTTTTCTATTGCAAGTCATTCGGCTCTTGTTCAAAGTGAGAGTATACTCTACGCCGCACGAAGAGGATGCGCCGATAGCAGAGCGATTGCCACCCCACAATCTCCCGAAAACCAGCATCGGACATCGCGGCAAACATGTCCAAACTATGGGCCATCGCCGATATTCATCTATCCTTCAAGTCTAATAGGGACGAATGGGCAAAGCTGAGGCATAGAAGCGAGGATGGACTGATTCTGGCCGGCGATGGTATGCTTTGAGCTCCCTGGTGGGCGCGCCCTTGCTGATGACGACAGTCGGAGAGTCCTTGGAGCATATGCAACTGGCATTCCGGAAAGCCACGCGGAGGTTCAAGCATGTCTTCTGGGTCCCCGGAAACCACGAACTATACACCAGTGTCTCTCCTTCCATGAGAGAAGAGGAGAAGAAGCTACGTGGCGAAGCCAAGTATCAGGCTTGTGTGAAAATTGCAAAGCATTATGGAGTTCTGACGCCGGCAGATGATTACATGACCTGGGATTATGAGAAAGAAGATGGGTCGAATGGACAGGCCCTCATTTGCCCAATTTTCACCTTGTACGACTATTCGTTTCGCCCTGCTGATGTTCCGCGAGAAAAGGCACTAGAGTGGGCGCTGGAGGAAGGTATTCAAGCCACGGACGAGAAACTGCTGCATCCGGATCCGTATGCCACTCGTGACGCGTGGTGCACTCGACTCGTCTCGGAAGCTGAAAAGAAACTGGAGAAAGCTGCGGCGTCTGGCCTACCCTTGGTCCTGATCAACCACTGGCCTTTACGCGAGGATACTGTGTATATTCCAAGAGTACCTCGCTTCAGCATATGGTGCGGCACGAAAGAGACCAACGACTGGCACACTCGGTTCAATGCGAAGGTTGTTGTGACTGGACATCTTCATGTCAGAAGAACTGATTGGATTGATGGAGTGCGCTTCGAGGAAGTGTCCTTGGGATATCCACGGCAGTGGGAAGAAGCTAAAAACGCTGGAAATGATATCAACACCATGATGCGAGAGATCTTGCCTGGTCCTCCTACCCCAGAGGCGGGCAAGGAACCTTCAACGGAATTCCTGAGACTAGGCGTTGGGCAGAAACAATGCATATGAAAGCTTTCGCGATCGCTCTATGTCCTGGCTGCAGACCCCGGTAGATTCGAATCGTATGCGCACGCCGAACCCGGTTCTTGTTATACGAAGCATCCTCAACTCTATAATCACCACCAAGCGGAAGCAAATATCGTAAGGCCTTATCGTTCTGTCCTCCGTCCGTCGCCGTACTTCGCCGGGCCGTTCTCCTGTTGCTAGTGTCGCAGCATCCTGTCTACCATTCCCATGAAAAGGCACGAGGCGCCGAGTCTGAAGTCGGCTCTGAGACACGTATTGGCCAAGGCAGGGTGCACGTCATCTCCATGCGCTTGAGCTGGTAATTCGCCGAAACCTCTCCCTCAGTGGCAACAAGCGAGCTATGCTCGCAACCTGGTCCAGTCTTGTTGAAGAAGATAGCTCGACTGTCCTCCTCGCAGGTACTACAGATGTAGTCCGCGTTGGTGCCGAAAACCAGCATACCGGATCTCATGCTACATAGCTGGCGGAAATTGATATGCCGCAGAAAGAGGCCTCCCGAGAGGAACATGATAGGGAACACTTCAGCGAGTGTGTCGTTGATGAAGATAATGTTCTTCAATTCCAGCTCTCGCAAGCTGGGCTGGTGCCGAGCCAAGAAATGGGCAAAAGGCTCGAAGTCAACATCGTGTGCAGCTTCGAGATCCAACGTCTGGAGGCCTGGTAAGGTCACCTCTCTGAACGTCTGGCTCAAACGATCTCCAGCCATATGCCAGAATGAAAGCTTGAGATGGCGAACATTGGTGGCGTGCTCCAGAAACTTTGCCAAGAGAGCATCGCAGCCAGGCCCATGATAGCCTGATTGACCCTCCAGAACCAGCTCGAGCTTTTGCAGTTGTTTCAAGCCCGACAGAAGCGACTGCGAGGGTTTGTGAAGCTGCAGCGCTAGGTGATCGATCGATTTGCGTATCTCTCCGTCTGGCGTAGTGCCTGCCCGTATCTCGCGCACGACGACGCCATCCGCCATCGCACGCAGGACGGCTGTGAAGGCGTGGGTCATGCCAGTAACACGGAAATTTTCGCACTTGATGGTATTCCGGCTGTTTTGGTGCTTGTTTACAACAAGACGCGGCGACAATGCGGGCAACGGCGAGGCCTCTACCTCAATGCGAACCAAGTTCTTGAACCTCACCAGTGCCTGAGTGAGGTGTTTGACGTCGCTTCCGCTACTCGCGTACAGCTCCGCTTCAGTTGGGGGTTCCTCCTGTTCGCTCCGCCACCACTTTCGCAGCGGAGAAGACGCGTAGCGAGGGCGAATATGTACGACTTGGACGAAACCGGCCAAAGTCGAGTTGGAAAGTCCTTTGAGATAGGCGAGGTGTACTTTGTCGAGATGGATTTCGATCGTCTTGAAGGCCTTAATGAAGCTCGGCTGAACAGTATTCTTCAGGTCCCTCGAAGCGCCTCGAAGCGCCCCTATTTTGCGGGGATGGAGATGGCGACAGATCTCTCGTACGACATCTTCTGGAAGGCGGAGCATGCCGGGGATGCCCTGAGACCGTGTGCGAAGTTGGTCTCTGGAAGACATCGTCGGTCGTGAACTCGATGTGACGCGAGAGTTCTCAGGTTTTTTTGAAGAAGAAGAAGCGCCTACTTCCAAATGTCTCTTCGCTGCGATATCAAGGTGGTTCCGGAGTGGTCGAAACGGCAACGAAGAAAGAAGGTGGAAGATGCTGGTGAGTGAGCAAGCACGGAGCCTGTGGAGAACCTCGAAGATCCCGTGCGGACCCACCATTCACTCAAGTGAGCCCAACGGCGCCCCGCGCACTCGCGCATGCCATCACATTCGACATGTCTCGGCAAAGATTGCTTGCGGCGCTGCAGTGCGCAGCCTCAAGCTCAGCAGCAGAGTTCCCCCCAGCTCACCGGAGAATAGTATGCGTTTAGCCCAGTACCATCACAGGCTTGAGCCTACAAACCCGGCCAAATTTGGCGTGAAGACAGTTCGACCTTTCCAATGGCATCATGGTCCATGAATCAACCCCCAACGCTCGCCACGCGCTGCGTCCCATATGGCTTCATTGGGTGCTGCGAGTAGTGAACAATGGATTGCAAAGATATAAAAGAAGTGCTCAGATCCTGTTCAAACTCTCATCCACAACACACCAGAAAACCACTCCGACAACACCCTCCACTCAACCTGCAACCACCCCAGCTCTTCAAACTCCCCACCAACACCAACAAGCACCTCTCGAAGGTTCGAACAACTCAATCCCAGCAACATGCCTTCCAAATGGGAGGCTGTCGAAAAGTTCGCGACGAAGACCAAGCCGCTCAAGGAGATCGGCGGCAACCTGGGCCCCATCGCCGCAGTAGGCACCCCAGTCGTCCAAGGACTCTACAAGCTCCACAAGTCGAGATCTGAGAAGAAGCTGGCCGAGAAAGCTGCTCAAGATGCTGCTCGGGCGTCCAATGAAGCAAAAACGCAGCAGCGACTCACCGAGGAGGCCATCCGCCTACTCGAAAAGAAGCAAGGTGGCTCCTCCCGTCGTCATGGTCACTCCTCACGCAGCTCCTCCTCCTACTCTGGCAGCAGCGGTGGCCACAGCAGCAGGAGCGGCTACAGCAGCAACAGTGGCTATAGTAGTAGCAGTGGTCACAGCAGCGGCAGTGGTCATAGTAGCAGCAGTGGTAGTAGCTGGCGCGCACGCTAGGAGGATGTATGGAGAAGCAGTAGCGAGCATGACTTCACAATGCCGAGAGGCGATTGTTAACGGCCGATCAATTGGGTAACGAACGTAGCATGACGGGCATGCACGGTCAGGTTAGTGTATCCTGAATAGCAGGCAATGCAATCAATGGAGGAAACGCACATTCACTGAGAGCTAGGCTCGGGTAGTTGCAATGAAATTCGTAACTACTTCACATTCTTCGTGCACAACAAGTGGGAAAAGTGATGCCTTGTCTGCTCTTCGAGATCGATTCCAGCTCTGTTAAGGGTCTACGAAGTGCCTCCAGGTCGTAGATGAAAGACCTTGTTGATGCAATCCCTCCACCGAGCTTGAGAACATTCTGCAATTTGTGCTCCCATGATGCCACATGTTCCCGCGCAGAGCCGGCTTCCTGTCCTGCAGTCTACCATTCGCAATGCCTGATGCCTCTACAATACATGAAACATGCCCGCTACTTCATTCACTCCTTACAGAAACTCCTTGTTGAATGTCCCGTATGATGTAGCATTGGTGGCGCTTCGTCGCGGGATGTGTAGATCGTCATGATATCTCATGCTCAACATGTTGCCAGTCGCTTTGAGGAGACGATCAAGTGCCGAAGGGAGATCCCACACGGTATCTCCTTTGGCAAGAACGCCTTTGATCCCCGGCACACCGTAGATGAGTACCGCCGACCAGCCTCCAGGTCCGTGTGTGGCGAGTATCTGGAAGACCTCTCTGGACTCGACTTGGCCGCTGATCACGTGGCGAGCATTGGCAACTTCTCTGACGAGGTGCGGATAGAGCGCGACTGCATTTGCTACCGCTTCGTCAGTCTTATGAGCAGCTCATGTGTCAAAGTGCAACTTACCAAATATCTGCTCTCGCGCAAATGTCTGACCTGTGATCGGCGCCAAGTCGGTGTCGTAATTCATGATGTTGGTGTCGCAGTAAGTGTTCAGATGTCGTGTGAAGGGTGTCGTTCTTGTCCCAGCAAGAGGTTGAAATGCAGTGGTAGGTGTTTCAAAGGTAGTCTCGGTTGACGATGCCGTAACCCTGATGTCGCTGAGAGCGCCTCGAGATACCCAGCTCTGGACGCGTTGATGCTAGTGCCTGAGCGGTAGTCCAGAGCAGTTTCTCGAGTGCTCGGGTCGCGCTTCCCCACGTAGTTGAGCTGGCGGCTTGGACAAGCGTGCTGTGCACCCGGGGAACACCATAAACCAAAAGAGCATTCCAGTCGTGACCGTGAAGGATCAGCAGGACTTGAAATACGTCTTTGGGATGAGATTCGCCGACAAGGTCCGGGAACAGCGCCGCGGCGTTTGCTGCTGATCATTAGGACCGCTTGCCGCATGAAAGGCGACGATCTACTTGCCAATGATGTGCTCACGGTAGTTGGGAGTGACTTGGAGTTGAGTACTCATCGTTGATGCTTGGAAAAGGGTCGTTGTGCCTGACTTAGTCAATGACGGAGGGAGTTTAGAGTTAACAAAGCAAGGATCAGGTGACTGGTTTGTCGTTCCTCACTCCTCACTACGAACTTCACGTCTCCCGTGAAGTGAGTACTTAGAAAAAGTCTCGATTGATCGTGCCGTCTTGGAGTTTCCTCCGGCTGCGACCAATGATGCCGAGCTCACTTGGATACCTCGTGCCCAGAGCTTCAGAGATAGTCCATGACAGTCGCTCAAGTGCCTTCTCCCCATTGTATTTGGGCTTTGCTTCCACTAGCGTGTGACGCACTCTCGGCACTCCGTAAGCCAGTAACGCGAACCAGCCTCCTTGTGACCAGAGAACAAGAATTTGGAAGACCTCTTTGGGATCCACGTAGCCGTTGTTGCCAGTCTGACGGGCGTGCTCTCTGACAAGGTCAGGAAACAGGGCGACGGCGTTTGCTGATGCCTCGTTAGACCTTAAAGAGCAGACCTCCTGGACGAGACATACCAAAGATTTGCTCTCGAATGTAGTTGGTACGGGTGATTACGGGCAGAGCACGATCCGAGTTATCCGAGTAATACATATTGCGTGTGAGGCGATGTTCGTGGGATGCTGCTTCGGTGTGGGTAGTGAGATGTTCCGTTGTCGAGCGCGGTCGTTGAAGATGATCGTGGTGTAAAGGTGTGCGATTCGATACCACGCTGGCAGAGGCAACGGCCACGTGGGTGTGCAACCTGCTGTACTTGTTCGATGCGCAGCCTGCCAGCGGCAGCCCTCACAATGTTGATGTCCGAGCTTTTAGCTTCACTCGAACATACTCCGTGTACGTGCGCATGGCAACCGGCACAGCACGATCTGGGTAGGTTATGTTGCCTACGAGCTGCTCTCGATGGGCTGTTGCAAGCGAATTGTTGAGGCTCTCCGCAGTCGCCTTCAGATTCTCCAAAGGATTGATAGGGGCCACTCAAGCGCCGCGACGCTCTCTCCGCGCCGCCCTCAGGCCCTCTGAGAGACTGTGTGGAGCAACTCGAGCACGACCATGAATAGCTCTCTTGTGTCTTGAACGGTAGTCGCTCCTCAAATAGGTGCATACGGTGCTGTTGTGCTCAGGTCCAAGCCGATGAGCGCAGACCTCTTCGCTCCACCGCAGAAAGAGGCTTTTTGGAGACTGAACGCCTTGAGGTGGAGTGTAGTGAAGCTCTTCACTTCACATTGAGCTCCTGCGCTCTTGCTTCACATGCAGCTCGTGCTTGGCGGGTGACTTGTCCCTGCAGATGCAAACGATTAAACCCTGCAACATCTTCTGGAGAACAAACGGCTTGAGTTTCCTGCACTTCACCTACCTCTTCGGGAAAGAGAATCGGCTGTCGAGGACTTCTCTCACTCACAATGGCAAGCATTGTCCCATTGAGAACTCACTTCTGCCTCAAAGAATGGGCTTCTCCGCAAACTTGCCGGGCCACTGTCAAAACGTTCTCTCTCCGCCCTCTTCCTCTTCCTCTTCTCTCCTCTAGTCACTCAGCAACACTTCCGACCTGAAAACACTCTATACAACTTCTGGCAACCAGTGTATACAGCTCTTCACTGCTTCACTTACCGACTCAGCCTTTCATTCACCTTCTTCAAGATGTCAGCCACTCCTGTCACCACTGGCACTGCTACCACTCTGCCGGAAGTCAACATGCAGGGACTTCGAGAGCAAATTTTCGGTAAGCATGCATGCATGTGATTGTGCTGGTGCGTCTGCGGCCAGGCTCATCGCTGACCTCACTCCCCAGCGAACGCCATGACTCTGTATCCGCAGCTGGTCAGAAGCTCTTATCAGTACAACTGCACCGGTATCGCAAACGCGCGAGAGATCTTCGAGATCGTCGTCACTGCCTCTGCGTACGACAATCCAACCTACACATACACAGCAATCTTAGTAAGCGGCAGCGCTCTCGGCCGAACCATGGCAGCCAAAGGACCTGCATCTCCGTCCGTGACCAGCGCTCTCGAAGGTCTCCTGCGTACCACATGCGAAGCTCTCGGCTGGTTCACCGAGACCTTACTTGGCGAGATGCAGCACCCAGAGGCCAGCGACAGTGGTATCGTCAACTTCCAGATGGTCGAACAGGGCTTTCACTTCGCCCACGTCCAGCGTCACATGAAGCCTTGAAGCTGAAAAGAGCAAGCATGTATGGCATTCTCCAGATTCCCCTTATTGGCTGTTCGCTGACTTCCTGTACAGAGACAATGTTCAGCAGATCGAGCTTGACAACGCACGTGAGAGGTGCAGCAAAGTTGCAAATAGAAGAAAACCCACGAAAGGTATGTATCTTGCGTCACTTTCCTCGCGCTCGTTTTGCGGCGGCAGCGGCAGCGAGTGGGCAGATTGGCATGCGGGACAGAGGTGGCATTTCGCAGAGAGTAGCTCGAGCAGTAGCTCCTTCTCCCGATCTGGTGGTTCTCATGGAACTGCAGAACACGATGCTCCAGGTAGACTTCTCGAAACGAACGTCGGAGTTGCCGCACTCCTCACTCGTTGTGCCTCTTCTCATCTTCGCTTGCTCCCGTGCTGCCCTGCGATTTCATCTCTTCCAAAAAGAGGAATGCTCTGTCCCGCATCGTAAAGCGAATTGTCTGCTATCGAATGCCGCAAAGCAGCAGATAGTAGGCGGCGATCAAGCAAGTGATGTGTTCCGCTGACCTCTTGTTTCGCGCCGATGATGGAACTTCCTGCTGCCAAATGTGGTGAAGGGGCGGGCAGTGGAAGGCCCGGCAGACGGGACGATGCTACGCTGGCCACTATGCTCCGCTCTGTACGACAAAATGACTGCTACCGAATGTGTCGAAGCGAGGTATGGCGGCCAGTACAGCGGACAGAGTGTTGGCGAGCTGGGTTCTGTGCTTCGCTCCAGATATCATATTGGCTGCTACCATATGCCAAGAAACGACATGGAGTGACTGAGATTCAGGACAGAGTTCTGCATAGCTGACTTCTCTCCTTCTTTCGCCTGCTTCCGAGAGTGGCAAAGAAACAGATGATGGATGGCGAAGCAGAGGGGGAGTGATGTGTGGTGAAGGAAGCGCCATCGCCGGGCCGTGGGAGCTCGGGCTTGGCAAAATGTCACCCTCGCTCTCACCACCTCCTTTCTTTCCCTGTCCATTCAAGCATCAGCTTCCACTTCCTCATGAAAGCGCTACGCAATGGTGGCGAGTATGGACATAAAACCAGAGATAGACACCTGAATGCTTGTCTCCGCAATGTTCCATCCCAACATCATCAAAGCGTCGGGCGGCTGTTTCGCGTCCATATTCACGATGGTATGGAAGCAGAATGGGGCAAACATGCTGACTTGTTGTGAATGTCGCCGTCCACGTTCAACCATCCACAGTAAAGCACAAAGTTCGACTGTCTTGTTCCTAGAAAATTATCACCAACATTCTGCAAGTACCCTAGCCACAACACACACCAGTCGTCATGTCCGAAGCACAAGCCTGGCATAACTTAGCCCGCGCCCTACGTGGAAAGCGAGGAGAGCACCCAAAGCGAATATATCAGCAACAGACACTCAGCCCCCGAGAATTTGAAATCGGCTTGGAGGAGCGCGATTACAGATATTGCGAGCACGGAGGCCGCCATCAGCGCAGAGTCAACCATCTCCGTCCACGAAGAGTTTGAGATCTGAAAGGATCGTAGCAGCAGAACATATTGCCTCCCCCAAAATACTGAACAAGAATCAGAGCACAAATCGCGCCACTTCTGTGCTTCCTCTACTCCACCTGAGCCTCTTCAGTCCCCGGACTTTGGCAATTTATAGGTTGTCCTGCGACCTAGAATCATGTTTCAATCAGCGGCCACGCAAATGTGTTGCGATGCAGCAAGACTTACCGGTGAAGCACAACATCTTGCCCTCAATCCTTTCCCCGCACAATTGTCTTCGAACGCGCTCACGGATTCAAGAGTGATCTCCACTAAGAGTAGCAGTCCCTTCTGTCAGCTCGAACATCATCATTGCACTCGCATGTCCAGAGAAATATTGGGAAGGAGTGTGAAAACAAATGAAGATCGAAGCAGCTTTCTGCTTAGAAAGTACGTACATGGACCACAAGAAAGATCCTCAATCCTCGCTTCGTTCGTCGCACAACAATGCGCTTCCGCGTACAGCTCCATTGGACATAGTCGCTCTTGTTGTCGGCGGGAGAGCGCAGCCGAGCACAGCGCAATCGAGCTGACAAGGTAGATGAGTATTTGCATCGTGGTGACTTTGTATATGCGCGACCCAGGTGATGATGACCAAGTGGCAGAAGCAATGCAAGCAGCAATCAGATTCGATTTACGCAAAAGAGGCAGGAAAGAGGAAGAAGGGTGGTGGTAAGGAAGGAAGCAGCTCTATTCTTATTTCGGAACGACTTCTCCAGATTACCCCCAAAATTTGTTCTACAACGTCCAACGTTCAGAAACGTTCGTCAAAGCACGTGCCGGCCGCAAGTCGTAGCACTTCCTCCAAATGCATGAAAACTTCAGATATGTAGATGCTGAGCAGTGGCAGCACCTACCAGTACTAGCCCACACTGTCATTCAAAATATCTTCTTACAGTCCAATCCGCGACGCCTGCCACTTCCCGTGCCGCATAACCGCAGATACACATCCAGAATCACCACCGCACTTCATTGACTCCGATCCACAAACTATTTTTATGGCAACGAAACAGGCCCCCTCATATCTGCATGCCATCCAAGAACCCAGAGAAGCATATACAACTGGTCACAAACATACAGAAGGTGTACCTTTCGTCAGTGACGTTGTGCTGCATATTGCGTCGGCTACCTGAGCCATGGCCAAGTTCATTAGACCATGCATGCAGTTGCACGGTGGCTCTGAATTCTGGTGGAGAATTTATTGCATTGTAAAAGATCATGCAGGTTGTTCAAGCGCCACTCAAGCTTTCGCAACGTACCCATGGCGGTGTAGGAAGAGTGGCAGAGAACATTACTGGGAGGTGAGAACAGAGTGAAGAACACAACATTCATTATTGTAACTTTTGATAACTTTTGTAGCTTTGTGCAATGACCACCACTCCTGCCCATCTTCTATCCCTATTACCACTTCTTAGACATTACATCCTCCCCTGTCTGACAGATCGGCCAAGCACCAAGCTCGAAACATTCTCGAACACTCTCAAATCTATGCAACGTCCACGTTCACGGCTTGGTTGTCGTTTCCAGCCGCCGCCGCTCCGTCGCCGCCAACCTGCGCGGTAGGCACTTGGGTTCCCGAGTTGTTGGACTGAGAGTCTGAGTCAGCGGAATCGTCCTCGGAATCATCGTCAGAGTGGTGAGAGTGGTGGGAATCGTCATCGTCCTCGTGCGAGTCATCGTCGTCTCCAAGGATGTCCAAGAGACCACGACCGTTGATTGCCTGGTTGTTGATTGCCTGGTTGTCGTTACCAGCCGCTGCTGCGCCTCCACCGCTGACCTGTGCGGTAGGAACTTGTACACCAGCGTTGTTGCTCTCTGAGTGGCTGTCCTGCACCCAGCTGTCATCGTCAGAAACGAGCCCGCGAGCGTTGATTCCCTGGTTGTTAAGCGCCTGGTTGTCGTTACCAGCAGCTGATGCGCCACCACCAGTGACCGAGGAGGTAGGCACCTGGACACCAGCGTTGTTGCTCTCGGAGTGGCTATCAGTCACCTCGGAGTGCTCGTCAGAGATAAGTCCGCGGGTGTGAATGCTGCCCACTCCATTGCCAACAGCAGATGCCTGCAGGTTGCCGTTCAAGTTGTGGGCTGTCTGAGAGTGGTCTTGGCCGAGGATGTTGAGTGTCTCGCGAGCATTGATCTTGCCAACGCCGTTGCCGGTAGCGGATGCCTCAAGGTTGCCGTTCAAGTTGTGGGCTGTCTGAGAGTGGTCTTGACCAAGGACATTGAGCGCTTCACGGGTGTTGATCTTTCCAACTCCATTGCCTACTGCCGAAGCATCCAGGTTTCCGTTCAGGTTGTGAGCGGTTTGGCTGTGGTCCTGACCGAGAATATTTGCACGGGCGTTGATCTTGCCAACTCCGTTTCCAGTGGCCGAGGCGTCAAGGTTTCCGTTCAGGTTGTGAGCTGTCTGGCTGTGATCTTGGCCGAGAATGTTGGCGCGAGCATGAATTTTACCTACACCGTTGCCAGTAGCTGATGCATCGAGGTTTCCGTTGAGGTTGTGGGCCTTCTGGGAGTCATCTTGTCCAAGAATGTTTGCACGAGCGTGGATCTTGCCAACTCCGTTTCCGGTAGCTGATGCGTCGAGGTTTCCATTCAAGTTGTGAGCCTTTTGCGAATCGTCCTGTCCAAGAATATTTGCGCGAGCGTGGATCTTGCCAACGCCGTTGCCAGTCGCCGAAGCAACCAGGTTTCCGTTTAAGTTGTGCGCCTTCTGAGAGTCATCTTGACCGAGGATGTTCGCACGCGTGTTGATTGTTCCAACTCCATTTCCGGCCGAAGTCGCCTCAGGGCCGCCAATCAGGACGTGATCATTATGATGATGGTGGTCCTCTGTCGTGTCAATTGCTCCTACACCATTGCCAACAGTTGTGCCCTTTGGACCGCCAATGAGGACGTGATCGCCATCAAAATCGTCGTCGTCTTCCAGAAGCTCGACGCCGCGCTTGGAAGCCCCCGCGTCCTTGTCCAGAATGTCTAGGAAATCGTTGTCTTGCTGGTTGTTTCCGCCGCCTCCACCACCCCATCGCTTGCCGACGAAAGTCTCTCCGTGGTGGTGCGAATCGTCATCATCGTCGTCTTCCGAGTTCAGGTTGAGCGGCGCGTGTCCAGGAGAAGCGGCCTCCTCGAGGTCCACTGCCAGCGCGGAATCGTCATCATCATCGTGTCTCGCAATGAGGTTCTCGCTGAAAACGCTGCGGCTGCGAAGGTCGGTAAGGCCACCGCGTGTCGGAAGGGCTCTTGAGGCTGCCTGCATGGCACCAAGGCCAACTGCGAGCACGATAAAACGCATATTGATGGAAGTGGATTGTTTTGGAGAGTTGGGAGAGTGTTGAGCGAGAGTAGGTGACTGAGGGGAGATCGAATGAGATCGAGTGAAGCTGTGTTGTGAAGAGCTGAGTTGTTGGAGCTGTGATGATTAGTACTAAGTGGACAGAGAAGGCAGCATATATACCTTTCTCGCCAGGCTGGTCATACGGGGAGGTCGATATTGGTCAACAGAGTCTCAACCTTGCCAGCGTTGCTCTCTGCCCCTGGTAGCCATGGAGATCGCAGTTACAGCTGTGCATGCTGGGCTTGCACTGTGACGAGTGAAGTCACTGCTGCAGGAGACGTTGTGATGTCTCAGAGCGATGAGGCATTTCCAGCACCCCGCAAGTACCGCACGTTTCCTGTGGCCTGCAAAGTCAACGATCAAAGCAGCTCGTTTCTCAACTTCCAGTGATCTTACCATCAGTATTGAAGACGTGCTCTTGATGTCTGGGACGACGTGCATATGCATCCAATTAAGTTTATCCCCGTACCTGAGCCAGCGGCGGGTCATCCTCCCGCACAACTGCTACCAGACAATTCTATTCAGCCACAGCCGCAAGGGCCGCGGTGAAGCCATCAGCGCTCACTGGCCCGACAACGCGATATGAAGCGGTTTTTCTCCTCCGATCCACAGGCGTCCGAGATTGCTTCATGTTCGGGGCAGTTGTTCGAGCTGGTGACAGGACACGGTTCGCGGCGAAGGGATTGAATTGTTCAGCGGGCGGTTATCTGCCGAAGAGAGGGTGTGAGACATGTGGTATACAGCTTGGGTGAAGGTGTGACTGCAGTGCAGCATTCGTTCTGAGACACGACTGCCCTCCTACGAACGTTCGTGGTTGCCGGTAGTCGCAGCAGAAGGAAGGAAGCTGCACTGCTCGCATCATGTCTGTCTTCGACCAAGGCTTGAAACGAAACTCTAGCATTACCAAAATATGAGAGTCGTTCCCCGCCTGCTGCAGGTGTGAAGTTAGGTGCTGACGCCAGACGTTGCTGGAAAGTTTGGTCTTCCGTCCGGCATCGGCATGCCGAGTCGGAACGGTCTGACCCGCGCTGGCTCCTGCAAACGGTGCGGCAATCGCACAGACTCAATACAGCAAGTCCAAAAACACCAAGGAGCGGCGATGTAACGTTCTGAATAATCACGTGTTACCTATCACAACGAAATGGGCATCAACCATTGCTGGGGATATTTGCATTCCACTCTATCGACTCATGTTGCCATTGACCATCAACTGTTGCCAGCAATCAACTGTATCGGAGGCATAGCAACGTGCGTTGAAGCATTATTTTGAAGTACTACGTTGAGGCATAATGCTCAGTTGACTCAGAAAGTATTACAAGCTCAGGCCTCATTGCCAACCTCTGCAATTCTGGATGCGGCGCCATCAGGCCAATGATCGCCTCCACAGTCGCTGGCGAGCACTACTTTTCTCATCAGCTTCGTACAATCTCGAGCATAAGCTGGAGTTGGGATTATCCTACGCTCAGATAGAAATGGTTTGTCAGACCCAATACCGACACCAGCGGCTTCATGTATCTCATCTCAAATTAGAGGACACCTGGGACAGGGAGACCGAGCAGGCCACCCTTTGGCTTTCCGTTCGTTTTCTCAGTAGCCTTGCTGTGCGACTTCTCTACAGACTTTTGATTGCCAGCCTTTTTCGAGGAAGCCTTCTTGTCATGAGTGTCACGCCTCAGTACGCCAGGGACAGGCAGACCGAGCAGGCCACCCTTTGGCTTGCCGCTTGTCTTCTCAGTAGCCTTGCTGTGCGCTTTCTCCAGGGCGGCTTTGTTGTCAGCCTTCTTAGAGGCGGCCTTATTGTCAGCCTTCTCGACGGCAGCCTTGTGGTTGGTCTTAACAGCAGAAGCCTTGTTGCCATTCTTGTCCGCGGATGATTGTTCTGCGCGGCGGCCGAGGTCAGACACGCTTTCCAGAATGTTCGCTGTGAATTCGTCGGTAGCGGCCTCGATATCAGTAGCATCGCCACGTCGGAGGACGCCTGGCGCCATCTTGGTAGTGTCGATGGATGGGATTGGCTCAAGGGCGGGCTTCAAACCCTCGGCCAAAGGCTTGATCTCGCTGGCCAAGTCACGTCGGAGAATGCCTGGAATGAGCTCACCCTTACCACCGAGAGCTTCCTCCTCGGCGGCAGACAGGGGAGCAGCAGGTTCAAGGCGTCGCAGGATGCCTGGTAAAAGACTGTCATGGGCCGCTTCAGAAGCTTCATCAGCGGCTTTCTCAGCGACTTGTTCAGGAGAATCCTCAACGTTGGCACTGTCGCCTTTTCCATGAAAAAAATCATCGTCTGCAATTTGTTTGCGGAGTTCTTTGACATCAGGAACGCCACCACTTGCATCAAGATCGCGTCGAGGAGTGCCTGAAGCAAGTTTGGCAGCAGAGAGAGCAGCTCCAACTCCTTGCGTAGCAGTGCCAAGACCATCGGTTGCAGGAGCCAGAGAATCCACTGTACCGCCATTGAGGAAACGACGTCCAAGAGTGCCTGATGTAAGTTTACCAGTATCTGGGAGACCTTTGGTGACGCCATCAAGACCGCCAGTGATGCCCTCAAGACCCGCGATCTCACGGCGTCCAAGAGCACCTGATGTAAGCTTGCCGATGTCAGGCAGACCCTTGCTGTCGCCTCCAAGTCCGCCAGCGATGCCGTCAAGACCAGCGATCTCACGGCGTCCAAGAGCGCCGGAGGTAAGTTTGCTAGTATCGGGAAGACCCTTAGTGACGCCTCCAAGACTTCCCGTGATACCGTCAAGGCCGCCTACATCACGGCGAAGGGTGTCTGATGCGAGCTTGCCAGTGTTGGGAAGTCCACTTGTAACATCCGTAAGCCCACCAGTGAGGTCACCAACTCCGCCAGTGACACCATCAAGGTTCCCACGTCGCACAATGCCTGGAAGGAGACCACCTGTAAGGCCACCGAGAGGGTTTCCTGCGTCCTTAGACTCTGCCTTGTTCTCCTTTCGACGCTCGACACTGCTTGCCTTCGGTGCCTTTGGCCCTTTTGGTGCTTGCGACCCTTCAGGCTCCTCTGCTTCGGGTGCTTCGGGTGCTTCTGGCTGCTCCTCTGGACCTTCTGGGCCCTCTGGCGCTTCTCCACCCTCCTCTTCTCCTCCCTCCTCCTCTCCTCCCTCCTCTTGGCGACGCTTGATAGCACCAAATGGAACGAGATCGCCGTGTCCATCGATACAGTTAATTTCGTCATCGGTCTGGCCATGCAACTTGAGAAGATCGGAGCAGAAGATGTCGTCCTCGGAACCCGCTACTGGATTCGCTACCACTCCACGTGCACCAAGCGCGCCGATAGGGAGCTTCTCAGTCAGATCACTGACAGAGTCCAGTTCAAGCGCTCCGCCTTCTCCACGTTTGCCAAGCGCACCGATAGGAAGCTTCTCAGTCAGACCACTGACCGCATCTAGACCAAGTCCTCCCGCTTCTTCGCGTCGATAATTACCGGTGGGAGCGGCGATGCTCAGACTGGCCAAGCCAAGGAGGTAAGTGGGAAAATGCATGGTGCGAAACGATCCTCTGGAAGTGTTATAAATGAGTGACTAGAGGCATTTAAGCCCACGCTGTAAAGACCGGAATGAGAATGTTCGTGTGCCAACAAGAAGCAGCAAAGAGGCTGCCATCTTATATGGTACTCTTGACCTTCTGCATGGGAAACAAAGTTCCTGCTCGTTATCTCACGCCGAACGGCTCAACCTCTCCGCGTAAGCTGAGTGACGTCCGAGAATGGTAAAGCACGCATATGCGAGAGTTCATCTTCTTGGTTCAACCAGTTGCTCTGGCGCACAAAATACTTCGAGTCATTTCGGAGACGCTGGTCGTTTACCCTTTTCTTCGGTGTCGGGATGCAGCTTCTTGGGTCCGAACCGTTGGATGTGATCCTTCCGAGATTCGTCATGTTGTGGAATAGTATTCGTTGCGTGCTGTCGCAATCACTTCTGCGCACATCGTTGCGAGAATGTTGAATAGTATGCAGATTGTTTGCAAGGAAGGGTCACAGTGGTGCCTTCGTCTTTTGCTTTTGCTGGTGGTTGTTTCCGCACCCCTTGCGCTAAGCTCGATTTGGCAGGCAGGACCAAGACTTCACATTTCCTGTCCACTCTTCATCATGACAATCGTACATCTCCTTCATTGGGTGTTCGATATCTGGTATATGCCTCGTCCATCATCGTTTCATCCAGATTCGCAAATTGATCTGCTTCACCAAGTGTCGCAATTGCTGACAAGCAAGCTCGAAGCCGACCTGCAGGGATCAGAAATACTCAGGCAATGAGGCAATGAGGCAAGAAGAACTCCTGACCCACATCAAACAACACTTCGCCCCCGTTTTTCTCTTCTCGCATTGAAATTAAGAGGAAGAATTGTGACCTGGAGCGTCAGAAGAGCAAGAAGCTGCCTGATAACATAGTAATGTCGCCGTACTGCCCAATCTTCATATTCATGTTCCCAATCGCTCATTAACATAAATCGGCGATGGACACACAATGGTATTGTGTGCAATCCAAGCCTGGAGCATGCATATACCTATGTACACACGCTTCGACTCGACTCAGCGTCAAAATACTCCACTTGAACTCCCAGCGTCACTGACAAGATCATCAATCCAATCTTACGCAAAGCCAAACCCCTTCTTCTAGCAATGTTATGTGCAAATCAACCCAAGTGTCCTCGGAAGACAGTACACCCACTTCTCACACTACATCTCCACTCCAAAAATCCAATCTTTAACCTACAAGCAGGCAATTCACCCCCAAGCCTAGCCCTTGCAATGTAAGTTTTTCCTCTCTAACCACTCTTTGGATCCCAACAACCCTAACCCTAACCAACTATTGCCTCACCTAACACAAATAACAAAGCAATCATCATTGCTAGAGAGCCACTACGATTCCCTTGCTACAATTTCAATATCAAGGTAAGTAGAACGTCTCCAACTTGCGTAACCTTCGCCGTTCAGCTGTTTCCTGAAGATCCTTCTACGAATCGCTATGCGGAACCAGAATTTACGAGTTTGTATACCCTATCTGAAGGATAGTCGCGTAAGAATGATGAGCCCTTCTCTCCAACGAAGTATTTGAGCATCCACCAACGACCCTGCAGACTTAAGATCGCAAACATAAAGTGGGAAGTAATCATCATCATCAATGGCTTCTCGTTCATGCGTATATACAAGTCTAATATCTTCATCACATCATTCATCTCATCCTCTTGACACCCTCTTGGTAACTCAAGCAACAAACAGTAAACAGTAAACATTATCCCATCATCCCATCACCACTTGCACTACTTCTTCTCAATCCCACACCTCGCCAAGCACGAGTCTACAGCCTGCACCAAGTTTGCTGGCAGACTTGTCCTGAATTGCTCAATATTCGTGCCATCGATCTGGTTGATTTCGCCCAATGTCACATTCACAACCCCACTATCCAAAAAGAAGTAATTCTGTGCAACCTGACTCGTTCCAGGGTCCGCAGAATTAAACGTCGCAATAAACGTCGCCGGTTCACATTGATGATTAAACTGATAATGAATACTCCCCAAAGGAAAAACCGTCGCTTGGAAAGGTCCGAGTTCTTGTACGGAGACTTGTGTTGTTTGGCGACCTTCGGTGGCGTTGGCGAGGAAACCGTTTTCGAGCATGAAACCTGTTTGGAATTTGCCTTGTATGACTGTGAAGAATTCTGTGGCGCGAGGGTGGGTGTGAGGGGAGTTCATGGAGCAAGGGTTGAGGAAACCGACGGCGGTGGAGATGCCTTGGTTTACGAGGATGGGGAAAGTGTTTTGGTTGGCGAGGATGAAGCGACCGCCTTGGCCGAGGGGGTTTGCGCGGGCGCCGTAGTCGAAGACGAGGCGGGAGCGGAGGGTGTCGTCGGGGAGGAGTTCGCGGCCAGCGCCGTCAACTGTTAGGAGGGCGTTGAAGCGGCCGACATTTGTTACGGCTTGAAGAGCTTCTTTGGCGAGGGCGACGTTGGCGGCGGAAGCGGATGCAGCGGCGCTGGATGCTACTGGGGAGGGCGTTGGCGGTTGTGAGATGACTGGTACCGTGTTGCTTGGTGCTTGTTCTTGTGGGTAGGCCGTTACGCCGGCAGTTGCGCCGAGGCCGGCAATGATGAATTTGGCGAGGCTTGACATGATGTCTGGTGGGCAGTCTTGAAGGCAGGTGAAGAGATCAGAATGGCGTGGGGACTTCCTGCCTCTTGTACTTTGGGGAGACCTGTAGCTTGAGCAAAGAAAAGTTGTGAGCTATACGAACAAGGCAGGAGGAGGGGAAGGGCTGAGTGAACTATTGTCTTGTGCAGGTGCTTGTTCGTTCGATATGCTTTGAGGAGCTGCAGCATGTTTGGGCCCCAGCCTCTTATACACGACACGACATGCAGCAGCGGCTTCTTTGTGTCTGCATCTGGCCGCGAACCAGGCCGCCAAGACGCCGCAGCAGATCGCATAGTCAACCCTCATGATGATCTGTTCATCCTCTCATCCTCTGGAATCCGCAGCTCTGTTGGACGCCTTTGCGCGGCGGCATTGTGCCAGACCCTCAGTCTTGGAAGGCTTGCTCGTTGCTCTTGGAGATAGTGCGTCTACATTGATCCCCAGCCATTGTAAATGCGATGGCTCTCAGCTGTCTGCAGAGTCCCGATAGCTTGTGCAACACCGCGTCTCTCAATCGTGTAACCGCGCGTGGCAGAGGTGATGTGGCTGGGAGCTCACACAGCCAAGAAAGGTAGAAGGTCGCTAAGAAGGTGATGCAAAAGCCACTAAGCGCTAACGTGCAGGAATAGGCACGGCAGAGCCCGTAGACGCGTTGGTGGCAGCGGCAGCTGGAGGTGCTGCAGCAACACAAACTTTATGTTTGGAGAGAAGCTGCGCATATGTCATAGATTCGTAGGATTTGAGGAGTACAGTATCCGCGTCCTGCGTATGGAAAATGCGACGAGGTCTTGCGAGCAACGGCAAGACGTTGGCAGGTTCGAGTGAAAACTGCTCATGCAAAGCACTTCTCATTCTCATAACTTCGTGACATATATGCTGCGCTGACTTAGTTTGCAAATGCATTATGTCTCGGTCACTGTTCGCAATAAACGGGACTAGAGCTTGTCCAAGTCCATCTTCGTCTAGCCACACGAGCACGAAAAGTCATTGGCCTGACATGACCGTGGGCTGCGCGGGCTAAGGCATGGCGACCTGGCAGTGCTGATCAAGCAGTCTGAGTTGCATTGGACCATGCTGACAATGCCATGGCTCGAACTGTCAATGGACGTGGCATCCTTCTGCAGCTGCGTCTGACATGCCGAAAACAAGAAGCGGTGACTGCGATACATGTCATGCAGGACATTCACCTTTACTTGAGATTGACCGGCAAGCATAGGACCCGCTGCTCTATCAATGCTCTGATATGAAAGAACCATACGGCAGCCCTGTCGTTGACATGGGTGTAGTGGCGTTTCGCGCTCACTTCACTTGTTCTCGTCCAGTTCCATTGCTTCAGCCTCAACATCTGAAGTAAGGCTGCCCGCGTCTATCCCGGCGACACTTGTATGTGCGGAGCTATGATGGCCATCTTCAGGCGGAGATCTGGGCCGCTCGTTGGTCATGTCCGGTATCATGTCATCAGGACCTCTCGTTCGACGTCTCAACCTGCGCTTTCCTACTTCATAATCATGATCGTCAAATGCTTCAATATCTGTCGGCTCTGCAATGCTTTCGTTGGCAAGACTGTGCGTTCGCTTGGTGTGGTTTCCCTGTTTGCGTTCTCGCTGCCGTCGTCGCTTCCTTTCCTGCAAGAAAGCCTCTCTTTCATCTGCGCAGTCCATTTGCGACAATCTCTGTGCTAGACCGATCGCCTCGTCCCCGCTGACATCAGTGGCGGTATCGTCTTCAGCGAGGTCACTTTCTTCATCGCTGCTATCTGCGGATTCTGTTTCGTAGGGCAAGATGCCGTCTACATCCCCCATGTACCCCGCGTCATCGGGTATTTCCTCCACTTTGATGTTGTCGACTGCAAGTCGTTTCTTGGCTGGCTTCGTAGCGGGGCTCGCAGTTTCGTGGGGATGTATGGAGCCGGCGAGGCTGGCAGGCGAGTCGCTGCGCTCGAGCCTTGACCGCTTTCCTGGTCGCAATGGGCGAGACGGTGTGTATGGCGGGGTTGGTACGCCCGATAAGCTGTTTTCGGATGTGAAACCGGAGGTGGAGTGCAGGTAATCGAGCATGCTCGCCATGGCGAATACGCAGCCCGTGCTGTCAGTGTGCGCACAATGCCTCAGCGCGCGTCGCGCAAAGATGATCGTATGTGGTATCGTCTGACGATGTCGGATTGTCTGTGAAGAGCCGATAGTATCATGTTTGAGCGCTGGAGGGGCGAGTGTCGAGGTGCGGGCACAACGAAGCCTGTCTTATCTGACCGGACGTAAGCAGGGCGGGTGCTGGCAGGCGGGCGGTGGAAAGTGGGAAGTATGGAGCGGACAAGGCGCGAACTCGCGATAGAGAGGTCGCAGGAGCGGCGAGGCTTTTGAGTGGGTATGGCCTTGGTTTGGGCAGCAAGGTGTGACTGGTTTCGACGTGGAAGCACCCTGCAGGAGCGGCGTGGTGGGATGATGATGAAGCACGATAATGCTGCTCGCGTCGATGCACCTCGACGTGGCAATTCGGACGCGGATTGGAGGAGCGGACTTGCCAGTGTTTGGTAGCGGTTGTGTCAGGATGGCATGCGTTGGAGCGATGCTCGGTCGACGCATCGCGGAGTGATATGCCTACCTATCAAATTCTTCGCCGACGGAGACATTCGGGCACGCCTGAGTAGTGCTGCCTTTGGCTCGGCGACTCTGCGACGGTGGCCGTGACACGACCGGGTACATGTGCTGGCTGCATCCTTAGCGAGCCCCGTTTGCGCGTGCATCATCACCATTGACACGTGCAGATATGGGAGAGGAGGTGGAGGAGAGAAGGGAAGGCTGAGGAAGCGCGTTTGTGGAAAGCGTGTGAAGGCAGAGAAAGGGTCAGGCCATCGGTGCAGATAAATGGGCGCTATTTGGCTATCCCGCGGAGGAAGGCAGGTATAACATATTTACCTCGTGAGGACTGGCATGTTCAATACCAGACCATTGGGAGTACTTTGAGGGCACACAACTCTTCACTCACATCATGAGCAGTCCTGTGTGCTATTCGTATCGACCAATCTCTAAAACTGGAAACTCGCAGGCGTCCAGACTTGCTGACTCCCCATTCCAACGTCATGGATCTCCTACACATCTCGCGTGGACAGACAGAATGCCCCAGATACCCTCTGAAAGCTAGAGATACGGGCAGAGAGAAATACTCGCAGTCCTTGCGCAAGAGTGAGAAGTGACAGAGTATGCTTGTGAATTGCACGTGGTCGGCTGAATATCGATAAGTGATGTGAGTCCCTGGCCAAACAAAGTCGGGCCGCCAAGCAATTGGAATCTGGAGAGCTGGCTGCTGAAGGTGTACAAGTGGCTTCCATTGACGACCACCGCGCCCGCCCTGTCCACCACCAACGGCACTAGGAGCCACCGCACCTCCCGAGGAGAGCTGCACCGAATCCGCACTCTCACTCTCCCGCCTGATCGCGCACTCCCTGGTGCAACAGCACCTGCTTGGGGCGAAGGCTCCCACTCCCAGATCCCGCTATGGCTTCCTCATCTAGCCCCTCGATGCTCACCAAATTCGAGTCCAAATCGTCGCGCGCAAAGGGCATTGCCTTCCACCCCAAACGACCATGGATCCTCGTTTCGCTACACTCGTCGACCATCCAGTTGTGGGACTACCGCATGGGAACCTTGATAGACCGCTTCGAGGAGCACGATGGCCCCGTGCGAGGCATTGACTTTCACAAGACACAACCGCTGTTCGTGTCAGGAGGAGATGATTACAAAATCAAAGTATGGTCATACCAAACACGAAGATGTCTCTTCACCCTGAATGGCCATCTCGATTATGTCCGTACCGTCTTCTTCCACCACGAGCTGCCATGGATTATCTCGAGTTCGGATGATCAGACTATCCGCATCTGGAATTGGCAAAACAGGTCGCTGAGTATGTGCTGCGCTGTCAAGAAGCTGCAAAACATTCGCTAACAGGTCGGTAGTTTGCACCATGACCGGACACAACCATTATACCATGTGCGCACAATTCCACCCCAAGGACGACTTGGTCGTCTCTGCCTCGCTGGACCAGTCAGTAAGAGTTTGGGATATTTCAGGTCTGCGCAAGAAGCACTCTGCTCCCACATCCATGTCGTTCGAGGACCAGGTCGCTCGATCAAATCAACAGCAGGCGGATATGTTTGGCAACACCGATGCGGTGGTGAAGTTCGTTTTGGAGGGGCACGACCGAGGTGTCAACTGGGTCGCTTTCCATCCTACACTGCCTTTGATCGTCTCCGCTGGTGACGACAGACTGGTGAAGCTGTGGCGCATGAGCGAGACCAAGGCATGGGAAGTGGATACATGCAGAGGGCACTTCCAGAACGCATCTGCAGCTCTCTTCCACCCACATCAGGACCTGATTTTGTCCGTGGGTGAGGACAAGACCATTCGCGTTTGGGATCTGAACCGACGAACTTCGGTGCAGTCTTTCAAGAGGGAGAATGATCGTTTCTGGGTTATTGCGGCACATCCGGAAATCAACCTCTTCGCTGCTGGCCATGACAACGGTGTAATGGTCTTCAAGCTTGAGCGTGAACGGCCAGCTTCTGCTGTTTACCAGAACAACCTCTTTTACATCACCAAAGAGAAGCACGTCCGCTCGTACGACTTCACCAAGAACGTCGAAAGCCCTTCGATGTTGTCACTAAAGAAGCTCGGCAATGCATGGGTTCCTCCACGAACATTGTCCTACAACCCTGCTGAACGCTCGGTCCTCGTCACTACACCCGCTGACAGCGGAACCTACGAGCTCATGAGCCTGCCACGCGACGCTTCTGGAGCTGTGGAGCCCACGAGCACCCATCGTGGCAATGGTAATTCCGCAGTCTTTGTGGCACGAAACCGATTTGCTGTCTTCAATGCGCAGAACCAGCAAATCGACATCAAGGATCTGCAGAACTCCACCACAAAGACAATCAAGCCCCCAGCTGGCACGACTGATATGGTCTTTGGCGGTACTGGTTGCTTGCTGCTGATCGCACCGACACATGTCTACTTGTACGACATCCAACAGAAAAAGCAACTCGCCGAGCTTGCAGTTTCGGGCGTCAAGTACGTCGTGTGGTCCTCGGACGGCTTGCACGCTGCTCTCCTCAGCAAGCATAATGTCACAATCGTGGACAAATCGCTCAAGCAGATCAGCACGCTCCACGAGACGATTCGAATCAAAAGCGCTACTTGGGATGATGCTGGTGTCTTGCTCTATTCGACCCTCAACCACGTCAAGTACGCGCTGATGAACGGTGACAACGGCATTGTTCGCACACTTGAACATGTTGTATACCTTGTTCGCGTCAAGGGACGCAGCTTGTACTGTCTTGATCGCGCCGCGAAACCCAAGATCCTTACCATCGACCCAACCGAGTACAGATTTAAGCTGGCTCTGGTCAAGCGACATTACGACGAGATGCTCAACATTATCAAGACCTCGAGCTTGGTCGGTCAGAGCATCATTTCGTATCTTCAGAAGAAGGGCTACCCAGAGATTGCGTTGCAATTCGTGCAAGATCCAACAACACGTTTCGATCTTGCTATCGAATGCGGTAATCTCGATGTTGCAGTAGAAATGGCACAACAGCTTGATCGTCCAAAGCTGTGGCAACGTCTTGGCGCGGAGGCTTTGGCACACGGCAACCACAAGATCGTCGAGATGACATATCAGAAGCAGCGAAATTTCGACAAGCTCTCGTTCTTGTACCTCACGACTGGCGACCAAGAGAAGCTCAACCGCATGGCAAAGATCGCCGAACATCGCGGCGACATCACGAGCCAATTCCAGAACTCGATATACCTCGGCGATGTGCAAAGCCGGATAGAGATGCTGAAAGAGGTTGACCAGTACCCACTCGCATATGTCACGGCAAAGTCGCATGGACTCGAGGACGAAGCACAGGCTATTCTGGAGGCGAGCGGGTTGTCCGAGGAAGAGATCAAACTACCAACTCTTGGAAAGCCCATTGCCCCACCCAAAGCTGTCACTCCTACATTCCAAGGCAATTGGCCTACCAAGCCAACAGGCACCAATGCGTTCGAGAAGGCCCTCACTGCGGAAGATGGCGACGCCGTTGTAGATACCAATGGCTACGGAGAAGAGGACTTACTCGGAGAAGATGCAGCTGCTGCAGCCAATGGCGCTCTGGATGAAGCAGGAGACGATGATGATGCAGCGGAAGGCTGGGACATGGGTGATGAATCGATTCCGGAGGTTGAAGAAGACTTTGTCAATGTCGAGAGCGCAGAAGCTGGTGCTGGCAGCAGTGAAGCCGATCTCTGGGCACGCAACTCGCCTCTAGCAGCTGATCATGCAGCAGCGGGCAGCTTCGACACCGCTATGAACCTGCTCAACCGACAAGTGGGAGCTGTCAACTTCAAGCCTCTCGAAGCGCGATTCTTGGAGATCTTCCAAGCCACTCGCACATACCTGCCCGCCAACTCTGGACTGCCACCACTGGTCAACTATGTTCGCCGAACACTCAACGAGACCGACTCGAGAAAGGTCCTACCCCTCATTCCCCGCGATCTGGAATCAGTGCTTTCTATCGAGATTGCCAACGGCAAGAACGCGATGAAACTCAACAAGCTCGAAGACGGCAGAGCGACATTCAAGAAAGCGCTGCAACTGCTCATGGTCAATGCCGTGTTATCTCAGAGCCAAGCTCAAGAAGCCCTCGCTGCCGTGCAACAAGCTGCACAATACGTGCTTGCGATGTCCATCGAGCTTGAGCGAAGGACGCTGACCGGTGGCTCCACTGACATCAGCAGCTTCGACGATGCCACGAAGAAGCGAAGTCTTGAGCTGTCTGCTTATTTCACAGTTCCCGAGATCGAGCCCCAACATCAGACCCTGGCACTCTTCTCCGCGATGAACTTTGCCAACAAGAACAAGCAGCTGGGAAGTGTGCTCAACTTTGCAAACGCCTTGATCGAGCGCGGCACCAACATCAAGTTCAAGGAAACCGTGAGTCCAGCCATCTTAAACAATTGCTCCAATCAATACTGACTACTCGCAGGCGCGAAAATTGAAGGCTGTTGCCGAACGCTCACCTACCGATGCCATTGAGATCGAATACGACACATACGCCGAATTCGAGATCTGCGCTGCCTCTTACACGCCCATCTACGCTGGTGAGGCCAGCTCAAGCTGTCCCTTCGATGGTACGAAATACCACACGAAATACAAGGGCACGGTCTGCAAGGTCTGCGAGGTGTCAGCAATCGGTGCGCCAAGCAGTGGTCTGCGTTTGACGGTATAGCGAGTACCAATAGAGGCTATTTCGTGGTGGGTGAATCCTTTCTGCTTTGAGCAGAAAGCAGCTTCTGGCGTATGGTGTCATCATGCCAGCTTTTTGACTAACTGGCTGGGAGGAAAAGCGAGAGAGGGACACGAATCTAGAGGAGTCGCGACTGAAGCCGGGTGCTGGGTTGGACTTGAGAGTTAGCGAGCATGGTGTTTTCTGTAAACGTCTTGTTTGATATGAAGAAAGTGGAAATACCAAAGCTTTGATCGCTTCTCAGCGTGCTGGTTCTGGCACTGGAGAGGTAAGTTTTGCAGCACAAGCTCGAATCGAATGAACCATACCAAACACACAGGCACCGCTTTTAGACTTATCACACAAGCAGATGCCTCATGTGAAAGTCTTTAAGACGTAAAATTTGTTGCTGTTGCGAGTACTCTATCCGACGGAAAGACCAAACGACTACACGCTAAATCCCATCCAAACCCGAATCCGAAAACGCCGGTCCAATGCTTGCTCGTCCTCGTGGCTCTCGTTCTACCCTACTTCGTACATTCTTTCGTGCGCTCGTCCAATCTTTGTCTCGGTCATTTCGTTCATATGTTGATACTTCGTTATTCTTCTCTCATATCGCGGCTTTGGTGGGCAGGCCGGCCAGCGACCACCTTTCTTGCCATTCCCACGGCTTTCCTCATCTCGTGCGAGGTAGCTAGCCTTGCACACGCTCTTTTGGTGTGCGGAATTCTGGTTCGTGTCTCGTACCCATCTTTCCGTCATTCGTGGCACCATATTGGGGTACAGTCCATTGCTCAGCTAGAAGCCTTTTTGCTTCTGCTGACTGCTGCTCCGCTCTACTGCTGGCTGATCACTCCCCGCCCTTCTGCTTCTTCAACGCCGCAGCCCAAGCGTTCGCCGGGATGGAGATGTAGTTGCTCTTGCCAGAGGAAGAAGGTCCTGCGACTGCTTCACGCTTGCCATTGTTCTTCTTGTTCTTTTTGCTCTGCTGGGCTTTATAGTTCTTGAACCAGGAAGCTGATGGCAAGCCGGAGAAGACTTGTGGTTCTGCTTCTGCTTCTGCTTCACGGCGTTGGATCATGAGGGGTCGGTATTCTCCGTTCTTGAGATCGAGGACACCGGGACCTTGAGGAAGATTTTGCTTCGACTGTTCTTCTGCTGCGCGCTTTGCGGGATAGCCGAATTGTTTGTTCCAGCGGTCTAGTGCCGCCTGGGATTCCGGGGAGATGGAGCCGGTTTCGGGGTCGACTGCGACGGAGAGCGCGTCTCGCTTCTCCTTGGCAGGATAGCCAAATTGTCTGTTCCAGCGGTCTAATTGCTCTTGGGCTTCTGGTGAGATGGCTCCGGTCTCAGGATCGACAGCGACTGAAAGGGCGTTTCGCTTCTCCTCAGAAGGTCGCCCGTCCCAGCGATCTAGTTGCTCTTGGACCTCTGGTGGAACGTAGCCGTCTGGGCCTACCGCGACGGAGAGGGCGTCTCGCTTCTGACCCAAGAACTGTTTGTTCCAGCGTTCTAATGCTTCCTGGGACTTCTGCGGAAGAGTCCCATCAGGGTTTGCAACAAATAAGCCGGCGTCTCGCTTGTCGTTATTCGATTTGCTGCTGCTGCCGCTATTCTTCGCCTTTTGCCACTTGTTCACGGCCTGCATGAACGAGTCTGGAACGCTGCCGTCCTTGTTTGCTGTGTTCCATTGAGCTTCGGCATCCCGCTTCGCTGGTGTCCATGTTGATGGATCAAAGCCTTGGAAAGCAATGTTCTTCTATTCGTTGTTCAGCTTGGATGATCTCAAGACACATCTCCTACAAATTGACAACAAAACTCACCTCAGCCAACAACTCCGGTGGAGGAACAGCAACAGGAGCAGCGCCCGTCTGAGCGGCGCAAAAGGCCAGCACAGCTGCCGCAATATACGAGTTCATCAACATGATGCAGAACGAACGAAGAGAAAGTTATTTGATCTGACGAAGGGGAGGACAGACTTGGTCGATCGGCCTTTTTTATCTTGGACGGATGAACTGGAAGTATTGCTACGGCATTATTAGAACGCCTACCAAAGGCGAAACGCCTAGACCTTCGAACTGTCCGAATCTTGGTCCACCGGGTAGAGAATCGCCAAGGCGTTCTATGACATTTCAACCATATATGAGTAGTATGGTCGAGCGGTGATTCGTTGGATTCGCGGAAACCCATGTCTAGCGTGCACAAAGCCTGCACAAATTCGACTTCATCGCACAATTCGATGCTGTGCAAGCTGCTTCTGGACTAGATCGAACATTCCGGATTCTGTGCAGCACCGCGAATTGTCCCGTTCCTGGAGGCGCAGACTGTCTAGAAAGTGCCTTGTTGGCCTGTGATTCGTTGCAGGTGAGTTGGCTGTCGTAGACGCCAAGGGTGTGGTATGTACCGAAAACACCGAGACTGAGCGGAACGATCGCTACGATGATTCGTCATACGTGCAGTTGTAGTGCGGCGGGGTTAGAAGATGATGGCGAACGATGGCATCGATGCAGTCTCTGGACGGAATCGCACGAAGGAACCATTGCAGGGTGGGAACAAACTTGATTCCAGTCTTGGCAAGCTGTGGGACGAGCGCATCTGGTTGATGTCTGCATTCCAGAGTCCAGGCCTTTTCGCTACTCTGGCGAACGAGAGATGTTGGCCCATTTCTGACCTTGTCCAATTCTTTGCGTGCATTGTGCTTTTGCGGTGTTGACATCGAGAATCTTGCCTGAGTACAGCATGAAAGCTCCATCGATGATGCTTTCGAGGTCTGGGATCCTGGCTACACTTCACTTGCTTCTTACTCCACTGGCATAGGTTCGCTCTAATGACCCATACTCAGAGCGACTTTCGCTGGTATATTTACAGTGCCGCAATACACAAGTCGCCTGGAAGTCGTATTTCAATAGCAAGATACCCAATCTTTTCTGCGAGGGATATCAGTTCGAGTCTTTCCGCTCTTGATGCGTTCGATGGAGCTCTCGAAAGGTTGAGCCAAGGCAAGCAACAGGGCTCCATCGACGATGTTCTGTAAGATCAGACTATGGCCCAAAACCATTCGCTTTATTTGGACCGACCCTTTCCCCTTATGACTCCACCGCCACTGGAACATTCTTCGTTCACCTCCGGCCGCCTTAAGCCAGCCCATTTGTAGTGTCGCGGCACGCAAGTCTTCCGGGAGTTGTGGTCCAAATGGCAAGGAACTCGACATGTAATTCTGTCGAGGGACGCTATTTCGGTTCTGGCCTTCTCCAATATCTTTTTGATTGATTTTTACGTGTGCTGTAGCCCGCCCGTCAACAGTCTCAATTGATACTGTCATGGGAAAACTTGCTGCAGGAACGACATCGATAGCCGCGGAAGCACGTGGATCACTCGAGCAATTTCTCCTCTTGCCATCGCTTTGTACCCTAACTATTCGGCGGCCTCAAGCAGCAAATATGTAGCACCGAAGAATGCTGTCGTGCCAACAGGGGATGTGGTCCAATGGTAAGATCCTCGGTCATAGAGACTCCCTTAGGGGAGTGTGACGCCGGCTGAAATCAGCCCGGTGTCGCTCCCACGGTCATAGCACCGTCTGAGCCAGACGAGGGATGCCAGTTCGATTCTGGCCTTCTCCATTTTCCTTTTGCTTCGTTGCATCTTTACTGCTTGAAGATCCGCTCGACAAGCACAGGATGACTTCCTCGAAATCATGCTCTTCAAGCTTTGCTCCTTTTGCTACAATTTCCCGCACTCGTCGTGCGCTCCTGAAAATCCCTTTCATCTCCACCTTTCACATACAGATTCCATGAACCCTTCCAAAACAACCTTCTCGTCGACAACAAACCGGGCGTTTGGCGCAGTGGTGTAAGTTGCACAACATCGTCCTACCCGTTAGTAAAGATGCTGACTCTAATTGCTGACAGAGCGCGTCTGCTTCGCATCTTCCTCGAAGACAGCAAATGCTGAAGGCCGCCAGTTCAATCCTGGCAACGTCCAAAGACTTTTCTTTTTTGCTTGGTTCGTGTCGTTTGTCGAAATGCAGTGGGCCGTCTTGTGATACATGGATGGCGGGTAGTCGCCTCCAGCTCCTGTGCTCTCCGTTGTTCTCGTTCTTGACACCGTGCGGGAGGGGGCCGAGAGGCTTAATTTTCTTTTTGCATTCTAGAACATACCTAACTCGCTCGAACGTGTTCCAAAATTCTGTTGATCTTTCCTCAATTTCTCAGCCATTTCTTTTGCTGGCACCAACATGTATCCTCTCATCTGGGGTATATCAAATCAATCTCCTCCAATTTCAACCTCAATCTCTTCTGACATCCTCAAATCATTTCAGATCAAACGCTCGCTCTTCCAAACTCGCTTCCCGCTCACAAAAACGCCGCAAAAACCATAAACACAAACGCCAAAAACCCATACCAAGTCGCCTGACTCCCACTTCCCACTCTCCACGCCATTCCCGTCGAGCCTTCTGTCCGGTTGTATAACGTAATAGCCAATCGTCCACCACAAATCTCGCTCGCATTGCCGTTGCACGCGAAACTACAGTTCGATTCGTCGAGTCTTTCGCTAAACGTGGAGAGGTAGGGAGAACAGTAGCATTCGCGGCCGTATTCGAGGCCGGCGAATCGGGCGTTGGCGGATTGGCAGAATTTGAGGCAGGAGCCGATGGTCATGGAGTTGTTGGCGGACTGTAGTAGTAGGAGCGGGATGTTAGCATAAATTCTGTGTATGCTGAACTACGCTTGGAGAGGACGCGTATGCGTATGGACTTACGAAGTTCCCGACTTCACTCAGTGCTCGTACACCGCCTGACCCAGCTACATCGATCGTCTCATTCCAGCATCCAGCATAAGTATAGCCATCTGCGTTCGGCAGCGGAGTCGCAGAAGGTCCAGCAGTAGTCGGATACACAATATTCGTATCCTGCGCCGCGACCAGCGCGATCATCATCGCCAGAGCGCAGATCAATAGTCTCATCATAGCTCCAGACATATCTGCAGTCAGCCGTCCTTCGAGTGTCGCGAGCTGTGTCGGCAGAGAGACAGGAGTCTTTGGAGGAAGCGTTCACCTGTCACATCAAGGTGCAAGTGAACGGGCGCGGGGTTTCCATCACCAACAGTGCAGAGGGCGCAGGATAGCACGGCGATGTAGAGTTCGACCAACAAAACACGCACGGAAAGTCAAAGAGTCAATGGAGGAAGCTGGGCGAGCTGGCTGTGTGAGGTCGCGTCCCGCCAATCCGGTTCAGCCCCAGAAGCTCGGACAGCACAACAGCTATATTTAGGGCTGTCACTCTTCACGAACAGCATCACCGGAAATGGAGTTCATTGAATGCTGTGAACTTTTGACTAGTGTCATTTACGCTAAGTCACTGACGACGAAACCGTAGGGTCTCGTTCGATGCTCACACGACCTTATGAACAGGTCGGCGCTCATAGCGGACAGAATGCTTCAGCTGAACCACAAGCGTATCGAAGTGACACGGTCGTGCGAACTGCGTTTCTGGCTTGTCTGGATGCGAACATCAATCGGGCAGTCGAAAGATGAAGGACAAGTTGCTTGAAGACGAATGACCACATCCTGGCCTAACGACTGCCAGCTCGTTCCAACTGTCACGACATGTAGAGCGTGCTTGAAGCGTGCAAGCTGGATCTCTGCCGTGTCCCATTTTGTTTTCTGGATGGTCCTGTATGCGTAGGATGCCATGAGGGTATCAAGAACATCTTCCGCAAGATTCGATCTGTGCAGTGCCAACGTAATGCATGGAATTCACAACTTCTCTCCTTGCTTGAGTTTATCGACTGCACTGGCCAGCTGCTCGGCTGTTTCGTACTTTTGTGCGGCCTCACAAACAAAAGCTGTTCCAGCATGAGCCAGTCTCCTCAACGATTCTTCCCACAAAACCATCATGAGATGCCCTCCAGTTCGTTCGATCGCCTCCTCTCTTGACAGTGCGAAAGACTTCAACTGTTGTTTGAGAGGCAGAAAGATATCCGGAAACTCAAGTGATGGGTATAGGGTGGTCATGCGCTTCCAGGAAGCCTCCGGTCGGGTGAAGCGCTCTTCTACACGGGGGCTCTTGCTCGAATCCAGCAGATAAGTGGCCAGAGTGTCTGAACCGAAGGCGCACACGAGAAGAGGATTTGCACAAAAAGTGAAGCAGGTGCGCAGAAACTTGACTTCGGCTGTGTCCGATGCGTCGGCTTTGGCGTACAAGGCTGTCTGGAGGTTGCCCTCGTCACCTGTGTCGTAAATCATCTCGATAGGCTTGAGCTTTGGTGGAGCAAGAAACAGGCCCCGTTGAAGTATTTTCGAGTGCGCGATGCAATTCTTCCACGTCTTGCAAACGCTCTGGGCGAAGAGTAAGTCCTTGATTGGCAGCTTTGACAGAATATTCTCCAGAAGCTCGACCGTGTTGAAGAGATTGTGGCATGCATCAGACTGCAACACATTAGCTCGCAACTCGAAGAGCGCGGTTTTCAGCTCGAGTTGTACCTGCTCGGCGCCTGAGAGCCCCTCTATTACGACTGGCATCTCGACAACCTGATCGTCCAGCTGAGGAGCGGCAATCTGGCTGGCGGAAGAACTCGCCGTATTGCTCATGGTCTTGCCGTCCGCGTTGCAGGGCTTGTGTTCGTCGATTTGATCAGTCGAGGGGCCCTCTATCTTGCTCGTGGTGTTCTTGACTACTTCGACCTGTCCAGCGTCAGTCACCGAGCTAAGATTGGAAGTTGTCGCGCGCACCTGTCCAATAACTCTGTCTTGAGCCATGATGGTTGTGTCCGCCTGTGTGGGGTGAGAAGTGACACTGATGGTGACAGATCGGGCGTTCAGTGCTGAGAGTTGGTGCGCAATGGAACGAGTAAGAAGTGGAAGATGTTCTTCAAATTATTTCAAAGTTCAGGCAAGAGTGCTGTGGCTGTCAGTAGCAAACAGCCCCAGTGACCTATCACGCGCATAATCACATGATAGCAAGTGAACTGAACGCGGACGGCAGAGACTTACCGCAGCATGAAAAGACAGCGTAACACCCAGTAATAGCATTTCAGCTCCCTAACGCACGAACCATGTGTGAGACAGGAATTTCCTAAAAGTAACCTCGTGATGCAAGTCGTCAAGCACTGCCATTGTCGCATGGCATAATGCCGCCTAAACTACGTCCGCGCCCGAATTCGTGTCGTATCGCCAGCCTCCTTGGCAAGCGAAAGCAAGCCAACCATGACCATGTACATGATGGTATGTGAAAAAGCAGCAGTCATGCCATGCCACCTCGAGATCCTCGATGGCCTCCCAGGTTGGCCGGCCGTCCATCATCGTGCAATCCGCGTCTATTCCATGTGTCGATCCGCTGCTCTAGATAGCGTACTTCCTAGTCCACTCTCTGGCGGTGGCCTCGTAGCGAGAGCGGTCGGTCTTGTAGACGTGTGCGATTTCAGGCACCAGCGGGTCGTCTGGGTTCGGGTCTGTGAGCATGGAGCAGATGGATAGCAGCACTGTTGTCAGATCGTGGTCAGCGTCTTTTCACAAATTTACCCCTCCATCGAGTCTCGTGCCCCTCTATTCTGCCCAGATCGTGCAGATGTCGCACGTCGAGTTTCCTGTTCCACGCACCTTTACTGATAGTGAGAGCGGGGCTCCACTGATCCCTCAGAATGTCCAAACAGATGCTGCCATTGCTGTTGATGTTCGGGTGGTAGATGCGGGTCGTGAAGTTGACCTTCGGTGGCTTGAATGGGTAGTCTGTTGGGAAGTGGATAGCGAGGAAAAAGACACCGCCCGAGTATGGTGAGTCGCCGGGGCCCATGATGGTCGCTTGCCAGTGGAACTGCGTGTATCGCGCGGTTAGTCACATGTGCCACTTTGACTGGGGATTTCGAGCGGTGCACTGCCGCACCACGGCGACTCGAGGGAAACGGAGGAAGTGCATGTACATACCAGGTCGTCACCGATAGGTCCTGCGCTGCATGATGAGGGAGGGTCACTGTGTGGCAGTCAGTATGTCGGCCTTCCACGACGTGCTGCGGCGGTGGTGACTGCGTACCGGCCCAAGTCCGTCAGCTCCTTGTTTATGCGCTTCAAGGCCATGCTGTCGATGTGAATGTGTTGTGGGTGCTCGAGTTGGTGGGACGAGCGCGGTGCGAGAGTGTCGGTCGGTGTGGTTGAAGTTGGTAAAAGGTTTGTTGCGTCAAGCGCAGAGGACTGTTGGTGACGAAGGGCAGAAGAGCGAACAGCGGTGCCTCCTTCCCCCGGAAACCGATTCCGAGGATCCTGGCTCCGGTGACTAGTTGGCGGCGCGTGTTTGGTGCCTGAGCAACGCCGCAGAAATGGCTACCGGCTTCGCTCTTGTGGTTCGGGTCAGGTTTGGCTTTGTCCCAGCTGATGACTGTCCGCGCTGTCGAACGTTGCAGATGAGGAGGGAAGGTCGAGGACGCGAATCGACCAAGAAAGAAGGTGGCGTTTCGATGCTGGCGAGTGACACAATGCAGGGCTTTGGGCTTCCACGTCTGGGCGGCTGCGGCCATTTATTTGACAGGCGCTTGTCTGGTTACTATACTTGTACACAGCCTCAATTCACGGGCAGTGCTGACACATGCAGCCGCTCCTCATATGGAATGCTACAAATCGTGCGACATGTTTCCTGTATACTGTACAGATTTCTTCGCTGTGTCCATTCCATGCACGCCACGCCTTTCATACAATGACGCCAACCTGAAACTCTCAAGGCCTAAACAAAGGCCTGAATGCCGGTAATGGCCCGACCAAGGATGAGTGCTAATAACAGGTCAGCATGTCCGCTCACGTGTGCATATGCGATAAGGAGTTGACTTACCATGAATGTCACTCTGTCCTTCGTAAGTCTGCGTCACGAACAAGTTCGACACATGTCGGCCGATGTGGTACTCATCGCTGGCAGCGTTGCCGCCGAAGATCTCCTGTAGATTCCTCGCGCCGACCAGTGCACGATCACAATTTTGACGTTTAATCATCGAGATCATCTCTGGAGCTGCCTTGCCCTCATCTTTTAGACGCCCGACTTGGTATGCGGCTTGGATGCCGAACGCTGCGTCTGTCGCAGCATCTGCAAGCTTCTTCTGCACGAGCTGATACTTGGCGATCGGGTTGCCCTTGAACTGCTTGCGCTCGAGAGCGTACTCTCTTGCTCGGGCTATGCAGTCCTCGAGAGCACCGATAACGCCCCATGCAATGCCATAACGAGCGCTATTCAGACACGAGAAGGGACCCCTTAGGCCCTCGACCTCTGGAAGCATCATCTCCTTGGCTATCGGCAGGTTGTCCATTTGAATCATGCCAGTTATTGATGCTCGCAGACCATTCTTGTGTCCAATCTTTGGCGTCTCGAGCGTGCCTGGCGGCGCCTCAGAACGCTCCACCAGGAAGCCACGAATCTTGCCAGTCTCCTGCAGCTTTGCCCAAACGAGCATCACGTCTGCAATTGGAGAGTTTGTGATCCACGTTTTCGAACCCGACAGGCTATAGTAGCCCTTCTTCGTGGGGTGTTCCTTTGCAACACTCTCCATGCTGCCGGGGTCCGACCCGTGGTTGGGCTCTGTCAGCCCAAAACAGCCCAGCATCTTGCCCTTCGCCATTTGTGGTAGAAACTTCTCCTTCTGCTCTTCGGATCCGAACTCTTCGATACCACCCATCGCAAGCGACGATTGTACACTCATGCCTGACCTGTATCCCGAGTCTACTCTCTCCACTGCTCGCGTGATCAATCCAGAAGCTACCGAAGAAACTCCTGCGCAGCCATAGCCTTGTATCGTTGCTCCTAGCAGACCGAGCTCGCCCATCTCCTCGAGGATCTTCTTGTCGTAGTTCTCATTGCGATACGCCTCTGCGCATACCATTAGCTGCCGTGTCTTGCTAGCAGAAGGTTTTGGCTGGCTTACCTAGCACTCTCGGCAGCATGCGCTCTTGACAGTATGATTCGGCTGTTTCTGAAATGGCCAATTCTTCCTCTGTGAAGTTGTATGCTGACCCCAAAGGGTCTTTCCAATCGAAGGCGGCAGGCGTCGAGGCATAGCGGCGGCCAATGGGTTGCGCGAGCTGCCTCGCGGCACGTGTGGACACGGATCTAAGCATGGTGAGATAATGCATTGAAGTATGGAGAGAAGTAGGAAAGTGGAGTCCAGGAATGGATTGAATTGTTCTACCAAGTCTAAAATATCATGTTCTGCAGAAGTCAATGTGCCAGCCGAGGACGATCTCGCAGCAGACCGGCTCGCCGAGGCCGCTCATGAACAGGGTCCGAAGAGGAAGCTGTTGCCGGCGATGATACATCCTGAAGCAGCAGTTCTCGACGACGTTCGACATTCGTGCTGATCATCGTCAGCCTCCAATTGGTCAAGTTGATCTCATTTCCAGTCCGCTGTAGATGTTGTATGCAGAAGGAGGTGATGGCCACAACGCGCTCTCAGTGAAGAAAGCACGTCCCGCCACTGCCGCCTACGTCACGTCACCACTTTGACGCGAACGCGTCTCGAACTTCAGCTTCATCGCGAATTCCGATCTCGACTTCCGACTCCGGTAACGACAACGAGGTAACACCCGACCAACCGCCAACATGGGTATCAAGAGTAAGTCATGCCACATACACCCTTGGCCACGTTTGCTAAACGCATGCAGACCTCTACCAAGTGATCCGCGACAACTGCCCCGATGCCGTCAAGGAGGGTGAGATCAAGACGCACTTTGGCCGCAAAGTCGCCATTGATGCATCCATGTCGCTCTACTCCTTTCTGATCGCTGTTCGCTCCAATGGCGAGCAGCTCATGTCGGACACCGGCGAGACTACCTCACACTTGATGGGCATGTTCTATCGCACATTGCGCATGGTGGATAACGGAATCAAACCGCTCTACGTCTTCGATGGTGCACCACCAAAGCTCAAGAGTGGTGAGCTGGCAAAGCGTTTTCAGAGAAAGAGCGAGGCACAGGAGCAGCATGAGGAGGCCAAAGAGACAGGAACGGCTGAGGAAGTCGAGCGGTTTTCGAGAAGAACTGTGAGAGTGACCAAAGAACACAATGCCGAAGCGCAGAGACTGCTGAAATTGATGGGAATCCCGTACATTATTGCGCCGACCGAAGCTGAGGCACAATGTGCTGTACTAGCAAGAGCTGGCAAGGTGTATGCCGCTGCTTCGGAGGACATGGACACGCTCACTTTCAACACCCCGGTCTTGCTGAGGCACCTGACCTTCTCAGAACAACGCAAGGAGCCGGTGCAGGAGATCCATCTGGACCGTGTACTTGAAGGGCTCGACATGGACCTCAAGCAGTTCATCGACTTGTGTATCCTCCTTGGCTGCGATTACCTCGATCCAGTCAAGGGAATCGGCCCAAAGAACGCGCACGCCCTAGTCAAGGAGCACAAGACGCTGGACAAGGTTGTTGAGTACATTGAGAAATCTGGGAAGTACACGCTTCCTGAAGACTGGCCCTACCAAGATGCTCGACAGCTCTTCCTGGAGCCTGACGTACGTTCAGCGGATGCTCCAGAGTGCGACTTCAAGTGGGAAGCTCCAGATGTGGACGGCCTCGTCAAATTTCTGGTTGAAGAGAAAGGCTTCAATGAGGATCGTGTCCGTTCCGCGGCGGCACGTCTGCAGAAGAACCTCAAGTCGGGACAACAATCCCGTCTCGAGGGTTTCTTCAAAGTTAAAGAGAAGACCGACGAAGAGAAGGCATCTCTGAAGCGTAAGAATGAAGAGAAGGTCGAGGCTGCCAAGAAGAAAAAGAAGGACGAGGCCAAAGAGAAGAAAGCTGCGAAAGCCAAGCCGAAGATGAACTCGTAAGAGCATCGAAACTGATGTGCATTTGTTTCCGAAGCGCTGGCGTTGGTTGGTGTTCCACAAGCTGCGAGATGCCGCTGGGTCTTACATTGCTGAAAAATGGGTTTCTTGCTCCGGAAGAGTGACGACAGCAATAGTCTGGAGAAGTTTCGCTCAGAACGAAGCTCCGGTGTTTGTATGTATCAAACATAACAAAGCGATCAACACAAGGAGCAATCTGGCTCATCCACGGTTCGTACAAAAGAGTTGCTCTTCCTGCTGCTGACGTTGCCAGGTGAGATCTGCACGCCTTCCTGCCGACATCAAAATGGCAGAATCGAGACGCGAGTACGGCGGTACTGCTGGTGCTCAACTTGCGGCCATTCCAGAGCTCATGGAAATGATCCTTCTTGAATTGCCATTGAAAGAAGTCTTGGCTGCGCAGTGCGTCAACAAAGATTTCAAAGATACGATACGGGACTCGCACAAGCTACAAAAAGCCCTCTTCTTCAAATCAATCGATGAGACAGTTCTGCACCCCATATCGAAGTTGTCGGCACCACCCGCATGCTCGTCACCACAAGGATGCCATGCCAATAGCAAAAAGGGCGATTGGTCGATACGCGAACAGCAAGACCCGGTAACACATTGGGCGCGCCAGGCTCCTAAGCCAGACGAAACTCGTAGAACGACCACACTGAACCCTTTTGTTTATAGAGTAGACCCGCCGTGGCTGGAATTCATTGAGCGACGCCCGACAGTACATGGGACAGTGGACTACTACAGAATAGTCCGTACTGATCTCACTCCATCGGCTCATTCGTACCTCACTGCCCAGTCTCCGGCCTCCCTCAAGAGAATGCAAGTATTTCAGCCTCCAGCTTCTGAGGTCTGGCTGCACTGTCCGGCCATTTTCGAGGCCAAAGATGAAGACGGCAAGTGCTACGAGCCCCACTGGCATAGCGTCCAGGCGAGACAAGGTCAGCCTGGTGTCACTGTAGGCGATATCAAAGAACACGCAGATCGCTTCGGTGGGACAGTTGAACTGGTCATACCCTCTGGAACAAAGCTCTTGTGTGGACAGGGCTATGGGAGGTGGTACGTGGGATCCGGCGAGCTTCAACATGAAACCCAGCTCATGGCGACTTGTTCGAGGACGATGTATGAGTTTCTGGAGCCGAATACGGAGCATGTGCCTGCTGCGCCGCCGCCGGCTCCTACCGTGCTATGCATGCTTGGAAGAAAGCCAGTTAGTCGCTTCGACTCGTGCATAGTCGGATGGCACAATCGGCGTTGAGGGTCTGGCTGGTATATGGGAGAATGATGACCATGAATTGCACGTGCATCTGGTCAAGGGTCGGCGAGAGGTGCGACATTGCGAGGGCTTCATTCTGTGGCCAATGCGCGGCCGAAAGTGAGAGTGGGTCTTTCTGTCTAACAACGCAGGTTCTGGATTCTTGCTTTTATGAGGTTGCAGCTGTTCTAGAATTGCAATGGATTTGCAAAAGCCGCATGAGACGGCCGAGATGGTTCGCGTCATTCTCGGCCCAGTAGCAGTTGGATTAATCAGCGACGGGATAGTTGAGGACTTGCGTTCGATGTCACTGTTTGATGACTGTAGTAAGTAAGAAAGCAATGAGCCGCGCTTATGTGTACAAGGTCTGCTACCTGGTCCCAGCAGATCCCATTGAACTTCTCTCGGCACTTTGCAAGGACAGAGCAAAAGTTCCTCTGGAAACGAGGACAAAGCCAGACCCGATGCCATACCTATCACGACCCCTCCAGAAGGCAGCTGAAACGTCCCGCAAGGGCTTCGAATTGGCGATTTAGACATCAGCATCTGCCAAGCGATAGTACTATGACAAGGGCAGTTGGCAGCTGTAAGGCCGTAACCCGTGGTCGCCGAGCAGTAGCCATAACGGGTAAGAAACAAACGAGCTACCTGCGCTTACGATTCAAGATATGCAGGGCTATAGAATATGATCCACGCATGCAGGGCGGAAAACGTTATCCTGGAGATGGCCATCTGACTAGCCTCTACAGTTCCTGCGAACGAGCCAAAGGACGGACGTCAGAACCAACAAATGCTGTTGAGCTCGACAGTCCAGCTTTGCGGAGTGCAGCCCGAGTCGTGGTCTGGAAGCTGCTGCTGGTCTCAGTCAACGATATTGGTCTTGGATCAGCATGATCTAACGTGACAGGGACGTCAAAGGATCTCATCTATGCCACAGGTTCTGTCGTCTAAGAAATTCTCCAATTCTTGTGCCGACATTGGTTCATGTTATGGATCTTGTTGACGTCCACGAGTAAGAGACCCGATCGTTCATAGTGTCTGCATTCGAAAGCTGATATATGACAGCATCATGTCGCCTATCATGACAGTCTTCAGCACTCCAGACTTACTAGAGGCGATCCTCCTGCGACTGCCAATCCTCGAGATACTCCTCGCTCAACGCGTCAGTCGAACCTTCCACAAAACCATCAAGCGTTCTCGTCGACTACAGCGCGCACTATTCCTGCAGTCCTACGGGGACTCAACTATTAGCCTTGATGGCTGGCAAGAAGCTTTCAGCACCAAAGACTGTGATTCACAAGACTCCTGCGAGGCGAACAATTACCACATGGAAGACATCCTGGATGCAACCTTACGCGATGATTGCAAATGCAAATGGGTCCTTCGAGGCAGCAAATCGGATAAGCCCTGCGGCATGTTGTACAATCCTTTGTATTTCGTCGCTGTCGAACTCATTTCCGCCAGCAAAGCTGTCGATGATAATAGCAAGAAGCAACCACGAATCCACGGACGAGGAAGCTCGAGAGAAGTCAACGCCTCCTGGAGAAATATGTTGATGACCCAGCCTCCCGTACAATGCTTGATTGTGGACACCTCAGGCGTTCTCCACTGGCATATTCTACGTTCGGATGAAAGATCGGCTGGGATAACCTTCGGTCACTTTGAGAAGTTCCTGAAGGCATTCCAGAATGTGAGGCCTGAGGAGGCTACGATTTATAGTGCGAGTGGGTCGAGGATCCTCCCTGTTACTTCTACGGCGGCGGAGATTTTGGCGGAAATTGAGGATGCAACTGGAATCAAGCAGGAAGAGATAGAGAGTTGACGGATGCTCGTTGTTGAGCGAGTCAGTGCAGATGCTTGGAGCTCACGGCACACGTCGGGGAGGATGTTGTTCTGAGAATCTGCTGGGTGGATGAAATGAGGTTACGAGCAGCACGGGAGACAAAGTGAATAACAGAACTTGACTCCTTGGTGTTTGCGTTGATGCGCACTCTGCGGGATGTGAGTAACAAGCTTCAGCCTAGCGAGCAGGTTGTGTTCACATTGAGATAACGGCACGGCTGAAAGTGAAGGCGCGGATGTTTGCTTGACGCGTTCGTACCCGCTGCGTTCGTGAACAGCAGCTTTACGTTGCGTTCAACCACCTCCACCTCATTCCACATCTTCACCTCTACACCGACACAACACACACTGTCACAAGAGTCACCAGCGCGCGCTCCAGGGCACTGAACAATGGCTACATCACAGCGCGAACCGGAGTAGGTTGTCATCTCTGATGTGTCGAACAGCGCTAATAATTTGCAGCATCATCGTTCCGCGGGCAAGGGCCTTCGACACACCGGAATTGCTGGAATCGATCCTCCTTCAGCTGCCCATGTTCGACCTCACAAGCGCGCAGCGCGTAGATCGAACTTTCCAGCATGCAATCAAGAAGTCGCCGTCTATTCAGCGAGCTCTGTTCTTCAGACCTTACGGAAACTTTGTTGCACGTCTCGAAGATCCGGATAAAGTCTTCGAGACCGAGGAATGTGCCTCAAATGCAGCGTGCAAGACTTTCAGAGGTGGTAGCTGGTTGCAAGACACCGATCGCAACATGATCAAGTGCGCATGGGTTCGTGACACATCTGGCCGACGATGCGATGTGGTGTTCAATCCTCTAGCATCAATGTTTGACGATGTTGAAATCACCGATATCAGTGACGAGCTCGACCCACTCGAAATTGAGGATCTCGACGAGTGGGAATACGAAACAGTTTTGATCAAGAACGCCCGCCTAGAGATTGGCCCTGTGAAAGAGGAGTCTGGGCCGGACGCATCGTGGAAGAGCATGCTTTTGACACAGCCACCTGTGAAATGTATGGTCGTGGATACTATGGGCGCATCCCACTGGCATGTTCTGCGCGCCGAGAAAAACGCTGAAGGTATTACCGTTCGCCAACTGCAACAATTTCAGGCAGCTTTTGCGAACAAATGGAGGACCACGGTAGAGATATGGGCCGCAGATGGCTTCAGACTTACTCCGGTAGCTGCTTCCGCAAGCGGATATCTTGGCTGAGGTCAATGATGCGGTCAACGTGCAGGAGAGAGAGGACGCAGAGAATCAGAGTGAGTCGATAAGAGACCACCCACAACAACCAACTAATTCCGACCAACAATACCTCCATGATGAGTAAATCAGGAAGCACTAAAGCCGACAATTTGACGGTGGATACCAGGAATGGCTTGAGAGGGGACCTGCGGTCGTCTCAGGAAGGTTCCTGCCTTCAGTTGCTCGTTGTACCTGCCCGCAAGTGAGCGTGTTCGGAAGGCGAAGTCACGTCCGTCTGTTCCACGCGTGCTTGCGTGTTACGTTTGTACTCAGACAGCAGCTGCACTTTTCGATCAACCACCTCCACCTCAACACACATCCATCAACATTCCCAGAGCTTGCGCCAGAGCACTTCGTGCGCCTCCAAGATATGGCAGCAAGAATCAATCATTATCCGTGAGCGGAGAAGGGTCCTTGACCCATCGATCGTGTGTTGACTTTCTCTAGCATCATGTCCGCTGCAGAGCAAGTCTTCCGCAACTTGGATTTGGCAGAAGCTATACTCATTGAACAGCCGATGCTCGACATCTGGCACCTCCAAACCATAACTTCCACGTGCGTCGCCGCTGTCCAGGCGTTCTCGCGATTGCAACGCGCACTATTTTTGAAACCTTACGATAATCGGCGGGCCCGGCTTGACGACCTTGAGCGATACTTCAAAATCGCGGATTGTGCGTCAATAGAGGATTGCGATGAAAGCGAGGCGAATGAAAGCACGGAAGATCAGGAGAATGCTCAATGGGTGTGGGAACCATCTGCGCAAGCATGCGACATCGTTCTCAACCCTGTGTTCGCATTCTTCAACGAAAGCAAGCCAGATGGAACGGAGGTCGACTCTGATGATGAGTTCGATTACCCTCTTCCGCGCGACATCAGTCCTGGTGGGCAGTCCCTCGGTCATCCATCCTCGAAGCTTGAGGTCGGAGGAGACCTTGTAGCCATCGGTCATTTATCCTCGAAGCTCAAGTATAGAGAATTCTTGATGAGCATGCTCTTGACGCAGCCGCCGTTGGCCACTCTTGCAATAGAAAATTGGGACGCCAATCACTCCCACATCCTGCGGCCAGAGGAAGGCACCGAAGGCATTACTATTGGCCAAGTGCAACGACACCTGGAAGCATTCCCCAATGCCATTGGAGCACAATTCATTTGGAAGCTGGGTGGTTTCACAATCCTTCCCATTACCTTGACAGGGGCAGAAATCGCGGCTGAAGTCAAAGCTGCCATGGGTCTCGAGTAGAAGGGGGAGAACGAGCAGGAGGAGGGTGCAGAAGAGTGAAAGCAACTCAATCAGAGAGCTACGGATGATGATCGACTTGATTCGAGTCATAGCACCTTATCTGCGACGAGCATTAATGGTGCCTTAGCACCAAGACGTATGCGCGAGACTCTGGGCAACATCGCTTCGTGGAAGATCTCCAGACCAAATGACAGATTCACAGTCTTTTCTCTCTCGAACGTATGAGCAGCTCTCGTTTCTCGCCGCGAACGTTGATTAGTATGAATAAGACACGCAACGGGCGACTACATTGGCCGCGTGGGGCCTCCTACTAGTTTTAAAGACTTGTTTGTCACCGTAGCCCCGCAGCAAACAGTGAACGCGAATTCCCGAAGAGAGTGACTTGCCGCTCTTCACTTGCACTTTTCACATAAGTATTTTCACCTCGACTACTTTGCTGACGAATACATCTGAGCACACTGTCACGGTCACTCGAGCCCATCCTGCAACAGTCGAAGAGCAAGAACTATCTCAAGAACCGATTTGTTACAAACAGGTGACGCCTCCATCATCATGGCTGCTGCGACGGCAGTTTTCGATACTGCGGAGCTACTCGAAGCAATTCTCCTCCAGCTACCACTAGCTGATATTCTACGCGCACAACGCATCGACCGCACGTTCCACGACGCTATCAAGAAATCGCCTTCTGTCCAGCGAGCTCTCTTCCAGAAGCCTTGCGGCGACTTCACCGTTGAACTCATAGACTGCGATAGGTTTCTCATGAAGGAGTGTTTGTCACTGGAGACCTGCAACGACCGGGACATGGCGCCGATACGCAAGACAGGGAGTTTTTACAGCCACACATGGGTCCAAAGTGGAACAGACAGAGCTTGCAGCATCGTAATCAACCCTTTGCTCTTGACATATCAGGATATTCGCATCATTCCTGGTCACTACACGTACAACCTCGACGCTGCATCATCCTGGAGTCCCGCGGCCAAGGCATCGTGGGAAAAAATGTTCTTGACCCAGCCTCCAGTGGGATGTGTGGTCGTCGATACTGGTCATTTTTCTGGACATTACCACATCTTGCGTTCACAAGACAAGGCCTCTGGTATCACTTTTGGTGATCTGCAGCGTTTTGCTGAAACCTTTCGCACTGGTCCAGATCTCGAGGTAGCCATTATAGGTATCGACATATGGAGCGCTAAGAACGAGGCTCGCATCCTTCCTGTCACTGCTACAGCAGCGGACATTTTGGCTGAAATCGAGATGGTGAAGGGGGAAAAGAAGGAGGAGATTGAAGAGCCGGAGAGCGACTGATGCGAGGCTTTACGGACGGAGAGCCATGTAAAGCAAGTCACAACACTGTTCGCGAGTCGACGAAGCGAGCCATCGCGGGAGCTTCAGAGAGGATTTGCAAATCGTTGGGCGACGCTCGTGATGAGTGATCGCTGATTCCAGCATTGCGTAGCTTTGCACAGAAGCCAGGTTGGAAGAGCACCAAACTCCGTAACGCCATTGTTCTGGAGATCGATACACAATGACCAGATAGCTTGCGGTATCACGGTTCTTTGTCCCATTTGGCAAAGCGACAATACCGTAATGGTCTTGGGCACCAAATGCAAATCGGTTGACGAATTTACAGTGCTTTCTGCATCCATTGTTCTGATACTTCTTGAACTTCATCGTGCCGCAAGTTTGATGGCTTTAGCTCCGCATTATGTCCCAGCCAACTTCAACCCGTAGACCTCCGGCTTGAACCACTCCACCAACAGATCCTGCAGCACTTCCTGCGCCAGCTTCTTGGCCTGCTCCGAACTGTTACTTTTTCCTTCAATGTATAACTTAATCTTCGGCTCCGTCCCAGATCCTCTCACAGTGAACACCACATTCTCCAATTCACATGTAATCATCTGCGCACTAGCATCTACTGGCAGAATCGGCTTGTTGTCTGGGGTCCCACTATCATAACCAATCGTCAAATCCCTCCATCGCAGAATCTCACGCTTCCCAAGCTTCGTCGGCCGAGACCCAGCATTCAACTTCCGAATATCATCAAAAGCCCGATTCGTAATTTCCGGCGCAGGCGAGATTAGATAAGTGTTCGCATCCTCAAAATAACCATACGTCTGATACAATTTCTGAAGTTTCTGCCAAGGTGTCATGCCTTGTTTTTTCCATCTTTGCCACGCAGTGAGGAAGACTGCTGCAGCTGCTATGCCGTCTTTATCCCAGACGACGGTGGGAAACATGAACCCGATGGCTTCTTCGAACGCGAAAGCGGGGTCGTAGCCTTGGTTTTGTAGGTCTTGTGCGACGTTGCCGAGCCATTTGAAGCCGGTTAAGGTGTCTTGGAAGTGGAAGCCTTCTTTGGCGGCCATGCTTGCTAGCATGCGGGATGAGACTGTTGAGGCGAGCATTGCTAGTTTTGATTTGTCGCCTTTGTAGGTTTCGAAAATGTGGGAAGCGAAGAGGATGCCGATTTGGTTTCCTGTGAATTGGTGGTATACGCCTTTCGAAACCCGCTGTGCAAAGGAGAATCGATGAGCGTCTGGGTCATTCGCGATGATGATGTCGGTATCATTTCTGTTGGCTTCTTGAATCGCCAGATCGAGCGCGCCTTTCTCTTCTGGATTGGGGAATGGCACCGTTGGAAATTCTGGATCGGGCTCTGCTTGTGCCTTTACTTCTCGCATGAAGTGTCCTCGGAACCAGAGCATGTAAGCGATTTGCTTCATCATGGTCAGTCCAACGCCATGCATTGCCGTGTATGTGAAAGGCATGGCTTGCTCGACAGATGGAAGTGGCCAGACGAGCTCGCGAATATGGTCGAGATATGACTTTGCAGTCTCGGAAAACACATTTTGCACACGCTCGTGGCTATCGACCAGTTTCGTATCCCATGTCAAGATCTGCTTGACGTTATCGATAGCTTTGGCAATCCCGGCATCATGAGGCGGGATGATTTGGCTACCATTGCCCCAGTACACCTTGTAGCCATTATCGTTCTTCGGGTTGTGACTGGCAGTGACCATAACACCAGCCACCGCCTTGTAATTCATGACTGCAAACGGGACCATCGGCGTGTGACAGATCTGGCCGAACCATAGAACTTTCATGCCTTTCTCAAGGAAGGTAGCAGCAGCCAGTCGGGCAAATTTCTCCGAGTTGTACCTTGCATCGTATCCTACAGCAATGGCCAGCTCTTGAGGAGGACGAGGAGTTTGTTGCTCGATGACATAGTCCGCAAGTCCTTGGGATGCTTGGAGTACAGTCAATGAGTTCATGTGGGCGAAGCCAGCTTTCATGGAAGATCGTAGACCGGCAGTTCCAAATGCTATTCGCTTTCGTAGTCGGAGTTCTAGTTCGATCTGGTCATCTTTCGTGAGCAGTTCCTCAATTTGGCTTCTTGTTTCGTGGTCTTTGTCTTGCTCAAGCCACTGGCGAGCGAGCTCTGTTGCGGACGCCATGGACGCGACAGACGCGGCGAAAACCCCTCGTCAATTCGACCAAAATCCGTTCTTTTGGTGAGAGGAAGACTTTGTGTTGTTGTCAGCACGAAATGTAGCTTCGAAGACACGTGAAGTTTTAGCTAGCATATCGCGACGGCGCTCGCCACGACCGTCTCGCAATTCCAGCAATCATGACGTGTCGCAGCTCGCCGCCGTCATGGCTGGGCATGGACGTGGACAGTTGTTTCAATGATCGAACGAGAAAGTTGCTGTCGGCCAGTAGCTGCTGCCTATATCATCACACACTCCTCAACATCTGCTCTCAACGCGTGAGCTCAAGAGCAAGGTTGTGAAATGACTGTGTTTGTCACAGGACTTGGCGGTGGTCACATGTGGATTACAGACATACTTGTGGTTTCATGGGGATTGCACATATTCTCATGCTATGCCGTGAGCCGGAGCTCCGTAAAGCATACACGAACCAAACAAGATCGAGGATTGTGTGATCACTTTCCACCTCGCACATGGAGAAGATACAGCTCATGAAAATAGCCAAGCAATGCCCATATCTAGGCAGAGCGGTGACCAGAGCGGATTTGATTGTCTGCAATACGCCCCTCGAGCCGGTTTATCATCATGTTCACAGACTGACCAGTCTTCTTGATCCGATAGCGGCCGGAGAGGCCTCGTCGACTCACCGGTACTGCAGTGTTCATTGATGGAGTGTCCGGCTCATCCGGCCCGCATCTTGAACATATGCTGTGTATCGGACTCCATTCTCGAGGGCTGCAACGCCGGCAATGTTTGTCGAGCATCCAGATGCTGACGAAGTCATTGCGAGGCATCACCAAGTTGTGTAGCACACAAGCCTCACCGACTTCTGTACATCCCTCCACGGCAATCGAGCAGGTCTGCGGATGCTTTGCGGACACAGAGGGCTGCACTGTATTGGTCTTCCTCTCTCAGTCGTTGTCAATGTGGTGACGTCCAGTTAGTGGACGTTCTTAGTAATTCCAGAACACCTCACCCACCAGAGTGGGATCTGGGACCGACATGTCGATACCCGCTGAGATCGTGCAGCAAGAAAGAGGCGGCTCGGACCTCGTGGCTAGCGGTCAGCTCCCGGGCCCAAGGCCGCATTCGAGAAGTCGGAAGCGAACGATTTGGCCGATATGCGTGTGACCGTGTCTTAGTAGTGCTCAGTTTCGCCCCTTGCTGCCACAAGGTTGATGTCGACGTGGCTGTGGACGCACACCGCCGGAGTGCCACGTCAAGATTGCCGCTCGGCACTCGGAACTCTGTCTGCCCTCCCGTGACCTCATCCGCTGCACGCTGCGAACTCTCCTGGTCGTGCAGCGACCGCAACCCTCTCAGTTCACGTTGTGCAATGCATTTTCGTCGTCGACCAGAGTTCGCGGTGAGGTGATGTTGCTCATCATCATGGCGAGGTAGCACAAGAATCGTCCTATATCGGAAACTAGACCCACAACTGCCTTGGGATGCTGCTAAACGACACCTTTTCCAGCAACATGGAATCTTCACCTTCCATCCTGCCAGGATCTTCAGCCTCCACCCGACAAACTTCACTGGGACAGCCCTAAGTTACCACCTTGCACTTCTAGCTTCGAACCAAAGCCGCGGCCTGCAGTTCTTGGTCTAAGTTCCGAAGCTCTGGAAGTCGTGGACGACCACTCACCTGTGACCACTCACACGCCCTCCGTGGCAGCAACGCCACGCAGTGACAAGGAGCGTGGGCGGATCGACACGCAGCGCTGGCGAACGAGTACATCGCCGTGTATCTCCCATTTTGGGTATAGAGCACGCCATACCTCCAATCACAACACCCCAGCAGGCACTGCTTGACCGCATTGTTCCGGGAAACATAGTTCTATCGAAAGAAGGCAAAGCTTCGGAAGCAGCTGCATGCCTTGGATGATATCAGAGCGTCTGCTCAGACGCCTTCCTTGTAAGTAGTGTCTCCATTCGCCCACTTCCTGTATCACCACCACTAGCGTTGGATCCTCCTGTGAACGGAGACGTTGCGGCATGGTGTCACGGGACGCCACATGCAGAGCTATTCATCTCGTGAATGCGATGAATCGGCGGTAAAGGGATCGTCAAACTTATGAGAGCCTGCGCTTGTTCGCTGTGACTTGACAACAACCTCCAACCACCAACGAGCATCATGGAACCTGTTCACTACAAGGATGACGTGAAATCAGAGAAGAAGCTTATCCCTTCCACAGTCACTCCTTATGGCCAGCATTATTCTCAGTTGCCCACCGAAGATCCTTCTACTCCAACGACGAACAATGCACCAAATGCAGCACGACCGGGGACAAATTATACACGCATCCGAGACGAAGATGATCGGGAACTTGCTCGCATAGGCTATGAACCGGTATATTCTTCTCGAACGCTGATTACATGTCACGCTGACCAATTGCAGGAATTGAAACGCGAGTTTGGTAGATGGTCTACACTTTCATACGCAATATCAATCCTCGGAGTGCTTGGTTCACAGCCCGCTACCTATGGCGTGCCAATCAGCGACGGGGGACCATCGACCGCCGTCTGGGCATGGTTCATCGGTTCTATCATGGCATACATGATCGCAAGCTGTGTAGCTGAGCTTGTGTCGGCGTACCCGACTGCTGGTGGCATGTACTTCGTGCCTGCGAAGATTGTACCACAGAAGCATCTGCCCATCTGGACCTGGATCATCGGATGGTGCAACTTCCTTGGTCAAGCCTGCGGAGTGGCATCGATAGCCTATACCTTGGGACAGATGACGCTGGCCATGAGAAGTATCCGATCGAGACTGGTGGATGGGGCCTATGAATTTTCGCCGTAAGTCGTGCACCTGCACATGCCTGGATGTGTTGCTGACCTTTTTCAGGAAACCGTACCAGATCGTGATTATCGCTCTGGGCATGCTTATTGTATTCGGAGTCATCTGCTCGCTAACAACAAAAGGCTTGCATCGATTGATCATCTGGTTCGCGCCGATCAATATACTGGCTACCATTGGCATCATTATCACACTACTTGTGATGACTGAAGACAAGCGCGATGCGAGTTTCGTCTTCATGGATGTCAGAGATGGATCTGGCTATGGCTCCGAAGGCTTCTCGTTCTTGCTTGGATTCCTGAACGTTGCTTGGGTCATGACCGACTACGACGGCACTACGCACATGTCCGAAGAAACTCACGACGCTGCTATCCGCGGTCCGGATTCGATTCGCTGGGCAGTAATAATATCAGGTGTGCAAGGCTTCGCGCTGAACGTTGTCTTCACTTTCTGTCTTACCGAAACCTATATGGATGACATCGTTGGATCACCGACAGGACTTCCAGTCGCACAGATCTTTTTGAACGCCGCTGGCAAAGATGGAGCGACCGTCATGCTCTTCTTTGTCATGCTGATCCAGTTCTTTACCGGAGCGTCAGCTATGCTTGCCAACTCACGCATGGCATATGCTTTCGCGAGAGACGAGGCGTTGCCGTTTTCGAACATCTGGAGTAAAGTAAACGAGACGACAGGGACACCTGTGTACGCTGTCTGGTTCGTGGTTGGCTTTTGTGGCTGTCTGAACCTCATCGGTATTGGCTCGACACAAACAATCACGGCCATCTTCAATTTATGCGCACCATGCCTGGACCTCAGCTACATTGCGGTGATACTGGCTCGCCTGATCTACGAGGATTCGAATACGTTTGTCCCTGGCCCTTACACATTGGGAAAATGGTTGCCAACCAAGCCTCGGAGCATCATCGCAATCAGCTGGGTCCTGCTTATTAGCGTTGTGCTTTTCTGCCCGACGACCATACCTGTCACGGCCACGAACATGAATTATGCTGTCGTTGTGGCGGCAGCCGTTGCGGTCTTTGCGCTTTCATGGTGGTTCTTAGGCGCCAACAAATATTATACCGGACCCCGACTGCGAAAGTTCGAAGACATCGGAAATGTGCTTCCCATGCCGCATGGTCAACCAGATGAAGGATCTCAAGCTTCTTCGATACCTGTCTCGAAGCCGCCAGCGTACTCGAGTCCACGAACAAGTAGCGATGGAGGATCAGGATCGCCAACCGAGCGGACGCCTCTCCAAGGAAGCGCCGGTGCGAGGTACGATGGTGGAAGTGCCATCTAACTTTCTCGAGCGCAGCCTGGGACAGCATCGACCGATTTTTCAAATGTACACAAAGAACTCCACCTCTTCGTTGAACGGGTATACAAGAGGATGTAGCATACAATCGAAGTACATGAACATGAGTTTTCGACTCTCGGAATAGCTGATCGCGACATTTCTCACAAATGATTCTTTGAAGCTCTTCTTTGTCGACGGAACTGACTTGTACATACAGTGACTCTATGTAAAAGCGGGCAAGGCGGTCGCCCAAGGGACCTCGGGCGAGCCACCTGCGAACACATATCTCAGCATTGGACCTAGACTTTGCCGATATCGATGCCATGACGGACTCAGGTGAATGAAAAGACGCACTTGCAACATCCGTGACGTTGCCGACGTGCACCATCGAACCGGCTCCAAAATCAGCCTCGAAGTCGTCTGAGAAATGCCTTGGTCGGCTACACAGTAAGTGCCAACTCAATCGACGCAGAAGTGGCAGGCACGGAGCAGCAGCGCTGGAAATCCAGCTCAAGTCTGCTCCGCAGCCAAGCGCTCCCTGACCCACGCGGCTACTCTGTTCACCTCTGCGCCACCAGGGACGGCCCCGCTATCGAAGTCTCTGTATTGTCGCGAAATACTATTGTCTCCTCTAGCGCCTTTGCTCTAGTAGAAGCTCAGGTTTCGACGTCCACACTGTTCCATCTTTGCTCCCGAACATATCTAACCGCATCAAACCTTATGCGTCCGCCATTCGAAGGCCTCTCGATCTAGAGCCTTCATTCTTCCCCACTTCGGAGCTGCTGGCAGGTAAGTGTTGCTGGATGGCTCTCCAAATGACAATGCTGATGGTTACTAGCGACTCGAACCTGTACCACCACCTCCACTTACTGCCCGATCTATCTCTTACATTACACCGTCGCTGGCGACAATGTATCGTCCCAACCTCACTGTCGACTGTGCCCTTGCCCGGCTCACCAAGGAGTTGGAACAGACCTCACCGCTTCCTAGCACGCCAGCAACCGCACGCTCTATCGGCATACCAGCCACGAAGCTTACCAGCATTGAATACTCGCCCGTACCCGAGGAAGCACCCGACCGAGACGAGCCCTTCGATTTCCAGGCCCTTCCACCTGAGCTGCGTAACAAGACCTATCATATCGCTCTCGCTCACGATGTTTCCGAGGGGATGATGCCTAACACGGCGCTCCTGCGAACATGCAAGCAAATCCACGATGAAGCCTTCCTCTTGATCGAAGACTTGGGCCGCATCGCTCTCGAAGTGGAAGTTGGTGATCATGGTACTCTGCAAGTCCGCGGTAACGTTCAAGGCGGCATCAAGGTCTTCGACAACTTCGCACCATTGGCCGAATTCGAACGCATTTTCCCCGATTACCTCCACCGCTTCTCACAAGTGGACGTTTCCATCAAACTGGCAGACCAAGAAGACAAAGACACCCCAAGCGACCTTTACCTCCAGACCTTTGGCACCGTCAACCGATTTCTCTTCAGCCTGGCCAACGAACTAAAATCACAAAACGGTCTCCATCGGCCAAGTACCCAGCAACGCAAACCCACCATAACCATCGAAATCAACTCAACCTGCCTTGCCCTCGAGAACCGCGCCACCCTAGCCGAAGAACTCCTCTACCCCCTCGCCAAAATCCCCCTCACCTACAACCTCTCCATCGCCGAAAACTCCATCTCAGCCGAAACAGGAGACCTCCTCGCCGCCCTACGCGAACACCACAACCGCCCAGCCTCCACCGTGGCGCCGGAAGTCCACTACAACCTCCTAACCCAATGGAACCTCACCAAAACGCATCTCACTCTCACCACCCATCTCAACGTCCAGCCCAACCATCAACGCATCCGCCTCTCCAGAACAGCACCACACCGCACCATCGCCTTACTCCGGCTCAAACATTTCGGTAAAGCGTGTTATCATTTGCTTGAGTCGGTGATTGAGGATCGCGCGATCGTGTTCTCGCAGAGGAGTGAGAATCGGGTTTATGGGACGTTGGTGACTTTGCAGCGTGTTCTGCAGACTTTGGGCAGAGAGAGGGGGTTGAGTGTGGAGAAGCTTCAGGAAGAGTGTGAGGAGATTGAGATGGGGTTTGCGAGGATGGTAGGGGATAGGTCGCCGTTGGCTTGATGCTTTCTGGATGGGGCGATGGGGCTGTGCGAATGGTGGTTTGATGTGGTATGGGTTAATAGGTTGACATTTGGACGAAGGTATGGATGACATGAGGCGATTTGGTGCGATTTGAAGGTTTTTGCGGCGTGAGAGGTTTGATCTGAGATGTTTCCGGCTCGCTCGGGATTTATGACTGATGATGGTGGCACGATTTGGTGGAATTCAAGCCTGCGCTGCGTAGAAAAGCGACGGGAAGAACGCAGTCGATGACGGAATTTCCGGCTCCTGTCCTCTTCTCGAGCCGGCATAGCGAGCAAGCGTCTTGATTTAGGAAAAGTTCGAAAGCCTAGCCGTCAGCTGCATCAATTGCACCTTTGCCCATAGATGAATAGGAAACATGAAAGTAACATAGGCGTCAAGCAGATGGTCATGAATTCGATGTAAGCTGCATGGAGACTAATCTGAGTCTCTACACGCCTCGCTGTTCGTCCCAAATCCCTTAGCCGAACGCCATGATCAGAAGGATGAAACCGTCTAGAACACAAGAGCGGCACCCTTGGTCTTCTTGTCACCACTGCAGAAAAGTCAGTAAGAGCTCCGACAAATGCTTTCGTCGATTGTAACATACCCCAACTCGAAGTGCTTGCAACGCTTAAGAGCGAGCTGAGCCTTGGTCTTGCACTGAGTGCATTCTAATCGGAGCACGACCTTCTTGGTAGTCTTTGCCTTCTTGTGGAACACAGGCTTGGTCTGACCACCATAACCGGACTGTTTGCGATCGTAACGACGCTTACCCTGGGCGAACAGGGAGGCCTATACAGTATAAGCAACTGCTTTGAAAGCAGGAATCGCAAGAGCAGCACATACCTTTCCAGCCTTGTACTGGGTGACCTTGTGCTGGGTGTGCTTCTTGCAGTCCTTGCCCTTGCAGTAGGTGCGGCGAGTCTTTGGTACGTTCACCTGCAGACATTGCGTGGTTAGCATTGTCGTGCTTTTACAGGGACGTCACGTTGAGCAAGGTCAACGCGGCTCTCCGATGGAACTTCTTCCATCCACCTCCGCACCACGAGGGCGCAAAGGTGTTCCGCATATGGTATGTATCCTTTCTCCAGCCAGGCTGCTACCATCGACATTGCATTTCGCGACGCATGAAAGCGATGCGCGTCGGGTTGACCGGGTTTGCCTCCTCTTTTCACCAACTCATTCCTCCTCTTGCGATACCATTGCGATTCGGAGAGCGGGGCCGTTCGTTCATCGTGCCGTATTCGAGCAGGTTCTTACCATCTTGGCGGTATTGCTCCGGTGTTGAGGTCGTTGGGTGGTGGTGGAAGTGCTGACGTTCTGTATCGACACCAGCGGGCAAATTCGATGTTCGGTGGGCACGTTTTGCTTGGCGCTGCGGGATGGGCCGCACTTTCCCTGCTAGGCACAAACAGCAAGTGCATCATCAGAGCAACATTTCAAGATGGTTATCTAAGAGCGGACAGAATGTGCAGTGAGCTATGGCAAGCAAATAGATGCTCACAACAGATTTGAAATCGCTTCATACACATGACAGAGTACAAGTAAGTGAAAAAGAGATTTGAAATCTTGCAGAGCTGTACTTCCCTTCATGGCCACAAGGTACATGTACGCATGCCAAAAAAAAATTATATGCTGCGTTTCGTTGGAAATTTGTGGTATCATAGACTGCATGAAATTCTCACCACTCGCCGACAATACCCGATGTCAAGCAATTGATCCGCGTCCTGTACGCCGACATAGTCATCGCTTCGCCTTGGTATTTATGTTTCTCGTTGCCTTGATCTGCGCTCCAGCAGCACTGACTGGCCTCGCTTGCTGCGCAGCCCGAGTTGCTGTCTGTCCCAGCTTCGACAGTCCAGCAGGTCCCTTAGTGGTCTGAGCGCACTGCTCAGCATATTCTTCTAATTGGCGAGATGCAGAGCAGCTACGCTACCTGTGCAAGAATCGCAAAAGCACTCATTACAGCCGCCGAGCCGATCAGTCCAGCCCGTACGGCATTCTGCCCACTCCACTTCTTGATGAGGTCGAGTGTCTCTTGGTCACCGGGAGCGTTGGGACTACCGTCTGCCTTGGCGACCAGAGGATCGAGAGTTGTTGGGCCCATGACTGCTATCGTGAAAGGCACGATAGATGGAGCGAGCACTGCTGCTGTTGCATAGAGCACTGAAGGAGAGACTGGATATCGGCCTACGATACCTCGGGCTATGAGATTTTGTGAGCAAACGTTATGCAATTCTCCATGTGGGCAAATACACACTCTGGACTGCAAGAAAGCCGAAGCATGCCGCACAGGTAATGGCAAATGGTGGCGCGAATGACTTTCCGAGATCAAATGCTTTCTGCCATTGCTTCGCTGCGAATTTGGCGTTGTCTTTTGATGCTCCTGTCTCGACTACGGGAATGGCCAGGACTGTGAACGAGGTGATGTATGCTGTCTCGTGTTAGTATACGCAGGTCCGATAATCATGCCGCGCGCTTACCTGTCAGGAATGACGCGCTCGAAAGACCAATGATAGCCGCGGCTGGCACGAATTTCTGGAGGGTGCACATTGTGTGTGTCTGAAAGCTGTGGAGGCAGTGCTTGGAGCTGGAGTCGAAGGTGTAGAAACAGTAAGTGCGAAAAGTGGCCGTTTCAGACTTGTATTGGGAGATGAGTCCTGCTATGTACTTATCTCTGCCTAATCAGGCGCGCCTTGCTGCTGCGGGAAAATGGAGCTTTGGTCACTGCGTTGTCTGGTGATGTGTGAAGTCTGGCCCACATTCGAAGTTGGCGTCGCATAGGCAAGGGTCTCCGGACTTTGGCCAGAACCCGAAGCGAAAAGAAAAGAGCAGCAGCAAAATGCGTGACGGCTCAGCATCAGTCGTGCGACATTGAATGTCCGTTACGGGGTGAAGGAATGGACTTGTATTCGCATAGAAATGCTGACATACATTGCACATCTATGGTGTTCCTCTATGAATGTCGTCAAGTCGTAATTCCTGCTGCCTCAAGGCTGACGCTCCGCAGCAGGTTCTAAAGTCGAAGACGTTAATTTCCCCATTCCGAGTGAGCCCAGTCACAGATCGTGAGTGCATGTGTAGGCGCAAAGAAGAAAGGGTGATCCTGCCGAATCTGCGGCAAGGAACCTTGCGACGTAGGTGCAGGTGCGCAGGTAGCATTGACAATCAAGTTCAAGATGCTGGCTTGGGTTCAGAGCCCTTCACGAACTTGGTGTGCGTGCCAGAGGCGACGATCCTGCCTCTCTTGCCATCCTCAACCTTGTAGATGTTGATCTTGGTGAAAGCGACATTGCCGCCGACACGGTCCACAATGCCTTCGATCTCAATCTCTTCGCCCACCTTGGCACCGCTCTGGTATGTGACATGGATGTCGAGCGACACTCCACTGGCGACACGCAAGTCCCATGTGCTGATGGCCATGCCGCCCGCCCAGTCTACAATCGTAGCAGATACTGAGCCATGGAGAGAGCGGGCACTATTCATGTGTTCCTCGGAGAGCGGCAAGCGCGCGACCACATGACCTTTCGTGGCGCTGGTGATTACCACCGGTGTGAGCAAGAACTTGTATATCGGCGACGTTGGGAGCTTCGTCCTCACGAGGTCCTCAATGTGCAAGTGCTCGGGCGTCTTTTCTCCGGTCATGATGATAGCTGCGCTTGAGTATAGCTTGTCTGGACACGCTCGTTAGTAGCTTTCGCTGCAGCAGGAGCTATCCGCCGCGATTGCGGTGCCATGGTCGCCTCAAACGGTTGGGCGTTGGTGATGAGATACCTTGAGAAAGAGAGATTGAGTGTGTGCGAGATGAAATTGATCGGCGAAAGCGCACAAGCTTTCGCCGGGAGCTCGCATGATGACGCAGCAAGATGCACGACGCAGAGTGATCTTGGTAACGCGTCCAACTGTCTCCAACAATTTGTCCAGCTGATTGCAGTCATTCCTTCACGTAGCCAGTTCCATGTTTCCTGTGTAGCGTCTCTTCAGCTTCTTACAGTCATTCGACATCAATTTCGACGCGAACGCCAGTGCGGGAGTGCTAACATTTCACGAGCTTGGCTGAGACAGCTCACGACAGAATACGAGAGCATCGATACGCCTGAAAGCCACGTTCACATTGGCTCGCCCTCCTCGCCTTCCAGGGCTTTCTGGCTGGGTCCAGCTCGTCAAGAAGAATCTTCCATCTTGGCTGCCAGAGTCGCAACTGCCAGCCAGGCCAACGACTGGGCCCAGGCCACAGTCTGCCTCATGGGCAGATAGGAAACCAGACATGGCTGCTCAGGAAGAAAATGGGAGAAGCTACCTGAGCAAGTTGTCTCCATGGACACGAAGCCCCATCACAGCCCCAAGCAAAGGCAAGGATGGGGAGCCTGAGCCAGCGCCATTGCAGCAACAGAAGGGAGCCGACCATGTGATAAGCAATAGGCATAGGTTGAGCTTGAGGAAATATCCGCGAGACTGCCCGCGACTTCGACCGCAATGGTTCCATGCTGTAGACGTACCGAAGCGAAGACCGACTCCCGGTGGTGTGGTTCCGGATGAGAAGCCGCCCGGAGTGCCCAAGAAATACGCTGCCTTTTCAACCACGGATTCGAAGTCGATCGAGGCGGCTTTCCAAAAGTTGCTAGTAGATGAAGATGCAGAAGACAAATTGAAAGAGCATGGAGGGGACATGGGACAAGCGCGATCAGATGAGAAGCCAAATGCTAGCCTCCGAGAGCGTAAATCTAGCAAGAATGGTATCAAAGTGCCTGTGAACGAAGACTATCTCTTCGATGTCGACGTTGAAAGGCGCGAACTGGCTCCCGCGTATTGGCACGGACCTGTGTATGATGTTCGGAGAGGGACGTGGTTCTTCCAAGAAGGTAACGCGCAAAGGCCCTGTGATGAAAATCTATCAGCACAGCTTGAGGAAGGATACCTGAAAGTCAAAGCCTGGAGGCTGCCTCCTCCGCAATCGAAGGAAACACCAACAAAGCCGCGTTCGGCCTCGCAGCCTCGATCGCGACCGTCATCTTGGACTCCGGGACAGGATATCACTTCACTCGCAGAGCAGACTGGCCCGGCGACAGGTTCAGGTACAGAACTGCGCAAGAAGGCAGTAGAGGATTCCGCTAGTAAGACTCAGGATTTGGCTCGAGATGAGCACCCCCAGAACACATATCGCTTGTTCGGATCACACATGAATAGTGTGGTGACCTACCAAGATGGCACCACAGCATGGTTATTGACTGATGATTGGATGACTCGAATGAATTACAATGTATATCAACGCTTCACGTCTGGCTTTGCTGGCATCAAAGTCACGCGTGGTTGGATCGACCCTGATCAGAAGAAGGACAGCAAAGATGAGAAGACTGCAAAGACTGCGGAGAGCAAATCGAAGGACCTCAAGGATGAGAGCAAAGGTGAAGATGTGGAAGAAAGCAAGGCTGAGCGCGTAAGTACGTCAGAGAATATGCGCCAGAGTCTACAGCGCCAGATGTCTGCTCTGATGGAAGACCCAACCCACGGCGAAGATCGCGCAAAGCAAGAAGAAGAAGCACGGAAGCGTGACGAGCGAGAAATCGAGGATGATTACCGCGAAATCGAGGGAGACAAACAAGGGCGAGAGATTGAGCACTTGATCCTGGTCACACACGGCATTGGCCAGCGTCTTGGTCTTCGTCTGGAAAGTGTGAATTTCGTTCACGACGTGAACACACTGCGAAAAACACTGAAAGCAGTGTATGCTGAATCACCGGACCTCCGCGCGCTGAATGCCGAACTGGATGATGCTGAAACCGTCAACAGTCGAGTTCAGGTCTTGCCAATCTGTTGGAGACATCTGCTTGATTTCCCCAGGCAAAGTCTTCGGCATAATCGCAAAGAGCACGATCTTGGTGACACTGATATAGACGAAGAAGACTATCCCAGCCTTGAGGACATCACCGTCGACGGGGTTCCTGCTGTTCGGAACCTGATCACTGACCTCGCTCTCGACATCTTGTTGTACGATTCTCCTGCTTACAAAGATCATATCTCAGGCTTGGTCTTGAGTGAGCTCAACAGGATATATCACCTGTTCATGGAGCGTAATCCCAAGTTCAACGGCAAGGTCTCGCTGGTTGGGCATTCACTTGGCAGTGCGATCATGTTCGATATCCTGTGCCGGCAAGATCAACAACCGAAACAAAGAGGTGAGCCGACTTTCAAACTCGATTTCCCTGTCGAAGACTTCTACGCTCTTGGTTCGCCAATTGGTCTCTTTCAAATGCTCGGCGGTCGTACTATATCCGCCAGGCACTCCAAGGATAAGCGTGATCGCGACGGAGGCAGTCTCGGCAGCATGGACGACCCGATGTTGGCTGCTCCGCCTAAGAAGCAGAGAGACTTGACTCCTACGCATGTACAAGGCGAGAATCCTGTGGCACGACCCAAGTGTGGGCAGATCTTCAACATCTTCCATCCTACAGATCCAATTTCTTATCGGCTTGAGCCTTTGATCTCGCCTGCCATGGCTGCACTCAAGCCGCAGCCGCTTCCATATACTAAGCGAGGAATCTTTGGAGCGCCTGTGGGACAAGGCTTGACGGGGATAGGGTCCCGCGTCAGCCAGAGTGTGAGCAGCATGTGGACATCTGTCGCATCAAGTCTACTAACGCGAGGCCTCGGATACGGAGAAGAACCGACGAGAGCAGGTGTGGCAGCGGTGAAGAGCAACGTGCCGCTGTCAAAGGGAAGTGGAACCAACAACCCTGGCATATCGAGCGGTGCCGGTACGAATGTTGCAGCAGGCGTGATACCTACTGCGCCATTGCCCGCCAAAGGCACAGAGGTGAAGCCCATCGGCACAGACAAAGTGAACCAAGTCGCTGCAGACGCTCAAGCATCACACGATCAAAAGCTTCATCCTCCTACGCTTATCGACAACGAGATAACTACACTCTACGGCGACTTTGAAAAACGCCGCAAATCTACTCAGAGCGACGCAGAAACTCGAGATCTTGGAGCAGGCTCTACAAGGGATACTCCAGAGTGGGCCGAAGCCGAAGAGCGAGGCAAAAGATTGAGACGGGAAGAAGAGAAGGTCAGACAATTGAACAGCAATGGTCGCGTTGATTATGCTATCCAGGAGGGGGCGTTCGACATCAATCTGATCGCGGCTATCGCGAGTCACTTGTCGTACTGGAGCGACGAGGACGTCAGCCACTTCATTATCTCGCAACTGCTGAGCCGGCATCGCGTTGTGCGACCATCTGCTGGGACCGACGGAAACCCCAACCCGCCGAGGCCGAAGTGAAGGCCGCAGGCCTCACGCTTTGATATGACTCTAGTCGCCCTGAAAGTCCCTACGCCATACCGACAGTCATCATTCGATGAGTCAGGCGATGTGGGAAGTCCAGCTTCGCAGTTGTCTCCGAGAGGGTTACAGCGCAGAGCTGACCTGTTCGGCTGAAGATGCAAGGCTCCTGTCCGATTCTTCCACATCTTTTGCAGATCGATCTCGTGTTCAAACGAATAGACATAGATAGAAGCCACAGCTTTGTTGCACTCGTGCATCTGTTCGAAGCGCGCGCGCTTTGCTAGTGACGGCAGAATGCCCTTCAGGAAACTGCCAACCTCCCATTTCCAATCCACCCATGCCATACTATTCCTGCTTGCTGTGCGACATCTTCTGCCGTCCTGCCATGCGCGTCCTTCAGACTCCTGATATCAACCTTGCCGGACTGCTCTTCGCGCATCAAACCCAGCGAAGCCGCTTCCTGGAACACCAACGCCGGGAACTCGAGTTCTGGATACTCGCTTGCAAGCAGCAAAAGCAACCAAGCAACCTCACGATGGCCATTCGCCACAGCAGCGTGAAGTCCCGATTGCATATCGCCAATCGGGTCTTGATAGCGAAGAATCTCGTCTGCAGTCTTGGGAGGTCCGGAAGGTTCTTCGTCTTCATCCTCATCCTCCTCGGGTTCACTGCAGCTTTTGATAAGATCCGCAATCGCACGGTGATCCCCTTCCCTACAAAATTCGAGAAATGCGCGACATTTCCGCTCTTCAGGGTAGGCGCGTAGATAGGATTCTTCTTTTAAAATTGGGAAGATGTCGAGATTGTGTTGCAGGCCGCCTTCGTTGTTGAGGTCGACTAGGATTTGAGTTTCTGTTGCTGGAGCTGAGGATGATGAGGAGCTTGCTGCTGCTGCGCCTGTTGTGATGTCTCGAGAGCATTTGGGGCATGTATCGATTTCGTAGGATTCGAGTAAGCATTCCCAGTGGAAGTGGTCGCCGCAGGAGAGGAGGACGTCGTCTGGTACGGTTTGAGGTGTTTTCTCGTTGTTGTCGTCGTTCATGGAAATGTCGCCTTCTTCGTCGGAGAAGTCTTCATTGTTGACTTCGACTTCTAGGGGTTTTTCGCATTTTGCGCAGGTGGCGGACATTTTCGCCGCTGCTCTTCTGACTCGTTGGTTGGGATTTGGCAACTTCACAACTTGTACCAGTACTTGAAAATTGAACGGACTTTCACAGCCGACTGTCGTTCTGTTTGGTGAGAATTTTATTTTTGTTGCTTGGTGAGCTCTAGACGGCGCGCTGTCAGAAATTTGTCGTCATTCAGTTCTTGCCATCGGAAGCGAGCCGAGGCGAGCGCCGACCTTCTGTTGCACTACACTTCTCCAGAGCTACTTCTTCTGTATACTTTTTCATCCATCATCGCTCCGCCATATTTCATAAGAAGCCAATACATAACATCTACAAGACTTAGCAAGCTCATGAAACCATAGTCCAGACGACAAGAACCTTCAGCTTACAAGGATTTCCAAATGCTACACTGAGTCTTCTATTCCATTCCGTCAAAGTTCCACTCGTGACAGTACTTGTCCGGCTCACTATCAAGGACTTGAACTGGTCTCTGGCTCTGTTCACGTAATGCTGCAACCGTTCACGTGTGAACTACATCGCCCCCGATGCGCAAGTCGGCCCGTGATTCCAGATCGGAGCCTGATTCATATCACGGGCACTACAGCATCAGTTCCAGAAGACCGGACCGATCTGTCCGCTCGTCACCCTAGACGCCAATATGTCCATTTCGATCTCTCAGATGCCAAGAGACTCATTCCATTTCCATTGTTCTCCGACTCGTTAGCATTTGCGATGTCCTCCCGCACAATGTTGAACCGATTCTGGCATGTCTGCTTGGACACTGGGAATCGGTTGAGATAGATACTCCGAACCTGTCTCCTTCTCAGCTGCGCTCCACCTTTCCCGATCGGCTGGGGCTTTGATGGAACTTTGACGCACTTTGATGAAATGTTGATCTACGCGCTCAGGAACGCATCGATCGGAGCGACGAAGTAACCATTGAAGAAACGTCAAATATTGGTTGAGAATGAAGTATGCCCTAAAGTTCTAAAGTTACATAGAGTTACGCCGAGTGATAAGTGTTCGACAGGCTAAAATGGAGATAGCTCCGACCAGCCAATACAGCGGCATCGAACGAAAACTCCAAGGTATTGTTTGGTCTAGAAACACCTGCGAATGGCGTGCAAATACACAACCCGCAGTTTTCTGGCCTGTTACGGATCTGTGGTCGTACGTTTTCATTATACGACCCTTCGCACGTAGACTAAAGCAGCATAAGGCTTCGCTGGATCTACAGACATCCCATAAGATAGCTAGCATTCGACACTCCGACCAACCCTGTGCCACCTATCGAGAAATCGACGCGTTAAGTTTCAATGCAAAGCAGTAGACAGCTGTGGCTGAGATATGTCGACCGCGATCCGGACCGCCCTCGTGAATCCGCCTTTTGGTTCACGACATGAATTCATGTGAACTTTATAGAGCTAGACCATAACTTCCCCAAAATTTGCTCAAGCTCGTGGCTGAAACCTTGAAGAGCTTGGTTGCGGACTGACCACTGACCGTTCGCCAAAGCCGAGTGCCAGAGAGGCATCTCCGGAATACGCAAGTGGACTTCGCGCTGCAGTAAGTTAGGGCTCTGTACCGATGAGACGATGTGGCGCGAGATTCACTCGTATTCGCACTCGCAGGGATGAAAGCGCGAAAGCTACGTGCGGAGAGCTGGTTCAATGCACAGCATAGGCTTGCTGGCATTTGGCCTCTGTTACCACGAGTTCCAAACGAGTGCTATGTTTGACAACTCAACGACTGCAATCCGTCTACGATGTGCATGATTTATTGTCGTCAGCACAATCAGGCATAGTGGAGATCTTGAGGATGAATCCCAAGCTTTATCAGGTTTGTTTCCACCGTCAGGAAAGGACTACGAGAACGATAGCTGACTTACGACCAGCTCCTGGTCGGGCTGTTCGCATCGCTGGGATCAGTTCTTTTCGGGTACAACAATATCAGGATCGAAAAGTCGTCCACAATACTGACTTCTCGTCCATAGCTATGACCTCGGCGTCATTGGAGGAGTGTTAGCGGCCGACTCCTTCAAGAATTACTTCAATAATCCTACCAAGAATGAAATGTGAGCTGGCCGTACAACGCGAACTCTCGCATGCAACAGAACTCAGCTAAGGTCTGCTCATAGCGGTGCCGTTGTCTCAGTCTTTACAGGCGGCGCGTTCTTTGTCGCTGCCTTCGCTGGACCAAGCGGAGACTACTTTGGTCGACGACTTACCATCATGATGGGTGCAATTATTTTCATCTTCGGCAGCGCACTCCAGACCGGTGCACAGAACTTGGGCTTCCTCTACTCTGGACGAGCTATTGCAGGCATCGGTGTCGGGTTTTTGGTGATGATCGTTCCTCTCTACCAGGCAGAGATATCGCATCCAACGACCCGTGGACGTTTGACGGGTTTGCAGCAGTTCATGATTGGCAATGGCGCCATAGTCGCAGGTGACAATTATCGATGTGGAGGTTACTGGGATTCTGTTGACATTGCATTCAGTGTACTGCACTTATGGGACCAACAAGAACCTGGGAGAGTTTGATAACAACGTGTGGCGCATTCCACTGGGGATGCAGATGGTCCCTGCTGGGATTCTCGCTCTGTTAATTCTCCTCTTTCCCGAATCTCCGCGGTCAGTGTATCATTCTATCTGGCATATTAGCTTACACTGACACGACCCAAAGCTGGCTCCTGGACCACGGTAAATCCGAAGAGGCGCTTGCAACCTTGGCCCGACTCCATTCTCGCGGTAACGCCAACGATGCTTTCGTCCAGGCAGAATTCCAGCAACTCACGGAACAAATTCAAGACGAACGTCGGAACGGCGTTTCTGGCTACAAAGACCTTTTGACCAATAAGGCCAGTCTTCGACGCCTAATCCTGGTAACCGCAATCCAAGCATCCGTGCAGATGATGGGCGTTGTTCGCGCCAGTTCGTGCTAAGCCTTATTCTACGAATAAGGCCTTGTTCGTGTTGTCAGCGCTATTAAATAGGCGTTATTTCATGTCGTGCTTAGCGTTTATGAACAAGGCCTTGTTCATGTTTTAAGGCTGTTTTCATGTTCGTGTAATTGTCGCTTTCCGGTCGGCATCTGTTTAGCGCTTACGGCTGCGTACGGCGACTACGCATACTGTTAGAATTGTATACGAAGGCCAGTCTCTGCACTATCCTATCGTATATATATATAATACAAGTAACGATATGTGTTTCGTATACCTATACTCGTTATAGCGCTAGAATAATTGCAGCATCTGTCGAACAGCTATGCCGAGCAATACAGCTTCCGCACTTCCGTATATGCGTATAAGTCGTGCTTACTAAAAAGTCTGCAATAATCTTCTCTACAACTATTTCCTAGCACGAAAAAGGCCTTATCGCATGGAATAAGCCCTATCTCATATAAGGCTGATTTCGTGGCCGCACGAAACGGCACGACACGGAATAAGCCTTGTTTCGTGGAATAGGCCCTAGCATGAACTGGCGATAACAGCGTAAGTGCAGTGCAGTATTTCCTACCAGACATTTATGCCGCCTTGAATGTCGGTACCAATGATGCGCTGAAGTATCAGGGCATTGGGTACGCAGTTTCGATCGTCGCGCAACTGTGCACCATTCTGTTCATCGATAGGATTGGTCGCCGCTGGCCTATGATCATTGGAAATCTGGCCTGCTCGCTGTGCTTCGTCGTCATCGCAGCTGTCATTGCACGCTTCTTTTCCGTGAGTCAAGGCACCCAAAAGTCACTCCTCTGGCTCTTCATCGTCTTCAACTGGGTCTTTCAATTCGCCTTCTCTTTCACCTGCGGCTCTCTGTCATGGATCATCCCATCGGAAGTATTCGATACTCGCACCAGATCCAAAGGCGTCTCGATTGGTGTCATGGTCTCGTTCGCTTTCAATACCATGATTGGCCAGATCACAGCGCCTACCATTGAGTCGCAAGGTTGGCGTTACTTCTTGCTCTTCGTCATTTGCAATGTCACCAACGCCATCTTCTTTTGGGCTTTCCTTCCAGAGACCACTCGCCGGCCTCTAGAGGGGATGAACTATCTATTCAGTTCTACTAGTTGGTTTGTTCCAGGTACCAAATCTCGAAGCATCCCATCCGAGTTGCTGGAACGATCAGAGGAGCTGGAAGCAAAGCGCGCTGCGGTGCGAATGGAGGACGCGACACAATAAGTTGCGGATCAGATTTTGTTAAATGTTTCAGCGGAAAGGGCTGTCTGAGCAATCCTGCGAGGTGGCTTCCATGATAGTAGCCGAATACAATGCTGTGCGACCTCGCTCCTGTAGGCCAGTGCAAGCAGACAAAAATCGCAGAACCGATATCTTGAGGGAACCCAACTGTGAAGTTTAGGCCGATTGACTTCTTTGCCCTTGTTGAGCATTGTGCCCTAGTCGTGCCTGCGAAAGATGGTGCCCGAAATTCGTCGTCATTTCAGTTGTGCTGGCTGTAGAAGGTGAGTCGAGACGAGCGCCGAGGCTTCATGTGCATTGCTGATCATCCACTAATGCTGCACGGCCGTCGCGGCAAGAACCTTAGTTATACAAACGATATCCACATGTCCGGCAGGTCGCGCGAAACATATTGGCACCAGTGGAGGCAGTCCATCTGAAGAGCGCTCGTGTCCTCCGTCCCACTTAGCATCGACTTCGGTGATGAAAGAGCGAATTCCTTTGGTCCATTCCTAGCATGTTCGAGTCCGTCTGGAACACCATATCACTACAGCAAGGTCGAGCCATCCTCTTCCCAGCTCTGCAAATCAAAACGCCAGTGATCACGGTCACCACCACCGAAGTAGATGCCGACATCCGCAACTGGGCAGGGAATCGACTGCACTTGACCATCCTCAAGGACCTTGCACACCAGAAGGTGGCCCTGCTCTTCGTATAGCGTTCTCGAGAGGATAGCGAAGTACGTCTTGCACAGCGGCTTTCTCGGTTTGGGCACGGTGCGTAGAAATCTGGCCGCGTCGGCCGCTGTCTGTCCTCGAAATGGCGACTGCCAGTCTGGATCAAGTGGCGGCTTCGTACCCTCCGGGGAAGGCACTACGTAAAAGTAAAAGTCTGGTAAGGTGTTGTAGTCGCCGGCTAGCCAGAGGCTCTGACATCCATCGTTGCCGTCCGCAGATCGTCTCAGGACGTCTTCGAGTTCCTAAGAGTTTGCGTTCAGTTTGCGCGATCGCGCACGGCTCGAGCATCGACTTACGGCGACAGGCACATCCTCCAGCACGAAGAGGGCGTAGAGATCAATTCTCTCATCTTCATCATGCCAGCCTGTGGGGAAGAACTGTCGGTCATCTTCTAACTCTTCTTCGGTGGGCGACATGCTGACCGTTTGGTGTTTGCGAATTCGGGGTAGGTTGGAGGTTGCGGGTATCTCGATGCAGGCGTGTTTGTCAACTCAGTTGGTGCGAAGCCTCAGGCACTCACGACACAATCACTCGTTTCCACGAGTAAATTCACGTCGCCATGCAGATCGTCAAAGGGCTGGTGGTGGGTCACTTCTGAAAAAGCGGAGCCAGACCCGTAGATGGTCTTGAACACGGATTGATCTCACACATTGTAGCCAGCTGTCGCGAGGCCAAGAAAGGCAAGACTTGAGCCCACAAACCGTATCTCAGTCTCCTCGAAGTTGACCGTCCACGCCTGCCACGATGCCGATGATCCAGTGACTTTCGAGGCCAGGTCCTCAAGGTGTCTCGCATGAATGCTCATGGCGACGAAGCAGATCCTATCGAGATGACTGCAGATTTCCCCAGTCAGCGGCTGTACGAGTGGTCATTATAGGGGCTTTAGTTGTCTGCAAGGTCTTCATGGCTTGCTTTGTCTCGATGAACAGAAATTACGCTCGACTCGCCAGTTCCGACGTTGTTTTGCTGTGATCATGCATAGGCTCGTGCGAAGACTTCCACAGTATTTAGCCATCTTGTCATCTGAGCATGCTTCGCCTGCCTCTGGAGATACAGTCATCCGATGCGACCGATTTATTGTATGTTTCCTGCTATGTATGCAGTGTGTTGTGGGTGACTCCGCGGACAGCCTCCGCATTGTGAAGCACGAGACCTGCGCCCGGAAGTCAAGTCGTGCCGGGAGCGGTTATGCATCTGCTCTTATGGGAATTTGCTTCACTGTGGCACCGCACGGCCCGCGATGAAGATCTGATGGGAACCTGGCTAGGATGATGATCGCACGCTGGTTGTGTTGTAGCCTGGAAGGAAGAGGTAGGTGTTGTCGAGGCAGAACCCGGTGAGCCCGGCGGAAACGGCGGAAACGGCGGGCTTCTTGTGCCTTCCACGCCCGTCTCGCGCACAGTTTACAGGAACACCCAGGCTCTGCAATCCTGCGACCCACGCGGCCGACAAGGAGCACCTTTGACTTCTGGCCTCTTCATCACAGACTTCCGCGCTCGATCAACCAGGTTTTCACCTCGGCGAAGTGCTGGCTACTATCTCTCACCTCTATCACCACTGCCTCCTTCTGTGCCGGCGCGGGGATGGGACGGCGACCACCGACTTCGCGGCTGCACACCTTCAAGGCTGAACAATGGGCGAGAGGAAGTCGCATGTGAAGAGCCGCATGGGCTGCAGCCAATGCAAGGCGCGGAGGGTCAAGGTAACACACGACCTCAATTCTGGCCGGGGTCTTCGCTGACTTCAAACCACTCAGTGTGACGAAAAACACCCCGCCTGTGGCAATTGCAGACGACGGCAAGAGCCTTGCTCTTACAGAAACCCAGAGCCCAGCGTCGCCTCTTCTCCGGACGCCAATGGGACAGGATTTGCCAATGGACCGACTCAATCTCCTCAAGCTCATATCAAGCAGCTCGAATTGATGCACCAATTCTGCACCGATACTTACACAACCCTGGCATTGAAGCCTCAAGGAGTGGAAGTTCAGCAATTCGAGATTCCTAAACTGGCATTCCAGCACGGATTCCTACTCGACACCGTCTTTGCCATCACTTCTCTTCACCTTGCTTATTTACGACCACATGAAGCTCAATGGCGGATGGCAGATGCCGCCAGATACCAGACGCAAGCCATAGCAGCAACGCGACAACACGTGGCCAAGCTCGAAGCTTCACAATGCCATGCCATGTATTTCTGCTCAGCTCAGTTGGGAGTCATCGCATTGGCCTTCCGCGCTATTGATGTGGAGTCTACGGATGCTTCTACCATGACAGGGACTTTGCACCAGTTGTCGCAATTGTGGCGCGGAACATGGTCGATCTTACTCGCTTCACGAGAACTCGTGCCACCCGAGCTCTACGATGTCCTCTTCCCAGCGCCAGAGTGGGCACCTCCGACTGGCTCCCTTACACCCACTTTGGAAGCATTTCTGGCCACCTTGAAAGCCAAAGCGAAATCTGATCCAGATGCCAAAGACGTGATTATACCCTCCGATCCGATGGTATCGATGGAAAACCAAGCAAGCACAGGATGTCTCATAGCAATCGGGAAATTGGAAATCCTCTTCCAGCTTTGCGAGCCAGAACCGTCTCGCATCCTCGCTTACCTGGTCGAAGTGCCACAGGTGTTCTGGGACTTGGTTCACCAGCGAGATCCTCTAGCATGTGCTATTTTGCTCCTGTATAGTACCACTTATCGAGTTCTCGAGGATCACTGGTGGTCGAAAGGTATCCGACATCAGCTTACTGACGAGCTGTCGCCCATAGTGGCGTCAGGAGATCCGGAGCTCGCAGAAATCGCCATCTGGGTACACAATGCTTCTACACCCTCCAGCGCCGACTGAGACACGCACTGTCTGTTCTCTATTGATTCTGGCCGATGGTTTATCGAGCCCTCTACCGTGAAAAATGGGGCCAGGAAGGAAATAACACTATCAGAAGCGAAGCTTCCACTCGCAGGACATGTCCCGCGAAACCGAATGCTGGCATCATAGCCAGGATGTCCGACTCTGTGTTGACAACAAAGCCACATAGCTTCCAAGTTCAATCAATCAGCAAGACCAAGGCAAATTCCGTCCCGGAGTGTCTACGCATACATACTCTATCACCCAAGTCCAGGATCCATTCCAACAGCATGACCTGAACGGCTTCTACGATAGCAAGATCTTGAATTACAGCAGGCCAGGTTTAGCGGGCGAAATGAGGATCTCACGAGTGAGAAGCATTAGAGCACCTATGATGAACGACTCCATCACGATCGACGCTGGCTCGTACGAGGTTCTATGCACAAATATTGAGATACGAATTAATGGAGAGGAAAACAATGCCCTCCCGAAGGAAAGGTGGAGCTATAAAGTAGTAATGATACGCCCCAGGGGAAGTGCGTTCACTGAACGACCCAGAGCGTGAGGGCCCAGCTATTTGTTAGTGTAAGAACCAAGAAGGTCGAAAGCCTTTGATCCGCAGCACGCGTCTGTACTATTATGTAAACTTTACTGTTTGAACCTGCCCTCATGAGCAAAGTCTGCACATCATGATACAATCTATTTCCGCTAATAACATACAACATAATCATAAGGTGTCTCCCATCTTTACACAACTCCTCTTCATCTCCCCCAAGCCCTCCACCACAACCCAACATTCGCCGCAACAAGCAAATCCAACATCCCATACCCCTCAGGTTGAATGATCAATTTCCCCAACTTGGCTTGCTTCCCACCAAACCCACCACCAGCTTTCTCTTGACCTAACGAGAGATCCAATTTACCCTCATCGTCAAACACGAAATCCACGTTCCCGTTCTCGCTCGAAGAATGTAATCTTCGATGAAGGCCGCTCATATATGAGCTTCGTTTATCACCATTACTGCTGAGAGGCGCATTGGCGATTTTGGATGATGCGGTAGGGAGGTTGAATCGTAGTTCGGATATCTCGACGGGAACAGTAGAGCCGTACGTTGATGGGAGGTGATGTTTGCATTTCAGGCTCTTGCCGGAGACACCTGTCGTGAATTCACAGCGTGCGTCCCAGGGACTTGTGAATGTGTAGCCTTTATTCCGTCGGTCAGCGTAGGAGGAGATCGAGGAGACGTCCACTGAAGACCGGTTTGCGGTTCGTCGCGAAGAGGCGTCTTGATCGAGACTTGTGACGGAGCCGAATCTGCTATGCTGGGTGTACTCGTGTGCACTATACTTCGAGCCCGGCATGTAAAGTCTTCGGCGGAAGACGCCTTCGGGAGCGCCACTGTTTCCTGAACTTGTGGTGTCTTGACTCAGCGGGGAAGTCGGTCGTTCATCTTTCAGGAATTGTGAGTAGGCGGGATTTGAGATATCCAGGAATAGTGGCGCTCCACTTCGTTTCGTTCTTTGTGCTGCACTGGGATTACGCAGTGCGGCAGAAGATATCTCCTGAAGTGGTGGATCGTGGATGAAGGCGACATTCCATTGCTCGCCTGAAGCAGGATCACGACGGATGAGGGTTAACGATCCTGCTGGAGGGAGGTCTGCTGGATCGAGGGGCGGAGAAGACGGCTCGGACAACTGCATCGAATATGGATTGTTCTCATCGCTATGTTCTGCTCGTCGAAGAAGGTGCTTGTTGTAAGTGTGCAGGGAAGTCTGCTCAGAGTAATCCTCAGATGGTGGTGACGGCAGAGGCCGACGTGGTAAGACTGGTAAGCCCGGACTGAGCAGAGTGCCGTGAACGTTGCTTTGGTCCCTGCTGCCTACCGGCTTACGGACGACATGGCCATGCTTGGGAGGACTTGGCGTTCGCGGTTGCAATTGGGGCGGGCCATCGTCCAGCGGGTAAGGAGGAGTTGGCGGCGCCGCCGGTCTTCGAGGGGATCTTCGAGGCAGCACAGGTTTGCGTTTCAGGCAGTCTTCTTGTATTGAGACCAATTGGGACGCATCTGCATTGACTGATGATGGACGTCCCCTCGGCTCCTCGTAGTCCTCTGGCGAATTGACATGTATGTAGTACAAAGAGCTCGAAATGTCCTCGGCTGTGACCACTTTTTCTCGTGGCTTCATCGGCGTGAGGAATACATCGCGGCTTCCGGGTACACGTGCAATGTATAGCACAAGTGGTAGATGCGGTATGTCCTGCTTGAATCCCAGCTTTAGTGGCGGGTTCGCTGCGATGTCGGTAACTGTGGAGAGTGAGGTAGCCTCTACTATGGTAGTCTCCATATCGTAAGTCATGTTATTGGTGGTGTGTGCCAACGAGAACTCGAAACGTCTTTGAACGTTGGAGAGCGTTGTGCGAATCCGACTAGGCAGTCGCTATCAGACTTGTTCGGGCAGCTTCGTTCCAGGCTATCGTAGCATCATTCGAAATCTGTCAAACCGCGCGGACGGGTATTTCGAGGCCGTAAGAGTGTCCAGCACTATTCCATATGTACAAGTGGTGGAAGTCGAACGAACTGCAGACTTCACGAGCGAGACGCCAGGATGATGAAGCATGAGGTGGCTATAGCGTGGCTGAGCATCCAAGTCGAATGTGGAAGACTTCGTACGCAATCAGCGGCCGAAGCATTGCCGCCGCGAGTGCGTCAGTTGCTCATTCCACCGACTCAGGCCGCGCAATGGTTCAGTATCGCACGAATGTCAACGATCTGGAGTGTGTAACGCGTTGAGCAAAAGCTCGCGTGCACAATTGAATGTTTGGTTTGACGGTTGGCGTGGTTGCCAGCGTGAAAGGCCGACTTGCCGACTCGCTTAATTAGTGTACCCCACTGCAGGGTTCATAGAGTTTCAGCGACCTCGAAATTCTCTCCAGCTCGCCGGTGAAGGCTGGCAGACGCACATTCGCCTGCGACACTCGTTCATTGCCACTGAGACAGCACCATGGCGGAAGAGCAGCAGAACGATGTGCTTGACGGCCTCGAGGTATGCAAGCGCACTCAAGCACACCTAAGTGGCACTTCTAATGCAGCAGCAGGAACGCCTCCAAAGCCACAGCAAAGCTTTCGAGTCTCTACTGGCATTAACACCCGCCCGCGACTATTACGGCGCACAAATAGAGGATGGACTGAACCCGGACGAACAATGGAACAGGAAGAAGCAAACGAAAGAGCAAAAGCGAGCCGCGAAAAAGGCAAAACTAGACCCGGCGAACCAGAAAAGCGCTCTGGACATAATGAAAGAGCGCGAAAAGAAACGTAAACGGGAGCTGGGCTTGGACGATGAGGCCGAGGAAGGTGTGGAGAAAGAAGCCGATGCGGAAGCTGGCAATAAGCGACAGAAAAAGGATGACGTTGATCCAGAAGTGAGGCGAAAGCAGATCGCGGAGAAGCGGAAAGCGAAGCGTCAGGCGAAGAAGGCCAAAATCGATGCAAAGATCGAGAAGGCGAAGGCGAAGATGGAGGCGAAGAAGAAGCAGCAGGAGGGAGAGGATGTCGAGGAAGACCAAGCAAATGGAGGCGCCACCGACAGCGAAGACGAGGACGAGGACGACCACGAGGATGCCACAGAAAATGATGCCGCGGATCTCGCCAAGGTCGACTTTTCGGGACTTGCTGGCTCAGAGGATGAAGAGGAAGAAGAGGAGGACGAAGAAGCAGAGGCATCTTCTACACCGACAAGTCCGAATGTCAATAGCCCAGCTTTTGACGTAGCGACTAACCTTTCTGAAGCCTCATCCTCCTCCTCCGTGGACCCACAGCCTGTCGCCGAGAAGGCGGAAAAACCTGCATCGAAGCAAAAGCCATCCGCAACAACGAATACCGCATCAACCTCTACAACGAAAGCGAAGCCTAAACTTGAAGCCAAAGCCAAAGCGCCGAAGCAAATATCACTTCCTGCATTCGACCCATCCACAGCCGCTGCCGAAATACCATCCGGCACATCTTCACCCAAAATTCAACTTCCCAATGTCGACCAAGCCGAGCTGCAAGAACGGTTACGGAAGCGAATCGAAGAGCTGAGAGCGAAGCGCAAAGCTGATGGCGCTGATGGCAAGCCCGCAAAATCCAGACAAGAGCTCCTCGACCAGCGAAGGAAAAAGGAAGAACAACGAAAAGCGCACAAGAAGGAGCTGCGCCAAAAGGCCAAGGAGGAAGAAGCGCGAAAGCGAGAGGAACAATTACGAGGCTCTGGGAGCCCTGCGGCTGATATCTTCAGCGGGAGGAATAGTCCCAGACCTCGATCGCCCGCCGAGAACAGCTTCGCCTTCTCCAAATTGGCATTCGAAGATGGCACAGCTGCGGATGCAGAACTCAGCACATTAAAGGACGCAGTCAGGAAAAAGGGCCCACAGGATCCCAAGACCGCGCTCCTCGCGGCGCAAAAGAAAGAAGCCAGACTCGCGGGGCTCGACCCAGCGAAGAAAGCAGACATCGCAGAGAAGGACATGTGGTTGAACGCCAAGAAGCGCGCGCACGGTGAACGGATACGAGACGATACGAGTCTGTTGAAGAAAGCTCTGAAGCGTAAAGAGAAGGCGAAGGGCAAGAGTGAACAAGAATGGAATGAGCGCAAGGAAGCTGTTGTCAAGGGCAAAGAGATGAAGCAGAAGAAGCGTGAAGCGAATCTTGCAAAACGGAGAGAAGAGAAAGGATCGAAGCCTGGCAAGAAAAAGGGCGGTAAACCCGGTGGGAAGCCTGGTGGTGGGAAGAAAAAGGCCAGAGCTGGGTTTGAAGGGAGATTCAAAGCATGATTTTCATGAGCTTGCTGCTGCTATGCGGTCTGGTGGGAGAATGGAGGTTGTATAGATATACTTTTAGGGCAGCGGGTTTTATGAATCTCTTACAACTTCAAGCACCTTCATCGCCATTCGGACATCATCATAATTTGGAATTTAGTTTTTCAGCGTATTGCAGCCACACTACCTACGCCTACATTCCCCGTCTCGAAACTTGAGTGAAGAAAGAACGCCTGCTAGCACTTGACGCCCATTTGCTTTTTTGTACACACACATATACTCTGTTCATTTCTCTAACAGACACACGCCCAAGACGAACAAAAACACCCGAAAAATCAAGAACAGACTTTGCAAACAAATTTTCCAGCCGTCCTTCCCTCCAGCACTTGGGTTAAACTGGAAAGTAGGCTGATGATGATGATGCAATTCTTCTCTTTCTCTCACACTCGTACAGTCGATCGGAACACAGACAAATGCTTTACTTCTTGTTGATTTCGAGGAGCTTGACGTCGAAAACGAGAGTTGCGTTGCCTGGGATTGAAGGAGGAGCTCCACGGCTGCCGTAGGCGAGGTGGGCAGGAATGGTGATACGGCGTTCACCGCCAGCGCTCATGCCGGCGATACCGATGTCCCAACCCTTGATGACTTCGCCGGAGCCGAGCTTGAAGCTGAAAGGCTTGCCCTTCTTGTTCGAGTCGAAGACTTTGCCGCTCTCGAGCTTGCCGATGTAGCGCATACCGACGCGGTCGCCGGCCTTTGCTGCGGGACCAGAACCGACTTTGCGGTCATCGATCTTGACGCCGTTGACAGTGCGTGGACCGGTGGCTGCCTTGTCCTTCTTCGCGTCTTTGGTGGGAGTTGGGCCTTGCTCGAGCTCTTTGGCGAAAGAGACCTTCTTGTCAGACTTTGTGGAGCTTGGAGCCTCTGCCTCCTTCTTTGCGACCTCGTCGGCTGGAACGGCGGTACCGTCGTTCTTCTTGAGCTTCTTCAATTGCTTCTTGCTGAGCTTCTCGCCGTTCGCGCCCTCCTTCTTGGCAGCATTTGCGATCAGCTCGTCGATCGTAGAGCCGTCTGCGGTCTCGTCCTCAGCAGGGCGCTTGTTCTTGCCCTTCTTGTCGGCCTTGGATGGCTTAGCCTCGATGAGAGCAGGCGCCTCGTCCTCCTCGTCGAGCTCTGTAATGCGTGGGTCCTCCATGTCGTCCAGCTCATCCTCCTCGTCATATTCGTCAAGCTCATCGCTATCTGGCTCGAGGTCGTACTCGTCCTCCTCATCACTGTCTGGGTCGTACATGCCGTGCTCATGGCTGTGCTCATCAGCTGGCTGGACATAGTTGCCAGTCAGGAAGATGGAGTGCGTTCCGGAAACCTTGAACAGAACACGCTCATTCTCACCAACAGTGATGTCGAGTGGTTGCTGGTAGTGCTGAAGGAATGGTTAGTCGAAGTCATGGTACTGAGGTCGCAAGAGACATACCTTCTCAGGATCGAGCGTGCAGATGACGAACTCCTCATACTCCTCCTCATCATCGCTGTCAATCTCCTCATCGTCCGAGTCCTCGTCGTCAGTAGCTGGGCGCTTGCCCAAAGCCTTGGCAGACTTCTTGCCATTGACACCATTCGGCTTCTCATCCACATCCATGTCATCGTCGTCCTGCTCAGCGATGAGCTGTTCGATAGCCTTTTGAGCAGCGGCCTTGCGAGCAGCCTTGCTTTTCGCAGGATCGCTTGGACCGCCGTTGGCTTCCTCCTCGTCGCTATCCTCGTCAGAGTCGCCTTGCTCGCCCAGCATGCGCTCAAGCTCCTCAATGTCGAAGTCCTCCTCGTCTTCGTCGTCCGAGTAGTCTTCAGTCAAAGCCTGGCGGATGATCTTGAGCGTCGCACGAGCTGGCTGGCCTTCCTCTCCCTCGGGCTCAGCGCTGGGATCGATGGCAGCCATGGTGATCCGGTACGCCGATGGGATGTCTGGTCGCGCTGGAATGGCGACATCGCCAGCGGGGACCTCGAGGCCGTAGAGGGCCATGGGAAGCATGCCGGCCATTTTGATAAATTGATCGCAGCAAGTCGGTGATTCTGAGGCGCAGAGTTTATTCAGTCTGTATGGAACAGGCTGTACTGAACTGCTTGGGTGTTCTCTGCTTTGTAGCAAAGTATTAGGGATTAGAGAAAGTGGCTGGATGGAAAAGCAGTCGAGAGAAAAAGAGCTCTAAAATGCAGGAAAGAGCTCGAGATTTTCGAAGGCCAGCACCGAGCCTCCGGCGCGATCGGGCCGAGAAGCGATCCTCACCGCGCGAACCCTGGTCGACGTCAGCACCTCGCATCGCGTCTGCCACGCGACTTCACAAGACAAAGGAACGTCGTCTGCGAACCGCTCTCTGACCCGTTCTTCGCCCCTTTTATCCTGTTTCCGACTTGGAGAAGCCGCACTGTGCAGCACAAATGCACTGAGGGCCTCCGGCTGCACCCTCGAGTCGCTCAGTCGCCACATGCGATAGTCAAGGCAGCCACCATGCCTGGTACACGACAACATGGGCTCACGGCTGGAGCAAAAGAGCAATTTGGTGCGGAAGCGTATCGAACAGCACGATTTTACCGACGAGACTGGCGAAGAATATGAGCCCTCGAAATTTGGAGGCTTCAGTGACTATTTCCGCCGCAAGAAGATCAAGTTGCAGAATCTTGATGCAGATCTGCGAGCACAGTCGAAAGACAAGCCCCAGATCTTTAAAGGCGTGGTATGCCATGTCAACGGCTACACTCAGCCTTCTCTCAATGACCTTCATACCATGATTGTCCAACATGGAGGAGGCTTCATCCAATATTTGGACGGCAAGACCATGGTAACGCATATTATCGCGAGCAATCTTACGCCAAAGAAGAAGGAAGAGTTCCGACGGTACCGAATTGTGAAGCCTGCCTGGGTCGTCGATAGTATCAAGGCCGGAAAGTTGCTGCCATGGGATGCATATCGAGTAGTGGACGAGGGCGTTGGACAGAAAGTCCTTGGATTCGAAAATGGGCAAGTCGTCAGCCAGGCCAACCGAAGAACCCAAGGTTATCGCGAGCAGACCGACGCGAGCTGGTATACGAGCCAACTTCGAGCGTCGCAGCACGCTGGACCACGGAAGCCGCCTGTACTTACACAGACGATCACTCCTGATGTTGAAGATATCGAAGATGACGAATATGGCTTGCCAGAGATAACTAGCTCCATCGAGCAGGCATTGCAGGACGCTGACAAAATGGCAGACAGGGGTGAAAACAGGAGGGAGGAGCAGGAACCCATTGCCGCCCCGCAGACCCCGCCTCCTACAAGCCCAACACTCCCGCCTGAGGATGACAACAAGGTCGAGACCGATCCGAGAAGTCCTGCCGCGATCGAGCCCGAACCACCGCCTGGAAAGCAGTCAGCCTTGCGACCTCGCGAAGGGTCGCAAGAGCCAGATTACTCTCACTCCTTGATACGCAACTCCGAGATTCTCAAGAATGTCTCGCCTTCTAAACTTGCTGCAATGACTGCGGAAGAACACAATGCGCTGATATTGTCTGACCCAAAGATCAGAAAGTCCACTGTGGTGCATCCCGACTTCTTGGATCAGTATTATCGTGAATCTCGGCTTCACCACCTATCAACCTGGAAAGCAGATCTCAAGTCTCAATTGCAGGCTCTGGCATCCGAGAAGTCATCGTCACAAAAGGCCAAGCAGAAGAGGCAGCCAGCGCAGCGAAAGTATGTCATGCACGTTGATTTCGACAGCTTCTTCGCTGCAATCTCACTCAAAAAGTACCCTCAATACATAGACAAGCCTGCTGCTGTTGCGCATGGCGGTGGCTCAGGCTCCGAAATCGCGAGCTGCAACTATCCGGCCCGGAAGTTTGGCGTCAGCAATGGCATGTGGATGAAGCGTGCGCAAGAGCTTTGCCCTACTTTGAAGATCTTGCCATACGACTTTCCTGGCTACGAAGATGCCAGTCGGAAATTCTACGATGCGATTCTAGCGACTGGTGGCGTTGTACAGAGTGTCAGCATCGACGAGGCGCTCATTGACATTAGTGTCATATGCTTTGCTGAAGGCGGCACAGATGGCATCAGTCGTGCTGAAGGTGCTGTAAACCGGGAACAAAGCGTTGCTGACCGGATCGCGCAAAAGCTTCGAGATGAGGTGCTCGAGAAGACTGGCTGTGCGGTATCGGTTGGTATTGGGGCCAATATACTGCAAGCGAAGGTTGCTTTGCGCAAGGCCAAGCCAGCCGGCCAATACCAACTCAAGCCTGAAGAAGTGCTCGATTTCATCGGCCAGTTGGAAGTTCAAAAATTGCCTGGCGTGGCTTGGAGCATTGGTGGGAAACTGGAAGAGATTGGCATCAAATTGGTCAAAGACATACGCGAGACGTCGAAAGAGAAGCTGATCAATACTCTTGGACCCAAGACTGGCGAGAAGATCTATGAATATGCTCGGGGAATCGACAAAGCAGAAGTCGGTGATCAGGTCGTGCGCAAATCTGTCTCGGCAGAAGTTAATTGGGGCGTACGTTTCGAAAACCAAGACCAAGTCGATGAGTTCATGAACGGTCTATCTGGCGAGCTTCACAAACGCCTAGCAAAGGAGCGCGTCAAGGGCAAGCAGTTGACGATGAAAGTCATGAAGCGTGCTGCAGATGCTCCTCTGGATCCGCCGAAGCATCTTGGACACGGCAAGTGCGATGTTTTCAACAAGAGTTTGCAGCTTGGTGTCGCCACGAATGATCATGCGATCATTGCGAAAGAGACGATTGCCATGATGAAATCTTTTGGCATTTCGCCTGGCGAGCTACGAGGCATAGGAATACAGATGCAAAAGCTCGAAGCAATCAAACCTGGGTCTGAAAGTGCAGATCAAGGCAGCCAACGGCGTCTCCAGTTCAAGGCTGGCCCTTCGAAGCCTGTACCTCAAATTCCGAGAACAGTGTCTAGAGATGATCCGATTCAAGATGAAGGCCACACCCCGCCGAAGGAACGTATCGCTGAGGCAAACAGACCCAGCGCTGCATTTCGACCAGTCGCTCCTGGTACACCATCAAAGAAGCCGCTCAACATTCTGGGCACACAATTCGTGTTGCCGACTCAAGTTGATCCTACTGTTCTGGCCGAGTTGCCTGAGGACATCAGAGCTAAGCTTGCACGACAACCTCCAGCGAAGCCTTCCATGGAGAAGGCAGATAAGAGGCCTCCAGAGCCCGAGTATATACCGAAGCTAAGACTTGCTGATGCGAGCGACTCTGCGTCTTCGTCAAGGGCGCAATCGCCTGCGTTGTTCATTCCTCCACAGTCACAACTGGATCCAAGTATTCTCGAGGCACTACCTGAAGACCTACGAGCTGAAGTTCTAGGTTACTACGAAAAGCCTCAAGCCGGTCCCAGCAGACGTGTTGGCCAAGCTGTGCTGCCACAATCCCCGCGAAAGACACGAACTCTGCCGCCACCACCGCCAGCCAAGCGAGGTCGCGGCCGACCGAGAGGCGCAAAGAATCTCACTTCACGCCTTCGAAGCGCTGCAAACGACCACTCTACACTGACTCAATCAAACTTTGTCGCTCTGCCCGCAGCTGCAGGCAGCGCAGACACTGAAGAATTCGATCCAGAGGTCCTTGCTGCACTGCCTGAAGAATTGCGTCAGGAGATCCTCGCTCAACAAAGGCGAGAGCGGCTTCAGCGGCACGGAGGTATCGGCACTTCATTACATCAACGACCGAAGAACGCTCGAGGCAAGAAGAAAGATGTGGTGGCCGCGCGAACAGGTCCGCGACGCTTTGTTCTGCCGCCTCATGCGCCGCAGCCGACTTTCACGAGCCAGAAACTCAGTACGCTACCTGAATTGCGGAACACTGTGAGTGCATGGTTCAAGGAATTCAGCGATGAACCGCCCTATCCCGAGGATGTCGATGCATTGATCACGTATCTCAGAACTGTAGTCATTGACGAAAGAGATTTGGACAAGGCTGTCAGTGTTGTGAACTGGATGGCATGGGTGCTGGAAGATAGTGAAGGCGTGCCTGAAGATGTGATGAATGGCTGGGAGGATGCTCTGGGGAGAACACGAAGAGGTGTGCAAGAGGCTGCCACGACGAGGAAATTGGGAACGATCAAGTTCGACTGAAACGATAGGATGCCTTTTTCATTCCTAAGATAGCGTTTCCTGGATAAGGAACTTCTAATCAATCCGACATATCAATTTACCCATCGTCTGATTCGATTCCATCTGTCGATGCGCCTCTTGAATCTGCTCCCATGGGTACACCTTTTCAATGATGCTCTTCAGCCTCCCATCCTTGAACATAGGCAAAGCATGCTCAACCAATTGGTCTCTCAGCTTCCCCTGATACGCCTCGTCTCTACTTCTCAAACTCGATCCCTCGCTAGAAGACGGTGTCAGCATGAACTCAATCATTCACTCCACATCAATAACGCTGAGAAGCACTTACTACCTCAACCTCTTCGCCACGAAATTCCCAAAATTTGCGTTCGTATCCTGCAACTTCATCCCACCCAACGTCGCCAAATTCACAATCCTCCCATCCTTCGCCGCAGCATCCAAATTCCCCGCAAAAGTCGTAGGACCAATGAAATCCACTATAATATCTACTCCCTTCCCATCCGTAGCTTTCTTCACTTCCTCACTCCAGTTTTCAGTCTTTGTCGTGTTCCATGCTTGGGTTGAACCGAGTTTCTTAACACAGAAATCACACTTCTCATCGGAACGGGCGGTGGCGAAGATGGAGGAGGCACCGTTGACTTTACTCAATTGTTGACCAGCAATGGAAACAGAACTGGCGCCCGCATGCCAAAGGATGGATTTCCCTGGGGTGAATTCTCCAATGAGATACATGGCTTGTGTAGCAGTAATCCAGGTTTCTGGAATTCCGGCGCATTCTTCCCAGCTGAGTTCATCAGGTTTGTGAATCAGCATATGGGTTGAAACAGCAATGTATTCGGCGTAAGCGCCTCCATAAGCGAGACCGAAAACTGCGTCGCCGGGTTTGAAGCCTTCTTTGTTGGAGGAGGAGACTTCTTCAATTGTGCCGCTGAATTCTACACCGAGGGTTTTGGGGGCTTGTGGAGGGACGGGATAGCGACCTTCACGTTGGAGGATGTCCATGCGGTTGAGGCCGAAGGCTTTGACTTTTACGAGAGCTTGAGAGCCTGTGGGTTCTGGGCGAGGGGTTTTGTCGTTGATGAAGAGGTTGTCGAGAGGGCCTTTGCCATCTTTGATGTCTGAATTCTGTTAGCCATGAGGTTTGTGAACGCTCGGCCAGAGCCAGTGGTTTCATACCGACTGCTCGCATGGTCGCCATGGCTGCGTTAAAATTGAGGTGTTGAGAAATATCGTGAAGTCTGGCGGCGTGGCGACGTGACATAGAACGGCTCTCAAATTATTGAAGATCGTCACGGATATGGTGGTAAAGTGCGAATGATTGCGCAGTAGTGGGGCACAAATGATGTATGCGGGGTGTGCAAGTGTGAAGCTGTCCCCGACACTTGCCGAACAGGCCTTTGTGCAGGTACCACTCATACCGAAGCTTGTACTCGTACTGTATTTATTGCCTGCGTACGTATATTGTCGAGGGTTTAGAAGCTGAGCACCCACAGGTCGTTCAGCCGCTCGTTGCTTTCGCCCAAACCGCCTGCGACTGCCACACTATCCTTGCCATCAAGTGTAACAACATCAGCATCAAACCATCCTCTAGCATCAGGAGCACCGTCGTTAGACTTCGCATTGACCGCCGACCATGCGCCCGTGTCGAGAGAATATGCCCAGATGTCGGACAGCATCTTTCCAGCTCCTTGGTGGCCGAGCGAGCTGGGATCACTTTCACCAAACAATGTCACGAGATTTGTGCTTCCTCCAATCTTAACAGGCAGCAAAGCCGCAACACTTCTGGCGCCAGGTCCCTGCTTCCCATCCGCATTGAAAGAGATCGTGCTCCAACTATCGGCGGCCGGATCATACACGTCAAGGGCTCCACCAACTTCCTGCGTACCATCAAAGCCATTGATGCGATATAATTTTCCATCGGCCCAGGCGATCGAAGTTCCACCTCGGGGTGGATCGGGAGCCGAAGCAAGTTGTTTCCATTCCTTCTTCGATATGCTGAAAGCCCAGAGGTCTGACAAGCGCCCTTTCTCCGGGCAGCCAGCATGCACAAAGACGATATCTTTGCCGTCTGATGCTGTAGTGTGGTAGCTTCTTGCTTCTGGATAAGTTGAGGAAGCGGGACGAAGCAAGGTCCATTGGCCAGAGTTCGTACTCAAGGCCCAGACCGCCCCTTCTTCATTGACAGGAGCCATCTCCGGGCCTCCTCGACCAGAGAAGAAGTATATCGTATCGCCCACTGTAGCACTAGCAGAGCCGACACGCGGTAATGGTGCAGTCTCAGGCGCTTTCATTGATTGGACGGATGAGGAGCCTGTTCCATCTTAGTTTGTGCAAGCAAAGTTCAAGGGATTGTTATGCACCATTGAGATCAAGCTTGTGAAGATCATTGTCTCTCGGCTCCCTAGGTTTGAGCTCTCCGCCAAAAACGTAGATCGAGTTTCCCACAGCGTTGACGTTGTGTGACGAGCGTTGAAGTGGCTCTGCTGCGGCCAGCTTCTTCCATGTTGCTGTAACAGAAGCCATTCTCTGCAGTGTTCTTCGCATGTGATATGTAATATTGCAACAAAGTAGTGGCAGTGACGACTTGTTGTTAATTTATACAACTCGCGTTATCGATGAGTGCATCAGTGAGGGACCAAGAAACAAGGTCCGTCACGTGGAGTGGGGCTCGTACGATCGCATGCAGACTCGCTAGATTCGTCATTTGGCGGCCAATGAGCTCGAACATGGCCAAGATGAAGTGGGATACGCCTGTCCATCAAGGTGATCGAATTGCCACGCTGCCTCCGGATCGTGAGTGATAGCGTGAAGCATGTTCATTAGGCTCGCCTAGAATGGCTTACACTTGCTGTCTCGACCTCGACCTTTTTTGGGAATCCGATAACGATACTACTAGCCTTTCGAGAGGCTCCCAGACGTAGTTCCAGTGTCGTAGGCGCGACTGTGACCTTGCGCGACTATTTGTGCCCCATTCGGCCATTTCAGTAGCCATATCGGAAGTGGTTACTACCTGTGTGCTTGGTCGCCTTCCAGCGGTAGTTGCTGAGATTCGAAGTTCACAGGTTCCTGTTCGCCAACTGCATCGAGACCCGGATGCAGTTTTTATCGTTGTCGGCTCCAGCGTACTCAAAGCATATCCCAGCGTGAGGCAGGTCGCGAAGAACATCCTTCATGCTGCTCATCTGCTGCTTTCAGCCGCTCTCAGCCCTCGAACGTCCATCTCCGCTTCTTGTTCTCATATGTCCCAGCAACGGCGGACTGCCCCATTCATGTCTCATCACCGGCGTGCCACCACCAGGAGTTCCAGGTCGTCTCCTATCGACCGGACTCCAGTGTCTCTTCAGCGCATCATCAATAATCTGCTCGTCCTCCCCATCCCCCATGGCGCCTTCATCCTGCTCCTGCTTCGAAACAAGCCGTACGCCTCCACCCGCAGCAGCCATCTTCTTCCTAAACAACTCCTCACTCGCCCTCGCACCGTCTTGCCGTCTCTTTTCCATCTCTTGAATTAGATTCTTGAAGTACACTTCCGCAGCCACCGTCTGCGAGTATGCTAGCGGAGTCCAATCGTGATTGTTCTTGGCCAGCGGGTTGGCGCCGGCAGCGAGTAGGATTCTCAATGCTTTCAAACTCCCACTCGCGCTCGCATGATGTAATGGCGTGTTCCCGTCCAAGTCCTGCACATCCGCTCTCGCGGGGAAGCTTTCATCTTGCAGTAAGATCGGAATCAGACTGGTAGAGCCAGGACATTGTGCCGCCAAAGCTAGAGCATCCATGCCTTGCTTGTTGTAGAACGGAATGCATCGCGGGAATTGCTTCGCGAGTAGCGTACCAACTTCATAATTGCCGTTCCTCGCGGCGAGCATCAGTGGCGTGTCATGGTCGCTGTTTCGGGAGATCTCGTTCGCGTCGTGTCCGAGGGAGATCAGAAGAGTGCATATCTCCGGGAAGCCATGGGAAGCGGCAAGGTGGAGCGACGTATTGGATTTATCGGCGAAATCGGGATTCTGAAGGAAGTGCGGGTTGTTGCGAATGATGCGCTGAACAAGAAGGACGTCGTTGAGGAGAATGGCTCGTCGGAGACGAGTGGAGGCTTCGATCCTGATGCAACATTAGTAGATGATGAGGTGGGTTCCGGAGGCGTTCATACATTGTACCGTCGCTGTCATTGCTGCTATCGTTGTTCCATTGCTTGAGTCCTGCTCAAGTCTTGGGGTAGATGAGGTGCATCTTGACTGCGATGGGAGTTGCGATGATGGGAGGGAAGGAAGCTTGGTTCACATGCGAACTGATGTGACGCAAGGTGTGGTGCTAGTAGATCCCAGCTGGAATACGCTATGATACGCCTCTATAAGATATAAAATACACAGCGACTAGATCCATTTCTCTCTGCCATGAGTGGACTGTCTATAGGCCGTTATGTATGTGTACATGCTGAATATACAAGCCCGCTGCAACTGGGCTATGCTCATCCATTCGATGCCATATCGAAGGCCCAGTGAAATATGCAGCACTTCCAGGCTTGAATGACCTGGGATGGTATCGCTCTGTCGTTCTACTTCCTGCGCGACATCACTTTTGTACACATGTTGAGCAGCCCAACCTTGGCCTCGCTTTCCGGGAACCCGGCTATAGCTTGTGCAGCTTTGTCGACGTAGTCTTGCGCTAGTGCTCTAGTCTGCTCAATACCGTTGCTTTGCATGACTATGTCTCGTGCCTGCAGACCGTTAGCATTGAAACACAGCCAAAAGGCCACATTGAAACTCACCTTCTGCGCATCTCCCTTCTCGGAGAACTTCCGTCCAACCAACGTTCCCAGCTCCTTGTTGTCCTTCCACGCGAACAGCAGCGGCGCCGTTGCAAGGCCCAGCTCAAGATCTGCACCTCCAGGCTTTCCGAGCTCTTGCCCACTAACAGTGTAGTCCAGCATATCATCGACCAGCTGGAATGCTAGACCCAAGTTCTTTCCGTACTGATACGCCGCTTCAACCACTTCGCGAGGATGCTCCCCTAGCAGAGCAGCCGCACGACAGGACTTGCTGATCAAACTCGCAGATTTCAGATATGTCTTCTGGAGGTAGTATGTGATTGTTTCTTCGTTCCAGGTGGGATTTCGTTCGTCTGCCGCTGTGTTCTTCAACTGCATGAACTCTCCTTCCACGAGGTTCGCGATCACAGTTGCCAACAACTCTGTCACTTCGGGATCGCGAAGGCGTGCCAACGCGACAGATGCCCTTCCCAACAAGAAATCCCCGGCCAATACTGCCATCTTGTTTCCGAACTCAATGTTCGCTGACGGGTTTCCTCGTCTTGAGTCGGAGTGATCAATGACATCGTCGTGAAGCAGCGAGGCTGTATGAATAAGTTCCGTGATCTCAGCCAGCCTTCGTTGAGATGGTAGTACAGAATCGTCGGAGTTTAGCTCCGCGGTCTCTGCGCTTGGAGCAGTCAAGGGCGATGAGGGATTTGCGTCGGCTAGAACGGAGGGAGACGAGATGGGCGTATCGATGGCTTCCTGTAAACTTGCCTGCGATCGCGGTCGTTGGGGAAACAGAGATGTTGCCTGCGACATGAGCAGGACGAGCATTGGGCGCACATATTTGCCCTCTGATTGGGTGTAGTATTTCGATACTGTATCCAGCATAGGATGTCCAGAGCCTAGTAACTGTCTGATGTTTCCCGTCATGAACTTCATCTCTTTCGCTACGCTCCTCAATGGGTCAATGCCCATGGGACCTGCTAGCGGAGCAGCATTGAAGATCTGCTTCGCCTGCGATACGGCTGCGGCGACCGCGGATTGTTCTCGTTTTTGTGTATCATTATACAGTTTCCGTCGACTGCTGTGAAAGCTTCGGTAGCTTATCGTTCGAGAGCATTGTGGACACCGAGGCTGCGTTACTCGAGATCGTGTGGCTATCGAAGTCGAAGTCCCAACAAAAGTTCGCGGCAAGGCCGCTGCGGCTCCAGACATATATAAGTCGCCAAAGCGGGCTCCGGAACGATATTCAGGTGCGTGATGAGTGGTTCCGATGTGCTGTGAGCCGTGAACGAGTGTGGCTCTGATGGAGCATGAAAGTGGATGTCCGCATCCAACGCGGCTTTTCGATGATTTCAAGATCGCTGGCGCCGGCCTCACCTCCGTTCCGTTGACGGACCCTTGCCCGAACGAGAGCTTGAGATGCAGTTGCTGTCAACACACCCGCGAAACATTTTCGATATCGCTGGTCATGGTCTTGCTCACCATCACACCTGCCGCCAAAGCAGCCTTGTCGGACTATTGTGAGCGGCAGAAGGATGTTGACGAAGGCTACAGCGATGAAGCAAAGGAACGACGCGAGAAGTTGTCTACAGCGAAAATAGGCAGCCCTATTGAGCATCACGAGCTTGTAGAAGTGTCTAGGTTTCTTGTACAACACTCTCAAGGAGCCGCCGAGCTCACGCAGAAATGGCGTCTTGATGCGTTGTTAAAGGGTGCCAACATATACCAACCGCCACCTCCGCCCAAGCCAGAGCCCGTAAGTCCACGCGTTCGCAGCTGAAGGAGCACAGAATACTGACGACTTTCAGAGCGATGAATACAAACGATTGATGAAGCGCCTCCGAGAGGAAGAAGAACAGCGTCAATATGAGCGAATGATCAATCCGCCTGCCAAACCTGAGACCTTCAGCCAGCGATTTCCCAATGCTTCCTCGTCTTTCGGACCGATTGGATCTCAAGTCGCAGATGAAATTGACGAGGTGACTTATGCTGATGTCAATAGACAGATGGTGTTGATCATCAATGTGCTGGTCTCCATCATTTGCACCAGCGTGGCGGTATGGATGGCAGCACGTCGCTGGAGTGTACCACAGCGAATGGCATTGGCTTTCTTCAGCAGCACTCTAGTTGCTGTGGCGGAAGTCGTGATCTACATGGGCTACATCCGACGTATCAAGGAGGCAAAGACCAAGGAACGTAAGAAAGTCGAGAAGAAGGAGATCCTCGATACGTGGGTAATCGATGCCAAATCATCTTCGCAGCAGACCAGCAACAGCGATTCTATGCGCTTCAGAAAGGGCAAGCATCGTTGAAGCATATGAGCGGAGCGGAGCGGATATTCATGCCTCAGGAACAAAAGAGTCACGAAAAGTCGCGTCGTAGCGCGTTGTGGAGCCCTGTCGAACGCCATTTCGTTCTCTCTTCCGCGACTTCACAACTCAAGCTGCGCTTCCCGCTGTCGCACAAAGCGTTATTGCTGCACGCGCAGCTGACCGCAAGACAAGATGGAAGCCAAAGATTTCCATCACCCATTCCGGCCATATGACATTCAGCAGCAATTCATGGAAGGCGTGTACAACTGCATTGAGCATGGCAAAGTTGGCATTTTCGAATCTCCAACAGGAACAGGCAAATCATTGAGCCTGATATGCGGCTCACTGACCTGGCTCCGCGAGCACAAGCGGAGAATGTTCGATGAAGCCATGGCAAGTGTTGAGGTCGAGGATGACGAGCCAGAGTGGATGACCGAAGCCGCTAGGAGGGCTCGTAGCCGCGAGATCAGACATATGAGGGAGGAATTCGAGGCGCGCTTGACTTCTGTACGCGAAAGAGAAAGGAGGGCCCGAGAGCGAGCTCAGCGTATTGCGAATGAAGGGCCAGCTTTCAAGCGTCAGAAGAGATCAGACGAGCAGCCTGAGGAGAATGCTGACGAAGAGCAATTTGTGCTTGCCGACTACGATAGCGTTGACGAAAATGGCTCTGGCCAATCTCAATACTCAGCCGAGACTACGAAGCTCATGGAGAAGCTTGGTCTGTTGCATAAAAGTGCAAACCAAGAAGACGACGCTGCGAATGCCGATGAGCCCAAGATCTATTTCTGTTCCCGCACGCATTCACAGCTATCTCAATTTATCGGCGAACTGAAAAGAGTGCGCCTACCGCCAGGGTTGCCGCCCGAAGACGAGCAAGGCAAGTCTGATGGCGCTGGCTTGGTCGAAGAGCTCAAACATCTTACGCTTGGATCCCGACAGAACCTGTGCATCAACCCTCGTGTCAACAAGCTCTCCACTCTGACTGCGATCAATGAGCGATGTGCCGAGCTGCAACAGTCAAACGTCGCAGCAGACAAGAAATGCCAGTACTTGCCAAAGAAAGAAAATGAAGACGTGATCCTGGACTTTCGTGACCACGCTCTGGCCAAAATCAGAGACATCGAAGACCTGGCTGGTCTAGGCTCTAAGCTTGGTGTGTGCCCGTACTACGCTTCTAGACCTGGCATAGGACATGCTGAGATCGTCACTCTGCCCTACCCGCTACTGCTGCACAAGGCCGCCCGCGAAGCACTTGACATCTCGATCAAAGGCCATGTGGTTATCATTGACGAGGCTCACAACCTTATGGACTCTGTCGAGACCATCTATTCTGCAAACATCAACGACTCACAGCTGCAGCAAGCTAAAGCAGGACTTGCAGAATACTATCGGAAATTCAACAAACGACTCAAGGACAAGAATCGAATATATGTCACACAGCTGATCAAAGTCATCAATTCTCTGTTGCACTTTGCTAGTCAAGTACGCCAACAAAGTAACGATGGCGCTACGACGACTGCGACTTCACTTCTTGCTCAGCATAATGCGGACCAAATCAATCTGGTCAAGCTCGTTCAGTACATCAGTGCGAGCAAGCTGGCGAGAAAAGTAGAAGGCTACATTGCGCATCTTGCGCGCGCTGAAGCTGAAACCACGCAGAAGCGTACAGCAAGCCAAGAGGCTGCAGCCGACGTTCCAATACTTACACACGTACAGAATTTCTTACCGTGCTTGATGAATCCTGCCAAAGAAGGCCGCTTCACATGGAGCAAAGTGGATGACAAGGTGACGATCAAATACATGCTGCTCGACCCCGCCGAACATTTTCGAGATATTGTCGAGAGTGCCAGATCCGTCATCCTCGCAGGCGGCACAATGTCTCCCATGGAAGACTACAAACAGCAGCTCTTCCCATATCTCAACGACATCACCACATTCTCCTGCGGACATCTGATTCCGCCCAACAACTTGTTCGTTCGAACAATCCCCTCCGACAACGAAGGCTCGATCGATTTCACTTTCAAATCGCGCGATAAGAATATGCTTCGCGCGGGCAAAGCTCTTCTACAACTTGCTCCAAAAGTGGAAGGCGGCATGGTGGTATTCTTCCCCAGCTACTCATACATTGACAACATTCTGCGCGCATGGAAGACCGCTGGTATCACATCTCAACTCGAAGCTCTCAAGCCTCTGTTCTTCGATACTCGTGGAACCAGTCAAGAAGATCCTTTTACAGCATACACCGCAGCCATACACAAGGATCCCAAACGCGGCGCGCTCCTTCTCTCTGTGATCGGCGGCAAGCTCTCTGAGGGCATCAACTTCTCCAACGAGCTCGGTCGCTGTGTTGTTGTAGTTGGTCTGCCATTCCCAAACTACGCTGATCCGGACTGGAAAGCTAAGATGGAATATCTGGAAGAGCGGGCTGCGCAGAGAGGGGAGCCAAAGGGTCGAGCGAGCAGAGAGCATGGAGAGAATGTCACGATGAGAAGTGTGAATCAATCGATCGGGAGAGCAATCAGACATAAGGACGATTGGGCGAGTATACTCTTGTTCGACGCGAGGTATGCTGATGAGAGGTTTAGAAGGAAGCTACCCGGTTGGATTCGAGATTGTGTCGATGCGAAAGCTGATGGGAATGTGGGAAGTGTGGCAGCGGGTTTGGGGCAGTTCTTTGGGCGAAAGAGATGAGGTGAGTAGCAACTGACTGTCGTGAAGACGACCTTAGCAGCTCAGTTTTGGTTCATACATTGCTTCGATTCTCGGTCTAAGGAGACGCTCATCTGCCTGGTTGCTCTCCACAAACTCCCCTGCACTACATCCCATGCGCAACAGTCGTTGTATCCATTCCAATTGAATGGCTAACAATGTGCTCTCTATCTAACAGGAATATCCTGTAAATGCCGTAATAATCAATCGTACTGCGATCGCAACGTGATCCGTAGGCTGAAGCCCACCGATCTCGCAGCCATTAGGATTGTCCTGCCATTGCCGCAGCGGAGTCGCATCGAGTTCACGGGGCGACAAGTTGTTTCCAGGATCACCACGCCTGACATTAAAAAGTCGCAAATTCGTCAGCCACTCCAGGCGTAACGGACATTGGCTGCGATTTATAACTGTGACGGCCAGCTCATTCCTTGTCTCTCCATTCTCAAATTCATGTTCCACGCTGTCTGCTTGCATCTCAACCGTTCCACCGCCGGGCATGGGCACGAGCTGTATGGCTCCGTCAACGGGAACTTGAATGTCCCTGGTGATTCCCCTGGTTCCTTTCTTGCCGGTTATCTCTCTTTTGCAGATTTTGTTGAATATGTTTTGAGTGAGTTGGCGTTGGCGTTTGGCGAGGGAGGAGGGTGCTCGGCATATACTAGCGTCCGGCTCCTGGGATACAAAGGCAACCTTGGCCTCGACTTCTGGATACAGGTACCAGATTCCAGGCTCGGTCTTGTCAGAGCATTCTGCAGCATGTTGCTCAGTCCTTAGATGGAGGCCTTGATGCTGGGAGGGTCCGTCAAGATACAGTGCGTGTGATTCGCACACGGCGAGAGACAGAAGGGAGAGAGTTAAGAATCTCATGATGGAAGACTCAAGCGTGGCGAGTTGTTGTCACTGCGAGTGTGTTTGCAGGCGCTTTATATATTCCACACTCTCGACTGCCAAGGGAGCCGCCGTTCATCGGGGAGGGTATACCTAGCCCAAGGATTAGTTCAGCTTAGTGTATCTGGTGTTGGTTCGTGGCACTGATCACGGTCTGCTCTTCTTTCGCGAGCAGACTCTGTTCGTGCATTTCGGCTTGCCTCAGAGTTCTCGATTCGTTTCGTTGTTGTAGCGTAGCAATCGATCGCAGATTTGTAGCTTCGTCGTTACACCCAATACATAGTCCCAAAATGGATTCTGTAGGTATGTCTCGTACTGACTGGAATGATGACTCTGCTGCCGCATTGCCATTGTTAGATCCCTGGGCCCTAAACGCTTCAGCTACCGCAACCAAATCGGGCAAAAGCTTACCATAAGCTCCCTCCACTCCTCGTTTCTGCTCTTGGTACAGTTGAGATTACCGGCCGTAAGCTTTCTTGGAATGTCAAAAATGCTTGTTGAGCTAGCTCTGCTCGTATTTGTGACAAAGAATATAGGTCTCTGGCAGCAAGATATGATCGATTCCTTTAGCAACGGCTATTAACCGTCATATTTGGGGTTGTCTGACATGTGAACAGATTCTGCTTTGATCTTTCCGGCTGGCCTCGTCCTCTCCGGTTTCGTTTGAGTGCCTTGCAAGGACGCAATGGATCGTAGATGTCTGATTCTATTGCCTCGCTCATACTTTGCTCTTCCACGGGTCAGCACATCCATCGCAACGCCCCTATGCCATGTGGATCTGCTCGATGCGGGATGCCAGGCTCATGGCAGCGGCGTACTCGGACACGTGGGCCGCAAAATCCTCCGCGATATCTTGACGATACGGAAAGTGGTTGCGCAGGATTTCCTCACTCTCCTCAGCTGTGATGCTGTCGAGGTTGGCTGCTGTAAGTCTCACCGCGAGATCCATAGCGCCTACTGCGACGATATCCATATCGGGGTCACTGAACAACGAAGCCCCAAAGCAGAAACACTGGACGCGGTCATATCCCCGGATCAGGTCGCAGACAGCACTCTCAGCCTGTGCCCAGAAATCAGGAAGTTGGAAGTGCGACATTTTCAGCACGATTCCACTTACAGCTGTCTCTCTCTTTCAATCTCACCTTTCTCGCGGCCACGAAGGAATCACAGAGGTCTTCTACGGCATTGTCTGGTTCGCCGAAGTCGTAACTGAAGTCGAAGCCATACAAGTAGGCAACGAGCTCCCAGAGCACGACCGTGGGCATACAGACACTCAGACCATTTTCGCATGTGGCTTGGATATGCTCGGCCAGGCGAGGGCAACCTTTGCACACGATTTCACTGTGTACCTCGATGACTTCTTCCTGCTCGGTGATGATCTTCAAGTCTCGCTCGCGTTGAGTCTCCCAGAGCCTGCACATTGTCAGCGCCACTCAATATAGCTCTGACGCACAGCCAGTGGTGCTGGCTGCCGCTTCCACGCGATCAATCAAGAGTGAGGCGATAGAAGCAAGGAGGGACGCAGGCTGACCGTTCGAGGCTGATCTGGGCAGGGGTGGGCGGGTACTGCGCATTCATTTTTCGTGATGGTTCAGTATCTCCAATCTGGATGGGGGAAAGAAGGAGAAGATTCCTGGATTGGCAGGAGGTTTTGATCATTGATGGAAAGGCGAGGGGTGAAGCTACCTGTTCACATGAGAATCCACTTCGATTTCAGCTGCAAAATTTCAGATCTTCACATGTGGACAAACAGCTTACTCAGACCAATTCACAGTCAATTGCATTTTCGTGCCCTGGTTCACACTGAGAGACTGAATCGTTCGACAGTATCGCGAGAGCTATAGGCGTACTCGATCATGCTCAACGACGTGGCCCATATTCATTGCTCGGTCAAGGCGAGACACTTGCTGTAAATCTGCGCTCAAGACCTTGTCTCCCGTGGTAGCCGTGGTCGATTCCAGCAAGTGCCTCCTGCTGCCTTCGTAAGTGTATGTACTGCAAGACAGATGCAACATGAGAGCAAACCTCTTGCGCCCTCAATCTCCGGCGATCAGCGCGCCCGCATCCGTAAGCACCGCCTTCAGGAACTCGGAATTGCTTTGGAGCGCACTCCAGGCTTTGTCATCACCCATGATCTCCTTGAGCCTCCGAGCTGCGAAGTCAAACACAATGTCCAACACCATCTGAGGAACAATGTTCGTGCGGGCACTTTCTAGAAGCGCAACTCTGAGACAACACAGATCAGTCCCACGCATGGACCTAATTTGTTCGATCATTGACGCTGAGATCTCCCGGCCCATGGTAGGAAGCCCGTACTGCATCGTTTTAGCGAGGTCATGGAGTGCAAAGAGGCAGCACCAATTCTCACCTTATCTGCAGCAACCAGGAACTGCACAAGTGTGTCTGCCATATGTTGCCCCGAGCCAATGAAGACGTGGTCGAAGTCATGTCCGTAGATGAACGCACAGATGCTGCGGACAATCGACTTCGACTCAGGCAAGTCGATAAACACCTCGCCAAAGTCCTGTCACGCGTTAAAGATAGATCGAGTTGTGATTGTTTTCGGAATGATAACATACCGAGTCTGCATCCTCGCACATTTGCGCGATGTGTGGAGAGGCAGCACACAGAATGGCCTGGTGACCCGAGACGGTACCAAAGTCTCCGCACTCCATAAAGAGATCCGGGTCCCAATCAACATCCTTCCCATCCCAGGTGCTGCTTACGTAGTTAGCAGAGCCCTTGGATGTCGCAATATCAATAAAATGAATGAGCCTGAGTCTTGCCTGAGGAGGCGCGCAAGGAATCGAGGGAAATCCCAACAGGAGTCCAACTTACGTTTGAAGGACTTTTTGCGCGATGCGTGCGGCCATGTTGTCGGCGCGCAGTGATTGCTGGAGGGAGTTGACTGTTTAGAAGAGGGTGGGATGGTGGTGGTGGCTGGAGTTTCGCGGCTTGCTGCCTGATTTGCAAGTTGGAAGCTGCTCTCTTCCAGGGAGGTGCTCTTTGCTCGGAGCTTCAGCTGCAAACTCTCACAGCAACCACACTGAACAAGCTCATTTCAGCAGCTCTGTTCATTCCGGAGCGAAGGCAAGACAACCTACGAGACTCAGCTCAATGTTCAGGACATATCTTCGCATTCGTGCTGATTCGCTCGATGCTGGACGGCACTCGATGCCTCTGGATGAAGGCCACGTACCTCACACTACCACGTCGTGCCCCATCGGTCTCCCAAAATCTGACTTCAGGTCCTCTGTAAACCGCGCACGCCCCGCCATCTGCACTACGATCAATGCTTTCGCGCCAGCACCTCGTCATTCTTCGCCTTTTGGACTCCCTGCAGGGTCTCTGATCGCGTGGCCAGTAGACCTAGCACACCACAATGTAACTCCTCGCACTTCACAACTCTCTGCAACAAGTCCTTACGACTCGTCAGAATAGTCTGCATCGAATCTGCGAGCTTTTCGAGCAAGTCCTCATACACGCCCGTCATCTCATCCATCATGATACTTGAGTAGGGGAGATTCTCGCCGATTGCTACCAATAGCTCGGGATCGTCTGCGCTAGATTGAACCACCTCTCGTAGCCAGTTATTGCAATCTGACGTGAGATAGTCAAAGTAATTCTGGGATAGATATTTCGTTAGCGTTGATTGAGGATTGTTCAGATAAAGCTGAACTCACTACTGCAGCTCGTTGCGACAAGTCCAGAACTCGCAGGCACTGTTCGACAGTAGGTTTCAAGCCAGCGACACGCCGAAGACATGGAACTTGAAGTCCATAACTATGGCGAATAAAGTCCTCTGCTACTTCGGCAGTAACATTGAGGACTAGTTCATCGTTGCCACATGCCATGCCGTCCAGATTGTTGTCAGGCAAACTTCGGTCGATGACGGATTGGTGGACTGCAAACGCCTTCGTCTGCGTCATGATAGTGAAGTCGGTGGCGAAGCCTCCGATCTCGAGCAACCTGATCAAAGTTAGCGGCACTGTCTTGGGATGAAGAAAGGTTGTAAGCGCGGACTGCTCGAGGGCTTGTTGGCTGCTAACGGGAGCCATGGTCGTTGGCGTTGAAGATATCACAGTGTCAACTTGATGTTCCAAACAAAATGTGCGGTCACTGAGTCGTGGCAGATGGTTTTCTGAAGTGCTGTGCCTCGTCGTGGAACCCCTTCGCCCATGCTTGCTCACTTGACTGAGATCACAAGCAATGTGGCAACGCGTAGGCCTCAACGGAGCTACGAGATGCGCATGTGAAGTCGGTTGCTTCACATTCTTCGGGTTGCCCGTAGAAAATGACTAGTCTGGGAGGACGACCTTGCCACAGGGTTTGCATGTTTATGATGCTCCGCATAGGGATAATCGATCGCCGGCTGTACGTGCGGTCTGCTCATGACACGTTCAGGACATGCCCCATTAGCAAGCGTTACAAACCCTCCACACGTGTCGTCCGAGCACCAGAAACGGCCAGCTGCGCAGACACCAGTGACTCCTATGCGTACTTGTGCACGTGAAGGTCCAGGAGTGAAGTGAATAGCGGCAGAGCTAAAGTTCAGTAGTGACGTAGCAACCGGCACAATCCCAGCGTCTCCCGCTCTGCTGCCTTGATCAGCGCGTGGCACTTGCGCTCGCGACATCTCCGGCAGCACAGCGACAGTGTTTACTGCCGACGACAAGAAACCTTCTTCTCGTCAGTCGCCGCGAACAACACTTGTTCCCACCAGCACCCCGTGCGCCCATCCATACACCATCCATCCCCGCCCATAGCAGTCCTCGCCGTCGTCGCCGTCCTCGCGACTATCGACAGCGACTCGCTCCAAACTCTACACTTCTCCGTCCCGCGCCTGGCGCAGACCCGTTGGCCGGCCATGGACGACCAGCAATATCTCGAGCCGGACTTCGACCCGTCGACTCTGACTGTCCCACGATTGCGATCCATTCTCGTCCAACACAATGTCAACTATCCTTCGTCAGCCAAGAAAGCACAATTGATTGAGCTGTTCAACAGCGAAGTCGTCCCCCAGGCTCGCAAGATCCGAACCGCGGCCGCGCGCGTCAAGCGTACGAGCAGGGGCATCGAGGATATCACCACGGGTCGAAGAGGAACAGGCGCCGGCGACGACGAAATACCTCCGACTCCTGCATCCGTACGAAGCAGCAGGCGCACGACGAGAGCGCGGACAGAGGAAGCTCAAGAGGTCGAGCCAACGCCGAGGAACGCGAGACACAGCACGGCGCCTCCAGAAAGTGTGCCGCGAACAGTATCTGGCAAGCACGCCCGACCAGTCGAGACCGTGGTGGAGGAAGAGGTAGAGCCAACGCCCAAGCGAAGCTCCACTTCAAGAGCACGATCGAGAGTGAGTGCCGCTACTCCGGTCGCAGTCAGAGAGGAAGCAGAATCCAGCCCTTTCTCGAACGAGAATGTTTTCCAATCAGGCGGCTCTCCGCCCGTTGCCAGAGTCACAGACACCGAGCGTCGGCGAACGACACTGGGTGCAGCGCGATCAACGAGCGCAGTGCGTGACCTCGAGCGTCGTCATCGCGAGCTACGGAGGCGAACAGACACTGTTGGCGTTGTGAAGCCGCAAACAGACGGCGCTATTGTGCCGTCACGAAGAACATTCGAAGTGCCGGTGACGAAGCAAGAGGATGTCGAGATCACGGAAGAGTTCACACCAGAAGAAGAACAGCAACTCGTGCAAGCACAGATGTCGGGCGAGCTAGTCCCAACGCGTCGGCAGACCTCACGACCAGGCGGTGCAGCGAAACGCGGGCTAGGCGCATTCGTTCTTGTGATGGCAACAGCGGCGTCTGGACTCTGGCGGCAGGAGAAGCTGAACGTGGGATATTGCGGAGTTGGTCAACCATCGACTGAGATCGGAGGCGTCGAGATTCCTCCTTGGGCAGACGTGATTCGACCACAATGCGAGCCATGCCCTCCACATGCCTACTGCGGCGAGAACCTCGAGACGACTTGCGAGACCGGCTTTGTACTGACGCACCACCCCCTCTCACTCAACGGCGCACTCCCGATTGCACCGACATGCGAACCGGACAGCGCAAAAGCCCGCAAGGTCGAAGCAGTGAAGCAACGCGCAGTCGAAGCACTTCGAGAACAGAACGCGCGCTACGAATGCGGCGAGGCATCAGAGCCAGAACTCAAAGAGACAGCACTGAAAGCTGCCATTGCGACTAAGCGCCGCAAAGGCATGAGCAACGACGAATTCGAGGACCTTTGGGCCGCAGCAATTGGGGAAATCAGCAACTCAGACGAGATCGTGTCTGGATCAGACGGGTAAGTCCAAACCATCAACATCAACAGCAAAACGAAATCTTGCTTCGCGCACAATCGCTTACACATTTGGCTTTCGTAACTGACAGATTCTCCGCCTCGCCAGCTCCAACACCGAATCCACCCTCCGATCCACTTCCCTCGCCGCCCTCCCCCTCGCATGCGCAATCCGACGATCGCTACGCGAAACTCTTAGACGATATCTTTGGCAACTTATAGGTGTTCTTCTTGTCCTCACGAGCGGAGGCTATGGACGATATAGAATCACTTCCGGTAACGAAACGGAGAAGCGTGCGAAGCAGCTCGCGACTCTCGCGTTGGAGAAGCTGAGCTATCAAGCTGCGCTGAATGCGACTGAGCCGGATGTGTACAAAGAGAACTACATGAGTGTCGCGCAGTTGAGAGATGATGTGCTGCGAGAGGAGTTCTCAGCGAACCGGAGAAAGGTTTTGTGGCAGAGAGTGCAGGCTCTGGTGGAGAGCAATTCGAACGTGAGGCCTATGGTCCGAGAGGGCAGGACAGGAGATGTTGGGCGGGTGTGGGAGTGGGTTGGCGCAGTGGGGCTGCTGGAGAGTCCGGAGGCAGGACTTGGTGTCTCGGGAGGCAATAGGAGGAAGAGCGGCAGAGTGAGCTTTGCTCCGCTTGAAGGGGACGAGAGCATGGACAACGGGAGTCTGGTGAAGAGGGATGATGTCAAGACAAGCAAGTGGGAGGAGGGCAGAGGGACGTACTACTGATGGCTGGATTCTGTTCACGAGCTGCATTCTAGGGATGTGACGAGATTGATGGGCGGTGCGAAGCGTGTCGCTTTTCGCACCTTTTCATGGCGGCGCTGCAACACGTAGTGTGTGGACTTTTCGTTGTCTCAAAAGAGAGACCCTTCTTCCAATGTTTCGTTTGACACTTGGTGTACGATTACGAGCCCATGGGCAATGCATGGGAACACTTCTTCAGTTGCACGAATCGTTAGAAATTGATGCCTACTTTCTGCGCAACAAATAATACCCCACAAGCACTCTCAGTTTTGCAAGTTTCTCGTACAGCCAGAGAATCTCTACGCTTCACATTGGCCCTCTCGCAAATCGCAGAGATCACGATTTACCTTTTTCGCAATTTATTCCGGATCACAATTCCTCTCTCTTCCTGTTCGTTCACTCGGAAATCCTCGCTCATCACCTCCTAGCTCCATTCATTTTCTTTCTGGGTTTCCTCTTCACACACAACCCGACGAATACACTACGCGTCCGGAACGCGTTGCACTTTTACACGCGTAAAGGGGTTGCATGAAAGACATCACATTGCGTTCGATCACGGCGATCATCCAGACTTACCACCATCTCCCATCCCATACCTCTAGTTGGAAATGCTTTCTTTGGCTCCTGTGACATATCCCGAACCACATTACGCACTATTGCACATCTTCCTGATGATTGTTCCGACCCCCACACTCCCTACTTTTCACTTCACCCGAAGAGTTTTACCACTGGTTGCATGTCTGCACTGCAATGGAGATTCCGTTCTGATGGATAGGAAAGAACTCCCCGCGATCGTCTTCGCCGTGTCCGGAGCCGTGTCGTTCGGCTGGTCCACGGGATGGGACGCGGATACCGGATGTCGGATATCAAGATCCGGTACAGTATCGATTGATGGGAAGGGAAGGCCTAGGATTGTTATTATTCGGGTTGTCGGGTTGCTCTGTACTTTGTTTGTCGATCACGAGACCTGATAGATTCATGTGTGATTGGGGCTTCTGAGAGAGGATGTGATTGAGTGGTAGACATGTCCGTGGTTCAGTATGTGATGAGGTTGGGGATATCGGTTGTATAGTCATGGTTGGGGGAATTGAGCAGCCTTTCGCATCTCGCCCTGTGATTTTTCTTTCGAAAGAGGTGGGTAGGATGCTGGGGAAGGTGGATGATAGGGTGGGATTGAGGATTGTAGGATTCTTGTTGACCTGGTTCTTGGGTATTTGATGCTTCTCTTGTTTTCTCTCTCCTGATGGGGATAGACGGAGGTTCGTTGAGTCGGAGTCAACAGGTATGGGAATCGATAGTGGACGCGGACTTCTTGTCTATGCCGTGCGGATCGGTGGTTGGACATTTCTTGAAAAATTGTCTATGGATGGTGGTGGTGGTAGGTAAGCTAGGATTGACAGAAGCTTGGGTAGACTGAGACACCATGTCTCATGAACAGGGTGCAGATCACCAGTGCTCTTTTTCTTGCTATGGTGGCTCATCAACAGGTTGTCGCTGGAGTGATAACCAGGGTTTCGATCGGGCTCACCGAACGGCATTCCGCAAGTGGTCGGGTCTCGATATACGGGGCGAGCACCAGGATGCCGGAGCAATTGTTATCGTATCTCGATCAGATATGGGTCGCATCCGGAGCATTTCCTTCTTCCAGAGAGTGTATCGGGAAGTGGTAATGGTCGTAGTCTTCAGCAACGCCCTACCAGACCGCGATTTAGTCGTGGTAGCGAAAAGCTCGTGTCATTGCAAGACTTCGGCATCAGCGATTTTCTGCTTGCGTATCACGATCAAGTCTGATCAATGAGCCACCAAGCAGGTTGGCAGTGAATGTTCTGTTGATGTCAAGATATGCACAGAGAGGGATGATGGGTTGGTGGAACTGGCTACACCTTCGTCGAAAGTAACGTCAGACGCATACATGTATACCTCATCCACACACGCCAGACAAGTTTCGCTATAACAGCACTGCAGCAAACCCTACATTCCACTACTGCCGCCCTATACAAATAAAGCCATTGCAAAATCCAACCGTCGTGCTGTCGGTAAATTCGTAATCGTACATACTCGCATCGACACTTATGCTGGAGATATGTCGGCTACTGTAAGCGTGCGTAGGTAGTACGTGCAGGCAGTTGCAGCAGAGGATCAGGATCTCTCCAAGGGCCCTGTCAATAGTATGCACGAAATGATTTGCGCTTTGCGCCTAGCTGGTGGACGTTGCAGATGCACAGGCACAGGCACAGGCTTTCGTTAGTTTTTGTTGCAGATAGGGTGTGAGATGTGGCAGTTGTCCTACCGCTGGGTTTACTGGACTTGGATTGTTGATCCGCGGCTTCGCATGAGCTTCGTTGCACTTCGCCGGACGTCAGTAGCTGCATGGCTGGCCTGGTTCAACGAAAATTGCCCTCCGCGGCGTTGGGGGTCAGACAGTAGTAGTGGCATCGTGTACGTACAACGGCGGCAACGCCAGGAACTCCTGATCGAAGCCAGCGAAAATGCACGAAGCGTGTTCCTGCATACGAGGCAGCTGTCAGCGCTGCACGCTGAGTGGCGAGCGACGGCGAGGTGCGGCGTTGTGCGGTGTGCATTCGCTGAAGCCGCCTCTGATTCTGCAGGAACCCGACGCACGCCAAGCGAAGCCGTGGGCAGACGTGCATACCGTAGACTATGTTAGCTCTGCATCTCGCACTTCGATGACCAGGAGTGCATGCAGCAGTGGTTCAGACCACGCCGCTTTCAACGACCTTTTGTTTCTCACTACTGCTGCTACTGCGCTGCGCTGCATCTTTTCGGACGTGGACGGGAGCTGTCCAGCTGATCGGATACTTTCAGGAGGCTCTCTGTCTCTTCCTGTGCAGCTGCCCAACGCCAGATCCGTTCCCGAGGAACGCCGTGCTGGAGACTCGAAAGTCTGCAGCGCCTCTGGTTTCAGGATGTTGAGAAGATGTTAACAGGCTCTCCCGGACCCTGCTTTGGAAGGGATTGTCTCGTGCGGTCAGCAACGCCCTCGCTGGTCCCCCACGTCGAGCATCGGCGCTCGTGCATCAAATGCAGACTCGCACCGACTCGCAGCAGGACCAGGGCTGCAGAGGTTCGCAGTTTGTGGATCTTGCCTAGTTGAGTCAAGTCAGTCAACTGTGGCGGCCATGCGGCCATGGCTAGAGCGATGTCCTCCGGAAACATCTGCCGACAGTATATCTCCGACCTCTAGAGGTTTTACCTGGACTGACATGATCAAGTCTGATGCTTGGTTTCTCACGACATACTCATTTCCTTCGCTCATTTGCGTAGCGGTCAGCAGACCAGTAGAGAGTCAGTCTTCGCATTGACAGGACGCAAATAGCATGGACACCACGGGAGAGGCTCAACGTGTCCTTCACCGTTCGTTTCATCGTCGCGTGAGCACCGTCAGCGTCGAGGCGGTAGCTCTCATATTCTGCTTGCTCACGCCACGGGTCGTGGACTTGTGACCCTGCGTCAACTCCAGACGATAAAGCGGTGCCGTTGTGAAGGTAGTCGTTCGCCAAATGATACAGACCGACTCATACGCTCAGCCTAGGTGACAAATTGGCACTTTGCCTCGACGCAGGGCACTCGAGCCAATGCTTCGGACAGCTCAAACGACGGCGAACGCAACGCCTGCGCCATGGCGTATCTGCTCGTATCTCAACTTGACACACGCGTTTGAAGGCGTTCAGTCGCGCTATGTTTGATGGACAGCCGATCTGCTCTAGTGGAAGCACTTGTATATGTTCTTGCTGTACCAATGCCCGAGAGATCGGAGAGATTCGAGTCAGTGTCACGCGCAGCAAGCCTGAGCGCTGTGCGTGGCCGCACACTCTATCGGGAAGGATGACAAGCACGTAGACGCATCCGAAGCTCTTAAACAATTATGCTTCAAATCTTGCCATGATGTTGGGAGTGAAGATGCCTGGTAAGGGTACTAAGGACTTGTCCCGCGCTATTACAACGATTGCTGGTGGCAGCAAATCGAGTCAGCACACCGCGACTTTGACAATGTTGTCATACGTAGCGTGGACGCTTTTGGATCACCGCTCAGGTGGACGATTTTAGAAATCCTGCTTTGGCCATGATCGTTTACACGACAGGCCGGAAAGGTCTGGATCGCGAGTCAGCTGTGCCATCAACGAGATGACCGATCGCGTGACACGGAGGGAAAGAATTGGCACGACCAGGAAGCTCCTTGTGTACACCTCGTCGGGAGGTCGAGTAAGGCACACCGCAAGACGGAAGTGTCGAGACCCTTTCGGCCCCAGCTCTCTCGAGCCTCCGCTCACGATGCTGAAGCAGTGCAGTTCTCAGGGCAGAGCTCTGTGAGAGGGAAGTGCCTGGCACGTTGCGCTGCGGCGGATAAAGGCGCAATGCAGAATTGCCCGGCGCCGCACATCATGCAATGCCCACCAGCTGCGCATGCAAGCGTCTGCTGCCGTGAAGTGCGCAATCGCGCGCCGCTGCCGATGCATACAGCATACAGGCTCACAAGCAAGATCCCACTTGTGCATGGCGATCTGGGGAATACTGGTGCTTCACGCTGGCATGAACAAGCTCGGGCACTTGGGGTGGAGCAGACGAGGTCAGATGGTGCGAACAATGGCGAGAGCAGCATGCTCGTGTCTCGCCTTTTCGTGGCATGGGGGGCACCGACCCTGACGAGCTGCCTGCTGCGAGACATCTGTGTTGTACAGATGGCATCCGAGTGGAACTCGGTGATGATGAGCGCGAGGGCATCGTTTGTGCTCGGCCCCAATCAGACCGCGGAGCTGTGGGCGGGCAGAAGAGCGGTGAACGTGACCCCGCCCGGGCGCGCGTGCGATCGCCAGATGGAGGGAGCTGCCTGGGCGGATTTTCAACAGCAGCAGCGCAGGACGGCACCTCGTGCACGACATCTGCCACGCCGCTCCCTCAACTGTGAAACAATAACTTCGAGCTGCCCTTCTGGGGCATGGCAGAGGGTCGGCGCAGGCTAATGGGAAGTGCTCCCATGTGCTGGAGGAGCGCATGCTGGAATGCTTGTGCACTCCGCTTCCGATGTGGCGCACTTTAAGGTTGCCTGGCCTGCCCGCGCTGTTGACGTGTCGGCCTTCGATTCGAGAGCGCGTCGCGAGTAGGGTGGTCGACGAGGCCAACTCACTCACACACGACCGGCGCGCTCCAGGGTTGCCATATTGCTTTTCGAGGGAGGTGCTGGCTCGTCGCTACCACCGAATCTCGCCAAAAGCCCACCCCATGCCGCTGTGCGCTGGCGCGACTGGCGATGACAGGCCTGGCGATAATTGATGCCATTCGGTTGAGGCACGGACGGCGGAGCTCGTTTGTGCAGGCGTGGGGCGCATTGTTGTCGACGGACCGATCACATGCGGACGGAACACTTGCATACCCGCGCTGTGCATGCATCTGCAGACAGATCTCTCGCTCGATGTTTTGAGCGGCCTATTTCGACCATGATGGCCCTCTTCTGCCCATCTGGCTGCTCTGCTCGCTGCCTGACGAGACGAAGCGTGGAAGGGGACACTGTCGTTGTCACGCTGCCGCGTCCCCACGGGTGGGCCTGTGACAGCCACGACTCCTTCGGGGCAGTACCTCGTTTCTGGGTCTATCTCCAGCGCAGCGAAAGGCTGTCAACGTGACAAGGGTGGCCGGTCTAGCGAAGGCGAGGTGACTGGCAGATGTTGCGCCACTTCCCACAATGCGAGCGCTCGCAAACCAGGGCTCTCAGCCAATGATGCGCACGTCTTGCCAAACGCCAACCAGCTTCTGCCGGCTGACTCAAGCATGGACACGCTGGCAAAGTGTGCAAGACGTAGCGTGGAGGGTTCGAGGCGAGGAGGATCCGGGCCAGAAACTGACCGAGCGTTTCGACAATCGGACATGAGTGATGGACAATTGCACCCGGGAGCATCTCCAGACGCGCGCGGTGAGGAGAGCACGCGTGTTGGAGAGAACATCTACCATTGACCTCATCAATTGTGTGCGCGCCGAAACGGCTGCGATCGGTATGCATAGATTGATTAGTGTTCCATTGTGCCTCTTTTTCTGTGCGTTGGGGCAAAAAATAGGCCATGGTGTGCGAGTAGTAGGGCTCTAGGTTTGCGAGCACCCGGCACGCCCAGCCCGGCGATGCGTGTTTTCGCCTTTACCGCTTCGAGAAGCCGGACAACATCGAGAACTCTCTGTAGTCGCTCATCGATTGCTGTGCGCGCGTGCTGGCTATCTCGCGCTATCTGTGCCCGTCTCCGGCCGAGATCACGTCGCGGGCAGCGCTGCCCCATTGCGCTGGACGGGCGCGCGCTGTTCGTGGCGCGGGAAGAGGAAGTTGATGCGGCGCGCCAGTGTTCTCAGCAGTTGCCAGAGCTCAAACACGCGTTGAACGGCGTTGATCCGCGCACCGTCCAACGAGGGTGCATGAATATCGTGGGCCAACTATCGCAGCGGCGGAAGGTTGTGGTCCTGGCTGGCCCGTGCAGCGATCTCCATCATCCCTTCCTTGCAGACCCCACCCGCAGGCCAAACGGCAAAGAGCGATCCATGCACGCTCCCCGTGCGCCTTGTCTCATCCTGCTATCGCCAGCACCGAAAAGCCTTCGCGTAGCCGCTTTTGAAGAGCACTGTCTTGACGCTGTTCCACCTTATCAACGCGTTCGCTCACTGCTGCAGAGCGTGTGCATCGTCTGCGCCTGCCTGCCACCACGAGGAACATCAGTCTTGCCTTGCCTTGCAACCGCGCCGGCCCGTTGAGCATACACCAAGCAGTTGCTGCATACCGCACGCCCGCACGCTGCACCACTGCACTGCACCACGCACAGCTCCGAGCTGCTGCCACCAGAGCCCGCTGCATCCTGGAGACCTCCGCCGCCAGCCGGCGCACTCTGCTCTGCATCTCGCGGTGCGTTGCGTCTCGTGCCTGCGCAGCCCGCAGCAGTACCTGCACCCGCCACCGCCCCGACGAACCTCTCCAGCCAGCATCGTCGCCAGCATCAGCAGATCGCAGCGCGCACGCTCGCACGCCCGCCGCCCGCGCCACACGTGTGTCAAACGCCCAAGGTACGTGACGCTCTCGCAGCACGCTGTTTTTTTCCTCTGCCAGCGCCGGCCGCGGGTGGAGCCTTCCCAACCACCTCGACCTCGCCTATGCCTCCGATGTGGCATAGCGCCGCGCGCAAAGGCTGGCCTACGGTCCCGCCTTCCGTGCATGATGCGACTCTGTTAGCCGGGCTTTAGCTCCCACCCAGCCAGCCTCTCCACTGCTAGAAACTCCAGCTCCCCACTGCTTTCGCGAACCGCCTGCTCCTCTCTGCCATGCATTGCATAACCTCTAGGGCAGCTGGTGCGTCTGTAGTCGCCGTCGTGCAGTGCTCCCGCTGCGTCGACACGGTGCACCTCTGAGACACCCAACGACACCTGTACTGACATTCGCGCCTCCAGGTTCGTGAGCATCAGTGGACCGCAGCCCATTGACACGCCCCGACGACCCGTAACGACCTTGACGACCTTTTACGACTGCATTTACGACTTTGCCTTGAGTGCGGCGTTTGACCATCGCAGCTTTGTTATCTGGCCCGCCGACATTGCTAGCATCTAGACCATCACGACCTGCTTTGCACCCTTGACGAGCCCACGGATCCGCATCTACGACGACCAACATCACCACCGACGCGTGAACTTCGAGCAGTGCGCTCCAACACCGCGTTTCCATTTTTCCACCGCCGCTCGACGACCGCGCGAGCTTCAAGACTACCTTCACCGCCGTCAAACTGGAGCTGCCTTCGGTCTCCCAGATATACCAATCCCGAGGGAATCAGAGCCAGTGGTCTCAAACTCCCTTTGAGTCCCAAAGCACGCTCTACTCCCACGAGCCCCGACACCAGACGAGCGCGTCTTCAGTAGGCTCCTCGCCTCGGGCTGGTTCTTCCAGTGGTGCCTCGATCGGCAATCAATCCTACGATTCGAACACGTCGTACGCGTCTTCCATCGGCCATAACAAGCACGGCGAGTACCAGTCTCCGTCCTCCCACTCGACAGCACTCCAATCTGCCTTCGGCACCGGCTATTCCAGCATGAATCACCCACAACAGTACATGGACAGCCACGCGCAGCAGGCGGCGCCAGCGCCGGGCATGCCTCAATATTCTTCGTACGGCCAACCACCACCGCTTCAGCCTGCGACCTACACGTATCAGCCTCAATCTTATCCGCAGCACTCTTATGGGAACACAATGCCACCCATGTCTGCGCCTCACCCTGTCACGTCGTCCATGGGTCCCCAGATGATCCCCCAAGCGCTTCCGCTTCCGACCATGGCATCCAACGCGCAGCCCCCTCCAGGCGCTTCTCAGCAGTATACTCAGCAAGCGTTCGATACCTCGGGACAGATTGCACCCCCCGGAATGAAGCCGAGAGTGACTGCGACCCTTTGGGAGGATGAGGGAAGCTTATGCTTTCAAGTCGAGGCCAATGGCGTGTGTGTGGCGCGACGTGAAGACAACCACATGATTAACGGCACCAAACTTCTCAACGTCGCTGGAATGACGCGTGGACGTCGCGACGGCATTCTTAAAAGCGAGAAGACGCGACACGTCGTCAAAATTGGACCCATGCACCTTAAAGGTGTCTGGTAAGTCAGAATGCATCGCACCTCCGCTCTTGCTCTGCTAACCATTTCAGGATCCCCTTTGATCGTGCGCTGGATTTCGCCAACAAGGAGAAGATCACGGAGCTTTTGTACCCTCTTTTTGTTCACAACATCGGTGCCCTGCTCTATCATCCCACGAACCAAGCCCGCCAGAGCATTGGCAATGCCGCCATGGCTGCCGCTGCTCGCAGACCGGACTCATCTCAGGATTACATGCGAACTCCTCAGGGAACACAACCTCCTGCACTGACTCACCATCACTCAATGAGCACTCCCATTAGCGCTGGCGGGTCACAGCCGCCCCACTCCATTGCACCTCATCCAGGTACCGGCAGGCCTGGACTGGACCGCGCGCACACATTCCCTACCCCGCCAACCACGGCCTCAGGATTGCCCATGAACAATGGATATGAGTATGGAGCGCAGACAGGTCAGCCACTCTCGTATGGCACAGCCATCTCACGTACTGAACCTTCTACCCCAGCAGCTACCTCACCGAGCAACTCGCAAGGTATTCAATACCAAACCAGCCAGCCAGCCTACAGCAGCCAGTACTACTCTGCGCCCTCGCAGTATGGACAACAGCATTACGGCGGCATGCCTCGTTACAACCCTGTGCAGCAGAGTCCTGGAGGTGGCGTGAAGTCTGAAATGGGTCCTCCTGCCCGCGCCGGTGCCGAAAACGAGCACGTTGAAAGTAAGCCTCAGCACAACGGTTACAGCGGCCAGCAGGACGCGGATGGGGAACACGAGGGTGAATATACCCACAGTGCGTCATATGGCGCCAGACGCCCATCGTACAATTACAATCCTAACACTGCGTCAGGATCTGCTCACCCAGAATCTTCGCACGTGTCTCCCGAGCAGACTCACTCGCCGCATCAGAACGGCGTGCACGGCTCTTCGACCCCACGTACGACCACCACGTACACTGGATACAACAGCACCACTCCTCGAGCAGGACAACTGCCATCCAGCAACCTGAACTACGTTATCGGCAACGATGCACGATCGGGCGCACCCAACGGCGCTGAGACAGGTTATCCGTCTCACTACCAACAGTCGCCTCAATATCCGCCCATGAACGGCGCAGTAAATGCCCACAACAAGCGCGGGCGCGATGACGAAGACGAAGCGCACTACTCCAACGACGCTTCTATGAAGAGGCAACGCACCGACGGCGTTGGCATGCCGCAACCGCAAGCAGCCAAGGTCGGCGGCCGCCGATAGCCACCACGTGACTGTCACGCAGTATTTTACGGCCGCAGAAACGATGATGATGACCATGGAGACGAAAGCGCTGCATGACCCATGCGCCAGAAGTCTTTCATTGTCGCTAGTCAACAGAACATTTTCCTTGACTTGTACTTTTCACCTCACGATTCATGACGACGAATAACCCGGGACTCACGATGAATGACTTCGGACCGACATGGACGAAAGACCAACATAAACAGCGAGCACTTTTGTACCGAGTTGATTTACGCTACACTTCTGGAGGGTCATATACGACCACGACGCGTGATTTGGGAATGCGGAGCACTGCGGTGCTTCAGCGCTCAATTTCGCCGATACCTGGCTTGCATTGTTTCCTTTTTTTTTTTCCTTCTCTTCAACAGCACTTGAGAGGACGCTTGCCTTCTTCGAAACGCGTTCCGAAAAGCGAGAAGAGCCTTAATCTGGTTACGCTTTGGGCTCAATTTCAAGCTCTTCAGCGAGGCGTGGGCTCAGGACTGAAAGCACAGTGTTTTTGGGGACAGCTACTGGACCGCCTTGGGGGAGAGAGTAGATGTTACAGCAGGGACGCGCCAATTGGTCGTTTCACGAACTTGGAGGAGCGCATGCATATGAGACAAAGGACCAAAAGCTTTCACGGACGTGCATGAACTTGATGAGTGTGTGTGGAATACCAGCAACCCCAGCCTGGATCATGCAGATAACGAATATGGCTTTTTGGGGCCTAATGCGTGTTGAGATGATTTGATGGATGGGTGGAAGGAGGAGGTAGAAAGTGTTTTGAGAAAGGAAGAGAGAGAAAAAAAAAGTCCATTTGTTCTCTTAATGTCGAATTTCTTTACGTATCGTCATACAAAGTCTTGTCATCTTGATTTCGTCCCGATCTCGTCTCAGATGTTGGCGTTTTCCATGTGTGTTCGCACTTCTTATCATAGGTTCCGGTCAAACAAACAATCCTACGGAAAGCCAGGAGACCACTCCGAAACAGAGACACTCGAGACTCGCTCCTCCCTTGTGCGACCTTTAGCTACCTTCCTTATGATCACCCAACGGCCGGCACATGAAGAAGGGCGGAGAGACAGATGACAGAAAACGGCACGTTAACGGCAAGATTGAGTTCCCGCAGGTGCATTGCATCTGCATTGCGTAAAAACAGGATGGTAATCAACACATCACATCAGAATGAGAGTGGGTGTGCATTGTTCTTGACACGTGAAAGAAGTATGCAGGACATTGGAATGGGTGATGGTAGTAGCATGTGAAAGTCATCAGCAGTGCTTATTGATTCAACGGAAATGGAGATAGGAATAGAAAATAGCAGTGAGAGAAGGTAGTACAGCGAGACAGGGACGGAAGTGGTATATCCACAATTATTTTTCCCCTCATTGTTGCAACACCTGTGCTTGGTCTGGAGTAGTCTCATGTGGAGGAATGAGGGTAGTGAATGCATGCACTGGCTTTACTTTGCACTTCGACGTGAGGCAGGCAGACGTCAACGGTGATAGTTGACGGCAGTGGCAGTAGTAGTGGCAGTGGCAGTGACAGCAGACTTTCGGACAACCCACCAGATAGCTGGGATAGGATGAGATCGAAACAGTGGCTCACCAAATCAATCCAATGCAGCATCCATGAAAAATAAATGTAAAGGTCGTGTGGAGAACGGAAGAGCTCAATTCTTGGAAAAGTGCGGTGATGATGATGTATTTTTCGCTGAGTGCCTGTGCTATGTAAAAACAGTCTCGCCACAACGCCAACAACTCCTCACTTCCCCCCAAATCCCTGGCAATATGCAATGTACTGTAGGAACCCGGACCTTGCATGCATATGCTGTATGTACAATATATGCAGGAAGCAGTTTTAGCGCGCCCTTGTTTGCGTGTTTTTTTCGCGCGTGTGTGGTAAGCGTGGGGAAGCGGTAGAGCTGAGGATGACAAGGTTGGTTTTCGAGCAAAGACGGTCAGCTAGCGTCAGCCGCGCTCAACCACCCCGCCAACCAGGTGTATGCGGCTCTCCGTCCCGTTGTGCTGTCATGGGTTGCTGCTGCCCACGTCTTGAATTGGTTTCTCTTGGCGTTTGCCGAATGTGAGCCGGTGAGATGATTGTAAGTGATGATGATGGGATCTAGACATCCATGCCTAGGAAGACGTAGCGGTCGCTTATGCAGCCTTCTGGACCAGCCCACGCTTCGAGCATGGTAAGCTCGAATCCAACCCAGGCCAAAGAGCGGTTCAGATCCTTGAATTGCTCTTCTGGTTCTGCTTCGTCGGACGAGTCAGCTGAATGTGACTCTTCGACAGCTGGACGCGCGATGCCGATGACGAGCTCGGTGCAGTCGAAGTGGTCACTACTGGCTAGCTCGAGAAGGGACATGAGGCTGAGTCGAGTGTTAGTAAGGGTGATCTATAGGGAAGGTGTTGGTAAGACATACCCAGGCTTCAGATCCATGCCAACGACTTGCTTGTCGAAGAAGATGAACATGGTGCGCATGTCGTCTTTCTCCGCGACGAAACCTCTGAAGCGAGCACCGGCCACATAGTCCCATACTTCAACATACTCCTTGACCAGGTCCTTCGTGCCACAATACATCTGTGTTGCAGGCGACGAAGAAGGCGTGGGTTGGCCATGCTGAATTACGGTCTGGTGCGACTGCTGTTGCTGTGGGATCGGTTTACTGCCCGTCGTAGTCGTCGTTTCTTTGTTACGCAGGTCCATCAATAGCGAGTCCTCAAAACCAGTATCCTTCTCAACCAAGAATACAGTCTTCAGTGTCTCGCAGAAGAGTCTCTCACACTCTTCCCTGATGTGACTTGCGGCATCTCCGGAGCGCTTGCGCTGGCGGCGCAGGCTGGGACGATGGGCGCCTCCTACGGGCGCAGCGTCCGGAGATGGCGGTGGTGATGGTACGCCTCCTGGAGGGGCCTCAAACCCACCTGCGACAAAGTCAGCATTTCCGGGTCTGCGCAATCAACAATGGCATCGTGGATGTGTGTCTTACCACCCCGCCCCCTCTCCGCTTGGAGTAGAGAAGTGGAAGCCGGTCAGCGCCATGGTGTTGGCGTTGACGGCGTAGGCGGATGCCTGGGTGTTGGAGCGACGCGACGACTCGACGCTCGCCTTGCGGTGGTAATTACTACTACTTCTACTGTAATTACTGTCTAACATCGCCATTGCGTCGGATGTTCCAGGTTTTCTGTTCGCGAGGTGGGTGGTAGGGTGGAGCACGAGAGGCTTTGTGCGACGGTGGCGGCGTGTGGTGCGGTCGTGGTGGTGGTATCGCGGTGAAGTTCCTGGTGAGACGGTAGGCGTGTGGGTGAGTTGAGCAGCGGATTGCGTGGTGCGGAGAGCGAGGAAGCACGAAGGTTCTTGAAGAGGCTTGGAATGTCGCACGTGCTGACACTTGGCCAATCGCAGCGAGACAAAGGTGAAGGATGCCCGGACAACCACCAAATGAACCTCGCCACTTCTCCTCACTTCGAAACCGCCTTCATCGCTGCCGTGCCATTGGTCTGCATCTGACCGCATCGAAGCATATGAGCCCAAGGCAGACTTGGTCCTGACTGCACATTGCCATGCGGGCTGTTGCAGAATACAACAGCGGTCCAGCATAGGACATCACTGGCATTGCTGCAGCTGTGCATGTGGCGGTGCAGTAGCGCCATCTAATGCAGGCACTCGCTCACTACAGGACAGGATGGCCTGTGAATATTCATAGGGACTACTGCAAGATCGAACACTAGTCATTCGATTTCGAAGATGCGAAGGCAGTAGCATATTCCGGATAGGTCTAGGTCTGCATTCCTTTGCTCGTCAGTCCTGCTTTGTGCGATCACTTCTGAGGCGAGAAGGGCAAGGAGAAGGAACATTTGACATGTTGGCAGTATCGACACACCGCCAGGCATGCTTTCCGTAAGACTCGGCCAGCACGCGGCAGCGACTGCTGAGTTCAGCACCCAACAGGCGCCATACGGTTATCAGCAAGTCGTTCGAACTCATCTGACATGGCCGGGACCGGACTGGCTGGCTATCCATTGGCATTCTTACTCAGTGCTATGAGACATGACATTTTTCAGAGCCCGAGACCGTCGCCCTGCGGGCCAACTTGGCCGCAAGATCTCTCGCGTCTTCCGCCGCGACCAGCAAGCTGCTGGAGCCTTACGCGCGACCGCGAACAGTCCACCGCCTCCGGAGCATCCCATTCCAAGCACCGCTCGTGTAGCTAAGCTGCGGCAAACGATCTCAAGGATTCTTGTCAGATGGAGGCCGCGTCACGGGGGTGAGAAGACAGGACCAACCCAATCGTCATTCTGAGGGTGGTCGCTGATTGTGCAACGCAGTTGTAACGCCTTTGGTGGACGGATCTTTGGAGCCCCACCATCGCTCTGCTCCTGGCCCGCACTCGGTACTTGTGGCACGAGATCCTGAACGCATACGTCGCATCCGCAGCTATCTGGGATCCTCCGGCCACGACCAAGCTATCCCCAAGCGCAAACGATCTGTCCGATTCGAGCAGTACCCCAATACTTCCAGCTGTATCGACCAGCTTGACGGACAATCTGGCGAGAAGTTTACCATGTGGGAGGACTCGGGAAACTCTGAGACAAGTGGGCTCTCGCAGGGCACGGCCGAAAGACTGGGAGCACTGAGCGCGAACTTGAACTTGGACACTGGCGTCAGGTAATGAATCACGCAGTCGATTCTCCCCAAGTGTTGTGGATTTTGCTGAAGTATAGCAGGACTGTAATCAAGCGCGCAAAACCGGAGAAGCCACAAGTTCCACATATTGTTACAACTTTCGATGACACGACCAGCAATGGGCATGCCATAGAACAACGCCATTCATCTCCGAGCACTACCTCGTCCGCAACGCTTTTCAGTCGTGGATCAAAAGGAGCATGGTCTCCCACCAGCACAGCCTCCACTGGAGCAACTTCGATCACGTCCCTCACATCCCCTGGCTCGTCTGGTTCTCGCAAGCGGCACTCACCGGAAGAGTGTCAAATATTGAGCAAAGGGGGCGACAAAGGCGAGAACCTTGTGCTGCCACCTATCCAGGAAGATACAGGCCACTCTATCCTGATCCCGACGCAAGAAGCTTCTGTCGATGTGCAGCCGTCAGTCGCAACCGTCGAGAATGCAGTAGCAGCTAAATGTGCCTTGGAGACCATGTACGATCCTATCTTCACCAAGTCGCATTCGCCAAGGTCCATTCGCAAGAAGAAGTTCGAGAGATACATGAACGAACTCGGCATGTCGCATGATCAACGAGCCATCGCATAGCAGCAATGGCAAAAGACGGAGAGCGATCATTTGCGTCAGATGCGTTGTCTGAAGGCCAGTGCCATTCAGCGGCACAACATCAAAGGTGTCAGCATAGCGGGTTTTGATGTGATTCGAATACTGGGCAAAGGCAGCTTTGGAGTTGTGCGCCTGGTAACTGAGCGCTCTGCAAGCACCGAGACCTCCAAGGCCCTGACTAGAGTGAGAGCAGGTCAAACGACGTTGAAGCGGCTTCAGCCTTTGCTAACTTTTGTGTAGAACTTCTCACCTACTAATGGCACTGCAAAACGAAATTTGCCCTCTGGGCAACCGCTATCAGATGTTTTTGCAATGAAGGTCATCCGCAAGTCAGACATGCTCCGCGCTGCTCAGGAAGGCCACTTGCGCGCCGAGCGGGATTTTCTTGTCGCCGCTGAAGGCTCACGCTGGGTTGTGCCTCTCATCGCAAGCTTTCAGGACAACACCAACCTCTACCTCGTGATGGAGTACATGATTGGTGGTGATTTCTTGGGTCTGCTGCTGCGTGAAGATGTTCTGGACGAATCGATCGCCAAGTGGTACATTGCAGAGATGATTCAATGTATCGAAGAAGCGCACAAGATGAAGTGGATACATCGGGACGTGAAGCCCGACAACTTCCTCATCGATGCCTCTGGACATCTCAAGATCTCCGATTTTGGTCTTGCATTTGATGGTCACTGGTCGCATAGTCAGATGTACTACGCCAACCAGCGTGAAACCTTGCTAGAAAAGATTGGAATCAAGGTCAAGGGCGATGAACTGGATGTCGCCGAGGACATGGAACTTGCTGGGCCAGAGCGAAATTGGAAACCCCCTTCGCCTCCCAAACGGTGCGCAACAAATTCGAGCGAATAAAGTGTATATGATTGCTGACTTGTATGAAGCTTCCTCCGCATGAGATCCGACGCCGAAAGTTATGCACACCCTGAGGGACTACTCAATTGGCGCAATCGCAACGACAGGCGTAAGCTGGCACGCAGCATTGTCGGTACGAGTCAGTATATGGCTCCTGAAGTGATTCAAGGTGCTCATTATGACGGCCGCTGCGACTGGTGGAGCATAGGCATCATCCTGTATGAGTGTCTCTATGGTCGGACTCCTTTCTACCGGGAAAGTCGGCAGAAGACAAAGGAGTGCATTCTCAATCACCGACATACCTTACATTTTCCGGTGCAGGAGCGATACGCAAGGCCAAATACGGAACACATGCAAAAGCTCCCTACTCCTAGTGCAGCTGCAATAGATCTGCTATCGGGAATGCTGTGCGAGAAGGAGAGACGATTGAGCTCCAGACAGTATAGGCATTCCGATCCTCGGATACCCACTCGAAGACCATCATCTGCGTCGAATCTCAACCCGCTGGCTCGCCACGTCTTCGCAAATGATGCTGAAGAAATCAAGCACCACCCTTTCTTCCACAACATCCCATGGACTCAATTGCACCTCTACCCTCCACCATTCGTCCCCAGAGTGCGCGAGAATCAGTCGATCACGAAGTACTTCGAAGACGAGAAGGACATCATATCCGAAGAAACTTCCAGCTACGCTAGCCTCCGAGAGCACATCCCCGACGACGCCGACGAAGAATCCGCAGCCGCTGTTCTAGGCCCCCACTTCGCCAGGTGGAAGGCTGAGAAGACTCAACGCGAAAAGATCGAACTCGGAATCGAACACTGTTCTGACTCTGAGCTTCATCGCATCAAAGAGCATTTCGGCATGGAGTACGAACGCTGGAAAGCACAAAGACTCGTCGAGATCGCAGAGCATCGTGCGGAATTGGGGATCGATTTCGAGCAGCTTTCACCCACGACGAAGAATTTGCTGTTGCCACATCAGAGAAAGGAGAAGAAGAGACCAAGGGATAAAGTGTTGAGAGATCCGAAGTTGAAGAAGACTGTGTTGGAGGTGAGGAAGAAGAGGGCGTTCTTTGGGTATACGTATCGGAGACCTAAGCCGATTTATATTGAGGGTGTGACACAGGGGAGGTATGGGAGGACGAGGAAGCCGAGACCTACGATTTTGGAAGTGCAGAAGCAGGATGTTGATGAAGTTGGGAAGGAGAAGAGTGCTGGCGAGGATTCGTGAGAGAAGTGTATGCAGGATTAGTAGAGATAGTCGTCGAAACCTGAGAAGTTCTTTTCATGCAAAGACCTGGGTGCTACGTCAACGTATTCGAACTTCACGAGGCAGATGAAAATGCTAACACGCTTTTTTGTTTCATCATGCATACATCTATACACTCTTCCTTCAACTCATCCCATCATCCGTCTTAATCAATCATCACTAAACCCCTCCCCCAAATCCACTTTCCCAACACTCCAAACCTCCCTCTCATCCTCCTTCTCATCACTCGTCAACCCCAACCCTCCCGCACCACCTTCAGCTGCCTTCCGTTCCTTCGCCTGACTACTCAACCTCAACGCAATTCTCTTGAAATACTCTTGCATACTCCTCTTATCCTGCGCACCTAACGCCTGACCAGCCGACGAAGCCAAAAATTTATCAAACACCGCACTCTCCTCTTCCACAACATCGAAGATTTGCAAGAAAGCTGCTTCTGCAGAGAGTTTCACTGGGATGACAGGATCCCTGACGCTGCGGAAAATCGGTGTGACGAGGAGGTTTAGATGTGGACGAATGAGATCTGAAGTTTGACGTGCGACGGTGCGGATTACGACGAGGGCTAGTCGACGAGTGTCGACTGGTTTACCCAAAGGTAAAGCGTCTGCGAGGGCTTGAATGAGGGGTTTTGTGGCTTCGAAGGATTTGTTTCCGGATTCTGTTAAGAGGTATTTTCCTGTGGCGAGGATTGCGTTGTCGGAGATGAAGGGTTGGGGGTGGTTGATGCCTCGGACTAGGACTTCGCGGGTGATTTCGTCGAGGTTACCGGTGGTTAAGCGGTCGGGGGCTTCGACGAGGACGGCGTTGAGGGCGAGGATTGTGGAGTGGGTGAAGTTGTAGTTCAGCACGCGGGCTTTGAGGAGGCCGATTGTGTTTTCGGGTGGGATTACGGCGATGAGGGCTCCGAGGAGTTTGGCGTAGGTTATGTTTAGTGCGTCGTCTGCGTCACCGGAGTCGGAGTCGATGAGGGTGAGGATTGCGTTTTGGGAGACTTCGCTCATTTTTGAGCCGGCTTTGCTGACGACTTCGTAGAGGGCTTTGAGCATGGCATTTTTGACGCCGCTGTCGGTGGTCTTAGAGCCTGTCACCAATTCTGCAATGAGAGGGTCGATTCGCGGAGTCATGGTGATCAAAGTGCCCAATGCCTTGGCTGCTCGCGATCGCAAAACTTCGCTGCCAGGATCAGCGAGTGACTTAGCAAAAGTGCGCTGCAGCTGCGGCAAGAATGGCTTGAGGAAGAGAGGGATCTTCTCGAGGAGATTGTTGAGCGTGAGCAGGATAGCAGCCTTGAGCTCGACTGAGCGCTCGGATACAACACGGATCAATGGACCTGTAATCTGCGTGACGAAGGGCTTGAGGCCATCTGGACTGGTGCGATCGATGAGGTCCGACAAACCCAGCGCTGCTTGGATGCGCTGTTCGGCGGAGCCGTTCATCAAGCCTTGTAGGAAGATAGGCAAAATGGCGTTGATACCCTTTGGAAGGGAGAATCCAGGTAGTGCATGCCCAGCAACACCAACCTGGTTGAGCGTTTGTCGCGTGGAGCTGACGAGTGATTCCATCTCTTCTTTCCTCAGTCGTTGCATCAGCTGTGACAGTGCAGTCCAAGCGGCCTTGACAACGTCGCTGTCACTATCGTCGAACGAGATCAACATGGCACGAATCACGTCAGGATAGTAGCGAGAGAAGTCGACGTCTGCCTTCTCGAAGAATGCAGCAAAGTGCAGGTCAGCTGAAGCGCGTCTACGATGATCGTCGTGCTTTGCCATTCCAAGCATGACGCTCATCATGGTATTCAGACCATCGTACTCGTCCACAGATAGGATGATGGTGTCGAACGAGGTGTCCAGCTCAGCCTTGAGCGTCTCGTCCTTACAGGTGATGATGTTGTCCATGAGTGCATTGAGAATGTTGGGCAACTTCCTTGTCATAGCAGAACTGGCAACTTCAGCCAGCGACGCCAGTGCACGTGCATTGAAAGCTGAAATTGGCGATGCGATCAATGTTGGCAAGAGGTTCGGCAGGATGATGTTTGATCTCGTCAGGTCAGTGAGCAGTGTCAAAAGACCTTGCAGAGCGTTGGCGGCCTCTGACTCGTCACGCAGCAACTGCAAGAGGTATGGCAGCACTTGATCGATAGCACGCTTGCCCATGAGTCTCTGCAGAGAGTCGAACGCGTCTGCAGCGGCATCTCGGACATCCTCGTCCGTGTCGACGAGAGCAGTGCGCAGTACGGAGACCAATCTCTGCTGGTGGTCTTCCAGAGAGTCCTGGGTCGATGCGGCAATGAGCTCGCGCAATGCGATACAGATACCGGTGCGAGAGTCTGTGCTGGAAGAGGATTGCAGATGCTCCTCAAGGGTGGGCAAGAGCGTCGACAAGACACCATCACCAGCCTTCCTGATGAGCTCACCAAGCGCATTGCCAGCGATGACCTTTTGCTCTGGATTCGAGCTCGCCAACCTCTTGACAAGCAGTTGTGTGAGTATTGGAATAAGGTCTTTGAGAATGCGTGGCGACGAGACCAGTGCCTTCCAGACGTTCATAGCGGATGATCGGACCAATCCAGAGGTATCCATGCGACAGATGTAAAGAGCTGCAAGAACTCTGTTGCGCTTCTCTTCACCGAGGATTTCCAAAAGGTTGGCACCTGCTTGGTTGGCACCCTCGTCCAGATCTTCAGCCTCAGTTGTGGCAGTGACTCCAGTAAGGTTGAAAAGCAAGTCACCAATGAGTTCGACGGAACTGAGACGGATGCGATAGCTGTCATCTCCCAGACCACGCTCAAGCTCAGGCAGCAGGAGATCAACGGACTTGCTGGCAAAGTTCTTGACCAACAAGCGTCCAGCGCGCAATGCGGTCTCTCTGATCGACTCGACATCATCGGCAAGTCCAGCAAGAATTGAGGGAATGATGCGAGCAAGGTAGTTCGCAAAACTCTGACCAAAACATGCAGGCAAGAAGATGAAAAGCGACATAAATCCCTCACGAACGGAAGCCTTGTTGCTTGCAACATTCTGGAGAATGGTGGGCAGAGTCTCCTCGAGACGACCTGTACCGAGACCAGCAAGGACCTCACTGAGCGCCTGTGCAGAGCCAAGACGATCGCCCGCGCCAGTATCGGACTTCAGTGTAGTCATCAAGCTTGGAATGAGGTCAGGCAGTGCATCTTCTCCAAGCTTCTCGATTGTAGATCCAAGAGCCTTCGACGCTGTGGCACGTGTTGTAGGGACCGGATCCACAACAGCTTCGCGTAGCCCAGCAACTAATATGGGCAGATGAGAAATGAGATCTTTGCGTTCCGTGAGATGTGCCAGACTGCCGATAATTTGAGCAGCTTTGCGTTTCGTGCCAGATCTGTCGCCCAGACCACGCTCCAAGATTCGCACCACCAGAGCAAGCGAGGGTGCATCAATGAAATGCAAGAAATTGATCTTGATCAGTGCGTCCAGCGCATCGTCGGTGTACTTGGTCGGGTCGCTGAGTGCCTTGAGCAGAATGCTGACCTGGCTCTTGATCTCCGGGTTCTCGATCACCTCGCCGAAGCGCTGCAAGCTGCGATTGGCAGCAAGTCGCACCTCCTTGTGACTGTCATTGAGAACTTCCGTAAGGGGCGGAATGATCTCGGGCAAGCTAACAGCCAGCTGGTTCGCGTCCAAGTACGCCATGGCTCCAAGCGAGTCACACGCACCCTTTTTGCTTCGCCATGCTTGCTCATCCAGACCCTCGAGCAGTTGTGGCAGGACGAGCTTGACTCCATAGGAGCTTAAGCTCGCAAAGCAGGTCTTTGCTGCATCAAGACAGGCGTCTCTCACGTCTGCACTGGCATCGCCGAACCCAGCAAGGAGCTGCGGCACAACTTGAATGACATACGGTTCGAAGACTCGTCCCAAGAGGAGGGAGAGCAACTCGTAAGCCAGGAAGGCTCCTTGGCGCTCGTTCGTGTCCTTCTTGTTCTCAGTCGCGCTACGAAGCGTAGAGAGCAATCGAGTCTCCTTCATCAATGCAATACCTCGGCCCTTGACCACACCGGCCAGACCATACGCAGCGCCACGTCGTGCGGCATACTTCTTGGCATGCAGGGTTTCGTCGACAAGCTGTTGAAGATAGGTTGCAGCTTGATCAGCAGATGCTCGCACAAGTGGCGGCAGACACTGCGCAACAGCATATTGCACAGACTCAGACGGCGTGCTCAGTGTTGAAAGCAATTTATTGACGACCTTCGGCAACCGGTCGTCACCTTTTGGCAAGTGGCGAGCCAAGGCTCCGTACAAAATGACAACAGCTTCGTTGACCAGATCTTGCTCAGGCGTCGTGCTTGTGACGCCCAGAGTATCCTCGCAGAGCTTCATTAGAGGTTCAACGAGGCCTTTGCCGCGAGCGGCTACCACGGATGTAGCAGCTTCGACCATACTGTCTCGCACTGTACTGCTCTTGTCGCTTAGCGGACCGCTCTCAATCAGGAATGCTAGGAACGGAGTGATTTGGTCCTCGGGGAAGATTGTAGCAAGCTCACGGAAGGCCAGTGCAATGCCATGTCGGGTTTCCCAGGGATCACTCATGTCTTTCTTCAGTGGCATGCCGTAGCGGTCCAGCTCTGGCTTCTTTGGTTTGGCAGCTTCCACGTAGGAGGACTGCAGCCGACCCAGGATATCACCGAATGTATTCGGATGCTCCTTTGTAGCCGCTGCAACAGCACGCGCTGCTGCGCGCCTTAGTTGCGAATCCTTGGACTCAAGATAAGGTAGACATTTGACTGCGGCATCCTCAACGAGCTTCAATTCGTTCTCTTCCCAGATCTCACTGGCGATGTTCAGATTCTCTTGATCATCGTCATGACATGCGAGCCATATCTCTTCGTAAAATTCACGGTAGGTCAGGTCGAGTTCAGCACTGATCGCCTGCAATACAGCGTTGCGTACTGATGGCTCTGGCACGATCGTGCCTCTCACGACGGTATCCGTTTCTTTCTCGCTCATGTTGGCGGCGAGGTGGCGTGAGAGATCTGCAAAACAATCCTTGATCTCCTTGAAGTGCTGAGGATAAGCTTGCAACGAGCCAATGAGAGTGGCAAGAAGTCCTTCACGAGGTAGTCTGGGGTCGGCGCAAGTCTCGGTGTGGAAAGAGATGACTTCTATTGCAAGCATGATCTGCTCAGCCGCGTCCTCAGGCGCACTGTGATCAATACCACCACTCTCAAGTACCAGGAACACGAGTGCAAGAATGTAGCTGAGAGAGACAGTGTCGAACGGGCGCTGTTCTCCAAGAGATCTCAGGCGGTATAGCACGCGAGTGACGAGATCGCCCAAAGGTTCCGCAAGAAGATTCTCTGGCAACATGGTGATGCCGGCAGACCGAAGAGTCGCAACTCCAACGAACGGCCGGACAGGTCCAAGACGTGTTGAGATCTTGTCGGAGCACCGTAAGTATCCTAGCGATGCGGCATCGCCCAGAATCAGACCAGCACCGGCTCGGATCACATCGAAAAGCAGTTTTACCGAAGGTCCAAACCATTCTTCGGCCTCAGTAGGTGGTCCGGTCGCGAGTGCGTCGATGAAACCAATGCCACGTCGAAGCTTTGCGTCCACTGTCGCCACCTTTTGCCGTATCTCAGACTCCTTTTGGAGCTGCGCCTTGACTTTGGCTTGCTCGTCAGCCGTGAGCTTCTTGGTCTGGCCTTTCTTGGCAGCTAGTTGTGCCCGGAGTTCTTCCTCCCACTTCAAAGTGTCATAGTCCTTTTGGTTCTTGCTTATTTGTGGTGCCTGTGACTGCTTAGACAGGACATCAATGAAAGCTGTGCCTTCAGGGGTGCGGTAAATCGCTGCCTCTGTTGGGCCAATGTCGTTGAGCTGCGCAGGGTTCAGATCAGCACTGATCTGTTGAACGATTAATGGCGTGAAGATGTTGGGTGCTACGAAGGCCAGATCAGCGGCAGCATGATAAGCAGCCAATTGAAAAGCTGGCAGGATCTTGCGAACAGGATGCTCTGTGACTTTCAAGATTTGCTCAAGGAAGCTCGTGCTTGACTCTTCCACGAGTTTGCCGGGGTCTGTGCCTGTTCTTAGACAGGTCTGGATCCATGAAGTCTTGGGAATAAGTTGCGGACGGCAGAGCACAAGCAGTCTCCTCAACTGGTCGCTAACGATATCAGCCAGAGCTGGGGTACCGAGCTTTGCAGCAGTATCAGAATCAAGACATATTGCCTTGACCACTTTCTGCAGCTCCTCCCGACCGGTCTTGGTCGAAACGGCAGCACTGTCTTTTGTGTCGGCCTCGAGATCTTCGCACCACTGCCAGAGCGCCTCTATTATGATATCCGCAGTGGATTCAGCATTCGCAACGTAGAGTCCCTGTAGCGACTTGCTTGCCTCGGCTCTGACTTTGGCGGGCACTGTTGACGAGGTGATCAAGTAAATCAGAGCGTGAGCCCATGCAGTAGGGACGGCCCGGTTCTGGCGCTTGGATGTCAAGCTGGGAAAGACCGCAACAACGGCATGAAGGAACCAGCGTAGATCCTCCTCAGCTGTCAGCTTCGTATACACACGCGGGCTGAGTAGAAATGAAGGTTTCGGCTCGAGTGCCAGAACTTTGTCACCGATCGCGGCCTTCTTGATGACAGCCGCATTCTTGAGAGAGGATAAAGCAGATGCACGCGCTAGTGAAAGTGCAGCGGCTACAGCTGCGACAGATACCTGCCCGTTTTGCAAAGCGGGCAGTGGGTTCGCCTGGACTTCGACAAAACTGTCAATCAACTTCCCGATGCAGGCGTCGAGCAAAGCCAGTGTGCTTTCATTGCCCGATGCTTCTGGTGAAGTTGACCAGATGAGGTCTCCTAGCTGCAAAGCCCACACCCGCCGCATAGGCAGTCGCTTCTCGGCGACGCCTTTGGCGAAGGCATCAATCGTGGCAGTTTCAAGTTTTGCCTCATTTTCCAGTGCAAAGCGAGCATATTTGGCGATACAGCCAACCTCGGCTTGCGCAGCAGCTTCGTTTGCCTCTTTGCTGGCTAAGGCAACCAGACCGGCAGGTATCTTCGTCGCCAGTGCAACATTCGGCTGCAGCGCTGAAAGCATCTCTGCATGTATTACACGCTGTTCTGCCGCAGTGACCTTGCCGGTCTTCAGCGGCGTCAAGATTTCATCGGCAGCCTTCTCCACCAGAGAAGCTTGCCGTGAACGTGATGCGACTGCTTTAAAAGTGCGCAACGCGCCTCCACGGATCTCCGGTTTCGTGGATTTTACATTTGCCAGAAGTGGCTTTGTCAAGTTGCCAGCAAGAACATCCGAAAGGTCCAGGTCTGTCGGTAATGCCAGTACAACTGGCGCTACGAGGTCATTGAGAACAATTTCAGGAGCTCGCAAGAGCGACTTCTCAATCGCCGGAACCAACTCCTTCTTGAGGTCCTCTAACGTGACATAAGAATCGAAGAAATCGTGAAGGGCGTTCGAAATGTAGGCCGGGAGTAGGGCCTTCGATCCGAGGTGTTCACGCAAGTAAAACGCGAAATAATCTGCTTTCTTCGCCTCAACCACCGTTTGGTGATCGGGCAATCTGCTGCAAACGCCTGCGATGATTCCCAATGGCAGCGCGTTCTTGGGGACCGGGGCACTGGCCTTGGCGGAAAGCGTGGTTATGCAATTGGAGAGGGCATCTCTTCCAAAGTCGGCACGAGCCACAGTCCTGACAGCACGTCGACTCACTCTCAGTGCAGTATCTCGCGTGCTCTCCTTGGGCGACGACGCGAAGAGCGTGTTCAGAGCATTGGTCAACGCTGTGACAGCTTTCAAACCCCACGAGTCCCATACTGCTTTCTCTTTTGCTGCGTGCTGAATGAACAGCGACGCCCATCTCACGAGCACGAAGGCATTGCCCGGCGCGTTGCCTGCTTTGGCCGACTCGCCCTCAATGGCTTTCACAAATCCAGCAAAGACGTTCGCGGTTTCAGGAAGGGCAGCAATGGCAGAAAGACAGCTCTCAACGGCCTGGCGTGATCGACCATCGATATATAGAGGGTAGGTATCGAGGAGAGTATGCAGAAGTGCGGGAACTTGTGATGCAGGAAAGTCTGCACCAAAAGTCAGAAAATGTCCTTACATGATGTTCTCTCACAGCATTCTGTGGACAGGCCTACCTCCACTCTCGAGCTTCTCGTGAATGTTGTGAAGCTCGGTGCCTCGCCTCTTTGTAGAACTCGACAGCAACACCTGCCTCACCTCCCACATGTCCAAGGTGGCGCCATGATCCCCATTCGCCGTCGGCGTTGCAACCTCGTCCGCCATCTTCGCTCTCTACTCTTTAATCGTGTGACATGGGAATTCGTGAAAAGTGGTTGCGGCAGCCGGGTGCCTGTCGATCGCGGGCCTGGAAAATGTATCGCCGTGAAGGAATTCGCGTCCCGCTGTCATGAACAGTGCTCGTATACGCACAGTTCCGCTGACATGCGAACCTGCGCTGAATGTCGGTTTCACCAGAGCTGCGCCGATGTTTGCGGTGTCTTCATGCGGGCCTTGGCATCGGAAAAACCAGACGCCGAACTCTGAAGTCATTCACGGCGGCGGGACATCAAGTCCATGAATTTCTCCTTGCTCGCATTGTCTCCCATCTTCTGAACGCTTTCGACATCCAATGACACGATGGCGGCGGGGAACAAGAAGAAAAAGAAGCCCGCGGCCAACCCTGCCAGAGGCTTTGCCACAACCTCTGTTGCTTCCAAGCCAAAGTCAGATGAGGCATCTGAGGCGAGCAGCGCGGTCCCGTCTGGAGTTGCCACACCTTCTGCACAGAAAGCCGCTGCAGGGGCAACGGTAGAGCACGCGAATCCAGCACCTCTGCCGGATGCTACGCGAGAGCTGCACGAACTGAGTCCCGAAGAACTCGAGGCACAGCTCGAAGCATCAGAATTGCAACAATTCGTGGAAAAGCATGCTTCAAAGGTCAAGAAGGAGACTGCCCGGCAGGTGGCACGTCTACAGACCGACAAGCGTGTACTGCGGGGTCAATCAGACTACTTGGGAGTCAAGGCATGGTTGCCCGAGGAAGTCATGCAACAGATTCTGGACCTCATGGTATCTGACATGAAGCATGACACATCGTCGCACAAGCGGTCGAGTCTACCGCCTGATGACGAGTTGGTAGCAAAGGTATGGTCGTTACGTCAGTCCCTATTTGATCTCGATCTTCCTCCTGCTCGAGTCGACGAGGTTCTCCAGTGGATCATAGCAAATCCACCTGCAGAGCCCTCATCAGGTACGTTGTGGGGTCTCGAAGAATGCCTAGAATGGCTTGCACTTCACTGCCTTCCAGGAGAACTACCAGACTACGACTATACATACCAGAAGCCAAGAGTGACCGCTCTGGCCGCGGAAGAAGCTGAGAATGAGCCTGACCAGGCCGAGACCAACGGCAAATCCTCCCCCAACAAGGAACAATCGATGCTTGCAAATAATATATCGAAAGAAGTCGATGCGAATGTTCCCGAGGTCGAAGTCAGCGATATGGATAGTGATCTCGAGCCGGATGAGCTATTGTCAGTCTACCTCAGAACGAAAGCAAAACTGTACACTCTCAACCCTCAGTCCGACAACCCAAAATCTCGCAAGGGCAAGCCCTCGGCCACTTCCGTCCAGCATAGCAAAGGTACATCCGAGCGGAAACTCGAGGAGAAATTGCAGCGAATTGAGGCAGACGTCCTTTTTGACAAGCGGGAGGCAGACGCTCATTGGGCGGGACAGAAAATTGAGCTTGCTCGTGAGACAGCCGAACGCAAGAGACTTCAGTTGCGAGATGACGAGACAGCAACACCGCAAAGGTCGGCGACACCCGTTTCCGAGACGGGGCGCGTCAACGAGGATGCCGAGAGGCTTGGGCAGGAGATTCTGCGCGAGACCGAAGCTGAAGACGGAGATATTCTCAGTGGCATGTTTGATGCTTTGCCTGGAGTCAGTGAGACAAATGGCACACCCGCGTCTGGCGATCAAGCTGTCAATGTCACTGTACGGGACTTTGGGAAAATCACTGGAATAAATCCGAAGCGAGTGCTGGAAGAGGCCTGCAAAGCACGAGACGGGCGATGCAAACTCAGCTACAAATTGGTCTCGCCCACGACGTACATGAGCCGACATGCGGTCACGATACAATGGTCGAAGCAGCAAGACGCAGAGGACGTGGATCCGAAATACTTAACGTCTATCTCGGCAAGCACGAAAGCAGGAAGCACGGTCTTCACCATGACCGCCGTAGCCACGCCTGACGTTACTCAGAGCGAAGCATATGTCGCGACTGCGGCCCTGTTCGTCATATTTTCCGGCTCCCCCAAGGAAGAGAAGGCTCATCTTCGACTTCCTCCAGCTTATCGCAATCTGTGGGACGAATTCTCGAAAGCTAAACAGGAGCACATTCTTGCTGAAGATGGCTCGGTAGTTCGAGAGGTCCGACAAGTGATCGAACAATACCGCAATATGGACGAAGACAGCGATGATGAAGTCGTGTTCAATGCCAGCAGCCGGCGACGACTGGACGGAAACAGCGGCGCCAACACTCCACTTTCACGAAGTGATGGACGTCAATTCGCGACCCCCGAGTACTCTGAGGAACTGCAGAATATGTGGCTGCAGAGGACAGGAACGGCGAAGTATCAGCAGATGTTGGCCTCTCGCATGAACTTGCCCATGTTCCATTATCGGCAAGCAGCCCTAGACACCATCAACAAACATCAAGTCACCATTTTATGTGGTGAGACTGGCTGTGGAAAGTCAACTCAGCTACCCGCTTTCATCCTTGAGAATGAGTTGTCGCACGGGAGACCGTGCAAGATTTACTGTACGGAGCCACGCCGAATATCAGCCATCTCGCTGGCGCAACGTGTCTCTGAGGAAATGGGCGACAAGAAAGGTGACGTCGGGACGCCTCGATCATTGGTCGGCTATGCCATCCGATTGGAATCACAAACAAACGCCCAGACCAGACTTGTCTATGCAACTGTTGGCATAGTACTTCGCATGCTCGAGAATGCGGACGGCATCAATGATGTCACCCATTTGGTTGTCGATGAAGTTCATGAGCGCAGCATCGATACTGATTTCTTGCTCATTGTGCTCAAACAGCTTATGAGGCAGCGACCAGATCTCAAAGTGGTGCTTATGAGTGCCACGGTCGATGCGCAGAAGTTCTCATCGTACTTGAGTGGGGCTCCCATCATACAAGTGCCTGGAAGAACGTTCCCAGTTGAGGCACAGTTCCTTGAGGATGCCATTGAGCTTACAGGACATACCAACGAAGATGCAACAGAGAACGCGGTAGACGAAGAATCAGCCGACAAAACCGACGAGGACAGAAGTGACGATCCACAGCAGTTGGAAGGCTACAGCAAGAAGACCCGGCAGACACTTGCTTCCTACGACGAGTATCGTATAGATTACAGCCTAATTGTCAAGCTGGTCGACAAGATTGCGCATCTGGAACAATACAGGAGCTTCAGTAAAGCTATCCTGATATTTCTACCTGGAATTGCCGAAATTCGCCAGCTCAACGACATGCTTGGGGGACATCCCAAATTCATGAAGGGCTGGCAAATATTCCCTCTGCATTCGACGTTCTCCAGCGAGGACCAGCAGGCTGCGTTCGAGGTACCACCAGAGGGTATACGAAAAATTGTTCTCGCAACCAACATCGCTGAGACTGGTATCACCATCCCCGATGTGACGTGCGTGATCGATACCGGCAAACACAAAGAGATGCGTTTCGATGAACGCCGACAAATGTCGCGTCTCATACAGAGCTTTGTCGCAAGAGCCAATGCAAAACAGCGCCGTGGTCGTGCTGGGCGAGTGCAAGAAGGTCTCTGCTTCCACCTTTTCACCAAGCATCGCTTTGAGAAGATGATGGTCGAACAGCAGACTCCGGAGATGTTGCGTCTGTCGCTCCAAGATCTGGTAATGCGTGTCAAAATCTGCAAGCTTGGTAAAGTCGAAGAAGCACTTGCACAAGCTCTTGACCCACCTGCAGGAAAGAATGTTCGGCGAGCCATCGATGCTCTCATTGAGGTCGGCGCATTGACTGCGAATGAAGAACTTACCTCTCTAGGCACTCAGCTTGCTAAACTCCCTCTGGATGCACAACTTGGCAAGCTGATCTTGCTCGGCAGCACATTCGGGTGTCTTGATTTTGCTTTGACAGCAGCTGCCACATTGTCATCAAAATCGCCTTTCTTGTCGCCAATGCATGCCAAACGACAAGCTGATACCGTCCGCCTCGGCTTCAAACGAGGCGACTCGGATCTTCTCACAGTCTACAACGCCTACTGTACTTGGCGTAAGGTATGCACCACAGCTGGCATGCCCGAATATCAGTTCTGCAACAAGAACTTCCTCAGCCCACAAAACCTGGGGAATATTGAAGATCTGAAGGCTCAGCTCCTCAGCTCCCTCGCGGACTCTGGCGTCGTTCACCTTGCTCCGGAAGACAAACAGGCACTTGCTCGCTTGCGCTACCACAGTCGGAAGCGTAACTTCATCTCACTGCCTGCACAATACACTCATTCGGATGATAACGACACCATGGTATCCTCTGTGGTGGCTTGGAGTTTCTACCCCAAGATCATCAAGCAAGATGGAAAGGGCTGGCGCAACATCGCGAACAACCAATCCCTTGGTCTGCACCCCACATCTGTCAACAAGAGCTCGTTGCCCCCTCAGATCACCTATTTGTCCTTCTACAGTATCATGCAATCGTCTTCGCGCTTCACAAACGCGCAAGAAACGACGCCTGCTGCAGAGATTCCTCTTGTCTTAATGGCTGGAGATGCGAGATTCGAAATTTTCGCAGGTGTCATCATTGTCGATGGAAACCGGCTACGGTTCAAGGTGAAAAATTGGAGGACATTGATTGTGTTGAAGATCTTGAGAGGAAAGGTGAGAGAAGTGATTGGGAAAGTCTTCAAGAGTCCGGGAAGAGAGTTGGGAGATCGGCCGAGGAGATGGATGGAGATTTTGGAGAAGATCTTTGAGAGGCAAAAGACGGCTTGAATAGTAGATGGGATGGTATTTTGTGGCTCAGGAGGATGTCGGGCCAGATGGGCCTTGCAGATTACGATGGAAAGGATCATAAGGAGCGTTCAGCTTGGTCGATGTGTCAGATCGCCGAGGTTAGGCTCGATGATAAGGGCCTGGAATCATGATGAACATGACTCAAGTAGAAGGCGATTGGCCTCGCACCACGCATGGACTCTAATTCAGTCACCGGAAAGCACGTCTCTCTTCAAAAAGCAAAGGGCCTCGTGGCTCACGAATGCGGCCACCGCCAATGATGTGCTAACGAGTTGTCTGAGAATATGGCTAATGATTGCAAGACACAAGGCATTCTCTGCTACTAAGCCTGGATAAGAGGCGCAATTAACGCAGCAGCGAGCTGTCTAAGGTATGAGTGCATTCGTACTTCCTGTTGACGCGATTGGGACAGAAGCAGCCATGGCCAGAAGCAATGGGCGATGCTCCAGACTCGCACAGTCAAGCATAAATCAATGGACGCCTAAGCGGCAGAGGCATAAAATAGCGACGACGGAAGGAACTGCACAAGACTAGGGCTCCATACGAACCAGGAACGATCTGCCTCATCGCTGACTGATGTCAATCGGCCATTTACCTCGCCACAGTATTGTCTGCACCAGTGATGGAAGCCCTAAATGCCAAGACTCTGCGCCTCGTGGGAGGCCTTACGAGGAAAGTTTAGACTCTGTCGATCGACTCAAATTTCTCTAACCCGTTCGGGTCTTACTGATCTTTGATCGTCCGTCGTGGCCTAAGGAGCGGTATACTGGATTGGGCAGTTCCGAGCCGAGGTGTGTATTTCTGGATTCCAACGCATGTTGATCGCGACTAGCTCTGTTGGTATTGATGTTGGAGGCGCAAAAGCCACAACCAGAGCCAGGAACGGGGAGGCGAGCATCGAATTGATCAGATGGAGTATATAATGGCAGGACAATTGTCAATCTTCTTCCAACTCGGCCTTACAACTACTTACGATTCCAACAAGTCACCAGCAAGAACAACGCTACCACCTTCAAGCTCTGTCATCGATTAATCGACCAAGCAAGCAACAAACCCTTCAACCATGTCTCTTCGAGCCACCATCGTCTTGAGCCTCTCAGCTCTCGCTGTAGCTCTACCACAAGACGACAACGATTTCGTCTACGACCCAGTACGCTGAAACTCCTCCGTGTTGCTTCACAGCCTCTAACAGATGATTCAGAACACTGCCGTCACTTGTCCTGACGGCTGGAGCGCCAACACAGGCAATGGCGGCGATCCGAACACCTACTGCTGCCCCGGCCAGTCTATCGCGGACTTCACCCCAGGTGGCATATACGGCTGTGCGATCGGATCAACCACTATTCCCTTCACCATGGCAGGCTACACGTCCATCGTGAGCTCGCTTGCGGCGCAAGAGTCTGGTGGTGCAGTGGAGTCGGAGTCGATGGGAACGACTGTTATGGTATCGTCGTCCGCTGAAGAGACTTCGATGGCCACTGAGGATACGGAGACAACAAGTATGGGATCGGAGAGCAGCTCCAGCGGCGCCGGTGGTGCGCAGGCTACCGAATCTTCGACCACCAGCTCTGGTAATGGTGCCGCAATGATGACTGCTGCTCCAATGCTTGGTGCTGCTGCTCTGGCTATGCTCGCACTCTAGATGTGGTCGGAAGCCCAAGACAGTGAAGCAGCTCCGAGAAGAGATGTAACAATAGTAAATACATAATAAAACTATTCGAGCATTTTCTTCGATCACGACTTTCGGAAGAATGTGTTGATGCAGCTCTGCAGATGTGCTAGCCGAAGCCATGAATCTGCTGTGCAGAATTAGGTCATCGGAAACGAAGCTGAAGTGAGAAGGTGCTTAGCAGCTGTACCGTGTCTTGCCTGCCCACGCCAATGACGTGGCAAAATGCAAAAGGATGTCGAATTGGAGCAGGCCAGACTCGAACTGGCATCCCTCACACCCCATCAACGGGCTCCTAGCTGGCAATCAATTACCCAAGATCCTTTCTCGAGGAGAAAGTTGGCACCTGTAAACATGGACACTATATCAAGTAGTGAACGTGAGGATCTTACCATTGGACCACAACCCCTTAGACAATTGTGATATGAGGAATTCAGGAAGCACAAAAATGATCACATTGCGGCACGCAAATCTTGTGAGCAGCCAAGGCTTGCAGCAAACTCGCACTTGGAGCAAAAGGTTTTGGAGCTGGCCAGAATCGAACTGGCATCCCTCGCCTTGCCGCCGTAGCGACTGAGTGTGCTGCCGCGACAAGGTGCGGTAGCGGTCGTGCTTGCCAGCCTCGCGGACGAGGACTGCACCCCCTTTCGGGGATGGCGGGGGCGACGAGTATCTTACCATTGGACCACAGCCCCTGAGCGATAGTAGACTTGCTTTTTACGGTACTCAAATGTGCTGGCTGGAGGAAGCTGCAGCAAACAAAGAGTCGTTTCTGGAAAGCACTATCATGAAGGAGTCAGCTGCGTCACAGCAAACAGCGGAGACGCACAGCACACAAACATCCAACGCACTTGGCATTCGTGCAAGAAAAAAAAAGATTGGAGCAGGCCAGAATCGGACTGGCGTCCCTCATCGGTTGGTCGCTAATGTGACGAAGCCGGTATGGCTTCCAACTGCCCTTAAGGCAGTAAATATCGGCCTTGTAGCCGATATCAGACATCCAATTGGATGTCTCCGATGAGGATCTTATCGTTAGACCACAACCCCTAGATTGTTGTAGAGTATCATGTCAAAGTACTATACATGGGCTGACTAAGCGCAACTTCAAGAAACAAGGAGGTGATTCCGGAAAGACTCAATACAAACGAAGCACTTCTTGGTAGATCATCGTGGAATCTCTGAGATGTGCACTCTTGAAAGTGCAAAAAGATGTTGGAGAAGTCCAGAATCGAACTGGAATCCCGACCGTCGAGCGCCCTCGCCGTGCTGGGAGCCCCCGGGGTCCGGGTGGCTCCGNGGCGCTCGACGGGTATCTTACCATTAGACCACAACCCCTTTGATTGAGTGTTGCGTTTCACGGCACTATACATATGCTGGTCACGGGGCGCCTGCAGCAAACGACGGGCTCCTAGAAGACACCATCTGGATGCGATCTGAAAGTTGAGAAGCAAACACAAAGATTCTGTCGCAACGAGTCTGCTCCTGATCCTGAACATATGCATAACCAGACTCGCAAAAAGTACAACGGAGAAGGCCAGACTCGAACTAGCATCCCTCATCAACTAATGAAGCGAACAGCCAATTGACTGACACCTCAGAAGTCATTCCACTTCCAGTCTTGCATGCGATGCAGGACTGGAAGCCGACGGCCCATCGGGAAGTCTCGACGAGGATCTTACCATTGGACCACAACCCCTATAGTAGCCGAGCGACGGATGGTGTGATACATATAGGACCAGCCATGCGGCACGCAAAAGACCAAGGATGGAGCAAAATGGAGCACTTGGGCAAAAAAAAAACGGAGTAGGCCAGAATCGAACTGACATCCCATCACTGAGCAGCAATTTGGCGCTCTTTGCGCACGGGCCTGCTCAACGAGTATCTTACCATCGGACCACAACCCCTATAATAGCTGAGCGATGAAGTGTGTGATACAAGAAGGAACAACCACGCAGGACACGGAAGTCCAGAGATGCAGCAAAAGTGGAGGACTTGGTGCAAAAAGAATATATATACCGGAGAAGGCCAGAATCGAACTGACATCCCATCGTCGCCGCCGCAGCCAGATGCCATATCTAGCCGCAACGCTGCACCGCCTAAGCGGAGTGTATCGAACCTGACGGTTCGAATATGTGGACATCCTCGTAGGGAGCCACTGACGAGTATCTTACCATTGGACCACAACCCCTTTTGAGCGAAATCACTTTTGCATGACGCTACAAATACGCTGGCTGAGTACTGCTTGCTCAAACAATGAAGACTTCATGTCCGATGGAATCATGTCTGTGCGAGTCTGACAAGGTTGGGTCTGTCAATAATGCACGGAATGTTGAAAGAGAGAGAATGAAGTGTCTAGAAAGCAAATTGATTCAGCTAGACTCTTCCATCGCATTGGCTATCTACCACCATATTACAACGTCGCAAGTCCGCCATACCTCCTCATATCTCTCGACTAGTTGTAGAAAGGCGCACTAGGTGCGAAGCCCGTCAATCTCGTTCCATCGGTTGGCTGGAACTTGGGCTCTCTGAACCACGTTGGTGCCTCTGGCGCCAATTTCTCCACCTCCGAAAACTGGAATTCCTGCCCCTCATGCTTGAACTTCAATTTCTCATACACGGCCTGCGCGTACTCTGGAGCGATGTTGTACAGCTGAGCGAGGTACTTCTTCTGAATGATCGAGTAGTTGACTTTGGACAAGTCTACCGCAGTGTTGTAGTGCAGGTTCTCGCGATCTTGGTCGGACATGACGCGGCGGTACAGCTCGCGAGGCTGATCGTAGTCGCTCATCTTGCCTTCGTGGTAGTAGTGGCTCTTGCGAGAGACGACGTTGTCCGAGACCTTGTAGGGAGCTTCAGCAACGTCCGGTCTGAAGCGATCACCGCCGAGTGAGTTGGGCGCGTATTGTTTGTTGCCAGAATGGTTGCCATCAACACGCAATTGTCCGTCAAAGTTCAAGCTGGCGTAGGAGCCGGACATGAAGGGGCAGTTGGTGGGGACCTGGTGGTAGTTTGGTCCGATGCGGTGGTACTGGGCGTCTCGGTAGAAGAACATGCGGAATTGCAACAATGGATCCGGCGAGTCCTCCACGCCTGGTACCATGGCTCCAGGAGAGAATGCCGCCTGCTCAACATCGCGATGGAAGTTTTCTGGGTTCTTGTTGAGCACGTAGCGACCATATTCTTGCAACGGGAACTGGTCCCGGGGCCAGATCTTTGTTACATCGAATGGGTCAAAGCCCAATTTCTCGGCGTCTGCCTCCTCTGGCTTCATGACTTGAACTTTGCACGTCCATTCCACTTGCTCGCCGCGCTCGAGCAACTCCCACAGCTGCTCCTTGCTGTAGTCGGGATTTTCTCCAGATATGCGTATCGACTCTGGGTACGTGAAGTCCTTGCGCCCATGCTTTGCGATGAAGTGATACTTGATGTAGACAAACTCTCCCTGTTTGTTCACCCACTTGAATGTGTGACAACCATAACCATGCAGGTTCGTCCATCCATCAGGCGTACCATGGTCGGAGAAGAACATCATGCCAGCATGGTTGGCTTCCGGAGTGAGGGCGAGCAGGTCGAAAGTGGCGTCGCGATCGAGAAGAAAGTTGTCTGGTCGCCGGGCTTGACTGCGGATGACATCGGGACCTTGAATGGGGTCACGGCAAAAGAATACTGGGAAATTCAAGCCCACGAGATCGTAGTTCCCTTCTTTCGTATAGTGCTTGATAGCGAAGCCGCGTGGGTTGCGTCCCTCGTCCGGAAACTCTCGACCCAGAGTGACAGTCGAAAACCGAATAAAAATTGGAGTCTTCTCGCCCACACGCTGCAGAAAGTCTGCTTTCGTCAAGTCGGACACATCGGAAGTCACTTCAAAAAAGCCGAACGCTCCAGATCCGCATGGGTGTACCATGCGTTCAAGAAGTTTCGACCTGTTGAAGCGCTGTTGTTTCTGGAAGAGATGAACATCGCTGGCCACTGGTATGCCGCCGATCGTCTTGGAATGTGCTGGGTCCGGAAGTGGAATGCCATCATCGTTGGTGAAGTATGGACTGTCATCTGCGCGGATGCCTCCAGAAGAGTAGCCGGAGACCTTTGCTATGATGTCTGCAGGTCCTTCGTTCGAGCTCTGAAGATGCGACATGCGAGGAGCTCGCATCTCCGGCTTGAGAGACCTGGCTGTCGAGGTGATAGTGTCCATGTCGCAAGGTATTTGTTGGTTCTTGCCGAGGAATGGAAATTCTGGGGCCTGCTCAAATCAGTAAAGTCAAAGCAGCAGTCCTGTGGGAACGCATCAATTTAAGCACGACCTTTCACTACAGATAGTGACAGCATCAAGCGCCAATCGCAACCGCCAATAGCAACACCATCGGTGATGCTGACCATCATCGCGTGTAGCAAATGCTGTTTCTGGCAATTCCTGCATCATTTCTGCATCTCTTCGCATTATCATCGCATCCAGTGAGCGTGTAGAGAGGTCATGGTGACAGCTGTGGGCTAGTTTCAATCCGAAGCAGCGTAGCGACGTGAGGATGAGGAGAGCATGACGAGTGTCGCATCGAGCCGGCAATGTTCGGGATCAATAGTTCAGCTGCATGAAAATGCGGAGCGCTGTCTCGACTCACAGTCGCAACGGTTGATGACATGCCGGGCAAAATGTGTTGTGTGCTGCGAGGGATGTCGAAGATAGCTGAGTAGGAAGCTTTGGGGAGAGGAGGAGGTGCGGTGCAATGCCAAGCTTGAGGTGGGTTCCGACTCTGCAACTTGCCTCGCCTTTGGAGGATCGCAACAAAAACAATCAGAGCAAATCTGTGGAATTGTATAACTCCTCTGCGCCATCGTCGCAGTCATCACATCTGGGTTGATTCCACCACACGAAGCGATCTCGGACTTCCACAACGTTTCGTACAGCTTGGAACGGCTACTGTACAATCAGCGGAATATCTGGCTTCGAGGCTAAGACCACGCATATCTCCATCACGAGAACTCTTGGTCGGACAAGGAGAAGTTTCTCCTCACATTCTAGAGCCAATCACAGAAGCTAGTCCATGTGCAGTGCACACCTGAGCTAGAAGAACTGGATTCGGGTTGGCCAAGGGAATGTTTGTTCACGATAGAAATGGCGCCAATGCATCCCGTAGATGTCTGAGCACCTCTTACATCGCAGCAGCCCATGCTAGGAAGTATGGCCTGAGGATATCTGTAATGCCGATATTCATCCCCGCGAACGTCTCCAAATCAATGTCACCGCCATGCAGCCCAACCAGAAAACGAAAAGTGGATGCTTCCCTCCTACACAACCAAATGCTCACTCTGATACCTCCACCAATGCTCTCTCGTATCCGCCTGCCTCCAAACTCCCACCCCACCCTCCACGCCCTTCTCATTAACATTCCAATGCCCACTCTCCACATGCCTCCTCCAATTCTCCAGTACCGCAGATAACTTCGGCCCATGCCTCATGACAAAAGGATTAATCCCCGTCTGATACAAATCACTATGACTTTTCAAGATCGGCCTCCCATCTGATGTCCTCGCATAATGCCTCCGATCTCCCAACTTGATCGGCAAAACCAGTCGACACGCATCTTCGAACGGATTCTGAGCATTGGGAAATGCATCAAGGTATAATCCGCAAGGTACGGATTCGACGGTTGAGAAGGGGTATCGGAATTTCGCTTCTTTGGCGCTCACGGTGCCAGGACATCGGAGGAAGAGAAATGGAACTTTCATGCCTTTAGTTTCGGTGGGGAATTTGGAGGGGATGTGTTTGAAGGGTTGTTGGAGGAATTCTTCGACTTTGGGAAGACGGATCCCTGGGGCGATGAACCAGATTTCGGATGAACGAGCGTGCGAGAGGATTTCGTAGGCAAAGCCGCGGGGAATTCCGGCGATTTTGAGGGCGGTGCGGGAGCAGAGGGGGGCTTCGTCTTCGGGGTCGTAGTCTTTGGAGGTGGGGTCTGGGCGGGTTCTGGAGATGCCGGCTTTGCGCTCGATGGCTGTGACGAGGGCGTTCCAAGTGTCTAGGCAGGCGTGTAGATCTTCTAATGTGTAGGGTTGGAGGATCCACGGTCTTGTTTGATATCGTACGAAGGTTTTGTTTTTGACGAGATCGCCGCCTTTGATGTCTGTTTTGGGCTCCTCTATTGTTGCTTCGTCGTGTATTGCAACAGCCTTCTCAGCCTCGATCATCTCGATATAAGCACTCAGTATCGTCTCCATGCGTTGCCAAGGAAGTTCTGGATTCCTCAGATCAAAGACATGGTGGTATGTTGGCATCAGTATTGCCTTGCCAGTCTGTTGATCAAAGACAATGCCCGCAGGTTGTGTCACTAGAGCTTCTGAGCTTTTGTATATTATCACAAATCTGTACTTGCTCTCCTTGGGATCATCATGGTCGTGGTCTGGATCTTCGAGCACATCTGCCAAGCCCAGCATGTGCTGTGGACTCGCAAGACCAGACACATGGTAGAAGAAGTTGTAATTTGGCACCTCGAAGATCTTCGAGAGATATCGCACTAGCTTGGGGCGTAGGATCTGCTTCAGTCTCTCGTTGCCATGCGTGCTCCACCATGTCCGCTTGGTGAGCGTTGAGATCTTCTTGCCAGATTGAAACCAGCCATAGAGGGTCAGAGTGTTGTGCAGAGCAGCACAGCGTTCGGGGTCAATATCATTGCCTTCAGTGGCAGGATTCTTGTCAGTTACGAGATCTTTCGCAACACTGGCGAACAAAGTTGCGGTTGCGCCCGCCATATGCTTGTTGAGAACTTGAACGCTTGGATCCGGGATCGTGTTACAGACCGATATCGCGGGAGACTCTTGCACTCGCACCTGCGTAGGAATAAGGATGCTGAGGTGCGCTGAGATGAATGTAACCGCTGATCAAACTGCCATAGACATTAGAGAGGTATGCTAGTAGAAACGGACGGTGAGGCAGCAATTCGCCGCTCTCATCAATTTCTTGTGCAGTGCTTGCAAAAGTGATGACTGACGTCTGCTGCAGCAACGGCCCGAACATCGGCCACAGACGGAAACCCACTTTCACCCTTCGTTCTGGCCATCGTCAACTCTTCGTGCATTGCGTCAGTCGCCCACTCATCTCTGCAGAATCTCTCCAGACGTATTCAGACACGCTGAAATAGTTCTTCGGTCAATTTGCTATGGACTCCGAGACACCGAGCACTTCAGGAACTAGATTCGGGAGATGGCCGTCGCGTCGCGAACACAACGCGCGAGCAACTCACGACGCGACGCCCCAGACATGGAACATCCTCGCTGCCCTCTGCCGCCGAAAAGTGAATCATGAGAGTCTCGGATTCTGAAGGCCAAAATGTCAGCATATGCATTCAACGAAGCATGCGTTGACGAGAAGTTTGGACGAGTAGTCGGCAGAGCTCATGAGCTGCAGGTTCGCTAGGATCGAGCAAAGAAATGGCTAATGCAGACACCAAACCTACAGCATCGGATCACCGGGCATGTGGCATTTGTGGTAGGTCCGCAAGCGAGGATGTGGGTATTTGAAACTTGAACATGGCGGGTATTTCTAACATCTCTTCCTCAATTTCAACCTTCGATCTTCAATTCTTTATATCATCATGGCAGATACAGACAGCAAGAAGGTCATCATTATTGGTGCCGGCACCACAGGATTGGCTTTGGCACAGGGCTTGAAGAAGGCTGCTGTCCCATTCGCAATATACGAGCGTGCGCCTTCTTCAGCAAGCAAACGAAACTGGTGTTTCGGTCTGCACTGGGGAATCGAGCCTTTGGCAAAGCTCGTACCGGAACATCTGCTTCAAAACATCGCCCAATGCCAGGTTGATCCACATATCGAGCTCACCGACGAGCACTTTCGGATGCCTTTGGCAGACGCCAAAACTGGAAAACATATCAAGAATCTCGAGGGTTCCAAATTCTACCGCTTCCGACGTGACAAATTCCGGCACTTGCTTCTGGAGGGTCTCGATGTGCAATATGGCAAAGAGATCTCCGCGATCACTTTTGATGATGACAGCACAAGAGTGACAGCCAGATTTGTCGATGGCTCTCACGATACTGGCAGTCTCGTGGTGGGCTGTGATGGATCCCGCTCGGCTGTACGCACTTTGTTGCTGGGTTCCGAGAAAGCAGCTCTCGTGCCTGTCGGCGGCTATGCAACAGCGATGATTTACGCAAATTACAGTCGAGAACATGCGCTCGCATTACGAGCACCGCCATTCCATCCTCTGTATCAAGTTGGACTGCATCCCGATGGCTACTTGTGCTGGTTTTCTTTACACGATGGAGGCGACAAAGACCATCCTGAGAACTGGAAATTCTTCCAATACATTTCATACGAAGCGCCACCCGGTCATGCAGATTGGTCGAAGCAGCAGCTCGTTGCCTATCAGAAACAACTCGCACAGAAATTTGGCGAGCCTTGGAAAAGTGCCTATGAGTGGATATCTGACGATGAGACTGAAGTCTGGAATACTGAAATACGAGACTGGGATCCCCGCAAACCTGAAAACGAATGGGATAATCACAGTGGACGGGTGACGCTTGCAGGTGATAGCGCTCATCCGATGAGCTTTCAACGAGGTCAGGGCTTAAATAATGCTGTGCAAGATGCCTATGAGCTTTTCACAGCAATACGGAGTTTCACTAATGGAGGCGGAGCGCAAGCTGCTGCGATCGACGCGTATGAAGCCGAGATGAAAGCTCGCGGAGGCAAAGAAGTTCAGATGAGCCGCGAAAACACCATTATGATGCATTCGAAGTCGCAGAAAGACAGTCACCTTGTGAAACAAGGTATGAAGAAGCAGCGTCCACCTTCGACATAATTGCTGGCCAGGCCGTCACCGAGTCAGTGCCTTTGTGTCCCCACGGGGAAGATACGCCGCATTCTCGGAGTATCTCGTCAGAACTAGATGGCAGTAGTCTCGTCATGCGGGAGTGGTCGTACGGGTCGAAATCTAGACCCAGAGACTTAGGGGAGTTACCACGATTCGATGAGAAGATTGTGCAGAAACCATCAGGGATATACCATCGGCGCCATCCGATCTTCAGTCGAAGCTCTGTTCGCGGTGCTTCGGGCTCCGTAGAACAACCATTGGCTTGGCAAACTACCAAATTCCCGCTGCTTAGGCAGAGATATGGCACAGGACATGTCACTTATCGCCCGGTATTGATCTCCTGAAAGCAGTAAGATACATAACCACCTAGTGTCGAATGTGGTCATGGACTCTCTGCACAAATTGCCAACTCGCCAATTTCTCGCCGTTCCCGAACCCACTCCGCATCAGTCAACAGACAACCAATCGGGAGAGCTCACGATGCAGTCTTTCACCACATTGAAAGTCTTCGCTATCACCTCGTCCCTCCTCAGCGCAACAACCTACGCAACACAACAAAATCCACCCAAACTAGCTTCCTTCCCCGACGAAGCTTTGCTCGTGGACAGAGGCGTAGACTGGGTCAGTACCTTTCTCAATCCCCATTGAGCAAACCCCAATCAGCTGACTTTTTAATTCTTTCTCAGCTCTGCAACCCAGACACTCAAGGATGTGGCCGTGGAGAATGGGACACTCACTATTGTAATCCGGTACGATGTCAAATCTGGCAGTATCAATAATACGATTTGGAACTCAACTGACCTCTTTTGAAAAGAACAAATGTACCGGTTGGCATGGTTGTATTCCATATACCGCCGAGGGTGATCATAAGTATGCGTGGTGTAGCTGAGATGGGGGAGTCCATTCAGATCAGATCAGATCAGTAGCAAAAATGAAAATGGCCTGCCTCATCGCCACAGTGAAATATCGAAAAGCGTTGTTTTGGTAATTCGTGTGAAGCGGCTCTGCTTCTACGGAGTCCTGCAATTGCGCCTTCGCCGACCGAGTACTCGATCGTCTCATGGCAGGCAGCTTGAGAGATGGTCTAATGTTTGCACGACAGCTAAGTTGTGTTCTGGAGGATCGAGCGCGGCAGGCCAGCATTGTGGGAAACGGTGACAGTGAAGCAGCGAATTGAAGAAGAGGACAAACATGATGATGATCATCAGACCACTATAAGAGTCAGCCAGCAAACGCTATACTCCAGAAACATGTCTCTCCACGCTCCTGTGGACATAGGAGGTACCAGGATCTCGGACTCCGTAACCGCAAATATCCGAAACCTCAAATCCAACGCCATGATGTGGCTTCCCTACCCAAATTTTGATGAAGGTGCAATCTGAGTCCCATCGACCTGTATTCGCAGCGTGCACCAACCTCAGTCTTCCTCGTTCTCGTCTCGTCGCAGACCAGAATCGTGTTTCGTTGTTATCTCTGCAGCCTCACCGCATCTCACGAGAGCCACAGAATTTCTCAGCCACATCCATCCGGGAACTTCATTCCCACCATGCAAACGGCCCAAATAAACTTTCCCCAGTATCCAGAGAATAGAACGACACATGCATGCATGGGTACGCACAAGAGTCATCCTCCCCTTCATCCGAATAATATTCGTCCCAAACGCCAAGCCTCTGCACACGTTCCTAGGTTACAATCATCCCCAAATCGAGGCAACCTAGGCTTTACGCATCTCTCGTGCTCGTTGTCGCATTTGTGTTCAGCCTCACACATGCGTTGCGTCACATGCAAGCATATGCAAAGCCGCCAGGCATGTGACAGGGTACCCACGTACCAGTAACTCGGGGAATCGCATTTCTGTTAATGGTCAGTGGAAAGATAGCGGGTTTTGTTCCGACTTTCAACGGCCTTCCGGGGCTCTTGGGGGGATTGCGGCTCAGTCTCAGCAGCAGCATGTTTCGCGTTTGATGATGATGACTGTTATGAGGCTTTGCCTCGTCGTGTTCGGGTAAAGATGTAGTGTCAGTGATAAGGCTGGAAGTAGGCGCCTCAGTCGCTGGACATATTATTTGATCTTTCTTTTTGCTTACTTCGTTGTGTTGGCCGATCGCTCTTGGATTTTGGGATTGCAATTGTCTCCTGCGATATGAGTTCTCTCTACAAGCCGATCAAGGCTTTCACGCCGTCGCCCATATTCCGATCTGTGCGACCTCAGTTCCACGCACCTTGTCAACGCATTGCAGGTCAGCGTCGAAGCATAACAATCAAACAACTCGAAGCATCCCGAAACGATCGCGAACGAGTTGTGATTCTCGGATCTGGCTGGGCGGGATACAACTTGGCCAGGAGTCTCGATCCTAAGAAGTTCCAGACTGTCGTCGTCTCACCTCGTTCCTATTTCGTATTCACACCTTTGCTCGCCTCCACCAGTGTCGGGACACTCGAGTTCCGTACAGCACTGGAACCAGTGCGTACCCGGAACAGCAAGTACGAATACATCCAAGGCCGAGCAGATGGTATTGATCCAGGCAAGAAGCAGATCCTCGTGCGAGAGACTGTGCGATGTCCGAACCAAGGTCTTCTATCTACAAGAGCGGGTGAGATCGAGGATAAACGGCCTTTGCAGTTGAAGTTAGAGGCCAGTCGTGGAGAGCTGTTTTCGATGGCTTATGATAAGCTCGTCATCGGTGTTGGATCGTACAGCCAGACCTTTGGGATACCAGGCGTCAAAGACAATGCATATTTCTTGAAAGATGTGCAGGACGCGAAGAAGATTAGAGATAAGCTGCTCTCCTGCTTCGAGACTGCTGCGTTGCCCACCACTCCAGTGGCTCTCAAGAAGCAGCTGCTCAACTTTGCCATTGTTGGTCAGTCGAGAACGTTAGGAATCAAATCAATGCAGCGAGTGCTAACTTGCCTTGCAGGCGGAGGACCGACTGGGATTGAGTTCTCAGGAGAGCTGCAGGATATTGTCAGAGAAGACATGTCGAAGCTCTATCCCCAACTGATGGAACACGTGAAGATTACCGTCTACGATGTCGCTGATAAGATCCTTCCCATGTTTGATGAGAAGCTGAGCAAGTACGCGCAAGAAAATGCAGGCCGGGAAGGAGTGACGATCAAGACCAGCCATTCGATCACAGAGCTCAAACGCGGCTTCCCGCGAACCGCTGGAGCAGGAACAGCCGACTACCACGATGATGTCAAGGCCAGTGGGTTCACTTTGGCGCTCAAGAACGGCGAAGAGTCCGAAGTGGGATGTGGGCTCGTGGTATGGAGCACAGGGCTCATGGCGAACCCGTTCGTGGAAAAGGCATTGAGCTCGTCCTTCGTTGCGCCTGCCAGCTGTGTGCGCATGCTGTCTGATATCAACGCCAGTCCGCGATCCAGCGATGCCAATTGGAAGGTGCAACGGCACCCACGCAGCGGCAGCATCATCACCGATGACTTTTGCAGAGTGCAGCTATCAGCGGCAGACTCGGAACAGGGCAAGCCTGCGGCAGTGCTACGCGATGTGTACGCTCTGGGCGATTGCGCAGTGATTGAAGGCACCTCGTACCCCGCGACTGCCCAGGTTGCGACGCAGAAGGCAAAGTGGCTCGCGAAGAAGCTCAACAAGGGTGATATTAATACCCGGGGCTTTTCCTTTGTAAGTGCAAGAGGTAGACGAGGGCGATCCGTTGTGCTGGAGACTGACGGTGGAGCAGCAAAGTCAAGGCATCATGGCCTACGTGGGCGCGTATCGTGCCATTGTCCAGTTGAACAAACCGCAGGGCAAGATCTCTGGCAGAGCGGCGTGGATCATGTGGAGGGGCGCGTATTTGACCAGAGCGATATCCTGGCGCAACCGCGTGCTGATTCCCATGTTTTGGCTGCTGAACTGGTATGCATGGCCAAGATGCTCGGAGTATTTGGAAGAGGTGCAGCTAACAGCTTCATGCAGGGCATTTGGAAGGGACATCTCCAGGTTTTAGTGTCCGAGTGCGTGCGCGCATGGCCTTGGAGTTGGCAGAAAGTTGCGAATTCATACCCCAGAGTGCAATATGAAGTGGTGAACTATTGGCAAAACTATCGAGCCCACCAACGCTCGGCTGCCGGGCTTCAAACGGTCGCTTATCTCGGCGGGATGACGCTTCGATAGTGAATTTTTGCGTTTTCATCCATGTCGAGGCTACTTGCGCACGAGAGAGAAGGTGTACTGCAGACGTCAGCACTTAGATGAGGAGTGTCGTGAGGACATACATAATTAAAGACTGTCGCAGAGCTACGCGATCTCTACTATCGTCAGTTCGTCAGCATGATGGCAAGCGCAATAACCAGCGATAGATAGTGGTGCAGGGCGTGGAGTCCATCTGTCGACCACGTTCATCAACTAGTTAGTTGCTAGCTTGTGGCATGGAGATTTAGTTTTTAGAGTTCCACAGTCGATCATGCGGACGCTCGCTGCAGGGCCACACTCAACTGAGGAGCCGTGGGCTGACCGTGCAGCACGCTTGCCATGTCGCCTGGCTCTCGCGCAATGTCGCTGCCATCGTGGGCGCGGTGTTGGTGGTGGCAAGGTGTGGTAAAAGCTCTCCATGAAGCACCTCGGCGTCTGTAAGCAGCCCGTACAGCTGGCCGGTCATGGTCACGATGTGTGCAGGGCAGGAGAAGCGCTGGAGATCATCGTCGCCCATGCCGACGCCGCATGCAGTCTAGCACCGCACAAGCACTGCTCGCTAGCGGCGCATTCGACGAGACACTAGTACCTGAACGAAGCGTCGCGCGCGCGCCCAGGGCCGTATGCTGCCCAGTCTTCTTCAAGGGCATCTGCTCCTCATACGCCGCCGCCGCCAGCAGCTCCCTCACTTACTCCTCCCTCTCTCTCCAGCGACACCGGCCGTGAGCAGCGCACAGCAGCAGCAGCAACAGCATCGCTCCGTCGCCACTGCGTCTGTCGGGACCGGTCGTGCGCGCGTCTGTACCCTGGCGTGTTTCAGCGCAAAACGCAGCACCGATCCAACCAAGCGGCCCCCGCGACCAAGGCCTCCGAAACGCCCCCATTGTGTCTGCACTCGCCCGGCCTGTCCATTGAGTNTCGTCTCACTGCCGCCGTCCGTCCGCCGCGCCCGCGCCCCATTGAGCGACACCACCGCCCGACGCCGAATAGGATTCCGCCCATGGTCTTTGGTCGCATTCCAGCGTCGTCTTTGTTCAACTCGACCGCGAAATTGCGGCACTCCCGCGTCGAGCAGGACGACAGCGGCCCTCGCCCCTCGACCACCAGCACCTCCACCATGGCCGTCTCCATGCTCAACACCCCTTCGCGCGGCTCGACTTCCTCTCAAGGCTCCTCCTTCGTCCCCGTCACGCGCCAGAACACCATGAGCTCGCAAGAGGGCTCGCGCAGCATGCGCGCCTCCAAGCGCTATTCAGTCACCGCGTTGTACCTGTCAATGAATGGTCAAAGAGATCTGGAAATTGAAGACGACCTGGCAAGAGGTACGCAACATGTGGACACCCTGCAGGTTTCGGCACGACCAGACTGACATGACCCGCAGCTCAAAAGGCCCTACGGGAACTCAAGGGCAAGATCTCCTCGCAGTCCAAGAAGAACTTTGTTCTGGAAAAGGATGTGCGCTATCTGGATTCACGAATCGCATTGCTCGTGCAGAACCGCATGGCAATGGAAGAGGTATGGCATTAGAGTGGAGAGCGACTTGCGCCACTTGCTAACAGCAGAGCAGAAAGAAGAGGTTGCCAGCCATCTGGACGACTCCCTTGACCTCAGCGAAGGCTCCTTTCCAAATGACGAAAAGACGCAGAAATATGGCAACCTGCTGTTCTTGCTTCAGAGCGAGCCGCGCCACATTGCTCACCTGTGTCGTCTGGTCACCATGGCCGAGATTGACCAACTGTTGCAGACGGTCATGTTCACAATCTACGGAAACCAGTACGAGAGCCGCGAAGAGCACCTCCTACTGACCATGTTTCAGGTGAGTGAAGCCAGCACAACTTTCGACAAACAGCTAACGAGTCGCAGTCTGTTCTGACCTTCCAATTCGATAACACACCCGATTACTCATCCTTGCTGCGAGCCAACACTCCGGTATCCCGAATGATGACTACGTACACACGGAGAGGGCCCGGACAGAGCTACTTGAAGACTGTGCTCGCGGAGCGGATAAACTCCTTGATCGAGATCAAGGATCTAGACTTAGAGATCAACCCTCTCAAGGTCTATGAGAGCATGCTGGGCAAGATTGAAGCCGATGGTGGCCAGCTGCCAAAGGACCTCCCCAAAGGTATCACAGCAGAGCAGGCCGCGGAGAACGAGAATGTGCAGAGGATCATTACGCCTCGGATAGAGATGCTCATCGAAATTGCCAACAGCTTCCTGGACACTATCATCGACGGGCTGGAGGAGACGCCGTACGGTATTCGGTGGATATGCAAGCAAATTCGCAGCTTGACTCGAAGAAAGTACCCAGATGCTTCAGAGCAGACGATCTGTACTCTCATCGGTGGCTTCTTCTTTCTGCGGTTCATCAACCCGGCCATTGTAACTCCAAGATCATACATGCTCATTGAGCAGACACCAGCGGAGAACCCCAAGCGAACGCTCACATACGTCGCGAAGATGCTGCAAAACTTGGCGAACAAGCCGAGCTACGCAAAGGAGCCATATATGCAGAGGCTGCAGCCTTTTATTCAAGGCAACAAGGAGCGCATCAATAAGTTCATGATGGATCTGTGTGAGGTTCAGGACTTCTACGAGACACTCGAGATGGACAATTACGTCGCGCTTTCCAAGAAAGACCTTGAGTTGTCAATCACGCTGAACGAGGTGTACGCCATGCACGCACTGATTGAGAAGCATCAAACCGAGCTCGCCAAGGAAGAGACGAGCCATCTGAATCAGCTCCTTGCTGAGATCGGGCCAGCGCCCGCGCAACTCCCCAGGAAGGACAATCGCGCGATCAACTTGCCACTCTACAGCAAATGGGAAACCTCATTAGATGACTTCACTGCAGCCCTGGACATCACACAAGAAGAGGTCTACTTCATGGAAGCCAAGTCGACCTTTGTCCTCATTCTTCGTTCGCTTCCTCACAATTCAGTTGTCTTGCGACGACCTCTCCGATTGGACCGTGTGGCCGAAGCAGCAGCAACAACGAAGAACGATTCAGTCATGGTCCGGAAAGGAATTCGAGCAATGGAACTCCTAAACCAGCTAACAGAACTTGGCATTGTCGACAAAGATGACAGTTATGCGCTGCTTCGCGACGAGATTGAGCAAGAGCTGATTCACCTGGGTTCGCTGAAGGAGAAGGTCGAGGCCGAGACCGAAAAACTGGGAGAGGTCTTCCGCACTATCCGCGATCACAACGCATACCTCGTCAGTCAACTAGAGACATACAAGAGCTACTTGCACAATGTCCGCGGTCAATCCGAAGGCACATCGAAACGTGGCCAGACAGCCAAGGTACTCGGCCCATACAAATTCACACACCAGGAGCTGGAGAAGCAGGGCGTCATCCAGAAGAGCAACGTTCCAGAAAACCGAAGAGCCAACATCTATTTCAACATTACAAGTCCGACCCCGGGAACGTTCGTAATCAGCCTACACTACAAAGGGCGCAACCGTGGCCTGCTCGAGCTGGACTTGAAGCTGGACGACCTGCTAGAAATGCAAAAGGAGCAGCAAGAAGACCTGGATCTCGAATATGTTCAGTTCAACGTCACCAAAGTGCTACAGCTTCTGAACCGCCGATTCGCCCGGAAGCGCAACTGAGCACGCCGCTTATCATGAAATGAGAAATACGACCAATTTTCATATTTCCTTCACAAAAGCGAGCAACCATTTGGGAAAGAGGATATATCTATTGTACGATAATACTGGGGGAGCGAACTTACGACCTGGAAGAGTCCTCTCGGTACAACAGCACAGCGCATACGGCGCAAGGGAAACATTGGCGGGAAAGCGAACGACGAATATGGGTTGCGCGTGTGTGATATTTTTCATGTTTATTCTTTGTGATACCCGAGGAAGATGGTGAAAGAGTACGAGGTCTGGGAGATCAAAGGGGAAGGCAGGCATATTGTATGAGTACTACTAGTATTTAGGAGTGGAGATCTTTGGAAGACACGGCATGACAGTACTAGCTGTAGATGTTACAGGCATCATCGGAGAAATGGTATTGTCATTTTCGTTGCTGTTGCTGAAGTTTGAGGACAGGCTGTAGCGTGTGCTATACTTGCAATCTGCAGGCGTTCCACAACACCTATGCAGCAAGCAGCTGCACCTTATTGCCTCACCTTTCCTATCGGGCTCGCGCGGTCGCGGTCTTGCGTTTATCGGAAGCCAATCAGTCGAGCGATAATAGCCAGTAGTTTCAATGTTCGTATCGAATCAATGATTGCACTTGTCGTCGTCATTTTGATCACATGTCCATCTTGCAGGCAGGCAGGCAGTACGCTGAAAGGGCCACCGCTGTTAGCGCTGAAGCCTATTGCGTGCGAACTTCGAAGGCTATCGTGCGTGGGAGGGAGGAGTCATGGGAGCTTGCAGGGAGCTGGGAGCTTCTCTGCCTGGGACTGGGATGATCGTGCTACGCAGCGCAGCTACGAACGGCCGTTTGGAGCCGAGGACGCCCGTCCGTTTCTCAGCCATTTGGACTATCGTAACAGGTCACCGCTCTCCTACTTACATACTCCTACGTACTAGTTTCTCTCTCTGTGTGTATACCTACTGAGGCTTCTTCTATTCTGTTATTATTGTACACAAGAGAAGAAGAGGAGAGCCATGTCCTCCTCCATGCCCATCCCCAAACGCAAACTCCCGCGCTCCGTCATACCCTCGAGCTCCTCCCCATCTGGCTCTCTGAGCAGCAGCAGCGGATCTTCTTCAGCATACTATTCTCCGCCTACGAATTCGAGTTCATGGAAAGGGAAGAGTAAAGTTCCAATTTCAGGTTCTCCGGCTACGACTTCGCCGCAACCCGAGAGCTGGCTCCTCTCTCCTCGACGACCGAGTCTCTTGGGAAGCTCATTGAGTAAAAGCGAGTATACGGTGATTAATCTGGGACATGATGAGGGTTTGAGACTTGTGAGTTGTGTGAAGAGTAGTCAGGGGTGGGATTGGAATCAAGGTGAGTGAAGATCAGAGGGATAGGTAGAGAGATAAGAGGGAGAGGGAGAGGGAGGCTAGGGATTTAGTGGGATTGTGGACCAGCAACATCGATGCCAAAGAAGAGTCAAGCGATAATGAGGCTGACTGCTTCTTGCAGAACTCTTCCTCCCCTCATACGCCGCAAACGAGTACGTCGACGAGGACTTGGAACATCGTCCGGATCCTGTCGAGGAGATTGTTTTGACGGATGAGGAGGCTGAGAGGATGATGCCGAGGTGAAGGCAGTCAGGACTGATACAGGACTTGAGATGGAGGAGAACAAGAGATGGGTTTGTTTAAAATTGGAAATGTATAGCGATTGAGCACGGTGCTATCAGGCGAGACTTATAACTGCTACTGTTTGGGGAGGGTTTCGGCGGCGCTGGAATTGGGAATGAGGTTCATTGGTATTGCTTGGAAATGGACTGGATGCGTAAGACGCTCATACAGCTATGGGATTCTGGACTATGGAAGGGCTGTGGCATATACAGGTGTCGGAATTGGAGTAGATAGGCTCATTCATGTGGGTTTGCTTTTGGTAGGAGCGAACACTGCACTCCTTGGGCTGAGCGTGCACAATTCGCACATCGTTGTCTCCTACAGCGACTTTCCCGATACTGTTCTCACACTCGAGTCCATCACGGTGCACAACGTCGCACAGAGCTCAGCCATGTCAGATGGTCGGTGTGACGACCTCCCCGTCGACCCCAGCCACACCCAAGCCCGCGTCATAGTTCACCCGGATAAGGAACGCCGCGGATCAAGACCCTGTTATCGGAGAAACGCGTGCACGACTCGGGTCGCGTCCTCCTCCAAAGCACAAGCTCTGTTTACATACTTTCCCCTCCACCATCCCAGAACTCATACCCGCCAAACCCACCATGGCCAACATCTTCGAATCCAATCTCCCACAAGATGGCCACCGCGCCACAGAATCCGCTCATCGCAAAATCGAACTCCAAAGTCCCGCAGATTTGACCTATCTCATCGCAAACGTGACAAAAGCCGCCCAAGAGAAAATCGATCAACATCTTCCGCCTGATGCTGCTCCGGTGGGAGAAGATGCGATGAGGAAGAGAGTGGAGCAATTAGTAGACGAGTATATTCGGACGACGTTTGATGCTGCGAAGGATAACATTACGATTAATGGAATGGAGACGAGGGAGATTGAAGAGGAATTGAAGAAGGCGAGGGAGGGTGAGGGTGAGTATTGCCCCGATAATGCTTGTTTAAGCAAAGAATATGTTGGAGACAGGCGGAGTGCTGACGTTGGTGTTTGCGACAGAATTGGAACCCTTCGATACGAAACTCGCGCAGAAAATCCAGGAACTTTCGACACATATTGAACATCAGACTTTACAGCTTGCGAATTTAAGGCGGAAGGCTCCGAAGGAAACGGCCGAACATTTTAAGGTTGCTTTTGACAGGCAGACGGAGGACTATGAGAAGAAGTTGGAGGAGGAGAGGATAGCGAAGTTGAAGGCCGCGCAAGAGACGGATGTGAGTGTGGGAGAAGTGAAGAGAGTTGAGGACATTTCAGGAACATGGCAGAGAGGGAATGAAGACCTGGTGAAGTTGAAAGAGGGTATGGATGGGACGGTGGGGAGGTTGGAGAAAGCGCAGAAGGCGATGGAAGTTGTTGGGGAGAAGTAGGATGTTTTGCGGCGCGCAGTTCTGGTTGCGACTTTTTGCACGATGAGGCATGATACCCTGAATAACGGCGTTGGAAAGGTTGCATTTTTCGCACGTAGAGGTGAGCCGGCACGATGGTTGAGCCTGGCGGTTACAAGACGACATTCTGATTCCGGCATCACTTCACTTGAATTTGCAAGTTGCGATTACTCACGCGATGGATTGCCGCTTTCGGCCCTCACTGTCAAATGGCTGCATCAGGACTTCTCCGCCTCAGGGCAGTCCACTCTTCCACTCAACAAACGTACCACGAGTCGATTCATGGAATAGTCGACACACGAAGCGCCTGTACACATCCACGAGAACCTCATTCAAGACACAGCAAGTAACGAGAATGGCTACTCAGGTCACTGACGTTCTGCAACCGCAATTCCTCTCCGTCAAGGCGCTCCAGCAGATCTTCATCATCTGCGACAATGTCGCCGCGGCCTCGCTCGCTCAGAACAGGCGTTGTGGACGACACGATGACTAGACGCTGTTATCGGCTGAAGGACTCTTGGCGACTCTGTGAGTGCTCACCCTATCCTCCCTCAATCCAGGTCGCTGACCTCCTCCCAGTTGCCCTTTGGCTTAGATCAAGTGTCACAATAGCGCGGTGCACTGCTCCTCCGTTGCCAGCCTTCAACTTCGACCCATCACCACTCACGAGCGCACGCGCGGCTGGTCAGGAGACTCTCGACGAGGCGTGCAACAATCAAATGGCTGGAATTTCGGCCTTGGAGCACAAGTCGAGCAGCCTTTCGACCCCAATGCCTCGAGCGAAGACCAGTGGGATGCATACGACCTCACCACCATCAACACTCTTTACATGTGTGCACGGTAAAGTCGATGTCCGGGTGGCATCGAGCCTGTCTGGATGGCAGGTCCGTGAAACATCTTCTCGGAGTGCTATTTGAAGGAAGATGCGATTTTGGTGAGAAACAACCGCATCAGCGAGGGGTGAATGATACTGGTCCTCTTGGAGATGGGTTTGCTGCCATCCCAGATGACTTCAACGCAGCTGAAAAACTTGGATGCCTTGGAATTTGAAGAAAGGATACGATGGAATCGGATCTTGAGACCGGGGATCGGACGTCCTCCTCGAAGCGCAATGGGGACCAGACCGGGCGTACAACACTCTACAGTCAGATGGCTAAGGGTGGAAGGTACGCCCTCACAGTCGCAGCAACATCAATGCACTCACAAGAATCTCATCAACGACCGTGAGACTCAGCATTCGAGCTTGAACGGTCTTTCAATACCAAGCCTACCCACATCCACAATCCACTTTCCCATGATGTTGAAACTCATGCACAACCTTCCCCACAATATCCTCAACCCTCTCTCCCTCCAACCCCAGCACTCCCTTCCCATCTCTCTCCCGAAAAGGTCCCACAGCATTCAACCCCTCATCACACAAAACACTCTTCTCCAAAAGGAACATCCCCGCATCTGGGAACCCCCTCTCAATCCTCCTTTCCGCCTCTCTGACCATATCCTCCACCTCATTATTCCCTCGCTCCCATTCCTGTCTCGTAACGTTTTGCAAAGCTTCCAGACAGGTATGCACACTGGTAATCATACCCGGAACATAAAGATATTGATTCTTAACACTACTCCAATTCTTGAGAATCGCGGCTGCGACTTTTCCATTCCATTGCGTACTACTCGCAGCGAATTCTTCTTCGCCTGTACCGTGCACTGTCACACTCTGCCATTTGAGGTCGAAGCCAATGTTTCCACTCATGATAGCTGCGTCTAGTTGTATGCCTGTCGCTGGAGCGACCCATTCTATTGTGCCTTTATCGCTGAGCTCTTTCAGGTATTGTATGCATTTCCAACGACCTTTGAGAGGTGGTAAGCGGTCGTGGAGGGCGGTGTTCTGGCTGTCTTGGCCGAACTCTGCGGGGACGAAGCGTGACACGCCAGCAGTGATGGCGGCGTCGATGATGGTTCTCTGTGTGTCGAAGGATCCGCCGTGAGAGGTGCTGAAGACGACGTCTGGTTTGAGCTCGTTGAAGATGGCTTTCAGCGATTCGGTCGAGAAGTCGGTGGTGTGGACGGAAGTGCGGGAATTGGGGGATGATGATGATTTCTGATGCACAGCTAAATGAAGCTCATAGTGTGTGCTGGAGGCTTGAGAAAGTCCGGACAGAATCGAAGCTGACAGTCGATTTTCCTGGCATTTGTCAGTGTTGATCGCTACGATCGCAGAAAGCAGTACTCACCCCAAGAACCAGCACTTTGCGTATACTATCGATGTTTGCGTTGGGCGTGGAGCCCATAATGCTATCTGGTAAGGATGCTGTATGTCGAATCGTTCGCCCATTCTGAGAAGGATTCAACTTTTGGTTCGGACGAGCGGAAACTCCTCTTTTTCATTCCGTGGCGCGGGCACCTCGAGAATGTTGTGCAATTGATTTGCTGCAGCAATGTGGCTCTGAACTTCGGACAGCGCGCTCATCAACTTTGCGACGGCCAAGCGCCTTTGTAGAAGAGGCCAGGTTGTCAAAGGTTTTTGATCACTCGACCACGATTCGTCGCGAACACCGCGGATCAGGGGATAGTATCGTCATGATGGTGTTGTTTGGTCCTTGTTACCGGATACCAGCTCTGCAGCGTCTCGGAACGCATACCCGTTGCGCTGGTCGTTCGGGATTGTCTCTGGCTGCTGCGGACCAAACGTGATTTCCATAGGCCACTTCATCATTTCTTGCCACGCCGGAGGAATCAGTTGCTGGAGCGGTGGAATCTGTCTCTCTGCTATCTCGCGCAACCATGGAAGTTGTTTGGCAAGAAGTTTGGTCGTGGCCAATATATGTGCGAGAATCAAAAGCGCCCGCGGCTGTCTGTGTTCAACGAGCTCCGTGAATCGTCGGCCGAGTTGCGAGGGCATCGCAACAAGTCGTTGGCAGTTGAGCAATGCTGGCTCTGTGTCGTTGGCAATGCTCTTGTGTATCCAAGCTAGGTATGCGACGCTGTTCTGGTAGATGGCCTTATCATCCGTCGAGCTGTTGTCATACTCTTCTGCAAAAGTGAGAAGCTCCGTGAAGGGCTTGCCTTGCTCCTGGCTAAAGAGTTGATCAGCTTCTCCTAGATTGGGTCTGCAAGAGATTAGTCTGGAAGTCCTGTTTGCAGGATGACGCCGAGGTGCTGGATACGAACCTGCCGAAAAAGACGCCAAACTCATTCATGGACTGCTCGCCACCTTCCATAGCTGCCCAATTGTCGCAGAGATAATGAGTGTGGCCAGAAAGTCTCGTCCAAAAGGTGTGATCGTAGCCTGGGAGCGTGGGCTCGTACGCGATCTCACCCAAATTGAGGAAGGAGTAGTGCAAGAGAAGCACTGATGCGGTGTACACAGCCTTGGCATTTTCTTTGTTCAGTGTGCTCATAGCTGCGGTGTGGCCATCCAAAGCACGCTGAAGGTACTTTTGGGCATTGATAATCATCTCTCGTCTTACTGCTGTGCCGACACTTGTGGCATTGGGGCTTCTGGCCACGTCCGGGAGCGACTGCCACGATATGTGGAGAGCGGATAAGCTGAACATTGCATCCAAAATCATGCGGTGGGTAAGGCCGAGTTCTGTAGCTTGTTTTTGCCAGAAGTCTTTGTCGGCGGTAAATGTCTCGCAAGTTTCAATGGTCCACTGGCGCATCAGACGAAGCTCAAGGGTGAGCTCATTGGCCATATTGTGGTTGAAGAAGTCATTAGGCGGATTGCCAGGCGCACTGTAAGGCGGGAAAGTTGAGTTGTGTTGTGCTGACTGTTGCCCGTCTGATCGGCGAGGCTGCGGGTCGACATATTCGCAGACCACATTGTGCCTCATGCATGCGATACATTTTGGCTTGCCTTCATCGCACTGTGCCTTTGGTTAGTTCTCACTTCGCGGACGGGAAGTGCAGGTGTTTATGTGTTCGCCACACCTTGACTTTACGCGCTTTGCAGCGCTGACAGCCTGTCCTCGCCTTCTTGTGATTGAGGCGAGGCCTACTCGAGATGTCAGTCGCGAGCGAAAAGAAGACGCGAGTTTGTTGACTGACATCTTGACAGCTGAGGATGCTGCGGGATCCAGAATTGCCTCTTCTCTTTGGTTGTCGGTTTCGTTCTCTATGCACCCGAGTGCGAGGTTTCGCGATGACCGAGATTCCAGCCGGTCTCAGCCAGACTGGTCGACCTTTGGCGCCACGAGAAATGCGGTCGTTTCAGCCGTGGTCGCGAATGCGTTCCGACCGACAGTGTACTCTGGAAACTGTCGTTTGCCTCGTTGATGTCGCTGCCGCGGCTAAAGTCTGTTTGGCTTAATCATCACAATTAATGTCCTGAGGCACACTCCCCAATGCTGCCTGCTCGGCGAGCGAATCCCGCTGCGTTGCTCTCGAACTGACCAGACACCGGTACACGACATCTCGCGACGAAACGCACCATGCTCATCAGGCGATTCACACACGGTGAAAGTGCAGTAACATGGACGAACATCGAACCAAACGGCTGAAGCAGGCCGAGGAGCAGCCGGGCATAGAGGATGAGGATACCGACTTCAAGCTGGCGATGCTAGCTTCTTTACACCCAGATCGAAGCTCGGACGTACATTTGGACTATCTATTGGCATATGGAGGGAGCTACGAGAAGGCGTCTGCCGCACTCGCAGGTTCTTCGGAAGAGCCTACAAAGCGTAAGCGCGTCGCCATAGGATACCAATCTGCCCTCAATTTCGGCGCGAGAGATGGCGGCCTCTCTTCTCCTTCAACAGTGCAAGCGAAGAGCCTGACCAAGAAGGGCCAAACACTTCATCTCTACGCGCCTATGGACATTGAGACCCACACGCCTTGCTCCATCATCCACAATTTTCTCCCAGCTTCCCAGGCCAACGCGTTGCTGCAGGAGCTTCTGGACGAGTCGCCGACTTTCAAAAGAGGATCATTTCAAATCTTTGGGCGCACACTCCAAAACAACTCGACGTTCAAGTTCTACCTTGACTCACCAGAGGCAGTCAGGAACGAGCAGACAAAGGCCTTCTACAGCGATTCAATCTACGAATCTACAGCCCTGGCAGAGACCACGCCCGAGATGCTCAAGGTAGCCCACATCGTCAAGGAAACGGTCAATAAGGAGGTTGAAAGACGAATGCGGGACTATCAACCTGATGGGAAGAAGCTGAAGTTTCAGTCACCTGAGGATTGGGAACCCAATGCCAGTTTTGTGAATTGCTATGATGGCGCGAAGGAAAGTGTTGGCTTTCACTCTGACCAGTTGACATATCTCGGTCCCAGAGCTGTCATCGGGAGCTTGTCTCTGGGTGTTGCTAGGGAATTCCGTGTTCGAAAGATCGTTCCACCTTCCGAAGATGGCTCGACAGCACAGGCGGACGAACAAGGTCAGATCGCCATACACCTTCCGCACAACAGCCTGCTCGTCATGCATGCCGAGATGCAAGAAGAGTGGAAACATTCCATCGCACCTGCGAAGTCTATCGATCCTCATCCGTTAGCTCTGAACAAGCGGCTGAACATCACCTATCGTTGCTATAAGGACTATCTGCACCCCATACACACGCCGAAGTGCAAATGTAATGTTGCAATGGTTTTGAGATGCGTGCAGAAAAGAGCTGCTACCAGAGGACGTTATATGTGGCAGTGCTTTGCCAACTATCAAGCGGATTCGAAGAAGGATTGCGGTATGTTCGTGTGGGCGGACCTGGACGAAGATGGCAAACCACCATGGTTCGATGGGTACAAGGGCAATGCGAATTTACCGCTCATAGCCGGTGACGAGCAACATAGGCCCGAATCAAAAAGCGAGTGAGCATGGATCTGTTTCCACTGCTGGTGCCAAAGCTGAGCGCTACGCTGTTCCTAGATCGCATTCTAGAACGGGAGATGATTTCGGCGTCCGAGTCGAAGACTTATGCCATGCCGAGCCCAGGTACCGGTCCTGCCTGAGGCTCAGCCCTAAACTAGGACTCAACCCCTGCTCTCCGGTAGCCGCATTCTCGGCCACTGGGAAAGCCTCGTGGCAAGCAAGACTTCAGACACCATAATCTTACGGATGTGAATTTGGACTTCGCATCATGCGTTGTGCGGTGAGCGTCAAGTGCCGCCTTCAGCTGACGTTCAAACTTTTCGCGTTTTCGGACAGCACTATAAGCCCGATCAAGGTATACGACGAATCCGAGCGCTCAATCGTCGACACCGCCGCAGCATGGTCTACCATGGCACTCGATACGTAGAAAGCTCAGCCACGGCGTTTCCGTGAAGCTCTACCTGCTGTCCGAAGCATGTGCCGCTGGTGTCGTAACGCGCGCTTGAGCGTGGCTTGTTGTCTGCATTCGTCATTTCACAGGCGCGACCATGTTTTCTGAGACCTGTGTTGAACATCAGCCACGAAAGCTGATGCCGAGCTGTATATCCGACTGATCATGGCTCTGGCAATGGTAGAGACTGAGATATAAAATGGATCGAGCTCCTCTGTTTCACGTTTCCAACTCACTCAAGCAGTAACGACAACAACCTCGTGTACGAACTTCACATTCCTGAGAGGCCAACATCGCAAAACACATATATCCACGACAAGAACCCCACGCGATCTACAATGCACGCCTCTCTAGCTTTCACTCTTGCTCTCGCGGCCTTCGCTGTGGCAGACACGACCGGATGCGGCGATACCGTTGACAATGCCATTGATACTTGCTTGAGTCCTGTAAGACCCTCATCTGCCGAAGAGCAGCGAAAATTTCCTGGCCAAGTGTCCTTGAAGCTAGTCAAATACTGACAATGTCAACTTCTCTTCGCAGGCCGTAGACGCATACAACCGATGCCCAACTTCTGATCGTGGCTGTCGCTGCGGTCGAGCAAACGCTGTCGTTGGCTGCTATGGCGCCTGTACTGTGGCTTCGGGTCGACCGGATTGGGTGAATACTGCTATCGAGGAGTGTCGCGGTATCAACACGTGCGTTCAACATAAAGCTTTGCAGCTTTTTTTATTGTGCAAATTGCTAACTCCTATCATACAGCACTGAGACCAGCTCAACTGAAACCACGGAGGATACCTCCACCACAACTCCGACTGGTCAATCTACTTCCACTGCGACCGCAGCCCCATCTACCACCCCTGACGCCGACGAAAGCTCTGCGACCGTCGTTGGAGTTGCACTTCCCGGATGCCTCGCTGCTTTCTTTGGTTTTTTGGCATTCATGTGAGCAGCAAATTTGTCGATATTGGCTCAAACGATAAGGTCTCTCTGGTTAGTAGCACGGTCGCCGGCGTGCGTTGCAGCAAAGGATGTTACGTCCACGAAACGATAGACAGGAATAGTCTACGTTTGGTGGCACCTTTCAAGTACTAGCGTGAGATACAATCGCAATGTTTACCAAGCTCACGGCTGTTCCCATTCTCCGCCAAAACTGTTCTACATCTCAGACGTGTCAACGAACATAGAATGGCTATGCCATCGGAAGTGAATCGGAACGTGAAGCTCCTCTAAGTGGTTTTTCGCTACATATTCTCATTCTCAGCCACCAACCCGAAACGGCAAAGGAGCGGCTGAGGGGCACAGGCAATCCTTCTGTTTGACAACCATATTTGGTTCGCCTGCAAGGAAGCTTTGCTAACAATACAGACACGGCTGTTCGTTCAAGAGACATGTCTGAAGATGCTCGATCGACGATTTACGAAGCACTGAAGCCTGAAAATGGCGAGTTTCGACTTCTTCGACTGCTGCCAGAATCTTGTGGCGAGCTCCTCCATTGTGAGGTGCAAAGTTTCTCGATCCACGACGAAAGTATCCCAATTTACAACGCTGTATCTTACCAGTGGGGACACGATTCTGCCTCGTATGAAGTACAGCTCAATGGCCAATCCATATTGGTGCGCAAGAATCTGTATCGATTTCTGTTACAAATGAACTCTGAGAATCGGAAAGACTGGTATTTCGTGGATGCACTCTGCACGAATCAAGACGACTATGAAGAGAAAGCGAGCCAGGTCAAGTTGATGGGCCAGATCTATCGAGACGCGGAAGTAGTCATTGCTTGGATTCAGCGAGAACCGTTTCATCCCGTTAGCACTATGAAGTTTGTCTACGATGAAGAACCAGAAAGCGATACAGAAAAGGACGACTCTCTGGAACAACTGAAGTTACTGGTGCTGCATTCTACTTATTGGTCAAGGCTATGGATTGTGCAAGAGGTCCTGCTTGCGAAAAGACTGACTATAAGGATCGGCAAAGCTGAAGTCGAGTGGACAAATCTCTTACCTGAAAGTAATATATTCGAGAAACGCGCCCGGCCCAAGAAGAATGGCAGGATGCTGGTACGCGACCTTAATCGATAGAACACTGTGTGTGCCGGCTGACGATCTGCCCAGACGCAACAAGTCGGTGACGACCCGATGGCAAACGCGGCCATGGCCATCCATTTACTATCCTGGAGACGCTTCGAGAGACATAACCTTCGTGCTGGCCGTCATTTCTCCTTCCACAAGGCAGTCGACTTCTTCGCAATGCAGGTTTGCACCAGGCCGCATGACAAGATCTTTGGTATCCTCGGCATAGCCAACAGCCGAATTCGAGTCGACTACTCCCTGTCTATCATGGAACTCTTCATGATGGTGTTGGCCGACTACTTCCTCTCGTTAGGCTTTCTCACAGATGACTGGAAAACTCTACGACGAAGATGGGATTTCATGGCCGTGCACTACAGCATGAAGCAAGAGCTCAATCTGATCGCACCTTTTCTCGCTTTCGGACTCGATCCCTTTCATCCCGTCGTTTACCTGGTCATACATGAGATAGCGGAGTTCTTCGTACCAGGTTGGGGTGAGGCACTATGTGGAGAAGCTATTGCACTCTGGTGGTGGTCTTGTCGACCTGAAGCGAACATGGCTTCGAGAATTGAAGAATGGATAGCCACTGATGATTCGAAATTCGAGTTCAAGTGGTTTGCGAATATCTGTCTGTCAGGTATCAAGCTTGTTGGTAGCGAGCTGCGGTCGTTTTCGCAAAAGGATAAAGCCACACGTATAGAGCAGAAGCAGTTGAAGGAGAAGAATGCCGAGATGCTTGCGCCTGAACAGAGTGGCGAGTCGAAACGGTATGCTGAATGGGTTGCATTAGCGAAGGAGATTTCGCAAACTGTGTGGGAGCGTTTTCAAGAGTCAGGTGAAGATGTGGAAGGAGATATGGATGATGAGGCATGGACCATGATTGGATGAGGTGTTATTCTCGATGACAATAAATATTGCATCGCAAGTGGTCCTGATCCGCGTTGCCTTTGCCTTGATGTTGAAATGCAGAGCAGCAACTCGAAAGCGCGAGACGGCCCATTGTGGTCTTGGACCCTCGATATGTCAGCCTCAGGCATTACTGCAGAACGCCAAGAGCCACCACGATTATCGCAGGCTCCGCTTTGCACTTTGGCACTTCTTTTGCTTCCCCATCACTCTCAAGGATCGCATTCTTGCGTAGGCAGTGACAAGCAGCGAAGATGCAGATCTTCGTTAAGACCCTCACGGGCAAGACTATCACCCTTGAGGTGGAGGTACGACAGCCCACCGCCGCCCACGAACCGCGCGCCACCGCCAGCGCCGCCGCAAACGCACGAGACTAACATTTCTATCGCAGTCGTCCGACACCATCGACAATGTCAAGAGCAAGATTCAGGACAAGGAGGGAATCCCACCGGACCAGCAGCGCTTGATCTTCGCCGGCAAGCAGCTCGAGGATGGCCGCACTCTCAGCGACTACAACATCCAGAAGGAGTCCACCCTCCACTTGGTCCTCCGCCTGCGTGGTGGTATGGCCAAGAAGCGCAAAAAGAAGGTCTACACCACCCCAAAGAAGATCAAGCACAAGCGCAAGAAGACCAAGTTGGCTGTGCTCAAGTACTACAAGGTCGACGGTGACGGAAAGATCGAGCGCCTGAGGAGAGAGTGCCCAGCCGAGACCGTAAGCATTGCCAATACTCTGGCCATTGGATGCGATATACTGACTCATCTCGCAGTGCGGTGCCGGTATCTTCATGGCTGCAATGCACAACCGCCAGTACTGCGGTCGCTGCCACCTGACCTACGTTTTCGACGACCCAAAGTAAAGTAGAGGAGGAGAAACAAATGCCGAGCGCCTTTGCATCTTTCAGAACTGGAGCGGAGATGGATACCCCAGCGGCAACAGGCTGCAAGAATTTCAGGTAGCTGGCAGAATTGATTCATCCTGTCGAAAACACACATCGTGACTCTTCATCGTGTCAGCAAGCGGCTCGTCGTGAACGTCCAGGCACAGACCATGACTCAGATGCATCGTGAATGCGCACTTGAAGTCATGGCCGTACTCTTCTACAGCTGACTTGAAGCAGAGCATATCTTTTGTCAGACCAACATCTAAAAATCCACAACCTTCGACACAAAAGTCACCACCATGTCTGCGACAGCACAAGTCCTGAACACAATTGAACTGCTCGAAACCATCCTGCTTGATCTTCCCATCGGCGACGCTCTGAAAGCGCAACAAGTCTGCAAACTATGGCAGGCTACCATCGCTGGCTCCATCAAACTTCAACGAGCTCTCTTCCTTCGGCCCATGCTCGCATCTTTCTCTCAACACAGCGACAAGCTAGGACGCAACATCTCCTTCATCTCGCTCTCCACACCCTGCGACCAAGTCCTCTCCGAGACCAACACCTACAAAACCCTCATACCACGCATCCTCGATATCGAGTCTTCCCTCTCCGCGGCACAACAGGACATGAGCTCCATCATCTCACAACTCATCCCACACCGAGCCTTGCAAGAGACTAGCTACTTGCAAAATACGCTTCTCACCCAACCGCCCCTCGACTCTGTCACGTTCTTCAGCAATTACAGGCACAAAACCTGCGCACGGCCTGGAGAAGATAAGATGCAATTTTGCGCGGACAACGACGACGACGACGACGACGACGATGACGACCCGAACCTCGCTTCTGGAGACTTCGAGCCTCTTCAATCTTCGCCAGGCACGGAGTACCTTTGCGGCAAACAGTTTTGCCTCGGTGCCATTAAAGTCCAGCGGGCCGGAGGGGTAACGGTGCACGATTTGCTCAGCGCGATGCGGGTAGAGAGACTACGTTTCGAGGAGGCGAAAGTAAGGGGTGAGGGGCTCAAGATGGCGTTGGTCGGTGGGGCGATTCAGACTTTGCAGACGGTATTGAAGTTTTGGGAAGATATCCACTCAGCACAGGAACATAAAAGGGCGACGGATGGCAATCAGCGAGGAGTGCAAAGATGCGGTGTGATATTTCGGTTCAGCGAGAGACAAAGATGGTCAAGATATACACATCTCGTAGCCCATGCAACTTCTCCGCTCTACAGTAATGTCCAAGGGCTTAGCATACCACCACGGCACCCAGTGCCAGTGTGTCTTCGAGAAGCCGAAAGAAACACACCTTTTCCTCCCGATACGTCCTTTACATATCAAGGAGTTCTTCGGCGAAGTCGTCCAAATAGATGATCTTGAATCGTCCATTCCAGGCTCCCTCCCAATTGCTCTTGACATAAGCTTTACTTATGTTCTTACTCCAAGAGATCAATTCAACAGTCCACCCTTTCTTCAATGCTCTTTCAGCCATAGCCATGAAACCTTGGCTGTACTCTGCCTGCGCGGCATCACCAGTTGCAAGCACCATAGTGCTTGGAACTTCGTAGTCAACAATACTCTCCATCATCTTCAAGTGGAGGATCTCATCGACACCTTGTTCAATCATCTTGGCAGGCGCGTATTGCGGCGCAGTAGACGTTTCCGTGCCACTGCCGCTTCCGCTGCCAATGCCGTTTCCGAGGACTGAGTACACAGGAGGAGATGTGCCCGACTTGATGATTGTAGCACCTGGGTGCACAGCAGGCTTTTTCCCGCTCTTACTATAGCGACGGGCATCCTGCTGTTGGAAGTAGAGCTGACGATCGGTGAGCTCGCGAGCTTTGTACACTTTTTCGAACATGTTCATTTCATAACCGATTGCTTTTGCTTTGTCGAATGCCGGTAGCCATGGATAGGAACCGGCGAGAACACGCTTGGCAACTGGACGTCGACGTTCCATTAACAGAGCGAGGCCGTCGAAAGAAAGATTGGCCTGCGGGAGATGTGCCATTGGATGGATGCCTCTCGTGGACTTTAACATGTCCATGAATCCAATGCATATGTTGGAAGCGTCCACGAAGACGTGGATGCCTTTGGGGTCGTTGTTATGGCTGGCTAGATTCATCGGCGCCACCAAGTGCTTCCGGTCCTGACCGAACTCACTGATTAGCTTCATAAGCAGAGCCCAGTGTCGGTCTTCACCAGATCGGATGATTTTCGGTTCAATGACTGGCTGTGGCCGCGCCTTTTTGGCACTGGCAGGCGCTGTGGGAACGTGCATGCTCATAGCAACAGGAGTAGGATTGATGCCGAGCGTTGCATTATTCTGTGAGGCAAGCTTTGGCTGTACACCAACAGATGCAGGAACCAGGTGAAGTTTGCCTACAGCTTGCGGTTGTTGAATTTGTGTTTTGCGTACTGGTTGAGATTGAGCGACCAGCTGTCTGAAGGTCTGCTTTGGAGTCGAAGGCTGCTGTTGCGGAGGCTTGGTGCTGATAGCAGCCATTGCTGCAGCGACAGCGTTGACAGCTTGGTCCGTGGAGTTGTCCTTTCCGGGCAGTGGAGGCACTTTGGCCGTCTTTGCTTTCTCAGGCACGGGAGTCTTCGCTCGGTTAGGCGCCGCAGGCACCTTCGATACCACTGTAGCGTTCTGACTGCTCCCCGGCTTATTTGTTACCTGCGACGCTGTCTGTTCCTTGTTCTTCTCTTTCATGACATGTGCTGATGCCTTGCGCGCAGGTGTCTTCCTCCCCGCGGTCTCTGCTTCTGATTCAGATATTGCATCAGCTCTGCCGCCATTGAGACGCGCCTGAGCGATCTCTTGCTCCCGCCTCTCTTTTCTACGCATGCGCTTCTTCTGCGTCTTGGTCAAAGGTGTTGCATCAGTGGCCTTTGAACTGATAGCCCAAATATCCTCGCCGTCGGTACCGTCGGTGAATGAAGGGTGCCGCTGGATGGGCTTGGGACGAGACAGTGTGTAGGCTGCGCCATCCGAGGTGTAGTCCAGCTTCCGAGCTGGCTTGATGGATCGTGTTTGGAGATCGATTCGAGGCGATTCGTCCTTGGTTGGCACTGGAGTGCCTAGAAACTGCCAGATCTTGTCGAAGCTTCCCAGACTGACGCCTCCATTGCTCTCGTCAAGCTCGCCATCATTGCTACCTCGCGGGTTACTGTCGCTCTCCTTGTGCGAAATGGCTGCAGTGGAGTCCGCATGGCTCAGTGCCGCATTGTGAAACTCGATAACATCACTCAAATCCCAAAGCGATTTGGTCTCGGTAGTAAGTGTGGACATTAACTGGCAATGGTCGGCGTGCTAAGCGCTGCACGCGGGCGGGTGATGGGTTGGTGGCGGTGGTGGCCTGTCGCACTTGTCGAGGGGCGGTGTTAGTTGAAGGTGACAACAATGTCGAGCGATGGTGCAGATTGATAACAAGCGATGGACCAGGCGCCTCGAGGTGGCGACGAATGTGTCATTGAAGTGTCGCAGCTCTGGCGAAGGTGAGATTCGAGGGCAGTCTGGATGACTGCATTGCACCTGTGTCCGCCACCGAGATCCATGCGCGCGGCAATCGGACCCCACTTCCCGCAGTTCATCCGTCTCCAGGCGACCACGACTCACCTTTGACCTTCACTTCCCCGATCAGGAATCATGAGCCATTCTTCCTTGCAAGCCATGCTTCGATAGCCACATTAGTTCTACGACCCTCCAACAGCCTGTATGGATACGCACAAGCGAAAACGATTTCCCACTCTCCTCCGTATTCCTCTTACCCCACCACGATAGCATGTCTGCCGACTTTTGGGCCGGCTATGTGTCTGGAGCCATAGGTAGCCTGATCGCCAGTCCGATGTCTTGACTTGCAGCTCATGTGCATGCTCAGGAATCCTCATCGGCAATCCTCTCGACATCATCAAGACCAAGCTCCAAGCCGGCTCTGCATCAAAACCTTCAAAGGTCTCCATAGCTCCTGCTCACACACTGCCCACGAACCTCCCTGCGGTCTCTGCTCCAACGCAGCACGCCTTATCACGATGGACCCAATTTGCTCGAGGTGCGGCAGCCCCCATACTCGGATACGGCGCTCTCAATGCTGTCATGTTCATGACGTATAATCGTTCTTTGTCCTACTTCCAGACAGGAAACATCAACACTTTACCGCAGAATTTCGCGAGCCAGCCTGAATGGTGGAAGATCTGGTCGGCTGGTGCCCTCGGTGGTCTTGCTACGTTCTTCGTCTCTACGCCGACCGAGCTCGTGAAATGTCGCGCCCAGGTCTCCAATCCACCTCGCTCTTCGTGGCAGGTAACTCAAGATCTGTGGCGAGCGGCAGGTCTGAGAGGCTTGTACATGGGTGGCGCTATCACCGCTGTACGCGACAGTGTAGGCTATGGCTTTTACTTTTGGTCATACGAATTGAGCAAGCGAGCCATTGCCAACGAAGCCGATACACATACCCAGGAAGCCCTCAAAGTGTTATTGTGTGGCGGTTTGGCTGGTGTTGTTACATGGGCCAGCATTTTCCCACTTGATGTTGTGAAGACGAGAGTGCAGACATGGGACTTGGTGCCCACTAGGAGCAGCACTGGTGCTGAAGCTCCTTTGCTAGGCAATGCAGCAAGACCTTCAAAGGCCATAGTCACAGCTAGACCAGCTACGTGGAGCATAGCCAAATCGCTGTACCACACAGAAGGCGCTTCTGCTTTCTTCCGAGGACTTGGCGTCTGTAGTGCGAGAGCTTTCATCGTGAATGCTGCGCAATGGGCTGTAAGTGGTGGCCGTTTCGTTCTCTAATATTTCTACTGACATCATGATTTCAGGTGTACGAATGGATGATGAGAGTACTGACCGTGGCGTGAACATTGCTCAAAGCAACGATGATGCATTTGGTTCATATCTTCACAGTCTGTGCTCGGCTGGCACGCAAGATTATGACGAACCTGTGCCATCTCGAGCCGCCCTCATAACCCTGCCACAATGAGAACCCGAAACATCAATTCGCCCGCGTGCGCTGTATACCCAATCCTAGCCTACCGCTCAGCCTGAACGCGTGCGAAGACATCCTTCACATCTCGACTAACAGGGACATTTTTCAACAAATCTCCTAGGACTATCAATCTGAGTGCCGTGGACGCGACGTGCTTCGTCATGGAATCAAAGGAGCCTTGGAATCACACCATGATGATACATCCATACTTTCAGATTACACAACTACACAAATAAACATTTCAGCCAGCTGAACCTGGTCTCCCATTATCCATCTTTCAGCTTGACTCCCCAACAGCTAGAGTTTTTCATGCCTCTGACACAATTAGACTGACACTGTTCCCCATTTCTTCTGTCGCTCTTCCGTTTCTACCGTTCGTTCCTGCGTCGCTCTTTTGCTCCTCTCTCGCCAGGCTCTCCTTCGGACGGGGGCGCTCTGTTGTCTTCATTTCAGTCCTTGACGTTCCGTAATGCTCGAAGCATACCTGGAGAGTTCCGTTCTCCAAAGTTTCGAGATCATGATCATTCGAAGGTCGGGTTTCTCCGATAGCGTTGACATGTCCCCTGCTGTGAAAACGGGAACCGCAACCGGTGCAACGCTGCGAGAATGGCCGATCATTTTCCTCGCCCGGGAGAAGGCAGAGCCGGTTATTACAAGTCGCTGGTGAGTAAGATGTGTCCTTTTTATGGCCTCTGGTATTTTGCTAGTCCATTGCTACGCCCCGGTCGACCATCGAATGCGCTATGTAAGTCTGGTTTTGCGAAGGTCCTCTGCTGGCTCAATCTGTAGTAGAAATTTCTGTCAATCGTGCTGTACGGCTTGCAATGCACCGGATGCATGTAGTGAGGCTGTTATTGTTGGCATCGAGCAATGTACCTGGTTCACTGAAGCGTCTTTCGGTCTTCTCAGATCTGGCATCTGAGGCGCTGCGGGACTGCATGAACCGGAAACGCTGATCGTGTGGCCTAATATGATCGCGTAGTCGTGAACGAAGGAGTAAGAAGCGGGCTCCCTCGTGGCGACTTCCTGGCCCTCCTAACAAACTTTACAATGTGATCGACTCCTTCGGGCTCGTTCACCCAGTGCGCGGGCTCGCCTTCTGCAGTTTCGTAATCGTGCCATTCCACATTCATCCCCAGCTTTTCTAGGCTCTGTGCTAACTCTTCGCCATACGTGATATAGACGATCGGGTCATCTCTGGTGTGCGCCAACATGACAGGTGTCTGCACAGATCCTGGCCAGCGGCTGTCAGCGCCTTCGATAGTCTTTGGTCGTGGCAGCCAGGTGTTCAGCCCGATGAAGCCTCCAAGTCTGTGAGGTTGCTTGAGAAGAACGTGGATTCCAACCGCAGCGCCTTGTGATATGCCTGCCAGAATAACATTTTGCCATCCCACTATTGCAGCTTCTATCGAGAGCTGATTGTAGATGATGTCAATAGATTGAGTTGGGTCCTGCTCTATTTCTCCTTCGTGAGGGTCTTGTGTCGTTTGCATGTCGAACCACTGGCTCATGTGGAGGCCATACCGGGCGCAGTGTGTAACTGGTGCCGTTGGAAAGACCCATTTCACGCCAGGCAAAGCTTCTTGAAACGTACGTTCATGAGAGTCTGTACTTTCGAAGAGCTCCTTGGCGAACTCCTTCGCCGTGCTGTCGCGTCCGTGAAGAAAGACGATGGTCTGCGTGTGCGGTCCCAGCGGTTCGAAGATCAAACATTTTCGTGATTCGCCTTTGTCGGAGTCCAAGGTAGTATTTATGCGCCAGAATAAGCCGAGTCTCTTCCACATAGCGTTTATGCAGGTGCGACGCTTGACGTCAATAGAGTTGAAGTATAAGGCAAACTCGTCTCGAATAACTTCAAAGACCTCTTTCAAAGAAATTTCTCTCTGCGTGGGTGCTTGAGCGACCTCCATATTTTCGTGCTTACCTGGAGCGGTCAGCATGGCCGCGCATGAGCGCGATGGCTGTGTTATATGCGATGTGTATTCCGCAGATGAATCAATCTGAGCCGGCCGTCGATTGTCTACTGGTTTAGCATATGCTGCTGGGATGTTGCTGGTCTTCCACGTTGAATGGAACGTTGCGCCTGCGGCTCTGCCCGTGGGGCAATATGAGGCAATCAATCACTTTTATGACTGTGTAATCAAGTGGCGTCATGGTAGAATGGAGACACAGGGAATGTCCTGCGGTGACTGGGGAGAAGTCTACTGCTCCTGCTGTCCGTCATCTGCAGGGAAATATCGCACGGCAGTGGTATGAAACAAAGATGCGGTTTCCCTTCTTGGTTCATATGCACGACAGATGTCAATGGCGAGGAACGCTCGGAGGCGTCGATGACATGAGCAGTATTAGTCGTCGATGGTAAGCAGGTAAACAACGTTGTAACAATGATAGGAGAGACAGGAGAGAGGACTCAACGTGATGTCCGGATGGAGATGTGGGAAGATTACAATCCGGCTATACTTTATTCCGCCCGACTTCCGCCCCCGCGTATGAATGACTTCTGTCACTCTGAAACCATGCCCATTTCTTCCCACATCACCTTTTACCACGATCACTATGGCGTCCATGGCCGACCTGGACAATCACGTGGCCCTATTGCGAAAGCAAATTGCGACCACGGAAGCGCAACTCGCATCGCTGAAGCAGCAGCTTTCGCAGACGGAGGCTCGTGCGTCGCGAACGCGCCTGCTGAACGCTTCGTACCATGGCGGCTTTCCAGCAGAGTGGATTGGCGAGATCTCGTCCGTATTGACCGATGAATTGGTCAATTCGGAGTTGTACACGCCATCCGTGGCATCGGGCGGAAGCGCTGAGGGCATCGCGATGAGCATTCGTCAAGAGGCGGGAATCGAAGGACGCGAATTCGTGACGCCAGAACCTGTCAGCAGCGGTCGCTGGCCGCTTCAGAGCGAAGAGTACAAGAGATATGGACGCCAGATGATCATGCCAGAAGTGGGTCTGCATGGCCAACTGCTGCTGAAGCGCGCAAGGGTGCTCGTGGTTGGGGTTGGAGGCCTGGGCTGTCCAGCAGCTTCGTATCTCGCTGGAGCAGGCGTGGGCACGCTGGGCCTCATGGATGGCGACGTCGTGGAGGTTTCGAATCTCCATCGCCAAATTGCGCACAGCGCCACAAGAGTCGGGATGAGCAAAGTGGACAGCGCATACGATTTCTTGTCAGAGTACGTAGTCGCAAAGCAACACTGTTCGACAGATCTCATTCTGATCTCCTTGGTAGGCTGAACCCTCTCGTCAAGTTCCAGCGACATCACTTCCACCTCACGCCGGAAAAGGCGATCCATATCTTCTCACAGTACGATCTCGTGCTCGACTGTACAGATCACCCTACGTCGCGCTACCTCATCTCAGATGCATGTGTCTTGACAGGCCGACCGCTCGTCTCTGCATCAGCTTTGAAGACGGAAGGTCAGCTCATCGTTCTCAACAACCCACCAAGACCACCTGGAGATCCGGCGGGTGGGCCATGCTACCGATGCGTCTTTCCCAAGCCTCCACCAGCAGATTCTGTACTCTCTTGTGGTGAAGGGGGCGTGCTGGGTCCAGTGGTTGGAGTGATGGGCGTTTTGCAGGCACTTGAGGCAATCAAAGTCTTGACTACAAAACCCAAGGTGTCACATCAAGCAGGCAGTCCAATCGACCTTGCTGCGCTGATGTCGCTCCCGCCATCGCCTTCATTACAGCCACAGGAAGAACCTCCGCGTCCCACGCTGACAATCTTCTCCGCATATTCCACGCCACAATTTCGAAGTGTACGAATGCGAACTCGAAGAGCCGACTGCGCATGCTGTTCTGCGCAGGCCATTGTGACACGAGATAGCCTAAACTCGGCCTCGTTGGATTATGCAGCTTTCTGCGGCCTGAATAGTCCAATCAACGTCCTGCCACCGGAGTCGAGGATATCTGCATCCGAATTTGCTCGCCTGCCACGAGATGGAAGTAATGCACTGATCGACGTACGCGACGAGACACAATACCAGATGTGCGCGCTGCGAGGTAGTCTCAACGTCCCCTGGAAAGGAAGTGCTCAAGGCTGGCTTGAGAAAGCTTTCCAGACCGGGGCGCTTCCTGGTCCCGGTGGCGGCAGTGATTACTACGTTGTCTGTCGCTACGGTAACGACTCCCAGCTAGCAGTGAAAGCGATACGCGACTTGCTGCAACATGCTGGCACGGAGTCCAGGATCAACGTCAAAGACATCAAAGGCGGGTTCCGCGCCTGGAAGGAAGAAGTCGACCGAGAGTGGCCAGAGTACTGAGAGTCCCTGCCGCTCAATCATTGGCGTTCATCCCATATTCTACATCGAAAACATTGCCCTCGTTGAAGAAGTCCACAAGAAGAAAGTTTGGTCGTCTTCCGTATTGACTCCGGCATCTGGCAGCGTGTTCGCCCAGCTCTCCGACATGGAACCCGGCGCCATTCGTTGTATTGGCGTATGTGGCATTTGGATATCGGAAGCCGAGAAACTGCGCGTATAAGAAGTGATTGACTAGGCTCAGCGTACGTGGCACGTAATGCTGTCCAAACCAAGGTCGCGATGCATCGCAGTCATAGTCCCAGGGACTGTCGTTGATAAAGCTCGTCTCGAAGAGATAGTTGAACTCCAGCAGAAGGAATGGCACGGCATCTTCATCTGCGCCTCTGGAGAGAAAGGTGATCAGTCTCTTATTCGTGGCCACGAGCTCTGCAATCGTCGGCCAGTCTTCGATATACATTCTCCTGTCTCGCTTTTCGGGCGGAGGGATATATGACATGACATCCAGACCAGTGTCGAAATAAGCTTGAGCCCAGTGCTCAAGTGGCGGGCCTGTATTTACGAAGAGCAGAGTCACGACCTCGAGCGGGTTTTCGTCGAGAAATTGTCTCACTGTACGCAAGTGCTCATGGAGACTTCCGCCATCCAAGAGGGCGCAGTTGAAGTGGCAGAGACGGATCTCATTCGAGCCATTGGGATCCACATGGCCTTGAGCTTGAATGAGGCGGACACCAGAATTTAGCTGCGTGGAGACATTGAAGTACTGATTGCCAGACAATGACCAGTTGTTCTCTTTTCTACGTATCGCGGCTGCATCATGCGTCCCGATGAATGTCTGCTCGGAATACCGCTTGTGGAAGAGTGAAGGCACGGCTCGCCGATGGCCTGGTCGTTTTGGATGCGGTTCATCTACCACAAGACCAGCGGGCGGAGCGTTCAGCGGTTGCTGGCGCTGCCAATGACATTGCGACAGCAAGATGAATACCAGAAGCGTCGCAAGCAAGGGTGGTAGGTATATCATGACTTCAACAGCCTGTAGTTGAGAAGCACATTGCTGTCGTCCATGCAAGCTCTCGGTCGTGATCCTTGCTTGCCGAGCCCGGCGAGTGACGGGATCTGCGCTCGACGCCTGCCGGCGCAATTCAGTCCGAGGGACTTGCTCTCACCTCCTCTTTCTGCAACCACACTCGCATGAGATCAAGGTTGCTGCGTTGTTTCCCCACGGGCAGCATGTGTCCCTCAATGCGGAGCGGAATGTCGCACTGTGGACCCTTGGAGCATTGCTGCAGCTGATCAGCGGCGTAGGAGATGTATTAGGTATGTAACAGGGCGTATTTCTGCTTCTTCTTTCATGTGCTTCTTCTTCACTCGTTGCACTAAATTACAGCTCTACGGGACCTGCCAGCCATGGGACGCAAAGATTCGTTTTACACTTTTGGTATAGCCATCTTCGCAGCAATCGGGACGTTCTTCTTCGGCTTCGATACTGGTATCGCCACGACGACAATTGCCCATCAGTCATGGATTGAATACATGGGCCATCCATCGAATGGTATGACTGGAGCAGTTGTCGCTGTCTACATCGCTGGAGAGGCTGTGGGAGCCTTCATGCAAACCTTTCTCGGTGACAGACTGGGCAGGATCCGGTTCATGCAATTGATGTGCATAATCGTCACGATAGGAGTCGTCATCCAGACAGCTGCTGTCAATATGGGAATGTTCTTAGCTGGCCGAGCCCTGGCCGGAATAGCTGTGGGTGGCATGGTGGGCACAGTGCCCATCTACCTCAGCGAAATATCAGCTCCGCACCATCGAGGACTCATCGGAGGAATTTCTGGCTGCGGTATTTCCTTTGGCACCATGACCAGCAACTGGGTGGGATTTGCTTGTAGCTATGCGCCTTATGGAGCCATGCAATGGAGACTCCCGCTGGGTATACAGATTCCTTGGGGCATCATTCTCTTCTTTGGCCTTGCGACCTTCATGCCAGACTCTCCTCGACAGCTGATCCGAACTGGCAAAACCGACAAGGCACGAAGCGAGTTCGTCAAGATTCGGAGAGACCTCGACCTCGATGAAGCGCAAGAAGAGTTCGCTCTCATGCGGGCCCAGATCGAATTCGAGATGGAGCGGGAGCTCACCGACTACAAACAAATCTTCAAGCTCTTCCGACATCGCGCTCTGGTGTCCATTGCTGTGCAGACAATGACTTCATTGACTGGAGTCAATGTGATCCAGTACTACCAGACTATCCTTTACCGATCTTTGGGAATCGAAGCTCATACTATCCTGGCATTGGCTGGAGTGTATGGGACCTGCGCCTTCCTCTCGAACGTGCTGACCACGAAGTATTTGACTGATCAGTGGGGACGTCGAAAAATGATACTGGCTGGTCTGTCTGGTATCATCGTCATCGAGATCTATGCAGCAGTTATGCAACGACAGTTCCAGAACACAGATAACAGAGTCGGAAAAGGTTTCGCGGTGCTTGGTATTTACTTGTTCGTGGTCTGGTACTATGGCATGCTGAACTCCACCACATGGCTCTACGGCGCGGAAGTATTACCGATGGCGCTGCGAAGCAAAGTCATGGGCCTGGCAGCTGCTTCACATTTCATAGTCAATGTTGGAGGTGAGTCCGGGCCAGCGACATCGCAAACTACGTACTGACAATGATCGCAGTCACGGAAGCTGGTCCCAGCGCGTTCGCGAATATACATGAGAACTACTACTATGTCTTCGTGGCATGTACTCTGTTCTTCTTGATCATCGCCTATTTCTACTTCCCGTACGTGGCCAACAATCCTGCTTCTGGGACTTTACTGATTTGCTTCGCAGTGAAACTCGGCACAAGACGTTGGAAGAAATTGCCGCTGCTTTTGGTGATCGGGTTGTCAGCTTGAGCGACAGCGATTTGATTAGAGATCAAGGTATTTCCAAAGCCGGTAGTGACCACAAGGATATCGAAGTGGGAAAGTAGACCGCAGTGGATGCAGCAGCATCATCGTCAGCAAGGAGACTACTTCGCAGCTAAGGATTTGCGTTGCGCCGGAGACGGTACAGTCAGATATGGCACCGTTTGAATCGAACGGGCCTCGTTCGTATCACAAGGGATGCAAATTGGCCTTGATCACGCGGCTTACCCAGAGCAGGATTACAAGATCGATTGAGAGCTGATGTGTAGCAAGGAGCATCAAGCTTCGTACCGCAGGCTTCAATTCTTCCCAAAGCGCCATGATAGTGTGCTTCTGCGGAATAAGCGCATATGGGTAGATGCTCGCTCCGATCTCGCGCGGCCTCTCGCAACGATCACCATGCCCACAAGAGTGATGAACGGCAAGCTTGCAAATCCCGTAGTGCGGAGAGATCCGTCCATTCGGCTCGGCTGAGCTTCTCGTGAGATGTTGTGTGACAATGTGGTTGCAGTATGGAAGGTGGAGTTGGAAGTGAGGTGCAGGCGCCAAGGCAGCTTCAGCTTGAGCTTCTTCAGATCGCGTCGCGCGTCACTCTCTTCACATCTGCTTTCACGGCTGCACTGCACAACTGCACCTCTGACAGCGGCAGAATTGGCACCGGCCGTGCGCTCCGAGCGTGCAACTTTTGCAAGATGAGTGCGCCCGGAAGCAGGCGATCATCCGCTCGTCGGCCGATGTGAAGCGACGTGTTCCCTGTTTGGTCGCGACGCTGGAAACGCTGCCTGGCAACCCCGTGATGGGCGACTTCAGCGCCGTCGCGCACATTGCTGCAGCGACGACAATGGCCAACGTCGCGATGCCACAGCAATGTCGTCGCGACCAGACCGCGCACGCCGTTTGCACCGTCGACGGCGTGGATCATCGGACTTTTTTGCTTGCGCCATCGTGAAGCGCTCGGGCCCCAGTTTCAAAGGATCGGCAAACGGCGTTCGCATCCACAGATGCGTTACCGGGACGACGTCTGGTGACGCCGCCTATACACAAACCGCCCGAGCGCAGCACCTCTCTTTAATCCTAGAGCAAGACCTGCGACCCAGCCTTCTCCATTAATCACCATCTGGCTAGTTGTTGTACATTGGTACAGGACTAGCATCCACAGCAGAGGGTTCTTTGCAGGCAAAAGAGCTCTCTTCCACACCCCGGGCCTAAGCAGCCCGTCACAACACCTCCGCCTTGCTAGGGATTGGCATCGCGTGAGGACTGAGGAACAACCAACGAGGTTAAACCACGGCGGTGGTTTGCGCTTGCGTACTTGCGGGAGATGTAAGTCACGCCTGCCCTTTTGCGCGCGGCGCGCCCATCTGAAGGATGTCGCTGCCGTTTGCTTCACAGCCTGGCGCTAATGCACGAGATGCAGACCGGATACCAAGTGGCTCATTCACTTGAGCTTCACATACCACCACCAGGAACCAGGACCCCTTCCCCGGATCTCATCTTGCCGACAATCAGCGACAATGCTGCCCGTGACCTCTTCATCAATACAAAAGCGGCGTCAGACCCATCGACGCCAGCAATCGTTAGAGGTGCCCATTCTTGCGACGCCCATGCCCACACACAGGAGGACGAACTCGAGACCCACCAACCACCGGCGGGGCCTCAGCGTCGACCAAGCCCTGAGTGCCATGAGCTCGCCCTCGCAGTTTCGTCCTCTCCTGCCGCAAGACGCCTATCACGGGCTGCCTTCTGGAATACCACTACGGACCCACACCCCACTGGATACTAACACAGCACAATACGCCCTCCAGGAGCAACAACATCAACAGCATTACAACATCAAGCAAGAACCGCAGTCGCATAGTCTGCCACCGCCGCTTTCCGCGCCGCCGCTCGCGCACCCTCAACCTCAATCTCAACCTCAAGATTTTCAATCCCACCTCCATCAACAGCTGAACGGCATGTTTTCTCCCAACACAGCCGCCATCAGCACCGAATCCCAGCAGACTGCCGCGTACCAGAGCCTGCAGAGCCACATGGCGTGGTACGCACAGCAGTTTGGCAATAACTCGCCGAACCCATCCTTCAATGGGCAACAGAGTCAGCCAGTCATCCAAGTGACGCATCCGCTCAATGGTGACATGTCTGCGCCTGTCTACCTGTCGCAACCACAGATGCAAGTCGCGTCGCTCGCACACGGCCAGTCACAGACTGTGCCCAACACGCCGCAGAACCACAGCTGGCCGAGTCCGCCACCTTCGAAGCACCAACGAAGTCAGAGCTATCAACTTGACGTCGCCCCGATGGCCCAACAGCAGGGCCAGCGTCAACAAGTCTACGAACTTGACGGCTCTTTCAGCTTCAATGGCGAAACCGACTACGCAGCGTCATACTCGTCCTCCCTCGCCGACCCGTCGTCGCCTCCACAACAACACAGCACACCTATGCCGACGTTGTACGAAGAGCCATCCGCTGACTTACTCCTCCAAGCTGCCGCTGGAGCTGAACAGGACTTCAATAGCCCTCATTTCATGGTAGGTGGCGGCCACATGTGCCCAGAGCAGGCCGCACTTGACGCAGCAGGTATCGACGCGACCTACATCGACACCGGCATCAGCGAAGAGCAGATCAATTCCTGGCTCGTACACCCTGTTGGCAAAGGCGATCCATACCGATGCAAGTGGGAAGGCTGTGACACAGCCATCAACCGCAAGGAGAACGCCCGTTCGCACGTCCAGAACCACCTTGACGATCGTCGTTTCCGATGCAACCCATGCGGAAAGCGCTTCAACCGACTTCACGACACCAAGCGACACCACTTGACGCACACCAACGAGCGTCCTGCGGTCTGTCCGTGCGGAAAGACATTTGCACGCGCCGATGCGCTCACACGCCACCGCCAGCGCGACATGTGTGAAGGTGTATTGCCTGGATTCGAGAAGATTGACGAGGAGAAGCCTAAGCGCGGGCGTCCGAAGAAGGATCGATCTGGCGAGGGTAACATGTCGAAGAGGTCCAGCAGACCAGATATGGACACACGCGCGAGAAAGGCCGCACTGGCACGCGCGATGGATCAAGCCAACGGAAGCCAATCTGGCAGCTTCAGCTCCGCAGCGAGTGAGCGCAGTATGCCAGATACTCCACCGCAGCAGTCGGAGGCAATGAGCGCTCACGATTTCCTCGACATGGACCATCCGGACTCACAGTTCAATGCGGCCACTGGCTCATGGATTGACACGCCGCCGACATCGCCACCCTCAGCTGCCCACATGCAGCTCTCAAAGCCCAAGCACTTTGAGCTGAGCATCCCTCTGGAGAAGGTCGTATCGCCTGCGAAATTGTCAGCACGTGCATCGCCTTGCCCTACCACCAAGTCACACCATGATTCACACCAAGATTGCTCCAGCCCAGCTGCGCGCAACAATAGCAGTTTCGTGAGCTATTCTTCGCCAGCGGCGTATCACGGCTTTCACGGTGGCTCAAGTCCACTCGATGGTGTCGACATCTTCAACGAGGCTGTCGATTTTGACGTGATGGATTCGCATCCAGATGTTGGCCGCCAGGTCTTCTCGCCACCAGGAGAGTCCTGCAGTGGTTCCAGCGTCTACAACTCGGACTACGACGCCGTGCACGTCACCGCTGCCGTCAAGCCACCCGCCCACATGACCACGATCTCGGAGTACGGAGTCACGAACACGAGTCGCAATCCATTCGATCTGGACGACTCCATCACAAACATGGACGACTCGTACAGCGACATTCGTGACATCCTCGATTCGTGGATCTCGACTACCGGGACGTAAGTGTGGTGTGCATTTTTGACAGATTGACTGCAAGCGTTCCGAGCGATTGACGACCCTGTACGATGCATATGGCGAGCGCACGAACTGTGACGATACCAAAGACTGGACGGGGGAACCTAATTACGACCGTGAACGACACGACACGACTGCATATGGGAGCGAAAATGGACATGAGATGGGCATGGCCAGTGAAAAGCTAAGGCTTTTTGCTGGAATTGGCGTTTTTCGGCGCAAAAAGAGAGGAAATCTTTTGCTTCTTGACACACATCGACTGGACGGCGGAGCGAAAATGTCACAACTTGCATTTCCTGTTGGCGACGACGGGAAAATGCATTTTGGTTTTCGCTTGGCCTGACAAACAATCTTTTGAAATGTTTTTGTGCAAGCGTTCTGCGAGCGGACCTACTGCAATGGAGTTTTATGTGTGCATGATTGAGTGTTCGACGATATCATGAACGTATACGGAGAACACGAGGAACATGTACACTACGATCCATGCGACGGAACGCTACTTGTGATTTTTGGGCGAAGCGGATATATAGCGTCTTTCTTAGGTAGCAGTCCTTGGTTTTTGGTCGGTTTGAGTTGGCTGGTAAGGCTTTGACTCCTGGCTGGGGATTGAGTTGAACTCCTTTTGATGACGAGAATTTTGTCTCCATTCCCTATTCCTATCTTCAGTCTTCAGAACCAGTGAGATTTATGTGAGAGGTGAGGCTTCGCGAGTGTGATGGTAAATAAGTGCGCGGTCTGTCAATGTTGAATGTCTTTGGTGGGCGCACTTGCCTCTGGCTTTTCTCCTTTTATTCTCTATGTCGGTGACGATGGCTTCTGCTATGTCTTTCTTCACGCTCCGTCGACCGATCCCTTCGCTGCTCACGATCACGATCACGATCACGTTCTCGCGACCGACTACGATGTCTCCGACGGTCTCTTTCTTCCCTGTCTCTCGACCGACTTCGGTGTCTCCTGTGATGATGATGATGTCGATGCCGACGCCTACGCTCCTCACTCTTCTCATCATCTTTCGAAGGAGCATCTAGACTAAACCCATCCAGGCTGTCTTTATCAATTTCTCCTCTCCTTTTCTTCCTCTGCTGCTCCCTCTTCAAGTCTTCTAATTCCTTCCTTCTCCTCCTCTCCCACTCCTCTTTATCCCTCTCACTCTGCTTCAACTGCTTCTGAGCACTCTGCATCATGGCGAAAGGATCACTCGAAACAATCCTCTTGGTCTCACGTTCTTTTCTTCGAGAATCTTCGTTGCCCCAGACGTCTTTCCCTTTTAATTCTGCGAGCATGATTTCGTTTCGCGAAGCTGAGGTGTCTGTAGATTGACGAGGTGCATTATCTGTTGCAGCATACCAAGGTTTTTGCATACCATTGTTGTAGCCTGCGGCATTACTGAATTTCATCGTTCCGAGATCTTCTTCACGTTTACGTTTTTTTGCTTTTTCAGCTTCGGCTTCGGCGTTTTTCTGTTTGGAGCGGATTTGTTTCTCGTCGGGAGGTGCGAAGAGTTGGATGTGGCCTGTGTGGTCTTGGAGAGGGGCTTCAGCGGCAGAGGAATCACGAACTGTGGTACTCTTTTGTCCCTGAAGAAGTGTCTCTCTCGCTCGCTCCCCTCTCTCACGATTTTCTATCGCATACCGCATGTCTCGCTCCGTGTCATCTTCTCCACGCCGGCGTTTCCGTTTGCGGTCTCGAGAGACGTACGTCTCATCTTCACCGAAATTCTTTTCTCGGCGTCGGTCGCTACTTTGTTGCTCCTCATCTTCAACAGCAGGTATCTCAGGCACGGCTTCCCCTCGTAGAATTGCTATCCTCCGCGCAGCATCTTCCTCTTGCATGCGCTGCTCAGCAGCTTCTTCTCGGACTTGCGCTTCGGCTTCATCTTTGCGAACGCGCGAGATGTTTGCTGTGTTGTAGACATTCCATGATTTTTTGCCGAGGAGATGGAGAGGCATTATTCTCCGACTGGGTTGGTTGCGACTCGATTCGATCCGATTCAAGGAGGTCTATGCTCGTGATCGGGATGCCGCCGTGTGCGGTGGGACGGGCAGATTGCTGTCATGGAAGGTTGGCTCGGAGGTTTGCTACCCTCTACCAAGGCAGGTGGATTTGGTGGATTGCTATCATGGAAGGTGGTCTGGGCAGATTGTCGTCATGAAAGTTTGTGGATAGGAAACTCTCTTGGCTGATAGATGGCCGTTAGAAGACCAAAGTCAGTCGTGGATAGAGTGTCGTGGCTCATGTCATGTCTGCAGCCAGCGAGGATCGTCAGGTACGGCGTGCTGTTGTGTGAGGTCAATCAGGCTATGACGCCCAAAGTGGGATAGTTGTGGGATGCATATGCTCGGCTGAATTGCTGCTATTCTATGTGCCGAATGATTAGTGACCATTGATTATATGCCTATAAGCTATAGTCTTCTAGACGTCACTCCATCTCCTCGCCGTTCTGATTACATCTTCAGAAGCTTTTTGTCGCGACCATGTCCCTGTACGAGTGCGATGCGGCGAAAATAGCTGCAGACTGGATGCGGCGAACAATGCCCGTGCAAGCTGAGCAGGGAGGCCCAGACCTGCAGACCACAGAGCTCCACACAAGCTTCTGGCGGCATTGATTGCGCCTGTTACAACACCACCATCTTGTCCTCCCTTCATCATGTTCTGGCCGGGGAATCGTCGTTACTAGTCGCGAACGCGCTCCTTGCACCGCAGCACCTCCCTCCACCGGTTCATCAGCGCGACGAGACGCGATCGGTTCACGGCAGCAACATGGTTTGATTCCAAGAAGTTTGTGTGCCACCACCTGCTACATAGAAACACTGTCCGTCTGCTGTCGCCCGCCTTGTCCGCCCGCCTGTCGTTTCATGCCCGTTTCGCTGACTTTCAACGCTCGTTAGACCCTCCACAAACCTCCTCTCGCTTCTCCTAGCTCCTACCATCAGACAACTGCCACATTCCGCGAAACATACCCAACTCTATAGCTTCTGGTACGCTTCGCGCGTCGATCTTGCGCCACAATGCCTGTATATCTGCTACATGGCTTCAAGTGGCCGCGTCCACTCATCCGCATTCACATCATCCTGCAGAACCTCGACGACGCTGCTGCAGAATGGCTCGTCTCGCCTGGAACGACCCAATGCCTGCTCGAGAACTTCGACACCCTCTTCCCCGATCAGATGAAGCACCTCCCCAACTTGCGATTCATTGAGCAATTTGATCCGGAAGACGAATCGTCCACCAACAATGGACCAAGCCAGCCATTCGCATACGTGGCTGATGTCTGCGTGGAAGTCAAGCTGGGGATCAACATCGACGAGTTTCGAGGAAAAGGCGTGACGGGTGATCAATGGCAGGCCTTGATGGAGCTGCGGGACAAGATCGCACCAGAAGAGAGACCAGGCTGGTTCGTGGTTGTTTGCGGAGACGAGGAGCGCTGGGCACCGCCCACGATCAACACGCTGAATCACAGCGTGCGCGCGTCTGAGAATGGCGTGGTGCATAACACTGAGCCGGATACGGAGACTGAGGCGCCAAAGCGGACTTCCGCTGCGGCATCCCCGGCCAACCCATCAGTGCTCGACAATGGGCTGGTGTTGAGCGACAAGAGGAAGAGCAATCCCAAGGTTGAAGAGTCAAGGGGCTTTCGGAAGTTCATTGGCGGGTTTTCCAGGCGCAAGAGGTGAAGTCGCTTTTCCCTGCAGTGATCAAGTCTATGCTGACTAGCAACAGCCACGCAAACTTGCCCACGCGTACGAACAAAGAGGATCCTCTGCCGCAGCCTCCTGCGTCGTCCTCCACCGCCACGGAAACAGCTCCACAACTGCCACCAGTGAGTTCAATACCACGTCTACCACCTTGCCCCAGTGTCATAACGAATGATAACTTAGTTGCTGAGGTTAATGGGAACGCCCGCGCAATAAGTGCCTTCCCACTCAATGAGCCGCTGGTCGAGCTCTCAACGTTACCACCTACTCGCGCTGGCGAAGAAAGCAGCAGATCACGATCTATATCGCCCATCGAAGAAGTTCCATCTACTCCGGGCACAGAATATTCCGATGGCGAACCGGTAACAGGCACCCGTTCGGACACGAGTACGCCGATGGCATTGCAGAAACGCATCTCGGAAGTCCCAAGATTCAAGCCTACGCTCAGCAACCCCATCCCACCTGAGTTCCGGAGAGCCCAAAGCGTGGTAGTCCGTCGTCCTGTGGCCACACGAGCGTCGCTGCCTCCACTCAAAACTCACAAGTCGGACGAGACTTTGCCGGACCATGCCAACGACGATGACCTGTCAGCTCCTGCTCCGTCTGTACTTCCAAAACGAGAAGGTAAACGAGCATTGCAAAAAGCTCCAGCCGATCCCTCAGCTGGCCGCCATTCTTTGTTTCCCAAGATCGATACCTCTCGTCCACCAATGACCCAGACTGAGGTGGTCTCGAACGAGGAGGACGATGGAGAGTGCGTCGTAATTACTATGCAGCCTCGCACTTCTACGCCAGTACGCAAAAAGTCCCATCGACGTAGTCAGCATGGAAGTCGCTCGGACAAACTATCGAGCCACCATTCGGGAAGACGATCGATCGCTTCGCCCATCAAGGACGATGGAAGTCCTGGCCCATCTCGTCCGCGAGGCAGTCGCAACACTGGTCTTTCGAGTCCTCCACGAAAACATTCGGACGCCGTCGAGAATTCGGACAGGCCAGCGTTTGGGCAGCGTATCAGTCAGTTTGATATTATTGCAAATCAGATTGAGAACGCGTTGAATGAGATGCGGTGAGGAGATGACAGTAATAAATCTGCCGACAACCTGGAATGTTATCACGGATACCGAAGAGAAATCAACGCAATTGTCAAATTCGACATGATCCACTCCGTCCCGGCTTTACTGGAAGGATGCGTCAAGTGCTCTGTGACCATTCTGCGATCTTCTGGATGCCGATCGGGAGCGGTTGCGGGCCTGCTCTGAAGCGCGTACACTCGCGTGGAAGACGGCCCGCAGCTATCTTGGTTTTGCACTCTAGGCATACAACGATGCAACGCAAAAGCCGAGCCTCATGCGAACATAGTGGAAGGACGGCGGCTTGTGGGCGACCGTTGTGACTCACTGTTGTCGGACTGCGTGCAGTGCGAGCAGTCTCCGTGACAGCAACTCGCATGTGGCACTGATCATCTCGTACGATGACGACACAGGAATTAAATTCCCGACTCAACGGGCGAGGGCTGAGATTGAGCATAGTCCTGTCACCGCTGCGGTGGTGCGGCCGACCAGCTGCGCTGCAATCAATACGCGAACCAGGTTGATGCAGCCTACGGACGAACTTCCGGCTCGCTTGCATCTTGTCTGCGCTATCAGCCCGTCCGCCAAGTGGAAGCCTGGGATGCATACATCTGCTTGCACGGCTCATCTCCCGTCTATAACTTCGCGCGAGTGGCGTGAACGGTGGATCCCCAAGGCAGCCGCGAGTCTGTTAAAGGAGGGCGGGCAGACCGTTCGGCTTGGAACGAAGGCCCTGCTTTGATGTTCATCACACAGATGGCTCGACGATCGACAGCGGACGGCCGATGCTAAGCGAAGCAGTCGCAAGGACTTGTGCACGTTGACTCGGCTAGCCCGCCTGTTGTTCCTGAAGAGAGCGGACAACTTCCTGTGAGAAGCACGCCACTATGCGAGTGAGCGGAGTACGTTGCTATACCTGCCAGAATCATACTGGAACTCCCCTAGCCTTTATTGGTATGTGCAGAATCGAAAGTATTTCAACCATCCATCCTGTTATCGATATGACGAGCTACAGTGCGGTCGGCGCGGCTGAGACACTTTCGTCAGCGTTCACCGGTATCTGGCCGCAAGCGAGCTGGCTACGGCACACATACAAGGTGCAGCTCACACTGCTGTGTGCACGAGAGTATGCATCGACGCAGACCGCGACATATCAAAGACTGCCGTAGCAATCAGAAAATTCGTGCCGGCGGCTGTCGCGGTACGCTGCATCGCCGCTGGATGGTATTGGCTTGCTAACTCCCTGCTCTCCCGGCGTCCGCTTGGCTGAATGCCCTTTCCACATCTCTGGTTCGGTACCCTGACACTGACGGTTGACAGTGGGCTTTGCATCCCACGATTCGTTGGACCGAGCACCTACTTTCGCCGTTCATGATCACGGATCAACGAACCGTGGGATGCATAGCACACTGTCAACCGTCAATGTCATCTCACGAACATGAAGCACCCGAACAGTACCTGACCCTAGTTGCAATCTACGTGCTTCAGACTTGTGGCGTTTGCCTAGGAAGCATTCACTGAATTGACTGGCACACCAAGGCTGTGGCACATGCTGTGTAACACAACTTTGGGGATTAGCCCTCTCGGGGCCCTCCCCGGCGCTCCTGACACTAGTGCTGGTACTGGCGACCTCGCGATTCTCGTCAAGTATTCTTCATTTTCATAAGCTGAAATCCCTGCCTGTGGACACTACAGAAAACGGTGCCGAGTTTCCTAGCAGGCCACCACGGGCTATGCCGTGGGCACGGCTCCTGCTCTGATGTTCTCGGCTCCCGCGTTCGAGGTCTGTGTGTTAAGATGTGAAAGGCAGAATCGTGAACATGAGAAAGCTTGGAACGGGGGCGAGCGTGGAAGTGCGCTTGACTGAAGAGTCTACATAAAGGAGCTCGACACCACACATCTGCATCATACCAGCCCCAACAATCATTCAACAACGCACAAGCGGACTGGAATGGCTTCCACCACCAAGTTAGAGCTGGTCATTGGAATACCAGATGTCATCATGGACGTCGTTACGATCATTCAGGGAGTCATGAACTGTACGTCAGCCCTTCCTCCAAACACAGCGTTAGAATAGCACACTGATGCCTTATTCTCTGCCAGTGTACCAGCGTGTACGCAACGATACAATTCACGGCATTCGGCAGCTGAGACCACAAGATCTACTTCAATACTTTCGGCTCAGAAACAGGACTGCACAGCGACCCCTTTGAATGCTAGTGGCTAGCACAAGTTGAGAGCTTGAACTGAGCTCTGTACTGATGCGGATGGCGCGAACGACTGTGAGAAAGGGTTTTGGATGACACCTTTCGATAAGGGAGAACGGACAGACTGTTGCCCGACTTGTATGATTATGGAAGCTACTGGTTGGCCACACGGGAACGCACGGCTCACTTAGATATCCGTGCATGGACAATTCAGCTCGATCATTTGGGGAAATAGAGAGGATCTATGAATCACGTATGTACTATTAGGTGTCGCATATATAAAAGGAATGGATGATAGAGCGGGCTCTAATCACCCATCTTGTGCAATTTGTACAATCCCGTGGCCCCAATAACTCTCACAAAAACGATCCGCACGCGTTGATGGACCAAAAGGCGACGTGGGTCTTCGTGTCTCATGGTTAACGCGGACACGACTTCGACGGGGAATGAACAGTCGAAGAACCAACTGTGTCCAGGTCGCTAATGCACTCCTTGCCCGCAAATGAAAATTTCACCGTCGGGGCGGCCTCTCAATTGTGTCCGCGCTCATGCGTCCCAATTCAAAATTACGCTCAGCCTACGCAGGGATGGAGCACTGCGACTCACCTGTAGCGGCTTGCTTGCATTCAGAACGAATCGATCACCTTGCACCGTCGAGATCGGATCAATGTGATATATGACCTGCACGTATGTTCCTCGCCATGTAGGGCCCGAGCGCTAACTCGTGCAGTGCAAGTGATTTGCTGGAAGTCGTTCGACCACCCAATTGGGTCCAGGCCCCCCACGCGAGACGAGTGCATTTGTGACCTTTGCTGGCCCGCGATCCCACGTGCGGTGGCGTGTTGCTCGCGACAGGTTCGAAAGTCTTGTCAGGAAAGAAACGAGCATGTGACGGTGTGAAACTGTGGTCGCTATGCAGATGTGCTGCGGCTGGTCTTGTGTTGTCTTTATAAGTCTTGCTCTGCTGCGGTTAGACCTCTAATACAGCACGAATCTGATCGTTCACCAATACAACCCATCTCGAAACAGAGCAGAGCAGACATGGATGGAGAACTTATAGTACAGATCATCAGCGGGATCGTCAGTGTCCTCATCGCTGCTGTGGTCGTCACAAGTATCAAGAAGGGTTCGTCAAACTTGTCGTGAACAACGATCCACAGTATCTAGACTGACTCTTGATTTCCTCCTGCAGGCTATCGCTGGCTACGACCACTCGGTTTTCGAAACGATGACCAGCAGCTCCAACGATATTCTGGTCAAACCCCACCGGCTGCGAGTCAAACAACATCTACGAGCTCCTTCGACGATGCTAGTCTCATCGAGGGTGGGACTGTGATGCGCAGACATTCCTGGCGATGGTGAGGATGCGATCCCATGAATAGATGGCGGATGAGAAACCAGATGAGCTGTATTGAGGATCGAAGGTTCATAACAGGCGACAGAACGTGTCATTCTCTAGCTGTAGTAAGCGCTACGAAGACAATTTCCCTGGGGCAGGGCAAAACTTGTGTTCGATACATACCACGAACTGCCTGAACAGATATATCAATAGTAGCGTGCGAGATGTACTACTTCCATACTTTTATCGTCGAAAGCTATTGTAGCGTTCGTCGACTGCTGAATAACCAATAACTCGTAAGCGTGCTTTGATTTATGCCAGGCCGCTGATTTGGCCATCCTCCCTGTCAGATATCGTATGTTGTGATCGCAAGGATCGGTGAAGTTTCGCAGGTTTACGCATCGTTTGAGAATTTCAATGGGTAGTGATGTCCGGGCTAGCGGTAGAGTTAGCTGCTATTTGCATTTGCAGGAGTATAGATTGCTCTTACATCAGCGCGTATGCCAATTCTACCAAGGCGAGTAATGTAGCAGTGAAGACGACCGTCCAAAAGGTGGGACTCGTCCTGAGCGTCTGCCACCACATCGTGGCAGGATGAGAGCGCTGTCACAGTATGTGAAGGCTGAAGTGTCTCCAGAAATAAAAGCGGTCTTTTGGACTGTGTTTGAAAACGTGAATGGGGAGCAGATGACATTCTCGGAGGTCTAAGAGGCGGTGGCACATCGCTGTTGGCCAAGATTCGCAGGGATGAGCGCTTGCCAGCGTGCTCCATCGCTGTGTAATGTGGCTCGGACATGCGTAAGGTACATGAGCTCGAGATCCTCGAGACTGGATTGTTCCAGGGCACCCAAAAGCAAGCACGCATATTGATGCAGATGCGCAAGGCCTATCCTTGCTAATCTCAGGTGATTGCGATCTCAATTGAGCAATTGCTCCAATTGGATGGTTCATGTTTGACTTAGTCAACACATCCGTAGTCAACATATATACTGCCTTGCTGAACCTCCTCATTGATGGGATTCGAGGCATGCTTCTGCTGGGATTCGAGCGAAACAGGTATGGAGAGCGATGATTGAAACTGGCACTGCAGATCTTGGAAGAGTCGATTATGCATCGACTGACAGGTGCGTCGCATCGTGGCCTGCGTCGCGTCTTTCCTGTCATGTATTCAGCTTCTGTTGCGGTGACATACCTGGTTCTGAGTGTGCACCTGCTATCCACAAGATGTACATAGCTACAACACTTTGGGTGGCCAATATTGTTGCAGGGTCCAGGGCAAACCTGTACGAAGCGGAGACGAGTACTTTGCGTTTCCTAGTCCGATTTCCACCTTCGATACAGGCATTGATGAACTGCGGTGGCCTCTGCTGTTGTAAAGTCTGATGCAGGAGTGTACTGAGACGCAAGAGCCATAGATGTGGCGCGAATCAAAGGTGACACAGCATATTGGCATGGCCGGACTCGAGAGGTCGACTGCTGACAGACTGTTCACCTTGACAGAGTTTTATTCCGAAAGTCGCGAACCTACCGCACAGCTTCCTAAGGACACCAGAATTCGCGACCACATTTCCACAAGCTCGCCGTTGTCCTACACTCGACCACCGATCTCACGCGCCGCCCAGATGGACCAGAGAGGGGATTTGCCTACTCCAACCTCGACCGCGAGCTTTGTGGTCACGATCCGCTTCAAATATGCCTGGGAGAGGGGAAATATCGCGACCCCCACACCAACGTTTTCGACGATCTGTACGCGACCTCAAGGCACCCAGACGGTATGGGCCAGAATCTCCAATATCGATCCTGGAATCCCTCGTCCTTGGCAAACGCAAGTTGTCGGCATTCCGGTCTCAATCGATGCCACGGGCGGAGTACATCCAACAGAAGCGATCGCTATAGACGCGATACATACTCCGACCGCTTCGGCCCACAGCCACGATCCAATTGTGACGACTTCCATCGAGTTCGGTCGACACACAGCTGCAAGATATGGGCGTCCAGATCTCCTTGGAGTTATCATTGGTGTTGTCGTACTGTCATCAGTCTTCTACTTCAATCGCAGACGTAGAGAGGGTCGCATTCTACTGAAATGAAGCTATCTTGTATGAGCTCGATGAAGGTGGCCACGGGCATTGGGACAAGTAACAGGAACTCGACCTCGTCCACGAGAGGACAGAGGGAGAATGTGACTGGAAAAATCGAGATTTGGCAGTGTTGGCAGTGTTGCCTGTTAGTAATGTTTTGATTATGTGGTGTCTTCCAGTGAGTTCGCACGTGCGGCGTGCGGGTGAAGTCTGGTGGCGGTCTTGGCGTGAATTGTTTATGGTAGCAACGACTGTAAACACGACCCTTCCAATACGCTTGCTCTCACTTTCACGACCTTCACGCCCTCACGACTCACTACTAACCACACAGCACACGCCCAGCGACCATGGCGGACGACCTCATCGACTTCAATGTGATCGAGGGGCAGAAAGAGAACATTCAGGCCCTCCCCAGCGGCCGTTCTGCCAAAGCGCTGGCACAGCTCTACTCACCACCACTGCTTGGAGCAAACCCGTCGCCGAATGACCAACACTCCGAGAAACGCGCAGAATTCGAACGAGAACTCGCGACGATTGACGAAGCTGATGATCCACTCGATGTTTACGACGGATACGTGAAATGGACACTGGACACATACCCCTCCGCACAGGCGACACCGCAATCGCAATTACTACCACTGCTTGAACGCGCGACAAAAGCGTTCCAATCATCGAAAGATTACAAAAACGATGTGCGATATCTCAAGATATGGCTCCACTACATTCGCCTTTTCTCAGATGCGCCTCGCGAGGCTTTCGTGTTTCTAGCGCGCCATGGGATCGGCGAGGGACTGGCGTTGTACTACGAAGAATTTGCAGCATGGCTGGAAAATGCCGGGAGATGGAGTCAAGCGGAGGAGATCTACAAAATGGGCATTGAGAAGGAGGCGCGACCTTCAGAGCGATTGATGCGCAAATTTGGAGAATTCGAGCGAAGGAAAGAGGCGCGTCCGGAAGACGCGACGGAGCCTTCTAGTCCGGCATTGCCTGCTGCGAGACCTGCTTTGGCGGCGAAGGCGGACCCTTTTGCGTCCTCAGCGACGCCGTCTCCTGCGACACAGCAACAGCAAAGTCGAACCGGCGCAGGCAAGAAGCCCAAGATGGCCATTTTCACAGATAGCGGAGAGGACTCACGACCTGCGTCGGGGAGCAGCTCGAAGGGCTGGGATAGTATTGGCACACTTGCGGACCGCAAAAAAGAGAATACCACAGAGGCGAAGCCAATGGCGGGACAGAAGCTTATGGCAGGGAAGACGAACACAGGAATGCAGAAGATGATGGTGTTCAAAGACCAGGTAAGTTTTGTGTCACCCATACCTCACAAGAAACAGCACATGTTTACGAATGCAGGACTAAATATCGCGTGTTTCGTAGTCTTCATCTCGAGTTCAAATGCCACGACACACTTCCGCCTCGCACGCTGAATCGAGTAGTAATCATGAACAGCAGTGCGTGTTCAACGAGAAGACCGGTAGGCTGGAGTGCGTGTTTGTGAATCTAGAGGCTGTGTACCCTGAGGCCGGGAACCTGGCAGTTGAATACTGTTTCGAGGAGCTAAGAGCAAGACATCGTGGGTGGCTGGATCGAGATGGCAATGTGAAAGAAAATGTGAAACGGCAGAAGCTGTCGAAGAATGACTCGTTCGATATACAGCTGGACCCACCAGCAACAGCGCGACAGCCCATCGCTGAGCACCCAGCTGAAGCAAAGCCTTTGGCCAGGGAGAAGCCTTTCAAGATCTTTTCTGATGCTGAGCAAGAAACACCAGAGTCGAGGCCGACGTCGAAGCAAAAGGGCTTCAAGATATTTGAGGATACAGACTTGGAGCCACAACAGCAACCCAGAGAGGAGACGCCTGATCTGCCGACTAAATTCACCAAGACTTTGGCGCTGAACGATGAGAACGACGAGAACACCCCGCCGTCCAAGCAAGAAATCGATGCTGCGAAGAAAGCAAGACGCGAAGAACGCGCGAACCGGACGCGTAAGATCAAGGTTATGGAAGTCAAGCACATCAAGAACGAGACGCAAACGATCAAGTTGAACATGGACTCGCCCAAGTCGAAGCCGAAACGAAGAAAGTCTGTGGCACCGGAGCCAACCATGACCATCAACACCAAGGAGGCCATGGATGAGATCTATGGCATCTTCAGTGCTCCTCTGCCATCACAGTCGGAACAGCCTCAGGAAGAAGAGTCTGAGTCTGAAAGTGATAGCGACAGTGAAGAAGACGAAGACGATTACACGACTGGCGATGAAAGCACGGCAACTGGGAAGCTCTCTGCACCGGCGAGCGAGTACGGTGATGAGACACGCAACGAGCTTCTCGAATCCCATCGCGACGATGATCGGACAGACGTGTCAGCCTGGTCAGATTTTGATACTGGCAAGCATGTTCCGAGCCAAGAAGACGATAGTGGCATGAATTCTGCTCAAACGACAACGCAAGATGTCTACGAAGAGGCAGACGAGGCACTCACGCCTGTTCACGACGAGAACCGTCAAACACGATATGTCCCGGTCGCTCCTGAAGATTACGAGCCGCCTGTCATGCAGATGCGTGACATGAACATCGTGCCGAATCATAGGCTGCCATTCATGACACCGATTGTCGAGCAGACTGAATCATCAATTGGCATACCTACTCAAAGGCCAGAGAAGGACTACTTTGGTGCGAAGACTCCAAGCAGGAAGAACGGTATGCCTGAAGAGTTTGACGACGAGGAAGATGATGAACCACCTAGCAGTCCTTTTGATGACGTGACGGCTGACATGGAAGAAGACAAACGCAGAGTCCTCCAGCCGATTCGAACGAAGAGCACAAAGGGCACATTATCGCTTGGCAAGGGCACATCGAAGGCACAGATCGACGCGAAACTGGAAGGGCCGACCTCTTCAGACGCTGTACAGAAAGGACCCATCATCAAAGATCTGCAGTGCAATCCCATGGACCCATACCTGAGACAGACCATTTTGTCGCAAATGAAGCCTGCTCTCAACACGTACGAAGGATATTACGAGCATCTCGATGCGAACTCGGGCAAAACTATGGAGATCAAGAAGTACATCAAGCAGCTTCAGGCTTCGCGGAAGAGCCAGAGCCACTCTCAAGAGAAGACAACATCGATCCCACCCATGGTCGCTTTCCCTGGCGCAGGTGGAATCTACACTATCAAACGAGAACTGGGAGCCGGTACTTTCGCCCCAGTCTACTTGGTTGAAAACAGCGCCGCGGCCTCTCTCGAAGAGCGTGAAGACTACGACGAAGATGATGTGGACGTCTCCGCTTCTACTGCCACTTCCCGCCTCGGGAAGCTCACCCACCGCCGTCCTCTCGAAGCCATCAAAATGGAGGAGCCCCCTTCCACCTGGGAGTTCTACATCCTTCGCGCAGCGCACCGTCGACTGGGCGTCTCGCGTCCTTCGGAATCTATCATCAAAGCCCACGAAATGCACTTATACCGCGACGAATGCTTCCTCGTCGAAGAATACCGTGACCAAGGCACCCTTCTCGACCTCGTGAATCTCGCTCGCATGGAATCCGCGCATCAGAACTCTGGCACGACCGGCATGGATGAAATGCTCGCCATGTTCTTCTCCGTCGAACTTCTTCGTACCATGGAAGCCCTTCACGCCAAACACCTGATTCACGGCGACTTGAAAGGCGACAACGTCCTTGTACGATTCGACGACCCAGGCCAGGAAACTGATTTCTCTGCGACGTATTTCCCTTCGGGCGCGCATGGTTGGGGTTCGAAGGGAATCTGTCTCATTGATTTTGGACGCGGAATCGATATGTCGCATTTCGATGAGAAAGTCGGCTTCTTCGCTGATTGGAAAACGAGCGAGGCGGATTGTAGTGAAATGCGCGAAGCGAGGCCTTGGACGTATCAGGTGGACTATTACGGTGCTGCAGGCATCATTCATTCGTTGTTGTTTGGAAAGTATATGGAAACAACTGTCGAGAAGACATTGAATGGTGGTGCTGGTGCTGCAGCGGGTGGTGGCAGTCAGAAGACTTATAAGATTCGAGAGAGTTTTAAGAGGTACTGGCAGATGGAGATTTGGGCGGAGGTTTTTGGTTTGTTGTTGAATCCTATGCGGTATGTGGAACATGAGGAGGGGAGAAAGTTGCCGGTTCTGAAGGGGTTGAAGGAGGTGAGGGAGAGGATGGAGGGTTGGCTAGAGGCGAATTGTGAGAAGGGTGTTGGGTTGAAGGGGATGGTTTTGAGAATGGAGGCTGCATTGAGGGACAGGAGGAGAAGGGTGAAGTAGGTTGATTGTGTTTATTGGCGTTTTGGGAGGGAATGATACCATGGCGAGGCACGGGGCGAGGGCACGTGTTCTTGGAACTTTTCGTATTTGGCATTATCATCTTTGCATAAATCATATCATGAAATGCCTGTTCACATATTTCCTTCATTTGGTGTGCTGTTCATTCCTCTCGAGCCTTGCATTGTTCCGTATACCAGCTAGCACGACTACTTATGTTCCTACGAACCGACCGCGCTCTACTGAGCAAAGAGGTCAATGGTATAAGCAGAATCCAAATTCTGGTTCAGATTGATCACCACCTGGTTATTCCTCACAGCCACGGTACCATTCGAAACCACATTCGGATTATCCACGCGGCCACCATTGTTATACGGAATCTCCTTGATCAGAGCTCTCAGTGTCGAGCGACCGTTGTACGCTGGCATGTTATTCACATTCGAGATCGTGATAGGATATGAACCGGTCTGACCGCGTGTACCAGCGAGAATGTGTGTCACGCCAATGTTGCGTTCTTGTGTGACGTAGAGATCGTAGCAGGTGCTGACGGTGGCTCCGGCGCGAGTGATGAGGCCTTTTTGGGCTTGGGTGTAGTAGTTGAGGACGTGCCAGTCGCCGAGCTTGTAGAAGTTGGAGCTCTTGTCGGAGCCGCCAGGACCGAGAAGTTTGGCGAGGTCGTTGTGGAGGCCGACTTTGGAGCCCCAGTTCTGAGAGAAAATGTCAGTATGCCTTTTTTTTGTGAGTGTGTAGAGGGGATGCTTACTGCTCGGAGACCAACGATGCCGGTTCTCTCGAATCGTTCGATGAACCAGGCGGTGTAGGCTGGAGTCTGCTCGTCTGGAGCGGCGTACTCGTTCAGCTGGAATGGACGACTTGGTAGGCCGGCGCGAGAAAGGACTTGATTCAGCTGGTTCTGAGTGTTGACGGGGTCGTTGCCACAGTTGGCAGAGTTGCGGCCATTCAGCTGATGGGCGCTATACCAGTCTGGAATCTGTTGAGGGCAGAGTCAATACTCTACAATGGCACTACACAAGACAGAATGATTCCAGAACCTACCTTGTTGTTTCCCTTAATGTGATTGGCATAGTTAGTCCACCACCCATTGTCGAGAGCAGGCTGGCTCGCAGTCGCTGGGCCGACTAGAATTGCACTACTAAGTGCTGACCGGTACCGGTCGTAGGCATAGTCCCATGCTTGTAGGTACTGGTCCTGTGAGCGGGGCCAGAAACCAAACCCGTCAGGTTCGTTCCAGATATCGATGTACAAATTAGTCGTCATGCCACTGCCGCAATCACATTAACATCGTCCAGTTACACCAGTCGAACAGGAAATTTCACTCACTTCTGCTTCAATCTTGCAATCAGTTTGTCAAGGAAGCGACCCCATTCCGTGCAATCACCATTATCACATGGGTAGATGGTCGTAGATGCCTCAAAGCTGTCTGCTCCCCAGATGTCGTGAGGCAGAAGCACATATCGAGTGTTCGGGTCGAGGGCTCTGGCATCCCGGTAGTTTTGCAGTGCAGATGCGAAGCGGTTGTCAAACCCTGTAGTATTGCCACTCTTCACATCTGCAGCATAGCCGCCGAATGGAATCTGTGCTCCTCCGGCACGTAGCCACGAAATGCCCGCACCTTGGTACAGCGGACCCCAAATTGATCTTGCAGGCGCGCTCTGAGGAGAGTAAGCTGGGTTATTGGGAAGTCCATAGAGTATTCCAGCTCCTTTGCGGTCCGGTACGCCTCCGTATACTGCAAGGTCGACGTAGCCTTGTCCGCCGAGATTGCTTTGAGCGCTGGCCGGCACGCTGAGGAGCGCCGCCAGGACGGAAGATGTAAGCATGAGCATGGTGTTTGATCAGAAGTGAAGGTGTGCTGTTCTTCTGCAATGATATGTAGTCATGTCTCAAGATGACCATCTTATACTTCGTCTGTTTTGGTCAAACCTACCATGTTTTGCATACTCATTTACCCGCTTCAACAAGCTGGCAAAGACATCGGGCCAAGCTTGAGGGCTCGAACCTCTACATTTGTGGATTTGAGTTATTGTCTCCTCACCTCTACCTGAGACAGTACGTCGAGATCTGTGTAGAGAAGAGGAGAGGTCGGGGGAATCTGTCTTGGCAGTAGGGTGGATTTTCCTCCTCTCCTCTCTGACATCCCACCCCCACCGGATTCAACATTGTCAAACTCCTTGTGGGATGCGTCACGGAGCAAACGACACGGCACAGTTGCTCTCGACTCGTGCCTCCGTATGGAGTATCAAGGCCAGGCCAAGCTTCACGCGATCCCACCGCCACGAGCTCAACTCCAGATGTGGACCGCGAGACATTCGACGAAAGTCGCGTGGCCTTTGCACATTCCGCGTACGCAATAATGGCACCGGCGCTAGATGGGCGCGCCAGCACAGATGACGACGTGTAATGGAGAAGACATGAACAGCCGCCGTTGGGCATGAAGAGCTTCAAGGTTGTGACCAGTTGGCAGTGGCACAATAGTAAGATGGATTTCGGCCATGCGTACAGTCTGACACATTGCGGAAACTCGTGTCGGCTGGAGAGCATATGTAGGAGGAACCTCCAAGGCAGACTTGCTCGTTGGACACTGAACACCAGAGTGTAGCGTGGTAAAGATGAAGACCGCATCCTTCAACGAGTGCACGAGCTTGGCGCTGCCTCCTTCTCAGGCCCTTCGGAAGATAGATGCACCGGTTCCGAACTTCGATGTCACTTCCACTTTGACCTCGGTGTTTACACATAGAAGTTACGTACTACCTTCTACCTTACCTTCTATCTTACTACTATCTACCTACCTTCCTTATCTATCGATATACTCTTCTTCTAAAGAGCCTAATCTAATTCGGCGATAATCTATAACTTTTAGAGACTCTCTAAACTATTAATTCTAACTTCTAACTACTTTTATACTATATATAGTACCTAATACTAAAAACTATATAGTAGGGAGCTATATACTTATATATAGTAAGTTTAATAATATAG